TTCGGCAGCCTCGGGCTTGCGTTTTGCTGGTATAGAGGGCATGGATAAGGCTAAAAGTAAGCCGGAGCCGCGAGAAAGTAAGGTGTTGTTAAATGTTATAAGCCTGATGTCAGTAGCACTAGGAATGGAACATGTGTGAATCGTGTTGTGTATTGTGCTACAGGAATTGAGATCTATGTCTCTGCCAGCTAGCGTTGTGGGCGCTAAGCCTCGTACGTACTAGCCTGGAGTGAGTGAGAGATGGGATGGAACCTAGGTCATATAACTTTGTCAGATTTTTATGGATGGGATCAAGTGTATTGTCTGTCTCTGTCTACGGCTCTGTCTGTGGGAGGTGGCCTCGCCTCGGGCTTGGCAGTGCTAAGTCCCGGCGCTAGCCCTGGTTTGGGGGTCTCATGTCCTTCCCCAACCACCATCGGCTCGATCATGGAGCAAAACCTCGCCTCAATCTGACAAACTTACACGCGAGTAGGCTTAGTAAGCAAGATCCAACACTAAGAATTCGTCGTTGAGCAGCTATCCCAGAGGCCTCACCTAGGTATCCCCCTCCCTCGCTTACTATCAAACAACACCAATCCTATCAACATTTTGTTCTCAAGATTGGTTGATTGATTGACAGAAATACAGTGGCTAACTGTTGGTTAGTTGGTTGGCTCCGAATCAAACAAATCAAACAACAATATTGATGAGATATTGATTACTGACAACCTTGTTGACAGTCCAAGCGGCCCAACGGCTCAAGCAGCCACCTGAACGTTAAAGGCACTAATCAATTCAAGGCTGTAGAATCTCACTAAACAGGTGTTGTTACTATTTTTTATAGCGGAGTATAAGCCTAGGATACTTACCATGGCTACGTGGTTGACCATAACTAATCAGTAAATTACTCAATGTCACGGCGCTGACCCGAAGGATTGCGCCAAGAACTGCTTGGCGCAGATTGGCCGCAGCGATGCCGTGTGCTGCCTGCGCCCCCGGCGTCCGTAGAGCAAAACCCATGCATGAGATTTCATCACTCACTATTGTGTATTCTGTCAGTAAGCTGGTGCTACGCTCCAAGGTGCCCGAAAGTCCACCTCCGTCTGCGTTGCCGCCAACTCCACCACCTTCCTGCTACCATCAAGCTCGTCAAAATAACTCTCACCCCCAACAACACCATATTCATTAACCTGCCACACGCCATCAACGACCAAGAACTTCCAAAACGTCAGCACCTCCCTCAGAGTAGCCAGCGGCCTCACGCGCATCCATGGACACCACCCATTCTGATAAGTGAACAACGTGTCCCGCCTTTTGCCATGAACAAATAGCACCGCATCACCCCACTCCTCCTCAGGGTAAAGATACAACCCTGCCCTCCGCTCAAGGAGTACCAATCCGCGGCCCCAAAAGTTGTCAAATCTACGACTAGCTGGGTGTGCGACGGTCGTGTCGCTGGGGAATAGTAGTACGGGAGCGAAGTTGCGATCGCGATGGCACTCGCGTTGCGGATCATCGCTTGGCTTGTTACCGATGGCGAGTCTGCGTTCGCTGTTGATGGGTTCTTTGGCGTGGATTGCTTCGAACGTGGGGGAATTCCATGGATTGACTCCTGGGGCAATGTTCATAGTAGAATTGTTCGACGCACGCGCTTGTGTCAGGAATGCACGTTGAAACGGGTGATCGCACCACCGTTCCGCCACGGTTGTCTCGAAAAGAGTCGTAGTATCGCTTCTCTGCTCAGGTTGAACCGGCATTCGCTCTTCAATCGCAGCGACAAGCTCATCCCATGCATTCAGCGACTGTTGCAAGTCCCACTGGCCCCATGGCTGTAAGGACAACTCAGGTTCTACCCGCATCTTCCCCGCATCCCACATCATCAGCCAGCGCGATAAGATGTCCGCGAGAGGTAGTCATGAGTCCTCGGGCGGAAACCCGAGCGATGGGTCGATCCAACATGCTACTTCGCGCTCTTGATCGAAAAACAAGCCGCCCTCGTTTTCCATAGTGAGAGAGACGTCTTGGTAGAGAAGAATGAGCTCGTCTTCGTAGGCGGAGAATTGGGGCCATGAGCGGTATTGAAACAAGGACTGGGAGTTGGGGGGCTGGCAGAATGACGTTAGGGCTGTGGACTCTCCCTCTACGGGCCAGGATTTAATAGTAGCAAGAAATGTCTGAAAATCAGGTGAGAGACGGGTTCTTAATGAGTGTTCTGTGCTATGTGCTCTGAGAACGTCCTGTAGTGGCTGGATAGATGGGTTTGCTTCCTTAAGCCGCCGCACCAATTGATTATGTAAGGAGGCGCATTCGTTAGGGTTGAACTGTGATGTATCATCTTCAGACATGGCGAAGCACTGGGGTTTTTAGTTCAAAATGTATTATTTGGATGGAAATAACACGTAGGTTACGAGAAGTCCATCTTCCGTAAGATCTAACTTACCTAGCCGCCTACCTAGGTGTTTAGAAGTCACTATATGCGCCAGACACTGCTTACATACACTGTTAAGTATTCTATGCTACCTATGTAGTAGTGATACTAGATCCATCTAGCTCTTTTCCGGCACTTCCCCCTCGTATAACGAATCTTTACAGGACTCCGCCGCCATCTACGAACTTACACGAGGTAGTTCAACCCCTAATTAGATGTAGCACAAGCTCACCGTATTTTACACGCCTGATTAGGAATCAAGCCTACCAATCGACTTGATGATCGCCACGTCACAAGTCTGCTAAGGATAAAAGCTGGTATCTCTACAATAGCGTCGGTGAAATTTTAATTCGCAATTAAAAACTGTGGGGCAGGGCTCGATATGTACAAAAAGGTATTCCCTAACCTATCATTATCATCTACACATTATCACCACAATCATCAAGCTTCTAAGATTGTTTACAACACCAAGAGTTTTAATACCCATACCCATACCAATACGATGAGGATGCAGTTCCTTACCCAAATCTTTACTGTCGATGTGTTTCTGGCTGTTAGCACCAATGCAGCCCAATGCAGAATATTTCTCGGTATGTACTCTATTAGAAATTAACCACAATGACTGCTGCTAACAAGTCATAGAAACATGCGGCGCCGGCCTAACGCCCTGCTGCACTGACATGGGACTAATTTGTCAACGCTCTCTCAATGAACCCTGGCGTTCATACTGCCATAGACTCTGATGATAGCCCATCTCGGTTCACACGACACACTGTGAACTACATCTCACCTGACTAAGGGTCGCCATCACTTATCTCGGTGGTGTATATATAGTCGCTCGCTATAGCTCACTTGATACAAAAACCTTCTTACCAGCTTCGATTATTGAGACGACTAACCAACTCAAGAAAGGGGCTGAGGTGATGCTGCTCTCAGCTGAGCTGATGTGCCGTAAGGGGCGTGACCCCATGGCCGCATCGATAGCGATACGCAGATGACTGATCAAAAAGATGCCTAGTAAGAGAGTGGATTCGATAAAGAGTTACAAAATGACATCGTATCTTCTCACGAGATGGCAGCAGTTCCGTACACGTATACGCGACAAAGCCACCACACCAGCTCGCAATCTATTATATCTCTCTTCCCAATCCCACTCTATACAGCCGCCTCCAAATCAACCCAACACTTAGCAACCCTCTGTTTTGCCTTGGCAAACGGCTTCTTCCCCTCCTTAGTCTCCAACGTCTCAGTATCAAACTCACTCACCACCGTCCCCTTGAACGGCGCCTGCGCACCTTTACTCCAAACATGCGTCACAGCATCGGCAAGACACTCAATCTGAACCCCTCTGTACCCCATGGCCGCCGCCTCACGCTGCAGCCACCTCGCTGTCGCAGCCATGATACCCTCGCCCTCGTAGTCCTGCCGCGTAGACGTCGCATTGCGCATAAGAACCTGTCCCGGAGCCGTGGGTTGCCAGTCTTCTGGGGCGCGAGGGTCGCGCTCTGCGAGGGTGCCGTATAAGACTTCGAATTCGGGCCACGCACGTACGATAGGCTCCATTTTGTGGTGGTCGAGCGGGTAGAAGCCGTCGTAGGATAAGACGATGGAGACCAAAGGAAAATCCATTTGTTCGAGCAATCTGTTGCCTTCGGCTTCCCGGCCTTGTGTCTTTTCCACGCTGGCTGATGGGTCTTCGTCGACGTCCCAGTAGAGCTTTCCGCCAAGTTTTTGCGCTTCTGCGGTTTTGTACTTGTATTCCGTGTCGAATACACCGTAGGAGAGGCCAGAGTCGATTTGATACTCTACTAGATAGGCGCATGGGGTACACATCTCTTTTGCCCACTTTGCCATTACCCGGTCCGGCCAGTTGGCACCCCAGACAGGGTTGCGGAAGGCATGGCTGTGAAGGACAATGGCCATGGCCCAGGGAGCGTGTTTTGGTTCCAGTTTGCGAATTTCATAACGCGGCTTGAGGGCAGATGGGTTCGAGGGATTGGGGACTGCGGTGTTGGTTGCTTCTTTGGCCATGGTTGCGTTTTCTCCCGATCAAGAGTCGACGTTTGGTAGGGTAGCAGGTTAGAATTGGATGTCGTAAGTTACAACTGTTGGTATGCGCTTTCCTTTTCGGAGATGAACTTGAAGCAAGAAAAGATAGACACAGAAGCAGCTTACTGTCTCTTACGTCGCGCTAAGGAAAATGTTGAGATGCTTCAAAGGCTGGCAATCTTCTCCCGGACATTGACTAGCGAAGCGACAGATGCGGATACCCGCTTATAAGCACTGCACTGTTGTCGCCAGCATCGCCATGATTGTAACAGAGCTAGCCCCGATTGGAATGTTGCGAGACTGCCCTTGCCATTTTGGGGAAATAAAGGTAGTACAGTGTGCGCGCTTGGAAGAAGCACTCGCCTAATATAGTCAAGCGCCACACGCCCCCGTCAACGCCCGTCATGCTTTTCGCCCACAGAACCGAGTATGACACGCATGTGAGATAAATTGCCATGTGCGCTAAAACAGATTGCACCGGTCCGAGCTAGCGGAGTTGGGAGCAGAATATGCAAAACACCAGTGGTCTCATAACAGTCGCTTGAAGGGTTTGAGCGTGCTGAAGACATTTCAAGGTCACCATCACCAAGTCCTGTGTCACTGGTAGCATCGCTGGTGGCAACGCTAATATATTACACGCCGCCGGACAATACACGGGCAGTGTGCGCGAGCGGAAGGATGACTACGCCGCTCACACTAACCCTTTACCCTCTTGCAACAGCTTAATTCCCAATTCCTTAAGCTTGAACTTCTGGATCTTTCCACTTGCTGTCTTGGGGTAGTTGTTTACCCAGAAGACGTATTTTGGCACTTTTGAGCGTACTGTCAGTAATACTTTCGAAATCAACGTGGAATATAAACTTACCCAAATGGTGACTGAGTCTTTCCCGGACCCAACTTCTCACCTCGTCCGCTGTCACGTTCCCATCCTCTCCTTCATGCTTGACCACAAATGCAGCCACGACCTCGCCATAACGTTCATCCGGCAGCCCTACAACACTGACCTCGCTAGTAGCCGGATGGGCGAAGAGACAATTTTCCACCTCTAATGGATGTATGTTCTCGCCGCCTTTGATGATCAGGTCTTTTATCCTGCCTGTAATTTTGATATACCCTTCCGCGTCCATTGATGCCTCATCTCCGGTATGCATCCACATTCTGCCCTCTTCATCTGGCTGCAGGACTTCCTGTGTGCGTGCGACATCGCCCCAATATCCCTTCATGAGCAGATAGCCCGAGACAGCTAGCTCACCGCGCTGGCCCACGGCCAGAGTGCGTGACCAGTCTGCGGGATCGACAACTTTGGCGCGGACGTGTGGAAGGAGACGGCCTACGCTGTTGATACGCTTTTCGATGGGATCTTCGGTAGTAGTCATGGCAGAAACGGGGCTTGTCTCTGTCATACCGTAGCATATCGTGAGTTCCGTCAAGTTCAGATTCTTGTGCAATTTACGCATAAGCTCCGATGGAATCGCTGAGCCCGCCGCAATGCCCGTCCTCAGGTGTTCAAAGCCTTCTCGCGGGACAGTGCCATGGGAAAGGAGCTCAAGTTCAGCTACAAACATTGTGGGGACGCCGTATAGGGCTGTGCATTTGTACTCGCGGACAGCTTCTAGAGTTGCGAGGGCGTTGAAGGCTTCAGTGGGAAACACTATGGCGCTGCCGTGCGTGGCTGTAGCCATGTAACCCAGAATACAACCAAAGCAGCTATAAACTGTCAGATACCGGACCATGAGCGGTGCAGGGAAACTGACTGAAACAATGGAGGCGGACAGCACACAACGTCGTTTGTTGTCAAAAGCATCCTATCACCAATGGAAAAGCCATTATTCAAGATACTTCGATGCGTCAAACACGCAGCTTTCGGCATGCTCGTTGTGCCGGACGTGAATTGGATATTGATGTTATCCTGTGGGCTCAGCCCCTGATCCTCCAATGCGTTGTCCGTCGCACCATCTTCCAAGATGTTCTCATATCTTCCTATGCTCCTGTACTCGTCCAGATCTATCCTACCTCGCGCATTGTCTACCAGCACCACATTTCTTAGTGATGGAACTAGTTCCGATTCGATCTTGGAGCCAGCAAGATTGGGTACTAAATGTGTGAGCAGCGGAATGTTGGGACGTGGGTCCTTGCGAGGACTATTCGTCTCAGCCCCAATTATGAGCAGCGTGGCGTCTAGGTGGTTGATGGCGTTGAGGACTTGGGGTGCGTTGAAGGAGGGGTTCAACGGTACCTGCATACTGTCAGTCTCCAATGGTAATTTGGTTCCATGGAACCGCGCATACCAATATCGCACCTAGCTTGAAGAGCGCATAGGTAAGGGTAGCAAACTCGGCATTGTTTCCCAGGCTCACAGCAACTCTGTCACCCTTCTTCACCCCAAGTTTCTGTAATCCTCTTGCAAGTCTATTCGAGTCGCGATCTAGAGCATCATACGTCAAGCGTATGCGCTGGTGGTGTGATATAACCCTACTCAAGTATCAGCCCAACACAAGCATGTGTCGTTTGGAGCGGAATGGCACGAACGCGTCACGGTCACCGTATTGCTTCACAATACCTGCGAAATGTTGGGGTACAGTTTGCTCGAGTAGCGGCGGCTGTCACATTGTTAGCCAAGATGTGATGTAATTGGAAGCTTGAGACATGCCTCGGTAGGTCCGACGCTGTATGCTTGGGTAAGGAGGCCTCGTCGCGTGTAGTGGAACTGCTTAGGCAATCTTACAGCGCGAGCAAATAGCGACCGCAGCATTTTCATCCTGAGAATACATTGGAAGTAAGGACAAGCGCACGAGCAGCATGCACACGTATTCCTGTGGAGATGGAAGACTTTAGTCTTCGGAACTGAGCCGCGGGCCACACAGCATGTTTGCGGGGTAGTTCCGAGCTGACGCCCCTCACGCGCCCGTAGCCACGAACAAGCTACATTCAAATGTCGCAAATATGCAACATGGAAAGGGAAACAAGTATGTGCAACCTATCTGTATTTCAAACTCACACTGACGCGCTCCCGGCTTTGTAGAAATATGTGTTTGCTGTGAAGGCGCAAAGTCGCTAGTACCTGACCTGCCCAGTCCCAACAAGAGAGTACTATACTAACATGGCTACCTCAACTCCATAGAAAACTTGAAACGCTGCAAATATCTAGAATCTATAGTACTACCGTTGAGAAGCCTCAAACTCTAGCACCTTTCTACTAGCATCACTCGCCGATCGATTTCTCGTCGTCTCTACAGTCTCACCTGCAGTACCTGGTGATAGTAGATCGGGTAGCACTTCAGCCTTGGATACGCCCACATCGGCCGTCTCGGCACCTTCGAGCAAATCCAGATCCTTCGCATCAACATCTTCCTCATCTTCCTCATCCTCCCGTCCGTGCTTGGCCTCCTTGTCCAATTCTTTCTGCGCTTCGTCGTATCGTCTCCTGACTTCTGTCGCGACACGCATTCCATCATTAACAATATTGTCGAGCATACCTCGAAGGCCTTTGCCAGGTGGCACCACGCCTGCGCCAGCACCACCAACCACACCACTGAGACCACTAGTGCTGCCATGCCTTCCGGCGTTGGCAAAAGTGGTGAGATTGTGGAAGCTCGAAGCGGAAGGAAGCGTCTCATCAGCGAGACGGAATGAGGAAGAGAATCCGACCTCGAAAAAGTTCAATAGTGCCTCATCTGCCAGAATGACCATGCGGAACGTCGGCAGGGTTATGTGTAAAGGCTTGTTAGGGTCTAAAGCGAGGTTTGCAATCTTGGCTTTCTCATCGCGCTCAGCAATCTCTGATGCTGTTGTGTGGTTTGAGGGTGTTGGTGATAGTGGGCTCTTGGCCAACTTATCAAAGCTTGTGCTTGTAGCTTTGGGCGTGCCAGGCTCGGAGCCAAAGTCGATGAGATCGTCTTCATCATCGTCACCGATGGCAAACTTATCCACGTCGTCCTTGAGCTCGTCCACCCCTCGGTTGGTCTGATTAGACGGATGGTCAGGGTCAGCGTATTCGAAGCAGTTACGAATGAATGCAGATACACTGCTCAGGAATTGTTCGTCGCGACCGGCCCGCTCCGCACTTGTTTCCAGGCTCACGTCAAGCGAGGAAGCAGACGGACTTTGGACTCCTCTTCGCGACAAAAACAAGAGAGCTTCCGAGATTCTCAGAATTCCCTCGCGGTCTACTCTTCCATCACCGTCGTCATCGTAGAGCTCGAAGAAATAGCTGATATTGGACATGATGTCCTTGGTACCTTTGACGTGGGCAAACCCGGTGACGACATTCTGCAACGATAGTGAGTCTGTCATGTCTACATCCCAGCGTCGGAACAAGCGTCGCATGAATTCATGATCTGCAGGCTCCGGCCCTGATCCCCATGGTGACATTGGCGGTCGCTTTTTCATGCTATTACCAAAGTACGAATGTGTAGCCTGGTTTGTTGAACTCTCAGATGGCGGGCTTGGCGAATCAGTAATTGCCCATTTGGCGATGCCTAGAGATGTGTCAGCAAATACAAGGAAAGCCCGTGTTGAAAAGCTCACCGGCGAGGAATTCTCTGAAGGCATCGTAGTCCATCTGTGTAGGACTAGGCCCCAGGGCTACACGACCCTTCTCCGCGTTGGCAGCAATACCGGTGACGACCTCAGTTGCCTTCATCCTGCTCGCCTTCGCTTTGCGCTCGGCCTCTTGTTGCATAATCTCAGCTCGTTGCTGGCGTTCATACAGTACCGCATAGAATTTGTCATACAAGAAGCTAAGATCATTGACGCTTAGTTTCTTGCTGTCTGAAGCCAGATTTCGTATTGATGTGCGCTTAGCAAAGCTCTCAATGTTCTCTAGCACGGCGTCCTTGTGCTTCGCCCGTTGCTCCGAGATTGTGTTTTGTGTGATCCCGGCAAACTCCTTGAAGGCTACGACCATGAGCTCTTGGAAGCGCGTCACGGCTCGTAGTTTGGGGTTGTCTGATTTTGGATGAGCTGATTCGTCGAGTCTCGAAAAGTACGACTTCAAGACTGATATGAAAGCGCCATCATCAGTAGTATCGAGTAGCTCCTCGCCGTTGATGCGTAAGATAGCCAGGCCGATTTGGAACAGAACTTTTGGGCCTTCGAGAAAGAAGACATCAAGAACGCGGAAAGCAAAGATTAAAGGCATAGAGTTAATATAGAGCGAGAGAAACCAGGGCAGAGAAACAACGGACAACTGCACGTCTGACTTGACGAGATGGTCCCATAGTATGGGCATGGTCTTTTCAACAAGTGATTCGAAAACCTTCTGGTCCAGTAGGGTGCCGTACATGGTTTGCGAGTAGTACCCGGGCAGAAGGCGATCACACAGCACGGAAAGGAGGAAGAAGGCCTGAGATTCGGACATGTATCTTTTCTTGTTAGATGAGTTGAGCTGCAAATCATAGGACGTACATACATGAGCAATGCTGCGACCACAATGTTCATCGCCTGGCAGTAGCCAACCTCTTCGTTGGTCCAGCTGTATGCAGTCAAGACTCTCCGGAGCCGACCGATGCCCTCTTCACTCTGGAAACCAGGGTATTCTGGCAGACTTCTGTTGAGATCTTTTTCAATCTCGTCTATGGCCAGTGACTCTCTCCCAGAGTACATTTGTAGCGTTTCGGTGTAAAGGTTGGGGTTCTGCAGGCGCAAGAAGAAGGCACCCGATGTGAGCTCCCACATCTCACCGCGCAGGCGATTGGGTAGACCGACGCGAATAAGTTTGTGGAAAGTGGGTTGCCGAATGAGGGTCGCGCTTCGGCCGTTATCTACTACAGGTTAACACGGCGGCATGTTATAGTCAGGGGGACTTACCTTTCAGATACTCGCGCCATAACCGTATCTTGGTCGCATCCCTCAGTTTTCGGGCATTGCCGGGGTACCTGAACAGCACGCCCAGGCCGGTGTCTGGGTGCTCTTTGGCCTGCTTCCCATTGTCCCCAGCCTTCTTCTCCTCGGCGTCTGTGAGCAGATACTCCGAGTAACACTGGCCCACTACCTTGCGCAGGTTCTCTACGTCCTTGACGCCTTCTCTCAGCCCTTTCTTGAGACCATCGCAGAAGCGCTCACATGCCTGGCGCGACCCCGCGAGCTGGATGGTAAGCTTCTGACCAGCGGGCGTCTGTGTGGCCGAGTCGGGAATACCATTCCAGGTGGTGATTGCGAGCGCAAACATGTAGCTCTGGCTATGCAGTCGTTCTACCCGCCGTATGCCGCATAGTGGTAGTGTGAAACCATTTCCCGCAGGCCCCGCCCCATGCGTCTGCCCCGTGAAGGTGCTGGACGCGCTCAAGCTGGCTGTGTTGGCGAAGCTGGAGCCCTGGGTGGAGAAGCAGAGATACTTCTCGCTGAGGTGCAGCTTCCCTACATAGTGGTTGCCCTGGCTGCGCTCCTTGTCGGCGCTGACGTCGCCGGCGCCCCTCGTGGAGTGGTGGGGCTGAAGGGTAAGCTCGGCGGTGATCTCTTGAAGTGGATTTTGCGAGTCGGGCAGCCTGAATTGGTAGCGGAAAAGGGTGGCTTTGGAGGGTCGGCGGTCTGACGATGCGGGCGCGGCGATGTTGTGGAGCGTAGGTTCGATGTACTGCTGGGCCTTCTGCACCAAATTCGAGATGTTGAACATGGCTTCGGGCCGGCCAGAGAGCAAAAAAGGGAGAGTCGACTATGCAGATTTCAGTCACTGCTGGCACCTCATTGCGCTACAGGAGCAACGCTCGTGGATTGACGTCGAGAACGGGAGCTTTATGCACGTCTAGAGCTGGTGGAGCGGGAGTCTCGCACCGCACCGCCACAGCGAGCGCCGCATCGAGGCTGAAATGCGGGGCTGACTAAGACGGCTTGCCATAGTTTGCGACAATGCTCTCCCTTCCCGTCGCGACCAAGACACTTTTTGCATTACTGAGCTAGTTTTTGGTTTTACATTTGGTACATTGCTGACCTTCACTAGGTGAAGGCTTAAAGTTGTGTCATGCCTTGCACATTGTCCTCGCACCAACGCCGGTATCTGGTCCTGCCTTTACTGGCCAACTTCGCATAGCTGCATCATCGTCTATTCACACCCCAGCATCAATGTCGCAACGCTACTCGCATCTTCCCACTCTAGTTTTGCGCCTCTGTTTACGTGCAAGTGTACGCGCCGTCCACTCGGAGGTCCGCTCCCTACATGGGGTCGTCAGTAACTGTACATGCACATGTGCACTGCGGACTACTCACGGTAACATAGGAGCTGGCATCACTGGACAAGAAGGTGACGGCACCCATTAGGTCCTCGGGACGTCCCATTTTACCGACAGGGATCAGCGAAGTCCACTGCTTCTGCAGGTCTGGGTTGTCGTCAAGAATCTTCTTGGTTCTGTAGCCTTGTCAGCCTCTATTTTCCTCATCAGTCGCAACTATCCTTACAGTGCGGTAAGCATGTATCCGGGAGAAATGCAGTTCACACGGATGCCTGCACCTGCCCACTCGACGGCCAAACTAGATGCCAGATGGCGTACAGCTGCCTTGGCGGCGTTGTAGGGAGCCTGGGGTTGCGGGACGTTGACAATGGCACCAGACATGCTGCCAATCATGACAATGCTTCCGGGAGCCTTCCTCTCCATGAGGTGTTTAGCCACTGCCACAGCATACAAATAGGTACCGTCGACATTGACGCCCCAAAGCTTTTGCATGCGGTCGTGGGGGTACGAGATGGCATCGTAGTTTTCGGTGAAGCCAGCAGACGTAACAAGGTTATCCACCTTGCCGTGCTTCTTCAAGATCTCTGCGAATGATTGGTTGACAGAGGTTGGGCTCGAGACATCGCAGAAATGAGCTGTAACTTTGGGAACTCTGCAATTGTGTCAGCTGAAGCTCGATGCCCAGGACTTGAGTTTCTCACTTTGAGGATCCAGGGTTTTCCTTCTTGAAGATGTCAATGAGACCCTGCGCCGAGCGCTCACCCTCCTCCTTGTTCATGTCGACAATGGCTACATCAGCTCCCGAAGTCACCAAAGCCTGGGCCATGACTAAGCCCAAGCCTCGAGCACCACCAGTGACGACTGCCACCTTTCCCTCCATGGAGAAGGAGGCCAGAGTGCGCTTGAAGTGCTCACCTCCTCGGCCCACGACGGGGTTTGAAGGTGGCAGGTCCTTCTCTTCGGGGTATTCTACCACGATGTCGTCGCGGGTTCGTGCATACTGGCCCTCATGTTCTCCACTCTCGCCAGGCTCGCCCGATGTTGTGGCCGCATTGACATCGTCCTCGTTGTTGTGGTCTTTGTCAAGACGACTAGGCGAGCATGTGAATTGTCGAATTGAAGGAACAGCTGGCCGGACCGAGCGGAAGGCTGCACGAGGGAGCTGCGCTGTGGTCGTGCGGGCTACCTGTCGGAAGACTTGGGACCTGAACATGATTGCTATAAGGGACAAAAGCCAAGTTGGGTGTCGCAGTAGTTATACTTGCCCAAGACAAGGCGTGTCGAAATACGAGAAAAAAGTACAGATGCTCCGCTGTCGGATGCACTTCGCGGCGGTGTGATGATGATTAAATCTAGATCAGCCCAAAGCTTGAACGTGCTCTGGGTCAATTGAAATGAGGCGGGAGGAGAGAGTTCACGATGTAGAAACACACAGAAATTGGGCTTCGGTCCTTTGGACGCTTGAGCTTCGCTTCGCCCACCGCATTTCTGTTGGCACAAGCAAGGCGCCTCTGACGACAGTAGATGCAGGGCAAGCTCTGACGCAAGCGATTGTGCCCCTCGGCGCACCACAACGGTCAACCTCCATCAGCGTCTCCATCTTTTCCACTTGCCCGTCACGATCAGCTCTCCACCCCCAAGCTGCACAGTGGAGTCGGCTAACTGTGTATGGCCATCTCCGCACCGCAGCAACCGGGATGAGCTTCAGCAAATCCTGACCGCCCGCCACCCCACGCAGCGCCGCCAACAACCCACCAGCACCAGCATATATGTAGCCAAAAGTATAGCGGCAGCGCTCCACCAAGACGTCTCCGTGCGACCGCCAACGTTGTCTCTGCACGTGGGTGCCCTAGTTAGATTCAACACCATGTCCGTATTCCTTTCATTCATTCGTTCTTCCTTCACCTGCGACTGTCTTGGTGCTCCCCACGTCGATATTTCCTGTGCATAGTGATCGCCCTCAACAAACCATAATGGTGCTGACAGACGCGTCCTCAGAAGTACGGTACAGCAACAGCTCATCTGTTTCGTGACCAGCCATGTTCGAGCTATACCTCCTCACTTTCAATGCTGCCCGAGAGCTTGTAGACCCCGCGTCCCTCGCGCCTGCCTTCTTCGATGCTCTCCCCAAAGGCGCGCCAGTGCCTGACATCGTTGCTATATCGCTCCAAGAGGTTGCACCAATAGCCTATTCATTTCTTGGGGGCTCCTACCTAAAGCCATACTTCGACCGCGTAACGACGACTGTCCAGCTTGCCGCCGACCGCTATAGCGATGGCAGCGAATCCCTCGAGCACATTGCGACAAGGAGCTTGGGCATGACGGCCCTGATGCTGTTTGCGAAACCAAACGTCGTTGAAAGATTACAATGGATGCAGTCGGCTGGGGCGGGTGTTGGCTTCGCAGACATGGGCAACAAGGGCGCAGTCGCCATGCGTCTTGGCCTGGCTTGTCCAGACTCAGACGACACCCTCGATCTGACCTTTGCTGCGGCCCACCTTGCGCCTATGGAGAGTAATGTGGCAGCCAGGAACAAGGACTGGGAGAATCTGGTGCGCAACCTAGTCTTTGTCAATGGCGACGATTCAGGATTCAGCTCGAGCGAGGAGCGCCCGCTTCTCGCCTCTTCATCCGAAGTCCCAGCTGATCACAATGGGCTCTTTACGCCCGGTAACCATGTCTTCTTCTATGGAGACCTGAACTATCGTACACACGATTCCCCGCCGAGCGAGGATGCCCACAAGTCATACCCCCAACCAAGTGCCACGGAGTCATCACCCACACACTACTCACATCTGCTAGGGAAGGATCAACTGACTAGAGAGAAGAATGCTAAGCGCACGCTGCATGGCTTTGAGGAGCTTCCTATCAATTTCCCGCCCACATACAAGTACACTACCTCGCATAAGAACGCCAAAGCACCCAAGCGCGCTCTCTCCGAAGAGGGCGAGTCGTGGGAGTGGTCAAAGCATCGGTACCCCTCATGGTGTGATCGCATCCTTTTTCTGCGAGCCACGTCTTCTTCGGCGCTCGAGCCGCAGATCTACACGGCCCTCCCTGTACAACCAACATCTGACCATCGGCCGGTTGCTCTTTCATTGCGTGTTGACGAGAAACCCATCAAGATGGACGTCGACGACATTCTTTCCCGCCCCCCATTCGAGATTAACCCGCAGTGGAAAGCCAGGAGAGACGCCGCTCGAAGGATGGAAGTCATTGTAGGAGTCATGTCCTATCTCGCCTTGACCAGAAAGGGCAGACTCATGCTTGTCACCTTCTGGGGTGTAGTGTTCGGCGGTTTGTGGCTCGCTGGATCATTGACCAGATGAACTTTGTCCACGTTCATCTATTTCTTTCTCAGCAAGACGAGTAATCGCTCTTTGGTAGTGGTTCCAGCCCCAGCCCCACTGCTCTTTGAGATACTCTATCGATGCTGCTGTTGGCATACCCATGGCATTTACCTCCTCTAGAAAACCAATCATTTTAATCCGGTCCGAGTCATCGCTCAGTAGTCCAGCGAACTTATGTACGGTGTGAGCTGCTTTCCATGGCGCAGAGATACCACGATTATCGCATCGAGCAATAGCTACCGTTTCTCTTAGGCCTTTCAGAATCTCCTCTGACATATCGCGGTGTATACCTTGCACTTCACCGTCAGGACGGTTGGCAGCAAGAGTAATACGACATATCCGTAGATGTTGATTTGCGTCCGCTGCAGATATCGTCAGTTCATGACACCAAAACAGGAAACTGCACAGCTTACCATGGCCGGCGCTCGAGAACCATAGTTCTGGAAAGTACCTAATAGCTCCGGGGTCTTCCATTTGATAGAAAAAGGCCTCGAAACTCGGAGGACGTCTTTCTTCCCACTCGTCTACCAAACTGCACAGATACCACCACTCGTCTGGTGTGTGCGAACCTTGTTCAGCCCATTGCAATATGCGTGCACTCAACCACACTATACGATTGCCCCATGAAACATCATCCGATGGCGAGACTAGAGCTGGTAAGATGAAGCTTTCGTAATTTATGCGCAGTCTTCCTGGATTCAGCAGCGCCTCGCCCACCTCTGCATGCACATGTACCATGAGACATGCTTGGACTACCGGCCTTGACATGTCAAGAAGCCAGCCCTCAGGCCCACAGAACAGCTCGAAAGTTGAGAGACCCGTCTGACCTCTGGTACCCGCTATTCATTCATCAGTTGATTCACATCCGTCAACTCAACATACATACCGTGAAACTCTTCAAAAGCTCTGAGCAGTATCGCAGCCACCAGTACGCCCTCATCCTCAATCCTCCCTTTCTCGGCCAAGTACGGGATGAGGACTTGAAGTATTTTGTCATAGTACATGTACGGTCGGGTGGGAAAGTACGGGTCGAAGCGCAAAATATGCTGTGCAGAAGTCATGAAGATGGCGTTCATGAGCATCGGATTCGTCAAGGCAAGCTTTGGAGTGACTTCTTTGAACACACTCTCAGGACTTGTCAAGTCTAGAGACTCTGCTACTTTGTCCACCCAAAAACGAAATAGGTGTGCTTCAACAGAGTCAGAGATGGGCCACGTTGTTGGGCTGCTAGGGTTGAGTGCAATTCCAGGATGAGGTAAGAGCATGTCCGAGTGCCAAGCCGCGGAGACGGGCTCATCTAGGCTGGACACTGGACTTGTGTGTCTTTGGATGTGTGACGGTACGTGCCATGAAGTGTGGCTGTCTTGCTGCGCCGCTTCGGACACGAAAAGTTGACTACTTCTGGCTGAACCGCTCGTCTGTGAACCCCCATCTGTTGTCGACGCATTCTTCCTCATTTCCGACCCCCGTGTTCTTTCCGATATCCCGGACTGGGTTAGATGTCTTGTTGCCCTTCTAGTGCCTGCGCTTCCGGAACCTTCAGAATCATCGGCTACAAGTGTAGATTCATGCACAAAATCCACTACCGTTATGTATTAGCACGAAAATCTTTTTGGTGAATTCAAAGCCGGGAAATACAACATACCTTTGTTTGGCGTACCGACCCATCGTTGTTCGTCGCCAAAGAAGTAATCGTATTTCTTGATATCGGCTCGAGTAGCTTGGCTCTCTACGTCCGGGAATACGCCGTGTCGGAACCGAACTTTATAATTGGATTTCCTGGGCGGGGCGGAAACTGCTGACCAAGAAGACATACTTCCTGCTATAAGCAAAAGTCTCAAACAAGCAAGCTCTTGGGATTACACAATAAGGCTTCGGTATTTGGATAGTAAAGGGCAGTTCGACTATCTCGGCAAGTAGTTGAGGTACAGAAAGTATTGCTGGTGCTCTGAACAAGAAGAGCCCTGCACAAACAGGGAATATGTACTCTGTATATCCAAACCCCAGTTCAGCGCAGACCGCGACTATTGTGCGGGGGAGCACACATAGACCTACCATACACTGCTCAGCACTGAGCACTATGCTCATCAATTGACTCTTTCGGGTTAGAAGGCGCGTATTGCTCTTCTCATCGCGCAGATTATTCATCACAAGAGCGGTATGGAGAAAACCTTACACTAGGCAGAGACACCAGTGCGGATGAGCTTGCGAGCCCCTCTGTGTAAGGTGGGACATGGGGTCAATAGCTCCCTAGGCCGCGGAATTGGGATTTTTGTAAGCGGAAAGTATTTCAGGACTGCTTTGTTACAAGCACATTTCATACTAGACTCGCATACCTGCATACGGGGTGGCTGACCGACACTCTACGGCGACAGCATGGTTGGACGCGGTCAGATGTTTATCTACGGCTCACAAGCCTCTTTTGGTGCCAATTTCCTGAAACCCAGTCTACTGGGAGAAAATCGATAGGGCTGTTGATGTAGGTGTGACGGGTAGGGCTGATGGTATGAGCTTCTCTTCCACCCCACGCGCCTTGTCTCCTCCTTCTAGAAGCATAAACGTCACTTCCAACACACTCGTGTCAAGTCGTGACAGGGAGACGATATTGAGTAAGCATTTCTAGACGTGCGATTGGTCCACCTACTCCGGCATCGGCGTCACAACCCGACGGTATGCGCGCCTTCACTCAACTTTGCTTTGTCACTGTCAGCCATACAAGCTGCATACGTATGGCCTGCTGACATATAGAAGCCCTCACGTGATGGCTTCTTCTCACCGTTTAGCTCAGCATCCCCATTCGACGACATGAATTTGTCAGCCAAAGGCCTTATTATGTACGTGGCGCGGGTGGTGACATTAAATATAGACATGCCGCGGTGACGCAACTCTGTACTACATTGTTTTATCTTGATTTCGACGCCTCGGCGTCCGCGAGGAGGCTTATCGGTGTGGCGTCAGTTGAGGCTTGATTACGCAGCAGCAGCTGAACGCTCCAGCCCGAACCTGCGCCGGGTTTGCTGCGGGGCTGCAACGGAATCGAAATTTGAGAGAGAAACTCCGGAGGAGACATATAGATTGATTATGAAGCATGGGACTTCGGGAGCGTAACGCGGGAAGTGGGAATTAAAGAAGTGACGTCTGTTCGGTGGCAGACGGAACGAGTGTCCGGATATGTTGTGGCTGGTGATGATGTGCTTCGCATGTGAAAGAGGCTTGAGTATAGAGTTTAAGCTAGTCCTTGTGTATACCATGATGGCGTGGTACATTTTTCCAATATCTTTTGGTGAGCGAAAATAATGTTCTTTCGGGTGTATCATCTGATATACACCGATATAGAGCCGAGCCTCTTCATACTATAGCCCAGTTCGGGTTATCCCTGAACTTCCTCTTTCTTTCCGGTTTCGCAAAAAACTCAAATCCTCTCCCCCCCACTTCCAAGCCCAGCCTCCTTCGTAACAACAACCAAGTCCCTACTCAACTCGCCAACGGCGACCTTACAGTAGCTTAAACTTTGCGCAACGGGATGACGCAGTATCGTCGCTTCATCGCTCCCGAGGTATCCATCGCACAAAACGCCACACACCCGTTGAAGTTTTTTTTCTCTCTTCCTTCTCTTCTCACGATGCTGCAGTCTAATGCACGTTCGTCGTTTCGGCATCGCTAGATGGGAAACCAGACCATCAGGCGCCGATGGCACTAGGTAACCCTTCTCTGGCGTATCGGCAGCGCTCCGTACCGGGCACTTGTAGCGAAAAGTGCGAGAAAGTCCAGATTCACCTGGGCGTACTGAAACGGGGCCTTGGGATTGAAAACACAGATTAAAAGGGCCTGTTAAAGGGTCAATAGCCGATGTGTAGAATGCTTTGCGAAGTAAAGGAGCCCAAGCTCTGGACCCTTTGTAGATCGGCGCTAGGAATGCGTTGGTTGCGATGGGAGACGTCGATGCCGGGAGGTTTAGTATGCGTTGTATGCGTGCTTGGCGGGGGTTGGGAAGTGTGTGCGTTGGGCTCTGGGGTGCTTGTTCGTTGTTCACGCGGTCCTTTTTGGAAGATTGAGGTGTGGATGGTGGTGCGGAGATTGAGGAGAGTGCGCATGCGCATGCGCATTTTTTATTGCGCATGCCATCTTCGGTCAAAACGGGCAGAAACGCAGGTATGCGTTGGTGCCGCTGTGGTGTGCAGCATATGGGCATCTGGGCGCATGCGGAAAATGCCATGTTGTGTGAGACAAAGAGAATACGGAGTCGGTTTGCTTTGTTGCACTGTACCTGGGAACTACCACGTGCTCAGCTTCCCAGCTTCGGTGATGTAACAGCCTCGGACCAGCACTCTCCATCACACCACATCAGTTATTATCAGGCAGGCCTCTCCATGCTTTGTGCTTGTGCTGTCTTTGCCAATATAGACCAATATTGGTTGTAGTGTTTGGCCTTTGTTTGCTCGGCAGCACGTCGGACGCATAGAGGAAGCATCTCTCGATATCACGATATTCGGCTCTTCGGAGAGAAAAGAAGGGCCTGGCCGCCTTGAAACCCCCGTTTAGCTCGCATTTTTCTCGATACGAAATGGTAGCGTCGCATCGGCAGTAACCTTTCGCCAAAGTGCTCCGAACAGCCCTCCTCCCAACAACAGCAAACAGGCCCGTATCCGCCACTCACGACCTGAACATGGCCTACACGTTCTCAGGTCCTCTACCACTTACGTCACCGTGCAGCGGACGCCAACGCCGCGCTGCACCGGTCGCGACACAGTGCCTATCCACTTCCTCTTCGGACCTTGGTTGCCGAACCCTAGTCTGCGATCCCCAGCAAATGCTTCGATCGATCACAACTTCTAGACTCATCCGCCCATGCAGCAACAACTCCAGGGCACCGCAGTCTGGATTCAGACTCATGCTCGTCTTGTCATAGTTTCAGATGGCGCTACTGGCATTAAGGTAATAGATGGGCGTTGGTTTGCACCGGCCGCTGGAGATCCGACAACTACCGTGCCGTAGGGTATGAGATCTGGACCATGTGGCCTGGAGCACGAGAAGGGGGGCATTTGTGGTTCGCGATGCTGGTCGGATGGGGTTCGGGGAGGGATCGGAAGGCAGGTAGGAGAAAACAGGAGAAGGGGGAATTTTCTTTGTGCTTGTTGGTTCTAGATGCCAATCTGTGGGGCCTGCCCTTCGGGTGCGAGGCTTGTCTTACGTATCCTCGCATGGAGATTGATGTTTTTTTTCCTGCTGCCGGGTATGTGTGTGTCCTCACTTGGAAGTTGCATGTGCACATGTGGGAATAGCATATGGCATGTGAGGTAATATGTAATTTCTAAATTCCTGTTTCCCTCCGCGGAAAGGCTGTGCCAATCAACGCGTGATGGGCTCTGAAAGCCCGTTTCCCCATGTTACGCCATTTGCTGCCAAACGCCCCGCGGGTAGCAAAGAGAAGAAAATAATGACATGTTGTACAACTACTACAAAGTAATAGGCTCCAATGTAAATGCTAAAACAAAAATCCCGGTCTCAAAGACCTCCCATAGTCGCTCGCTTGTTCGTGAAGTCAAGGGTGTTCTCGAAACACCGTCGCAAAGGTCAGGTCGCTAATGCTTGGATAAAAATGATGTCGTTGAATGTCGTGATGGTGTCTGCGTCGATGTTGTTATCGCCGATGGGGTGCAGTCAACCGTTATTGTGCCCTTGTCGAAGAGGAGTTGGCTTGTGAGAGGGATGCGAAGGAGCTGGTCATTGCCGAATAGGCAGCTGACGGAAGGCTGTTGACTGAAGATGCGGATGAGGAGCTATTGCTGCGCACTTGGAGGTTGAGTGTGTGGCAGCTGTCACATCGACCGTTCATGCGGTTGCATCGGCCCCTGCAGCCTCGCTCGTAGTTGGCGCAAGAGAACATTGTGGCTTGTTTGTATGGAAGAACTGAAGAGCTTGTAGTGGTGGCCTTGTTTGGTTGTGTAGTGGTGTAGTGTAGTGTAGTGTAGGTAGTGAGTTGTGTTGTTGTGTGTGTGTGTGACTTGAGCGATGGGAAGACTTTGTAGCGTGGTGATGATGCGCAAGCCTTCAAGCCGAGGGTTCAAGTTCGTAATATATGTGCGAGGTGTGCGTGACAGCCCGATGATGTAGCCAGCAAATTCAAGATATGCAGGGTACTTGGGCCGTAAGTTAACCGGAGTTGATGGTGTCCGTTGGCGTGCCTTGGTTGCAGCGAAAATGGGTCCAATTATAGTGTTTGAATACCGGATCGAGCTAATGTGAGGATACCCAGTTGATCTGCAAAGAAGCAAGTTGTGCGGCTGGCAGCTGTACTTGTATGTTGGGCAAGGTTCGTCGTCCGTGTGTCGTACTTTCGAGAAGATGGAAGGATCAATACATGTGATGACGGCAGCTGGACTTCTTATGACCGTTGACGCGTCCATGATATGGTGTGTCATGGTAGATTACACGGTGGAGAGGCCCGAGGCCAGGCCAGACTATACAGGGCCCGTGCTTTTTCTGACTTACTGGCCCGAAGCTTCTCTTACACATGCACGAGACCCTGCCCCAGTTGTCCATCAATGCGGACTTAGCGCAAAATCCCGCCCAGCTGGCTTTTCCCCCCTACCCGGCTTTTCCGGCATCAATCTGTGACTGCCCTGCTCTGTGCTGTGCAAATGCACATGCGACGACGGGTCTCGAATTAGGGTCGCCATGCCAAGTCGCCGCCTCTGCCACTGAAACCGCTCGCAGTATGTACATGAAAGTTTGCGCCGCCTCGAAACGGGCCAGATGGCTTCTGCACAGGGAGCGAGGGAATAAACCCCGTTTCAAACAAATGTCTCCGTCGATGATGGTGGCCTGAGAGGGCGGAGCCGTGCACTGCCACTAGGCCGTATACTCATCAGCATGCCTCGAGGCTCGCTGCGACCCGCAGCTGCCGTGCGGTTGCCATATCTCAGCCCTTTGCTATTACGCCGCAAGAGTCTCGGCCTATTATGACCATGTGTCATCCGAGCACATCTGCCTCTTCCCGCTCCGGCGGCGCTTCGCTGCCAAACGCATCAACGTGGCCCACTGGGCACGGGACCCATCAGTTGTGAGGTGGCTGATATGGTGAGATATAACTTCCTGTTGTTAAGATACACGGCTGCAGATATGAGACCAGTCGCGGTCGAGACTGTCCGGACATGAAATGATCGGCATCGATAAGTGCGTGAACCGCAATCGCCAACATATTCTCCACCTATTTCGCCGTTCTGGCCTGCCTCCCGCATGCCACATTGCTGACTGCCTGATTGTTGCTGCGCATGTAATCAATTGGAGTCAAACTTCAACACTAAGCAGTTCGCAGTAGCTTACCCGAGCCATCCGACTTTTGACCGCTGCTGTTCGCTGCTCGCCATATAAGCTCTCCGTCGTATCCGCAACCTACACGCGGCCACGAGACTAGGTTGAAACTTTGTCTATGTGCAACACGGACTTTCGGCCTTCGACCTCTGCCGCCAGGTGGGTGTCAGTGGGGTTGGTGATCGGCGCGGATCGATCGCTCGTGGTGGGGTCTGCTGAGGCTTGACCGTGCTCACACAGGATAAGAAGATGTGTTGCCATGTCTGGTTTGGATTATATTGCATGCTCTTAATATGTACTGGAACATGATCTGCTGATCAGCAGTGTTTGTAGGTGAACATGGGAATGGCTTTGCTCATGTACTTGCAATCCCAAGAACAGAGTAAGTACTGTGCACCCAACTGTGGTCTCGATTTGTTGTGGGGACTACTATGGCCCTTCACATCTGCTCTATTCCTTCTTAGTGTGTTTCGACGCCCTGGTTTTCGTCAGCCTTGTGGGGCTGTTTATCTCCGCTGACAATCACCAAAGCCTCACTTCGTGCGCGAATATCGCACATCTTCTTAATTTGTCTTCTCGAGGCTGCGATTTAATGCGTGGAAGAAACTAAGCTTCTACCATGAAAACCATGTCGGATATATGCGGCAAGCATGTGACGATCGCGCAAGGAGACTTGTTGACGTGGTCATGGTACGGCTGCCGCTAATCTTAGATGATGTCTAGTTCCAACAAGTCATGGCAAGGATCGAAAGGTGCCGTATCGCCAACGTTCGGAATCACTATGAAGCGAGAGGCCGACGTGCTGACTCCGAGCGTATCGAGGATCATAATAGCTATCAAAGTGTTAGCAATATGATGCTTCAGCCGGCGCAACGGGGTTCGCAACGCAAGAAAGTCGATGACTATGGTCCAGATAGGAAAAAGCGAAGATATGAGAAATGAAGCTGCAATATAAGATTGCTCGAATGTATGTAGTCGCTGTTCCTCGTCACTAAAGCTCCCAGGATGCGATAAGCCTTCGAAGCGCATCACAGTCTTTCATCATTGCCACAGGCACCTCATGACCCCCGTTCAGGACCCTTCAAACCATCCATTACATCTTCCAACCTCAGATCCATGTCCCCTCGGGGCTACCGTGTGCGAGATATCGGTTTGCACTTGGTAAGGCGATACAGATGAACTTGTCCTACGGCAAGGTACTGTATTACTGCCAGTATGACAGGATGGGCATATTGGGACATGGTTGGGCTCAACATTTCCAGGCTCTGGAGAAGGGATCAAGGCAGGCCTCGTCTATGATGCTCAAGAGCTTGATTGAGAATTGTCACAGACTAGGTGTATTCAGGGGTTAGAGTAGCCGATAGCCAGGTAGAGCAGAGAAGCACTAAATCCACGCTAGGTAGACGTCGGAGTCGCTGTTGCTGTTGCTGCAGTCCGCCAGTAAGCATGCCCCTCCATCGCGGGGGTAGTCGTTGCAGGCACATCGTCGCGGCACCTGCCAAACCAGCCTTTAGTAGCACATGTTGTCGTTGTTGGCTCACTCGATGTGGTAGTTGTAGTTGGAACATCGGTCGGCTTATCTTTGCAACCGAACCATCCGGGCTTGAAAAGTCAGCGATTCATGTGTGGTGACAGCATTGGAAAGACTCACAGTGTGACAAGTGCTTGTGCTCGAGCTCGTGCTTGTTGTAGTGATTGGCGAGCTAGACGATGTTGTAGACTCCATCGTAGTAGTCTCATCACGACAGCCCCACCACCCTGGAGTCTTGCAAGTTTCCGTGCGTGTCCTCGAGGACGTAGTGCTTGTCGTTGATGAGCTCATTGGTGGCTTGGTGTGGGTACCATTCTCGAATTTCCATAGGTAACAATCAACGCATCCGACATCCTCCTCTTGGCATGTTGCCGCCTTGTCGTACTTCATATACACGTTGTCTATAGCGTACCTTAGGCTGTGTGTTTGCGTGCTTTGCCTCCAGCCCCAATCTTTGACCACATCATACGCACACCGCTTTCCGGTGTGGCAAAGGGTTTCAAACGCATAACCCCCGATAGAGCAGAAGCTCGTCGCGCCGTTGCAGGTGCCCATGTACACCGGGTCAGCGGTATGTCCAAAGTGGAAACCACCAGTATCTTTTCTAAGGGGAGCAACGTCGCCAGCTGCAGGAAGCCCTAAGCGCTTGGCTGCCAAGGCTTGTGGGTACGCTTCAAAAGTCACAGCGGGAATCCCGTGTTGTAGCCCGATCAGTGAAGCCAGAACTCCTCCTAGACTATGCCCTGTGGTGATGATGTTCGCATGCGGATAGATTTTGGCAACCTCTTGATATAGCTCGACAGTCGCAGCATAATACCTGTTTGGCTTTCGCAACTCGTTTTTGACGCATTGCTCGTCGCAGCTGTAGGTACCAGTCTGGCAGTCACATACTTGACGCCAAAGGTAGGTGCCACCTTGGCCACAGCAACAGGAACCATATAGGTTGTCGTTCTCTTTGTCATGTACTGAAGTTCCGTCGCCCTCGAACATGGCAACCGTTGTGCCCTTGACGGCCAGGATGATAGTGGAGTTGGTGTCGTCGCTGAACACATGGCCTCGAATACCGCTATCGTCCCAACCAAAGGGAACCGAGTTATTATAATGCTCATCAACATTCATCCATCCGGGATCGTCACGTCCAACTTTGTACGCATCCTCAGACATATTAGCAAAACTAATAACGGTTTCTTTATCTTCGACATCCGGACCAGGTACATCTTCAGCTATCCACATTGACGACATGGGATGTTGGGTCCCATAACTACGCAACGCGGGTCTTTCTATCTTCACGGGTGCTGTCTTAACGGTGAAGGGGCCGATGCGAGAATCGACACCAGCAGCCGCAAACCGCTCAGGCGTGACATCAAACCTACGTGCACGCGGTCCGGGTTGGCCGGCACCATGGTCCAAGAGATGCCGCAAGGTAAAGCCATTTGGTCTCGGCGTCGTGTTAGATGTTGCCTCCGCTAAAGTGGTCGGATCACGAGAGGCGTAACTTCCGTAGGTCCAAAAGATACAAGCAAGTAAGGCGACCTGCGCGAATACGCCAAAGACGAGAAGAGTACGAGAGGACCTGCCTCGAGGATTAAGTGCTGTTGTATTTGACGACATGGTGTTTGGGCATTACAAGAGAGATGGAAAGGCGAAGGTTGGACGTGTCATGATAAGCGCGTTGATGGCTGAGTTGTCGCCTTGCGCACGGTCATGGCTCGTGATATAGAACGCTAAGCCCAGATAGGCATAGCTCCTCGCGCTACGTCATGCAACCCATGGGCTTTCACCCACGCGCACCTCTCATCCGACGTGAAATCGACTCGATTACCATATGCCGGGTCATTAAGCCATCAAAGATTTTTAGATGTGTATCTCTGTATAACGAAATCCCGTCACACTCTAGACTCTACCTAGAAGAGTAAGAAATGAATGCACGCTAGTGGGATCTTTCCGCTGCCTCACAATGTGAGCTCACAACTTTGTGCACTTCTGATTAACATCTTGAGTCAATTATACTATATTGAATCTAACCTACATTAGAATTCATACCCTTTTTTTATCTCCTTTTCATTACTTGGAAGAAGGCGTGTACTTGCACACCATAGACGCAGGCGTGAAAAACGCTGCCCAGCTACAAAAGCTCACTACTGAGTGAGAAAGCTCGAAATTGGAAAATTTAGCACTACCATAAGAATCAACAAACATGGTGTTGGTGGCAGTCTAGCTAATGCTGTTGGCAAATGGGGGCTTAAGATCCTAGCTTTCTCGGTCCATGTTGTCGCGAGGTTCCTGGCAGGGCGCACCCGCCCCGCCACTGCTTGCCCCGCAAACACAGCCGGAAGGCGGGGATCTGCAACCTTACACTTAACTTTTGGAAAGCCTTCCGGCGACTGTAACTACATACGGGTTTATTTGAAGGACAAGAAAGGTCATTTCGCGGAAGATATAGATTAGACAACCATCTGGTAAAACTATGGCATCCTTTCCGCCGGTGTTCCTGGCCTGGTTTGACCTTACAACCTGACTTCACTTTATATAGTCCTTGGTAAGGTAGCTCGAGCTGAATTCAAGACTACATACGAGTCACTTCACAAGCAATTATGCGCACATCACTTCTTTCGTTCACACCTCTTGCTTTCGCTCTTGCAGTACCCAGTGCCCTACATAGCCGCGATACAAAACCCATATATTGGCTGTTAGCAGGTGACTCAACAACAGCGACCATAGGTGGTTGGGGCGATGCGTTCCTGTCTACCACCCTCGCAAACGGCGCTTCAGGCCACAACTACGGGCACAGCGGCGCAACAACAAGATCATTCCGCGCCGGAGGGGATTGGGCAAAGGTCACCAGAGACGTCGGGACTTACAAGGAAGACTACAATGTCTACGTGACGATTCAGGTATGGAGCCTCTCGAGCTTCAAGGCAGATAAAGGTAGCTAACAATGTACTAGTTTGGCCATAACGACCAAAAGGCGACTTCTGGTGTGTCCATAACAGACTATCGAAACAATCTGGCAACCTTCGCATCCGAAGTCATCCAGTCTGGTGGCACACCCATCCTGGTCACCCCTTTGACGCGCCGCACCTTCAACACTACCACGGGTCGTGTTATAGAAAACCTTGCCAACGAAGCGGCCATCACCATCGATGTGGCTAGTTCCAAGAGTCTGCACTATATCAACTTGAACAAAGCTTCGACGCAGTACGTGAATGCGCTCGGACAGATAGGCGCAGATAGGTACAACTATGGTGATAACGGAACTACTGGGAAGGATCGAACACATTTGAACCCGTTGGGCGAGGTGGTGTTTGCTAGGATAGTGAGTGATTTGTTGGTAGAAAAGTACGAAGGGGAATTCAAAGAATGGACACAGGCAAACGAGACACTGAGTCAATTGATCAGGGACGGTCAGCCTGCGTAACGCGGATTTGTGGGGAGTATTGTATTCCACTAGAGTCGCCGATAGAATAGTTGGTCATATGTGGGTCCTTGCCATCCAACCCATACTTCTTACCATGGATACCTCTGGGTAGTTCTAAAGATACACCAAGGAACCAAGCACTTAGCAAATGAAAAAAAGTACGATTGTAAACGAGAATAAACCGGAAACGCACCAACGTGCGACGATTCGTCTATAAGTGCATTCAGATCCTCGCCAGTTTTCTCTCACAAAATCTTCTTACTCGCATTTCCTGAGACGTTAAACGAATAATTACAGTCACATCACCACTAGAAATGTCTTTCCTTGCTTTACCAGCAGAGCTTCGACTGGAAATCTACGGCCACATCCTTAACCGCACAAGTCTCCAACCGAAGCCATCTGAATTACGTCAATTTCAAGGCTTACCGTTTGCCTGTCGACAAATCCATAAAGAATTTCACGAGAAGTTACTAAGCGTGTCACAAGGTTCCTAGATAGAATCCAGGAAGATTGGCTAGCTAAGCATGAACGTCTTGTGCTTATGGTTGTCATACAAACATTAAGGGTCTCACCAGAGATCTACGTCGGAATCTCATCTGATTACATCGGCAGACCTGACAACCCCATGGATGCGGCTTTGGATAACCTGATCAATACACTCCTCGATAATTTCTCGCGTTTTGGCCTTCACGTGCGGGATGCACCACACTATTTACCTCTTCGTCCATACTATCTTGAACCTTAAGATTTCCTATCGAGACGCCTAGACCAGGTCAGGTTTCATCGAATCGCGGAATGGGGGAGGGAGCAAATTAGAAGCTAAAACGGGCGAATAGGAGAATCTATACATCTCCGCTCAATCCTGAATCCACCATTTCCGCTCATATCTCATGAAGAGGAAGCTCGTTATGGTATAGTTCGTAAAGATCGGACTAGAAAGCTTCTAGAGTACATATGTACCTTATAGATTCGGCTTTATTGGAGTACAAGCCTAAGGTTACGAGCCGGATAATGTGAAGAACCTGGCCCGATGTCAAAATCAAACGAGAAGGTGGGTGTTTCGCTTACACATCTACATTGCAGTACTATCGCAGTTCAATCCGCAAAAGTAACCGTATCACAAAGTTCATTGTCGGAGTAAGCGTCTACCGAGGATAGTTTTCATTCCGACGCTTGACCACATCCACCCCTAGCGCCGACGCCAAATACTACATATCTGACACAACGTCGGCCGTTTTAGAATCCTTTTTCAATCACTACAACCTTCCGAAAATGTCTATACAAGATCTAGCAGTGAGCGATGAGCCCATAGAGCTCACCAATCGAAATTCACCAAACTTATCAACTAGGCCCATCGGACTAGAAAACACCGCATTGATACCCCAGTACCCGCGGGGCATACGTCTAGTCCTGATAACCATCGGACTCGTTCTATCCGTCTTTCTCGCAGCCCTGGACTCTACAATCATCGCTACCGCGATACCCAGCATAACCTCGCAGCTTGGCAGCATCAGCAATATAGCGTGGTACGGATCTTCTTACTCCATCACCAACACCGCCTTTCAATCTGTATGGGGCAAAGCGTACCAGTATTTCAACCTCAAGGTCACATTTCTCTGCGCTATCGCAGTATTTGAGATTGGAAATGTGATATGTGCGACTGCGCCGTCGAGCGAGGTGCTCATTTTTGGGAGGATTGTGGCTGGCGGAGGTGGTGGGGGTATCATGACAGGGGCTTTCATCATCATTGCGATGACAGCTGGCCCAGAGTATAGGGCGGCGTATATGGGAATCGGGGGTTTGACGTTTGGATGCGCCAGCGTGGTTGGTCCGTTGCTGGGCGGCGCGTTGACAGATGGGCCCGGGTGGACGTGGTGTTTCTGGTACGTTTTTGTATGACCTTGTCGTTGATAACATGTTAAACAATGCAACAGGATTAACCTACCAATCGGTTTTGGAGCAGCACTCATGATGATGATGTGTTTCAAGAACCCCGGAAAACCGAAGGAGGCCCCCCTTCACGAAAAGCTTTTCAACCTCGATCTCAACGGCGCTGTCATCCTATCTGGATGCTTCACATGTTTCATCATGGCAATGCACTGGGCCGGGACCATGTCATGGACCAGCGCGCGTGTCATTGGAAGTTTCTTCGGCTTTGCAGGTCTGATGGTCTGCTTTGTTGGTAACGAATACGCAATGGGCAGCAAAGCTATGGTACAGGCACATCTCTTCAAGAACAAGCTCGTCTTCGCCAACCTCTTGTACTCCTTTTTTCTGGCAGGCGCTTTCTTTCCATTGATGTACACGTTACCCATCGAGTTTCAGTCTGTAAACAACAATACGGCTTCGCAAAGTGGTGTCCGGTTGATTCCGCTTGTCCTGGGCGTTTCGACATTTACACTCGTATCGAACGGGCTACTTACTTTCTGGCGACACTACAAACCCTTTTTACTCATCGGCGCCCTTTTCGCCGTAGCCGGGAATGCCAAGATATATACATTGGACGCCAGCACTCCTACCAGGGATTGGGTTGGATACGAATTCCTAACAGCGATTGGCGTCGGTCTTTCCCTACAAATTCCCATGATAGCAAACCAAGCGCTGGTATCAGCCGAAGACTTGAGCGCAGCCACTTCAATGTCGCTCTTTATGGAGAATTGCGGCACGGTGTTATTTGTTGCATCGAGCGAAGCGGCGTTCACAAGCGGGTTGATGAGAAGCATTACTCAGAGCCTGTCACAAGCCGACGTGGACATGGTTCTGGATGCTGGTGCGACGAAAATTCGCAACTCTTTCACGGGTATTGAGCTGGAAGATGTGCTTGGGGGTTATTTGGAAGGGTGTAAGACAAGCCACCTTGTCACTGTTGCTTGCGGTGTAATGGCTGGGGCAATTAGCTTAGCGAATGCAGGACCGGCAGCTGTGAAGGAGGTCAGAAGGCGGATGAAGAAGAGCCATGAGCGATAGTAGGATTAGGCAACGAGGTGCCAATGTATCGGGAAAATGTACACGTGTTATCGAGTTATTACATAGATGCATACCACTTTGAGTGGAGCCACTCAAGTTTCTTAAACTCATGTGCTGACCATGAGCTTTAGAACGGTGCAATGTCATCGAGGCCTAGGGCACTATAACTGTTGTAGCTTTCATCGCCCCATATGCCCCCATCCATGTCAAAGAATTGTTCCATATCGAAGTCCATATCCTTCAAAAAGGCAAAAGGGTCGTTGCCATCATCGTTTCCAGCTGCTATATCCATATTGATGTCTCCCATATAGTCGCTACCGCCCAGTCTGTCGTAAGATGTTTCTGCCCGGGGTGTCGGATGATTCTTTGCTGTGCCAGAGATGGGACACGACAGATTGTTTACGCTTTGGTCTGTAGAACCATTCGGAGTAGGCTCAGGTTGAGTTTGAGCTGGCTCCGCTGGCTGTATCTTACGAACATACCATGATTTAGTAAGCTCCATGATAAAGCACATGGCATACCAGAAGTCAGTGTGAGGGTTTTCTCGCTTATGATATGCTGTTAGAGTCTGCATGCGGTAGCAGAGAGACTCGAGGCAGAGATCCAGGCGCACTCGCTCCTGCGCGGTCTGTACATCCCAACTAGAAGCCACATGTGCATCTGAAGGCATGCATAATTTCGCAACCGTTCCAATGACTGTCGGTAAGCGCATCCACTCAGTAAAGGATATGAGGTGATACTCGTGTACTGGAAATGACAAAAGAGTATTCAAGAAATGCTTCCCTGCCTCGAGAGCTGAATTTAGGGAATTCAGTTGGGTCGAAATTACGGAGGGGTCTTGGTCTTTAGGTTGCGGTCGAAGTGCCACACTATGTAACAGCATCTTGGTGAAAGAAAAGGAAAGGCCAAGTACTAATCACTGTTAGCGATTTTTTTCTTCGTCGATGGCAGTCAAGAAACACATACGGCGTTGCGATCTTACGCCAGATATATTTTTCTTCCAAGAATCAAGTTGGGTTTCCATAAATCTGATGTGCATAAGTGTACCCGCATCCGCGAGTGACAGCCGTTTCGCGTCGGCTGTAAACAAAGCATCTTGTATTTGATCGTCAATCTGTCTCAACGATATCAGGTGTTGAATTATCTCGTCTGACTCATATTCGTGGTCTTGCTTCAATGCTTGGGCCCATTCGGCCATGGCAGGCGTATGCTTCAGGATATTTGGCTTCTGAAATCCTGCTGCAACCCTGAGTTACGTCAATTATTGCGCTGTATAAACCATTAAGGGTATCGTACATGGAAGCAAGGTAATAGCAACCCAAGAATGCTCGATATCTCTCTCTCAGCACCTTGGCTGACGGTGGCGGTGGCGGTCGCCGTGGTGTTGAAAAGCCCAGTGGCTGGTAGTCTTGGTGCAGGCCAATGTCTAGGGCTAATCCAATGACAAGGTGGTGCAGGAAAAAGATCTGCTGCGTCTTGTGACTGAAAACGAAGTGATACCTGCGGAATTAGCTCTAAGCTATCGGCGAATCGAATAAACGACGCACCATGAAAGATAAACCAGCACGCTCTGAACTAGCCCCAGTGTTCTCTTGGGACTGATGATTGTGCGGTTTGCAAGTTCTGTACGATAAACGCTGTCAAGCTTCTTTTGCCGCGAGTGGTCTTTCCAGGAAGCTACTGTAATAATTGCAAGAAAGAGCATGGGTCTTTCAGCATGCAAGTCAACACTTTTCACATCTGGTGATATAACAACAAATGGGAACGTAGCCGACATCTGGCGATATTCACGCAGCAACGTATCCGCTTCGCTTGAAGCAAGGATCTGTTTGACAGTTTGACTGTCTATGGGCGCTTCCGGGCGTGTCGAAGATTTGAGGAAGCCCTCTGGGGTCTGACTGATGTTTTCCTGTTCACCAGAATTATGTATGCTGCGAATACCTTCGAGATATTCTCGGTCTACATCTGTTGCATCTGGTATCCGCTCAAGATTATCGTTAACATCTGAGGTGACCGGCTCAAATGATGGTACTGGCATCCAACTGCCTGGTGCAACTCTTGGCTGCTCTTGACATGGATCTGATACTATCTCTCCAGGAGGGGAGGTGGAGGTGGGTGTTGAGTTGGTAGTGCCTTCGGAATCAGCCGCATTTACTAGCTTAGCTACAAGACTATCTATCTTTTGCTCTACTTGTGCAATTCGTCTGGAAAGTTTGAGTGACAAGGAGAGCGTAATGGTGTCGATGACTTACGAAGGCGCACGCATTTTCATGGCTCGCCGCGGTACATTAGCCCACGCGCATTCTTTTCCAGCAGTAAAGCATCTAGCAGATGGTTAGCGTTTCCAGTTGCGGGCCGAGTGGTCATGGTTGGAAATGCATCAGGTCCGTCGACGCATTGATTGGGCGAAAAGTACCTTTGACACAATCCAGCTTGGCTGCTGGGTAGGCACCGCGCCTTGAGACTCCGACAACGCTCACATGCCTGGGCAGTTCGTGACGCGCCTGCTCTGGTCACGGAGGGCCGCTCGGCTTGATCCATTCGATATAATGGGGTGGGATGGATGTGACCTGGCGAGGAAGGCAAGTGCCTGAATGAACACGGGACGGGAACACAGGTTGACACTGACTCAGCCGCGCTAACCGCTATAAGCCTCTACAAATCCAGACGGCAACCCAGAACTCTCACGACACATCTTTGGATCATACACTTTATCAACAGCAAGGTTTGTTACCTGTTTGAAAGCTTACAGCTACTAAGATTACACTTTTGTCGGTCTTTCCTACTATTTCGCCAAACGGGTTCACACAAATCCTGGAGATCCTCATAAAACCCTCTACCCACCCGTTTAGCTTCATCTACCCATCATCAGCGCGCACAACAACAGATACTCTTAACTCCCACTTGTTAGATCTAGAGTTGAACGATACCGCTCGATGCTCTACGTGGTGTGTCAATGTTTACTCAACCTCGAACCGCAGTCGTGACGCCAATCGCCAGCCGTGCCAGAGAATTGCACAAATGGTAATGAGATTGAGGTGGATGCTCATTGCATGCGCTCTAGAGAAAGACCGATCTAGCGCGATCATTTCCTCGCTTTGGTCTCGCTCGTCTTGCTGAAGTTTGGCATCGCGAGTCACTAGTCCATACGTTAGCCACGGACGGTACCGGTAAGCAGGGCACCCCACTTGGAGTCAGTAAGCCCTCGATTCTTGACCCACAGTGCCACAATCTGAGTATATAGTACACTTACCCTGGTGGATCCTTTCTATCATCAAATTCCTGGTTCTTGGTCCATAAATCGTCAGATTCAGTCCCGCAGTCATTGCAGCAATCGCGAAAGAGACCCAGTCGCTCTTCTTATCAATGACTGAAACCAGACCATATGGTAGATGAGTTATAGTAAGGATGACAAGGAGCAACGATTGACTCTGGAAGTAGATGGGGAAAAGTCGCTTTTGCAATATTGTGAAGGCGGTTCTGGGGAGAGTCTGGTATGTGATTTTGGTTATTGAGAAGGTCTGATATAGCTCCATACCCAGAAGGCTGGAGTAAGTCAAGAGATGGATAGGCGGAAGAACGACATGAAGAAGCGCGTAGGTTTGCATAGCGGTGCCTGTTCAAGAAATGGAAGGTGGGGGATATGAAGAACTTCAGAAGTTGATGTCAAGCAAAGATCCAGTGGTACTCATGATGTTCTTTTATCTTACGCTGCCGCCTAGTAGTTGGAGTACCGATCGGAAGTCGCATTAAATCTTGCATCCGTGCCGGCAAGGCTTACAGTCTGTAAGACATGTACTCAAACAGTTCCCGCGAGGAGAGCTAAGATCATGACGGCATCCATCCAACATACTGGAATCGTACAAGTACCGTGAAATATGCCGATTATGCTAATGACTCGCTCGTTGCTAGTATAAGCCGGTGACGTGGTAAGTTAATAGACAGTGATCTTCGACGTCTGGTAACCAGGTTACAATATGGAAAAAGCGGAACGCCAAAGTAGCACAACAACTAGGCTCGCCCCTAAACTCCAGAGCATGTGATGCTTCTATAGCAGTATTTTGTAAAGTCGCACACATAGTCGGCCAGAACGTGACGCTGATATCGACGATTCTCACCTTCTTTCGGTCAGGTGTTCGTGTTGCGCACTCGACAAGATGCGCTAACAGGGAGCGCCATCTGCTGGGCGAGCTCGTGCGCATTTACTTGCAGCCCTAAGTTCGAACATGTGAAGGTTTCCACTCAAGCTTACGTCGAGAATTAAGGATCACCGCGTGCTTCTTCTACCGCTAACTAATACCTTCCTATCCAGCACTAACCCGACTACCAGGCTCCGCCCAATCCCAGTCCCAAGTTTGCATTTGATTCTTCCCCGCTGTTCCAGATGTCAGCACAGTGAGCCACGAGCCCGCCTCGCGTGGACGAAACCTGGGGTGCTCCCGATCGGGCCGGAAAGATGGTGGTGGTGGTTTTGTAGATATCATTGGTTGCCAATGCTTGGGTGTTGACAGCGAACGAGTCAGTAGTGGCTAACCGGTTATGACCCCTGGCAGCAACGCCGCATGTGTGACATCAGCTGGACCCTGCATTCACGCCTTGGAATTTAGATCGTTGACGACAGATGGGAAATTGTCTATAAAACGTTATTGATATAATCTGTGTGACGTCTTAATATCGCTATTTCTTAGGATTGTTTAAGGCGCGAATATATAGCATCCTCTGATCCACTCTTCCTGCATACCTATACCTATTGTTTCTACGCCGCCCGGCTCCTCTCTCGGTATAATCCACTTCCCAACCCCCTAGATTCCATCATGAAGGCTTTTAAAAGTTTCATCAGCAAGCGTCGCCAAAGCTACCAAAGCCGGAAAAAGGCGAACGCCCCGGCTCCCGCAAATATGGAGAACAATGCGGCACCCGCTGCCGCACAAGTCGATAATGCAGCCCCAGAGGCCAACGCTGGACAGCAGCAAGTACTAGCCGAGGCTGCAGACGGAACGCTTCAACTTGCACTGCAGAACAAGACCAACTCTGGAACGGTATATGCCTACATCACCGGTCTCGCACTTGAGCGAGGCAACGCGCCCATCTTTGTGCAAGCTGATGGACGAACCATCTACCAACCTTCGACGCCCGCAACTGTCCAATCACCACTTCAAGCTGATGTTGCCATTCCACTTGGTGCTCCAGGAAATACCGTGTACGTCAGAATACCCAAAATCGCCGGCGGTCGCATCTGGTTCAGCATCGGCGCCAAGCTCACCTTCCTTCTCAACCCCGGCCCAGCAGTCGTGGAGCCCAGTGTGACCAATCCAACCGACCTGAACTTCAACCTGAACTGGACTTTTTGCGAATTCACCTACAATGATGCACAGCTCTTTGCCAACATCAGCTATGTTGACTTTGTCAGCATCCCCATCGCGCTGACTCTGCAAAGCTCTCAAGCGGAGACGCAGACAGTGCCTGGCATGCGTCCGGATGGCTTCCAGACGATTGTTGCCGGACTGCGTGCGCAGGCAAAGGCCGATGGTCGACCTTGGGATCAATTGATCTACGAGGCCAACGGGCAGCCATTGCGTGTGCTGAGTCCCAACAACCTTCTTGTTGGAAAAGCAGGTGCATGGGGCAACTACTGGGACGGTTATGTCCAGGCTGTGTGGAACAAGTTCCGCAATGAAGACATGATCATCAACACGCAAGCTGCGGCTGGCAACTTGCGAGGTCGTGTTCAAAGCAACAACCAGCTTCAATTCCCCGAAGCAGGCAACTTTGATCAGCCTACCGCTGCAGATATTTTCAGTTGCAGCACCGGGCCTTTTGCGACGGGAGCTAACGCGGCGCGCAACGCAGTCATCCCGCGCCTCGCTGCGGCATTCAACCGCAGCATTTTGCTCAATACACCGAGCAATCAATTCCCGAACGGTAGCAACCCCAGCCAGTACTACAAGGACCCAACGACAAATCACTACTCGCGACTTGTGCATTCGGTCCAGAAAGATGGCCGAGGTTATGCTTTCCCGTACGATGACGTGGTTCCGGATGGTGGTCAGGATGTTGCTGGCACAGTCTTTGCCGGAAGTCCAACGCTTTTCACCATTGCTGTTGGAGGCCAGTAAGGTTGTTGTGATAAGTGAACGCTAGAATTGGATGGTGCTGTTTAGATTTGTATTTTTCAATATTCTTGTATATGCTTATTGGTAGCGAGAGACTTTGATGGAGTACATAGTGAGATTTCAAGTATATACCTTGACGAATAACGATTTCATACCTATGTGAGCGAAACCCGACGGAAAGTGCAACTTGAATATTAGCAAGTATGCTGCTGATCGCCATCTTCAACATATGACCTGACTAACCATGGTTCCTCCGCGTCGCCAGGGGCTTCGTAGCTCTAGATTTTGGGAAATGCACTGTAGTGGACTGGCAGGTGGTATGAATGTCTCACTGACTGCGCGGTGTCGGACATGGTTTCGTTGGCATTACGTCACTCTGTCGGTTCTTCCTGTGCTGCTAATCACCAAAGACGCAGCCCCACCTTCACCACCTCGATGCTGCGGACCCTTCACACCATCTCCAGGGTATCCTGACGTGCAGGAAACGTTCTAATTACGCACTTCTCCAGATCGGAGTACGCGACGGAACCTTCTGCTCAACTACATCCATGACGTCACCGAGTACAGGATCTTTGGCTCGTGCCTATCGCTGGAGCACCTTCCTACGTTCCTTGTTCGCTTACACGAAAATTTTCATGGAGTATCATCGGACTGACAGAAAAGCTAACAGACTGATGTGGCGCAGTTCGGCCTTCCTTCCCCCAGATCAGCTATCCGAGTAATCTTCAGCGAGGATGCGCACTATTTTTTCCTATGCTGCCGTTTTAGTGGTCATCTCAAACTGTCTCGCACAGCTAGTCATCAAATCTTTTACATTCTCTCATTTCGCTTATTGTCTTTTTGAGGTACCATACCCGAGGGAGCCAAAGTAGCCCACTGTCCTGGTATAGTCCGGTATGCGTGGAGATTCTAGGAGGATAGGGAGAGGTTTACATCTCCGCGGATATCTGCATCCGCATCGCAGGCACCATGACTTGTAGAACAGAGGATAGCGGTTACACACTGCATTCTTGTATGTGATAAGATCAACATCCGTTGGTGATATCACATGCACGAATGCAGTGTGTACTCGCTAATCTTAAACCTGGAAACTGAGATTTCGATCGAATAACCAACAAAAGCTATTACCCGGTACCATCACTTTTCTAATCTATCAGCACTGTCTAAAAACCGCCCCAGACTGTGAAGCACCAAGAGATAAGAGGAGTGGCTTGTGCCCACCACGAGTAAAGGAAAAGGCCACTAGAAAGACGGGAAAGAACGAGGACCAATGCCAGCGCATATATCTCTAATTCAAACACACTTTCGAATCGGCAATTGCAAGCTAGATCGGCTTGATATACCGACATGAATGCTGCGTGATGTCGCGTCGTCGAGGCATGCACAAGGGCCATCTTCGCGCACGCCGACATCGAGATCGAGACACACCCACGCACAGCAACCATAACCGGCATACACCAAGACCCGGGATTCACGGCTCCCGGACAGTTGTGGCCCTACCAATGGTGTAAAATGTAGTTTTTGCTTTTGCTACTTTCCATTCTCTGATCCCTGATACCGGTGCCTGATGACTAAAAGCGTACTCATACAATTCCATGTAACGCCCAACCCCACGGCAGCCCAATGAGACCCAAACCTGCATATACCATTGCGGCACACGGATGAAAAACGCCCGGACTAACTCCCCCATCCAATCGTATGCTTTTAGACAGAATACTTTTCTCTTGTTTGTTTTTCTGCCCAGAACACCGGAAACCCAGAGCCAAACCCAGACCCAGACCTCGTGTTCAGAGAAAGCCATTGTAGAATAAAGAAAGAAAAAGAAAGGAAAACAGGAATCGCTCGTCGTTCGTACATTTTTTTTTCATGTCATCGACAAGCGCTTGCGGACCAAGGAAGCGAAAACAAGACCTGGGCTTGTTGGCTAGGCCAAGCTTTTGGAACTACCCCGAGATGGAAAAAAGAAAGGAAAGGAAAACAAGTGATCTCGATTACTGATCGTGGCTCAGCCAGACCCGCTGGCTTTGAGGGTAGCTGCAGGCGGTGCTTGTAGTGCGTCCAGCGCCTGCTTGACAGTCATGGATGTCGAGTCGTCATCCAATTCGGCATTCGAGCCAGTGGTGGAATCCTGTGTGGCAACCACGGTCTTCTCGCTACGTGCATCGGCCGTGTCCTTTTCGCGGGCTGCTTCAACATCGACCATGGTCTCTGCGGAGTCGGAGCGGGGGATCTTCTTGGTGCTCTCGGCAACGTATTCGTCGTACGTCTTTCCGACCTTCTTTGCTGCACGGCGGATGTGGCGGACACGCCAGAGCCAAACAGCTTGCGAGGCGAAGATTCCGGTCTCGAGGGCCATGCTACAAGGTCGTTAGCCGGGCTGAGGGCATGGGAGGACGTGGTATGAGGAACATACCATGCGATATACAGGCTGGCACCGAGGGCATCGAACCATTGCTGTGCAACTGTCGCTGCCGTTAGCTTAGGTCTTGGGGAGCTGAGTGTGGTCATAGCTTACCAATGGCCATGAGCGAGAAGAAGGCGCCGGCATAATCGATGGTGAGGAACCAAAAGTCTTGTCCAGGTCAGTACTACGCTTGGTTGGGGTTGTACTCGGTCTACATACCGATTCCGATGACTCTGCCATTGCGCTTGGCGAGCTCGAAGTAGGGAGGGATGAGACCGATGACTTGGATGACGGATGCTAGGATCGCCATGAGCATCATGGGCCATTCGACACCTCTCTCGTACGGTCCTCGTAAGGTGAGAATGAGTATCAACTCCATTATACCGAAGCTCCCTGCAAGAGCAATCGTTGCAACGGTTGCAGTCCACGCTCTCCATTTGCTACAAGTCGTCAGTATGTGACGACAGCTTCGGATGCCATACTGACTTCTGGTAGTAGAGCGTCTGGCCCCATGCGATGAGTGTGAGACTAGCGAAGGCTTGTGGCTGGAACTTGAGGGCGAAGTTGAAGTTCTGATACGTTTTAGTCGCTGGTCCAAGCACACAAAAGTATCGTGATTTACCTGAACTATTGCGTATACACCAAAAGGTACACCACCTGAGACAATCAGCCAAGATCCTCAACCTGAGACAGTGAATCCCACATATTGACCATAGGATGAGCATGGTTCCGGGCAAGCCTTCGGTGCTCTTCCGGCGATAATTGTGCCATATTCTTGGTTGTGTTAGCGCCAGTGTTGCACTGGAGGCGCGGTGGGGCTTACTGTGGAATAATCTTTTTGCTGTCAGCCAATGTCATGCCATGGCTTGAGGGGATAAACATACCTGAACACACCAACAACTGACAGCAAACCTATGTTAGCATATTGTTGTTGGCAAGCGGATGTGGGGAAGGCATACACTTTACTCGAGTTAGCATAGATTCATGATCAACACCAAGGTTTACTCACCAGTTCCAAGGGTCTTATTGCGCAAGGAACGTTAGTAACATGACTCAAGTTTGGTGGAGCGAAAAACTTACACCAAGTACAGTTGCAGCCTAGTGGATATGTGTTAGAAAGTGAGGCTTGCAAGATGTATGGGGAACGGGGGACTTACAGGTGGTATCGATACTTGTGGTCGGTCCATGGTTCTTATTGGCGTAGAAGCTTGGTAGACGTAAGGTACACGAGACGAAAGCAAGATATAAAGATGGAAATAGGAGGCTGAGTGCAGGGAAGAAAAGGCCAAGTAGGTCGAAGTTTATGCTTGAAGCAAAGTAGGAAAGGAGAGCAGGACTTTGTATTAGGTAGATGGGTGGCGTCACAGGTCTTGTCCGGACGGGTTGTGGAGTATTTTGGATTAAGGTGATAACGGCAACGGGAAGAGGTAGCTGTACGACTACGCCAATGGACAAGTAACAAAGAGCAAGAGGTTGCACAAAAGAAAACCACGACTGACGACAGAGGGCCGGAGACGCAGGTATCCAGTGAAGGCAAAAGACGCGGTGCCCACCCACATGTGCACCAGGCAACTTGTTGCGTGATGACGACCCATCAGAGGGTCCATTTTACTAGCTCTGCCGCCGCAGTCGCGTGCACGATCTTGCGAGCGATCTTACCAGTGCTGCTCAAAAGAGGCATTTGGGAAAAAAGCACTAGCAAGCTTCAGCTTCGGGGAGGCCTTTCCCCTGCTTCCGCCGCTGAAGTGGATTGAAGAATTGTGGGTTACATGCAAGCAGCGTTGGATCTCGGTAAGACAAGTGAGTGGCTGTGCTAGTGTACAGGGATATTCTTTGAATCCCCAGCCGATTCCAAGGTTCGCAACCCGATTGGCGAGCCTAGACTTATCTGTGACGGCGTCCTTTTTCGGCTCAAGAAAACAGATGCCCGCCCATCTCGATGTCGACAATACATCACATGATGATGGGGGACAAGGGCATGTCAGTCATGGCCCCCCGCTCTTGATCATGGCCGCTGGGTCCCTGCGTCGAGCGAAGCGTCGTGGCCTAGACAAATTTAGACACTGTAGTATTCGACCGAGTAGTGCATGTCCGCAAAGGTAAAGTTAATTCTTGCATCCAATGAATTACGCAGACATGGACACATATTTCCGGATGTGGCGGGTCACTGTTCGCGCTCCAAGCGGCTCTTGTGCAGACGACCCCTCCTCGTTTCGTTGAGTGCACTTTGGTTTACCGGTCCAAGTGGGCGAGTACTCGTCAGCCTATAAGACGGGGGCCTCGTACCGAAGAGATATCACAGGTGTGCGTCGCTGACGGATACCAGCAGGTGCCTGGTAAGACAAGCTGCATCATCACCTGGCAATCCCGAACCAGACCAGTGGAACAGGGCCTGCAGGAAGATGGCGTCAACCCCCTTTGTGATTCGATCTTTCCATTCGATCCCTTAATGTCGCGAGGCCAAAGTCAGCTAGCAAGAGGCTCTGCTTTCCCCATCCGAGCGTATGCCTAGTCTTTGGTTCCTGACAAGTTGCAGAAGCCTGCAATTAGTAGAGCAAGAGCGACAAATCGAGCCTGGCAGCAGGATGCAACTTTATCTGCATGACCAATGCAGGCTCGGTTGTAGTCTATGTAGAGTGCAGTGCAGTGGCAGCACAAAAATCTTGCACATGTTTGTTATGCTGGCCCTGCACAGCCCAAGGTCAATTCAATTGTGACTGAGTCCGAAAGCGAAAGGTTTGCGGCACATGATAGGCAGGCCGGGCTTAGCTTCCAGCTGGTCCGCAAGACCACGACTTCGGTCCCAGCACACTCGATTGAGTCATTTAGTCGCCACATGCAGGCATATTAGAGACAGCTGCGCACTGCGCGGCTACAGTGATAATTGTCGTCCTCCTGAAGCCCGCATCAGCTCGTTAAAGTGGAACCGTTGGGAAAAGGTGGGGTTGGTACATGCGCTACGCACGCAAGCAAGACAGCCAAACGCCCGCCGATCGACGAACGTAGGTTCGTACCGTCCCTACACATCACAACGCACCACTCATGTGCGAGTGGTCGAGAACATGTCGACTGCGCCCTGATCCGTCCACACACCACTTTCGCCTTCATACTCCCATAGCCACACACACAAAGGAACCCGCCGCCGTTGCCGCCATCGGCATGTGGCGTCGTCTACGAGACTGGCGAACCGTGGCTGTGGACGAAGGATCCGTTTCCATGGACGACATTGCATGACATGTCGACACACCTGCGAGTCTTGCGCCTTTGCACACTGACGAGCTGCCGTTGTAGCCTTTTTCCCCCTTGGCCTTGGCAATGCCGCTTCGTCAGCCCTCCATATTGGGCCAACTGCGCCGGGATGCTGCAGCTACAGTTGACCACCTCTGTATCCACCACCATACCTATGTCACCCCCCGACGGACAACACCCGATTAGCAGTTACCTGGACCAGGGCGCCACTCTTTGTTGCCTCTGCAGCCCGCACGACAATCACGTCCTAATCGACGTCTTTCTGGCTCGCTGAAACCAATGCCATGGATCCACGAAACCGCTGCACAACAAGTGTGAACGGTGAGAAGAGTTGCACCCTGTGGCGCACATTTCCGGCACATGTCGGTTTGCCGGGCATGCATATCAGCGCTGGGCGGCGGTCCGATGGCTACGATGTGATTAATTACCATCTGACTAGGCGAGCACATGTGTCAAAGCTTACAAACCTGGAACGGCCCGGAAGAACCATGTTGTACAAAGTTCCTGTTGCCGGTGGATAGATTGTTACTCTTTCTGGAACACATCGGCTTCTCTGAGTGCGTGGTCGAGACATGTCGTCCCGGCCTATCTCCACGGTCTCGGCCAGCCTTTTCTGCGCCCCGTCGGGTTAGGTATTGTGCACATCAAGACCAACTACCCAAGGAGCTAGCAGCATGTGGGTGATGTTAATAGCTTGCAGCTGCGGATCCGGATATACCCCAGTGGCCGCTCTTGATGCCCCCTCCGATGTGGATTCTTGTCAAATGTTATCATGAAACGAGTGCTTACTGGTGTCTTGTTGAAGCGAGGGCCCATCACCCCAGTTTTTGGTAGCCTTCACCGCTTTGCCATGCACAACTACCTCCACTGACGTCCTAGCGCCCTGAAAATTGCCGACATCTTGAAAAGCCACAGCCATTTCTCACCGTTCAGCAATGGTCGTAACAAGTACATACAACCAACTCCGGAGCAAAGCGTGGTATTGGACCCCAGCTGCCACTACGAATGCGCGGTTTCCCTAGTGTGGAATGCAAGACCAAGTACATCTCCATAACGGAAGCCGCGCCAGTGCGGCCCAAAACTCACCGGAGACTCGATACACAGCGAACAGAAGAGCGCAAGATGCGCGTACCGTTTTGTGGCAAGCATAACTCCACCGATGCGGGAAGCTCGCCGTAGCTGAGGAGGATATGGGGCAGGCACCCTGGAGCTGACTGCAGTAGCGGGTGTCATCGCTACTTTCCGTCCAAACGTACCGGCAATCGCGGTGGGGACTACGAGGACGACAGGCCTTGTGTATGACTACGTGGGCAGTTGACACTTGTCAACCCGGTATGATCAAATGCGTGGGAACCCCGCGGAAGCCGATATTGGTCCTCTCCGTAGCGAAGCCGGGAACCGTCTCCGCCGCTGCTTCTGTCAAACAGATGCAGAAGGATTTCAGTTGAGGATTCGGAGGGCTTGTCAGTGCAGTCGGGATCAGAACATGGTCATGGGCCACATGCCGGAAGCTGGACCTCGCTCCGACCGGCCACGATCTGGAGAAACAGGCACCTTTGCGGACCGACGCTTCGATACGCAATATCCATGGGACAGTCGATATGCTCTCGGCGGACACTGCATGCTTCCTGCGTGGTGACGTTGCCCAAGTTGCAGTTACGATCCGGCCTGAAGTTTGATCACAGCTTCCACACTGTTGCCGTGGACATGAAGAAGCCGCCGATGGCGCGGTTGGCGAAACAATCGTGACCGAGGTTAGGCTTGCGAGAGGAGTTGCTGGGCCGCTAATACTGTTTCTGCTAAATGGGGCCTTTGCAGAGTCGTTGACGTGTCTAGAGACGGGAAAAGAAAGCCTGTGCAGGCGGGGCGTTGAGCGTCAAGGGAAAGCATGTGATGGCTTGGAGGCGTATCAAGGACACCACCATGACACCAGCATCATGTTATGGAAAGGCTCTAGGCATAACTGTGGGGAGGCTGCAAAGTGCATGAGTTGGGCAGCAAGTGTAAAGTAGATAGCAGACACAGTGAAGCGATCAACAAGGTTTACACGCCCGCTGATCATGGCAAGCACCAGGGCAGGCATACAACACGGAAAGCGGCATGACCACCAGGGCGATATTAGAATGTGAATTACTACTTCCTACATGAAGGACCAAAAGGCGGGGGAATAGATATCGAAAGGCTAAGAAAACATACGAGAAGCAGTGTCATGTTGAGACGGCGTAGCCACGGACCTGATCCAAAAGCTATCACTGTCCGTTAAAATATGAAAGGCCCCCAGAGTAAGAAGAGAAGAAGCCCTACATCCGACAATGTCCTTCAATGTCGGCAATGTACAGGCCACCCATTACCAACGCCCGCAGATGTGATGATCAGTACACCTTTTGGCGGAACCATCGTCTCCCGTCCAAGCGCGCTACCCACGATTGCCCAAGGCCAGGCAATGGCTGAATCATGGATGCTAGAAGTTGGTTGCTGTCGCTCAGGCCTCGTCCGCGTCATGGTCTTGCAGTTGACCGCTTTGTTCCCTGTTCATGCGGGCCTCGATCTCCTTCAGCTGGCTCTCGCGGGCGAGGAGCTCCTGTCGCTTCTCGTTAATCTCGCGCTGCACCTTGACTTCAATCTCGCGTAGCTTCTCCTCCTCGCGTCGCAGTTGCTCTTCCTTCAAACGCACCGACTGGCTGGCAAGATCCTCGGGGTTCATTGACGAATCACTAGTAATTGGTTAGATTGGTGTGGAATTTCATCGTGAGTCATGACTTACGCAGCAGCACCACCTTCGACACTCTTACTAAGCTTCTCGGTACGGTAGTTTTCGTATAGGAAGTCGTGCGTGATTTCCTTGAGATCAGCAAGATGGCTGTGGAGCAGCGCACTTCGTACGGCAAGGAAGTCGGAGTGGCGTGGGTTGTCCACCTCAACAATACCCCAGGGGTACTGTCGCGCCCGTACCCTTCGGCCGTTGATCTCGACAATGTCTTCGGAACCAACGATAGCAAAAGGCATCAGGCCACGGAGCTCGGCGTTCTCCTCTACCGTGTCCTCGTCGTCCTCCTCGATGTCGTACGGAAAGTTGTACACGGGGATGCGGTAGTGCTCAATGTCCTCCATGACGAGCTTCTTCGACTCGGCGAGCTCGGCGGGTGTAAGCGAGTCGGCCTTGCCAATAACAGGGATGACGTTGCAACGTGGAGATAGACGCTTCATGAGCTCAATGTCGAGTTCGCGGAGACTATGGCCTGTTAGCAATGTCACACAGAGAGTAAGGGGCTACATACCCATGGCCGGTGGGTGTGATAAAGTACAGCAATACATGTACGCGGTCGTCGCGGAATCGGGGATTACGCTTGATACGCGACTCCTCAGCGAGAATGCCATCATACTGTCGCTCGAGGTATCCAACGATCTCTGAGAAACTGCATCACGGTAAGCGGACGTCATGGTCGGAGCTGGCACGTTGCCTACCTGGCCTCGTTGTCAATCTGGTCTCCAAAACCGGGTGTGTCGACGATGGTGAGCGAGATGCGGGTGCCCTCTTCGTCAAGCTCTACATGATTGTTAGCACACGCGCTGGACAGGGGGGTAGCAGGCGCTGCCATCAATGGTCACATACCAACGGTGATGGGCTTAATCTTGACGCCCTCCTCAACGTGCGCGGTTGTTGGGTCGTCGACCTCCTTATGCCCGAGCACCTGTTTGCCGCAGAGCGTGTTGACAAAGGTTGTCCGGCCTGTACCCGAGGCACCGCAGACCATCAGGCAGAACTGGATTCCTTTCTTCACATTCTTCTTTCTACGCGTCTTGCTAAGCGCCTATTATATGGTTAGCGGACGTGGTCAATGGACGAGATGGCCGTGGTGGGTAGGTAGGGCTGCATCATGTGCACGAAGGAGACGTGGTGTCGGGGGAGCGGCGTACCGAAGACATGATGGACTCGGAGCGTTGAATGTGAAACGTTTTGGAGGCGGCGGGGGGCACGTCAATTGAGGCAGTCGGGCGTAAAGGCAAGACTGTGAGGGGGGCGAGAGGAGACGAGGACTGTCAATGGGGTTGAAGCGGTGTCGTCGTGGAAATTTGGGGACGTTGGCGACTGCTCCCTGCGCGATGCAAAGGGGCTCGCTAGCGCCCACCACCCTGGTCGTAGTTGCCTTCTTGGCGCGACCACCTGGCGCGACTGCTTTGGGAAGGATGTACAGCGTAAAGTGATTGCAACTTCATTGTGTGCGCGAGAGAGTGGGCGGACAATTCACTTTTCTGTATCCTTGCTTGTGGATAGTTGTAGTTTACCTTTCTCGCAAGCTCAAACACTGTCCTGCTTGTCACTAACTGCTAACGGCCCAAGTCTCCGCGTCGGTGCGTTACACATTATTTGTAACCCATCCATTTCATCTCGCAATTCCACGCGAGACATGTCTTTGTCCAGACATGGATATATACTCTCGGCTTTCGCCCATCTGTTGAGCCGCTCAAGAGCCGCAAATGCATCCAGCTATCAGGCCGGGATGGGCACCAGTTGAGGTTGCGCTTACCGCAACCGGCTAGCTCCCGCTTTATGGGGAAAGAGCTTGGGTGCATGACATGGTTGCGTGGACCCTCACTGTCGTCCTCAGCGAACCCACCAACGCTATCAACACGCCCTCTGCCTCAGTCACCACTGAGAACCATGGGTCGAGCATGCGTCTTGCCTGCCCGATAACGCCATCTGAGCGGTCTCCTCGCCACCTTGCGTCTGCACCTTCTCTCCTCGCTCGCATACAACTTACGACTTGCACACCTCGCCCGTATCCAACTTACGCCGCGCCCACAACGCCCCACTTGAACTATCTAGACATCCTATAGCCTCATCAATACATTCACTACCACCATGAACACCAGGCCCATTCTAGACTCGGACACCGGGCCATTTGTGCTCTCGGCCTCCTTCAACGCTGACTACTCTCACTTCTCAGTCGCACTCGAGACGGGATTCCGGGGTATGACGCGCGCATGCGATTCACTGCTCATTACTAACGTTTACAGTCTTCTCGGCTAGAACATGCGAGGAGAAAGCCGCCAGAGGTATCCTATACCAACAAGTACTACCCGCCCAATACTAACACCCCCGTAGAGGTCGGCGGCGGCATCGGCTGCGCAGAGCTGCTCGGTAACCATGGCTACGTCGCCCTTGTCGGAGGAGGGAAGCAGCCCAAGTTCCCCCAGAACAAGGTACATCCTGAGGACTCCGACTGGCTCCTGGTCAACCACACTGACATCATCTACGAGGTTCAAATCTGGAACGAAAAGACAGAAAGATATACCACCTCGGTCGAATTCAAGACACCAGTACAGCGCGTGCGCGTGTCGACCACACACATGATTGTCGCGCTGCTGAACTCAGTAGGCATCTACAAGATGAAGTCACCACCAGTGAAGATAGCCGAATACGAGACGGTCAACAACCCCTTTGGTATATGCGAGCTGGGTACCAACATCGTTGCGTTCCCTGGTAGGGCAGCTGGTCAGGTTAAGATATATGACCTGAACACGGGCAACGTGAGCATCATCCCAGCGCATGAGAGCCCCCTGCGCGCCATCGGTATAAGCAGGAATGGTGATCTCATTGCGACGGCTAGCGAGCAGGGTACTCTGGTACGCCTGTGGTCATTCCCGTCCTGTACGAAACTAGCCGAACTTCGTCGCGGCGTGGATCCTGCTGCCATCTTCTCCCTTTCCTTCTCTCCCGATGGCTCAACTCTCGCTGTCACGTCGGACAAGTCGACTTTGCACGTTTTCGATCTCAAAACAGCCACGGCTCAAGCCGATCCATCGCAACACAAATACGGTATATTGTCCAAGATACCTCTTCTGCCTCGGCAATTTTCCGATACGTACCCCACTGCGACGATAAAATTTGAAATGGGCGAGGAACCTACGGCTTGGGGACCACATGGTAGGTCTGCCACGTTGAGCGCCGGCATTCCAGGTGTACCGGGTGGCAGACCCACCAAGGGCCTCATTGGCTGGTTGAACGATGAGACCATTATCATTCTTGGAGCCGGGAAAGATCCCCGATGGGACAGGTTCATTGTGAGCCAGGATGATAATGGGAAGAAGTGTCTTAGCCCGAATGGGTGGAGACGGTACATCGACTAGGAAGAGATACCCGACCCAATTGATCCTAATGTGATTGTTTTTCATTTGAGTATCGTAGAAGGCGAGATGGATGGAGAATGGACTTTGATTGAGGATACGCGATTCTGGCGTCCCACTTGACATTCTGGGAGCAGAATGTTTGAATTACTGGTGTTTAGGTTCTGGCGTTAAGATACCCAGCTGTCTTGTACTATATATACATATTGTCTTTGGAAATGATACTACGAACCCCCCATATTGAACACCAAACCAACCCAAATTCGAAGTTGAAATTGAAATATAGTGAAATGCCCCCTGACTATATCGACCAAGCAACACAATCATAACCTGACAGTTGAAACGCAGTCAAAGTTTGCGTTTCAACATGTTGCAAGAACTAAATCAGCTTCACTTAGGCCGCATGTTGAGTTAGTGCCAAACAAACCAGGCGGTCAGCGTGTGTAATTGTGTCAGCCAACTTGTTTACGGATTATGTAAAGAAAAGAACCAAGGCCATGGTGGGGTACGAGCATCAGATATAGGTCATGGATGTGTAGGTAGAATGTGTAAATTGTTTCATCTCGGTCATCAGGTCCCGGTGAGGCTGATGGACCGAGACTTGCACAAGTTTCCCGGCGGCGAGCGCACGATGTAATTTTAGAGTTTAGCATGAATAATTTGGCGACAAGAGTGTGTTCTGAGAAACGAGGTCTGAAAGCAAGATGAACCATAGTTGTTGGGTTGTAAGATTCTTCTCCACCAACGTTGTCACCGCATCACCACAATCGCATCTACACTTTGAGTTTCACAATTTGATAGCATTCTTTCCTGGTTTGTTTGCCTTGTACTCTAAACACACAACTTCTTCAATCACACACCCCTGCTTCAAAAAACAAGAAACTAAGAAATACTCGGGTCGTAAAGTGACCTGTATGCTACGTGAAAAAATGCTCATGCAGTAGTAGGAGTTGTACGGCTGCAAAAATAAACAACAATAGCAGAGTCCAACAAAGTCGAGCTGTGACGGGGTCAAGTGTACGTATAATACACGAATGTGAATGGAGTAGGAAAGAAAGCCGAGAAACAAAAGATTTGCCAGATTGGTCGGGTGTTACGAAAGGAAATTGACGGTAATAAAATTAAGGCTTGATAAGAGGAACTTTGGGTATCGTGCAGAAAGTATAGCCACAGAGGGCATGGGTCGCGGTATCCAGAAACACATGCCTCGACCGCTCCCCGTTCGCCCAGCTAACAAGCAAGCCCTTCAAAATGGTCCACAAATGACCATGAATCAGAAATGTCATGTGCGACATATCAAAGACTCCCACTACGACATCGTCTCTGGAAACAGAAACGGGGTTGGGGGTTGGGGGTTGGGGGTTGGTCTGCACATTTTGAATATAATGACTGCAAGGAAATGTTCGTGGCGGGGTCGTGAAAAGCCAGAAGAGCCAGTCTCCTTATAGCAAGATGAGGTAGTTGCTTGGTGCAATACCTGTCTCGCCGTTTGGCTTTTTCGCCTGCCACCACCGTCCGCTGACGTCGGATACTTCGAGGATGTCGTGCTTCTGGAAGCTGATTTCGTTTGCATCGTCGGGGTTGGCCTCGTAGCTGTAGATGGCCTTTGCGCGGTACGGGTACTCGATCGAGGCTTCCTGCTGTTGCTCGTCATGGGTAGGGGTCTGCGAGTTGCCCATGCCTCCGAATTGCGGCGCGGACGAATTGCGGCCGTTGGCTCCAGCTGGGCCTCCCGGATAGCCGGATACGGGAGATGATGTTTCGAAACCGTTCAGCTGCGCTGACGTGTACATTTGGGGAGGGATGCTGGCATTCTGTGTCTCGGGGCGGTTCGTGTAGCCGTTGGAGATTGGGCGGGAGGAGCGCGAGCCAGGGCCCTCCTTATGAAGGGCGTATGAGTCGACAAAGGTGCGGTGGCTGGCTTGCGGTTGAGAGCCGTAGTAGAAGACCCAGACAATCTGTTGAAGCGTTAGCCATGCATGTCCAGCTTGGCATGCGGGGGTCCGTCTTGACGTACTGTAATCATGGAGAGCAGGATGTAGCCGGCAGCGGCAGCTTCGAAGGGGGCGACGGGCGAGTAGACGAGCGAGTTGACAGACGAGGTGGTGAAGACTAGTCCGGCAGACAAGAAGCCGACAATCTGGCAAAGTCAGCAGGTGCATGCCGCTCACGGGGAAGGCGCGGGTACGTACGGCAACATGATATGTCCTCTCAGCGTCGGACGCGACTGTGATGGTGACGCCGGCGATACAGAAGAACATGAAGACCAGGGTCCACCATGCGAAGTTGGGGAAGCCGCCGTGTATGGCTGATATTATGGAGCTGACAAAGGCGATGATCCAGGCGAGCTGTGTGCTTGGTTAGCGACGAGGCGCGTCTTGAGCACGACAGTCGACTCACGATGCCAATGGATATGGTGGCCAGGGCAAAGGGGTCACCTATGATGCGGCCCAGGCTGAAGCCCTGTGATCTCTGGCCGTAGCCGTTTTCCATTTTGCGCAGTGAAGGAGAGCCTACGGAGCCGTAGGCGGGCATGTGATGGGAGGCGGATTAAGAGATAGAAATGGTGTTTGGTGGGTGAGGTGACGAGGAATTCGGGAGCGTGTCTGCGCGCTGGAGGGGCCGGGGTATTATGGAATGTCTGGGCCAGCTAGACAGGCAGGCGCGGCGAGGGGATGTATAGTGGTCTTGGTGTTGCGACGAACGGGTGCACAGGGCGCAAGCAGCGGGAAGGCTTGGGGCCAGTGGCCAGCAAGAGTCTAGGGCGCTGGTGAGGATGGTTAGGGCGGCGGCTGCAAGATGGGCGATACAGCAGCGGTTTGTGGGTGTTCGAGGATCTTCTGAACTGGTCTGAAGAGGCAGAGATGCGACGGTTTCAAGTTGGGTTGCCAGTCGTGCTCGATTGGCCGCACGCTTGGTTAAGGGTTGGCCATGTAGCGGGTCCCACTCGACAAGATTAATATGGCACCGCCCGTCAGCCAAAGGTCTGGACAGGAACACGCGCGTCTAGTGCATTAGTGGCACAACAAACCCCCAAACGCTGCACCGTCTACACCCTCAAGACAATCCACCTGACAACCTGACAACCTGATAACCAGATAACCAGATAACTTCACCTGATAACCTCCAAGGCATGACAATTTGGACCCCCAAACATGCACCACACCTCCATCATCCATCATTATGCAATGGGGCCCCGGACCCGGGGGCGACGTGGCGCATCGCTGTGGCTGACAGCTAATGTTAAATTCAACATACGACATGCAAGGGATAGCTCGCATACGGCCTTGGTTGAATTACGTCTCCCCGACATGCCGAAGTCATCTTGAAGGCTTGCAAAAACACCTGTAAAATGACGGATGCGCCACTTTTAATCGTCTTTAATCTACAATCACCGTCCTGACTGGTCCGGCACGCCTGGAGTTGTACCACGCACCTTAATCTCCTTCCGCCGCGCACGTGTTGCCTCACCACATCGTGGTCGACTGTGCTGCAGTAGTTCCCAGCAACGGCACCTCCCCCGAGGAGCCTCTCGGCGCCATTACCCTTCGGGACTCGTACCCTCACGCGAGACGGTACTGAAACGACATGGAACACCATCGCACACCCTCGGCAGCCCTACAAAACATGACTTCGTCACCTTAGAACCCTGACGGGCGCTTATCCTCTCCTCTTGTTTGACTATCATGCTTCAGGATATGACGAAATGTTTCCTTCGGAACTGAATCTAGCCTCTGTTCCGCCCATTGTCCTACCAACTGCCTAAAGCAGCCTGAAGTTTATTTCTTCACCACATTGCATCGCATGCTTGCTGCTTCCGACACCTTTTTGCTTTTTGCACACATCAGCAGCCTTGCACATGATTGTAGCCTTTCGTCTACTCAACCACTCTCGGGTACTCGATGCCGCTTCACTCGACCATTGCGCCGAGAACCTGACCATTTAAGCGGCCGCCCTATTTGATTTGAATTGATGCACCTGTCAAGAGCCACCGTCTGCCACACGGCCGAGCCGACGAGCGGCGCCACCCATGGATAGCATAAAGTATCTGGCATCTGTCAACACGCTTCAAAACGCCTGACGTGTGCATGTGATGGTTGCATAATGCGAACCTACCTATCAGACAATTGTAGTAGCTGATTGTTTACCCGCCTCCAAATCTGCCTCTCGGGTACGAACTTCGCGGTTTCCATAGGACCCCGTAATATTCCTTTTGTAATGTTCCATGTCGCTCAATACGGAATTACCATTATGTCGACAAGTTTTAGTACTCGTCATCTTGGGAGCTTTCTTCTTTTTCCTCTTCTGCCTGCCCTGCTTCTTCATCAGCCCGCTGTCGGTACTCCTCCCTGACCAGTGCCCGCAGCGCCTTGGTAAGTCTATCGTCGTAGTCGACCCAGCATCTTCCTGCGCCGAGGAACATGACCTGCTTGTATCGCTGATTCACCAATCCGTTCCTTCTTCTCAGTTCCGAGATCTTCAGCGCCTGTTCCAACTGACGATGTTCTGCTTCGGCAATGCGGGGTCGTAGTATGGCGAGCTTGCTGAAGCCGTCCGTAGTGGGTATCTGCTGATCTTCGAGCGCCTTGAGCTGTGACGCTGTGGTTGCGAAAGTCGTTGCGCACTCTACTACTAGTGCTGCTTTTTGCGATGCGTCTAGAGGGGGGCCGTCCTTTTCATCCTCGTCGTCTTGCGGCTTGAGAACGTCTTTGTGCTTGCTGACTGTGACTCCTATTAGCCCCACGTGACATACTAAGAAGACATGGACATACGCAGGTTGTTGGTTTCATCCAACAGCGAAGTCTTGCCCGCTAGCTGCTGCAGCGACTGCTCGATCCTGTGTATACGATCGGGAATCGTCCTATGCCTGTCTTGGGCCTGTTCGTGGGGACCACCCAAAACGTACTCCAAGCGGTCTATCCTCGACTCTAGCAGTGCATACGTGAACAAGACGGCCTCTTCGTACTCGTCCATGATGGCGGTTCACGCTACGTGGGTTGGGTTGGGGAAAGCGGTTGCGGGTCGCGTACCTGTCCAGGTGGCTTGGGGCGGCTAGTGGCTTCTAGCGGCGGTTATCCGCTTATCTATGGCAATAATCAGCTGCATGGCGCCCTGGACCATGACCAAGTGCCCTTGCCATCAGACGTCAGCGACTCTCACTAAACTTCACTCTTATACCTCAGTACAGTACTTCACCCTCGCTCTCTGCTCGTATTGCTAGCCGCGCTGCTTCACCTTAGCGCATGAGCGCGCGATAACCCCCACCGCACGTTTCGCACACGCGACAGCATGGCCTCGTACTCCGCCATCGGCCCAGAGCCTACAGAGGCAGATTCCATGACGTCGAGCACCGGATCGCTGGGGGGCAGACGGTTAGGACGAATCAGCTTGATAGCATCGGACAGAGGCTGACGGCAACAGGAAAGGAAGGGGTAAACAAGACGCTGGATTCCACGGCGAGGCAACATGGATATCGAGTGTGATCAACCTGGCCAACACCAGTACGTCTTATGCTCCAGTTATCCATGCGATACTGACTCAGTTTAGTTCTTGGTGCTGGTCTTCTCGCCATGCCCTCTGCGCTCTCCAAGATGGGCGTCTTCCTCGGCATCTTCGTCATCGCATGGGCTGGTACAACAGCAGGCTTCGGTCTCTACCTACAGACGCGCTGCGCACGATACATTGATCGCGGACATGTTTCCTTTGCGACCCTGTCCCAGATGACATATCCGAATGCATCCATCATCTTTGACGCGGCCATCGCCATCAAGTGCTTCGGTGTGGCAGTCAGCTATCTGATCATCATAGGAGATTTGATGCCGGGAGTGGTTCGTGGATTTGCGCCGGGTGCTGCAGAGATTGGTTTTCTGGTTGACCGGCAGTTCTGGATCACAGCATTCATGTAGGCCTCCTCTCCTGGTCCGAAAACACCATATGCTAACAGAATAGGCTCATCGTCATACCCCTATCTTTCCTCCGCCGTCTAGACTCGCTCAAGTATACCAGCGTCATCGCCCTCTTCTCAATAGCCTATCTAGTAGTCCTCGTGGTGGCACACTTTATCAAAGGCGATACTATTGCAGACCGAGGCACTGTTCGCGTATTCCAGTGGGCAGGCCCGGTCAATGCACTCGCCGCCTTTCCCGTTATTGTCTTCGCCTACACATGTCACCAGAACATGTTCTCCATCCTCAACGAACTCGCCGATAACTCTCACTTCCAGACGACGACTGTCATCTTTGCCTCGATTGGGGGCGCGTGTGGATTGTACATATTGACTGGCATTACAGGTTACCTTTCCTATGGCGACAATATTCACGGAAATATCGTCTCCATGTACCCAACCGCAGTCGCCAGTACTATCGGCCGCCTTGCTATCGTCATTCTGGTCATGTTCTCGTACCCACTGCAGATCCATCCTTGCCGCGCCAGCCTCGATGCATGCATGAAGTGGCGTCCCGGTGGTGTACGAAAACCAGTCGAAGGCAGTCCTTCTAGGAACAGTCTCATGACCAACACACCTAAGCCACGCTCCCCGAAGAGCGCCGAGATGAGCGATCTCAAGTTCGCAATCATATCGACCATCTTGATCATCATGTCATTCATCACCGCCATGACCGTCTCCAGTCTCGAAAAGGTACTCGCGTACGTTGGATCCACCGGGTCAACAACGATATCCTTCATCTTACCGGGACTATTCTACTACAAGATATCTGACCCCGAGTCAACCCACCATCAGCGACTTGTCAAGAACGAGGACGATGAGAGTGAGTATCAGAGTGGAGAAGTCGAAGGCTATGTGACCAGCGAGGGTCATATGAACCGTGACTGGCGGAGGGGATTACTGAGAAACATGGCGCTTGCGTTGAGCATTTACGGTGTCGTCGTCATGGTCGTCTGTTTGATTACGAACACCTTTTTGGTAGCGGCTGCGCATTAGAGCATTGCTAGGTTTGGTTGTGGGTTTTGCAGTTAGCGGGAGTTTTTTGCATACTAGACTGGGTCTCGGGTCATGAGGGTTGGAGTAGCGGGGCTGTGGACGATTTGTTGTATTGTTACAGGTGTAGCGTCACGACCATTCAGTAATGGTTTTGTAACGTACGAATATATTTAGCTTTCCCACAAGTATTCCTCTTATAACGCCATGTGATGCTATTCCGCGCATTGTGTCCTACCATCAAGTACCAACATGCTTGGCTCCACCCTCCATGTTCTCCACCCTCGTCGTTGGTTGCGCTGCCAGAATCTTGCTCTCGGGTATCAAACTCTTGTGTGCTGAATCCGCCTTGACGACCTGGCCTTGGATCTGGCCTACGCGGTATTGTGGTTCGAGAATGCCCACCATGCTCAGCAACCTCCACGCTGTATCGCTAGGCTGTGCTCCTACACCGACCCAGTACCGCGCTCGGCTTATGTCGAGTTTGATGTCTTTCCACGGCCGGCCGTGAGTGTCGCCGGGTCGTGGTGGTTGCGGCTTGGGGTCGTAGGTACCGAGGACTTCAAGAGGCCGGGAATTGCGCGCTGTTCTATCGGATGGGTTAGTTTTGCGTTGCAATTGTTTGGCCCGTTCTGTTGTATGAAGTTTGCGATTGAGGATTTGCGGACCTCCGAAGTGCGATGAGGGGATGTCGTACCTTGCGTGCGCGACGACTATGTTGTAGAAGGGTGCGTGCTTCTTGCCGAAGCGGGCGAGACGAATTCGTAAGACCATTGTTGATGTCGTGTGTGGGGTTGCGACGGCGGCGGTTGTGGTGGGCGGCCTGCGGGTGGTGACTTTGGATGTCGAGATGGGGAACTTTTTGGGTAGGCCGAGGATCTGCCGATATGGATAGCACGTGTAGATACTATTACTTTAACAAATCATACTGTAGCGATACACTTTTTCTGTGGAAGTATGTATTTTTTTAAGCAAAATTGCGGTCTCTTCAGTGAATGTGTATTCGAAGTGCGTATGTGATGTTGTGCTTGGTTCCAATGGAGGAACTGAGTGATGTAATTGCAACACCACCACATTGCGAAGTGAGTACTACTTGAACTGCCACCCACATCTTCTTTTGAGGTGACTCCAACATCAATCTCTCAAAATGGCTCTTCGAGTGAGTAACAAATATCGATATTGCGAGGCCATCTGCTCATACGATACTAGACTCTATCAGCCAAAAGCGCAGCAGCGCTCGACCAAGAGCTCATGTCAACCGGTGCATTCTCCATCGATCAGCTCATGGAACTCGCCGGTCTTTCAGTTTCACAAGCCGGTTTGTCAAATACACATCTACCCTACATCACTTATACTGACGATTGCAAGTCTTCAAACTCCAACCCCTCAGTAAGGGCAAGCGCATCCTCGTAGCTTGTGGTCCGGGCAACAATGGTGGTGATGGCCTTGTCGCTGCTCGACACTTGTTCCACTACGGCTATCAACCTACTATCTACTACCCAAAGCAGAGCAAGAACGAGCTATACCAGGTATGCTGAAACTATCCATTTGCTGATCAACTTGGTCCCTCACACGTCTCAGCGTCTCAAGAAACAACTCGAAGATCTCAAGGTTCCCTTTACAGAAGATTTCACCGGTGCTCTAAAGCAGACTGATCATATTGTCGATGCAATTTTTGGCTTCAGCTTCTCAGGCGAAGTACGAGAACCTTTCCCCAAAGTCATTGAAGTGCTGGCGTCCACTTCGGTTCCTGTTCTCGCTGTTGATGCACCATCGTCTTGGGACATTGAAGATGGACCTCGAGACTCAGGACCTGGCAAGGGTTTCATGCCACCAGCACTAATCAGCTTGACTGCACCGAAGCCACTGGTCAAGAAGTTTACTGGTCGCCACTTTCTTGGTGGACGATTTTTGAGTCCGGAGATGGCGGACAAGTACAACCTTGATATTCCAAAGTATGAAGGCTTGGATCAAGTGGTCGAGGTACCTGTTGAGGGCGGGAAACTCTAAGTCATGTGTACATAAGAACATCACGATGCAACTTCTCGGTGTTTGGTTACCTGCTTGTTGCGACTAGCGTGTTTTCCCCGCAAGAGCCGCGGTACGGCTAACAGCGGTCTTGCGATGTGACCGAACCCCAGCTTCAATCATACTTCGGCAAACAATACAACATTCCTCCAGCCGCAAGTTCCGCTGACTTTGATTTCTCCTCCTCAATTCTAGCGTGAAGCTCTGCTAGTTCGTTATTGCACTCCATACAACTCACTGGGTCTTCTACAGTCTGAAGTGCTACAAGACATAAGCGTTACCAATTTGGCTTCACAAAGGAGCTGCGAAAGTCGAAGGCTTTGACAGCTTCAACTTACGCCCAGCATGGTTCCGAGAGCGCCTTCACGCGAGGCTTTGGCATTGCTCAAGCACTCAATCAAACCATCAATAGCGATCCGATCGCAAACACGCTGCCTCTTCTCTTCCACTTCTCGCCCTACGACACTCTCACACTTGCGGTCCCACGAGCCATACCAAATCAGTAGAAACGCAGCTACTTTCTCGCATTCACACCATGCCGAGGCCGTCTCCATCATCCCCACAACTGTCGACACGAGTAATGCGGACTTCAAGGAAAACAAGCGTCAGATGGATGAAGCAACGGAGAACCTGGTTAATTTGCACACCAAGATCGCTCAGGGTGGACCACAAAAAGCGAGAGACAAACACATACAACGAGGAAAAATGTTGGTCAGGGACAGGATCACGGCATTGATTGACCCTGGCACACCTTTCCTCGAATTGAGCCAAATGGCAGGCTACGACATGTACGGCGAAGATGACGTCCCTGCAGGTGGCATTGTCACAGGAATCGGTACAGTCAATGGTGTGCAGTGTATGGTGGTCGCAAACGATGCCACTGTCAAGGGAGGCACATACTACCCGGTCACAGTGAAGAAGCATCTGCGGGCTCAAACCATTGCACAAGAAAACAGACTACCATGCATCTACCTTGTCGACTCTGGAGGTGCCAACCTACCGAACCAAGCAGATGTGTTCCCAGACGTCAACCACTTTGGTCGCATATTTTACAACCAAGCGCGCATGTCTAGCATGGGCATTCCGCAGATCAGTGTCGTCATGGGTCCGTGTACAGCAGGCGGTGCATACGTACCCAGTATGAGCGACGAGAACATTATCGTAGAGAATCAAGGACACATCTTCCTCGCCGGTCCACCGCTAGTCAAGGCAGCGACTGGTGAGGTAGTGTCGGCCGAAGATCTTGGTGGAGGCAAGCTTCATAGCGAGATTTCAGGAGTCACAGATTATCTGGCAGTTGACGACGCACACGCACTTGTTCTTGCACGCCGAAGTGTTGGGAACCTGAACTGGCATCGCAATCAGACAATGACGCCACAACCGAGTTTCCAAGAGCCGCTATATGATCCTCAGGAGCTATCGGGCATTGTAGGCACAAACCTGCGCCGGCAGATCGCCATTCACGAGGTCATTGCCAGGATCGTCGATGGATCCTCGTTTGACGAGTTCAAGCCCTTGTACGGCTCAACGCTTGTGACTGGATTCGCAGAAATCTATGGACACAAGGTCGGTATCGTGGCCAACAATGGCATTCTCTTCAGCGAGAGCTCATTGAAGGGCGCACATTTCGTCCAATTATGCGGAAAGCGACACATTCCGCTCATTTTCTTGCAGAACATTTCGGGTTTCATGGTCGGCCAAGATGCGGAAAAGGGCGGTATCGCGAAAAATGGAGCCAAGTTGGTGACGGCAGTGAGCTGCGTTGACGTACCCAAGTTCACAGTCGTGGTTGGATCCAGTGCTGGTGCAGGCAACTATGGCATGTGGTAAGTTTGTCCTTTTCTGGCTGTTGATGCTGCACTGCTAATGTACTCGGGCAGTGGCCGCGCATACTCTCCACGTCTGCTCTTCACGTGGCCTAATGCCAAAACATCAGTCATGGGCGCTGAACAACTGTCGTCTGTCATGGAAGCTGTGGGTAAGAAAGTGGATCCTGCGCTCAAGGCACGGATAGAGCACGAGAGTGAAGCGACGTTTGGCTCGGCAAGACTATGGGATGACGGCATCATCCCGCCTGAGCACACGAGGAGAGTGCTTGGAATGGGGTTGCAGATGGCGTGTGGTGGACAAAACAAGGGAGTCGATCGTGAAAGCACGTGGGGAGTGTTCAGGATGTAGGAACAGCAGTATGAGATGAGAACCACAATAAAAACGCGCGTCTATGTCATCGTCGTCAACGTCGTCGCAAGCGCGACGGCTTGTTGCCAAGGGTTTTGTTTGAATTTTTCTTCGCGCCGTACGGAAACTATGAATAGTCAAGGCGTATCGATCGCAATTTCCCTCCCCACAATATTCTGACACCCGTTCCTGCCTGAGTCTTGGCAAGCCACGTCAAGACGGGCGGCGCTCCTCCAAGCACCCAACAAGCATGCTTGGAAAAACGCTTGTATGGGAAACGTCAAACGCATGCTTGAAGTTAGATCCGAACAGCATGAAAAGAGGATGGAATATGTAGATGCGCCAATGTCGCTCGCATGAACAACTGGCCAAGAATGAGGCGCCTGCAATACCTGCGCCACACTTCCCTGTTTCCGCCCCGCCTTAACTGACCCTACCTCGGGCCCCTCTCCGTTTCATGCGACCTGCCAGTTTGTTCACAGGCGGCGCGCCCTATTCTGGTCTTTGCCAACCAGCAATCTGCATCCAGGACTGGAGCCATCGGTCGCCGGAATGATCGGCTCGTGTTGACGCGGATTTCATCAGGCTGCGTACCTGGAGGATTGCCGTGATACCCACCTGCATAGTGATTAGCTGACGGGAGCCAATACGATATGAACCCTCCAGCTGTGTGCCACCAACGTAACTGGCCTATGAGCGCATAGTGCTTGTGGAATCAATGGTCTGCAGAGCTTACCAGTGCAACCGTTCCCATTCCTCAGGCCCGCTGCGACGATCACTCGCGCTCGCTCTTGTCACTTCCGTCATAACTGCCTTTTGCCAGACACGCTCGCTTTCTCCTTCCTCCACTCTTCCGTCCATTCTGTCGCCCTCCGATCACTAGTTACCGCTCTCGACTTGCTTTTCTGCCACCTCTTCGTCCTCCCCACTTGGTCGCACACTTGCGGGGCTTCCACTCGTTAGCATTGTTTTAGGTGCATACTCACATGTTGAGATGAGGTTATTCAGCCCTGCGCGAGCGCTAGCGGCGCTCTCTCTACTGTCAACAGATGTCGTGCGACCACTTACCCAAGCTATAGTCTTGGATCCAAACTCTCAAGGTGAGACTTCATCGCTGCTTGATCGTGTGCGACTAGGTAATTTTTGACGCGCCGCAATAGAATCCATCAACGATGTCTCTAGCAAAGTCGCCAAACAGCTTGTTGCGCAATATGCGACCATCGATGACAAAGGCATACATGTGCTTGGAGGCTATCCGGGTATTCTCTACGAACCTTACTACTGGTGGCAGGCGGGTGCCATGTTTGGTACATTGCTCGACTACTGGCACTACACTGGCGACGAACAGTACAACGAAATGGTCCGCGAAGGTCTAATGCACCAATTCGGAGAGCACAATGACTTGGTACGTCTGGTCCATCTTTTCTCGTGATATGATTGCTTACATTCTATAGATGCCCTCAAATCAGTCCAAGAACGAAGGAAACGATGATCAAGTCTTCTGGGCCTTTTCCATGATCGCCGCAGCCGAATACAAACTCAAAGACCCTCCTGGCGACAAGCCTGGTTGGCTTGCAATGACACAATCCGTCTTCAACCAGTTCGTAGGACGTTACCAGAAAGAGGTTGTCGATGGAAACTGTGGTGGTGGTATGCGCTGGCAGATTTATCCGTGGCTTAATGGGTGGACGTATAAAAACACGGCGTCAAACGGTGGTCTCTTCCATCTCGGCGCTAGGCTGGCCATGTACACCAAGAACGACACATATGCGAAATGGGCGGAGAAGACGTTCGATTGGCTGTCTGACAGTCCTTTACTGTTGGACGATGGCACGGTTTATGACGGAACAAGCATGACCACCAATCCGCCATGCAAAGACGCAGACAAGACGCCATGGACTTACAACTATGGTATCATGATAGCAGGAGCTGCCTACGTATGACGCCCGAATGGCCAAAGTGAAACAAGAGACTAACAATCGCAGATGTACAATTATACCAACGGCGGAGAGAAATGGAAGACAGCACTCACCAAATTCATCGACAAGGCCAGCATATTCTTCCCTGAGGAAAAAGGCGGAGTAATGGTGGAAATCTGCGAAGCTAACAAAGTCTGTGACGCCGATCAAGAGAGTTTCAAAGCCTACCTCGCCCGCTGGCTAGGCATCACCATGCAAATGGCACCCGAATTCACCCCCAAAATCCTCCCACGTCTGCAAAAATCCGCAGTTGCTGCAGCACAGACATGTGAAGGGCCATCACAACACAATGGCGGACCCCACCAGTGTGGCATGAAGTGGTGGAACACAGGGTTCGATGGTGTCGGTGGCGTAGGACCACAAATGACAGCCCTCAACGTCATCAGCGTACTCAACGCTCAACGAGTCCCACCACCCTATTCCCAGGATAACGGCGGTACCAGTCAAGGAAATCCAGGTCTTGGGTCTGGTGGAACCGATGGCGGTAGTACGCTTCCGAAATTCGAATCCGACATCACGACTGCGGATAAGGCGGGTGCAGCCATTCTCACTATCATGGTAGCTGTCATGTTTGTAGGTGGGGCTTACTGGATGCTCTCCTAGACCATGCGATTTTGTTTCATCATCCCGATAGGGTCTTCTTTTGTTCTTCTAGGTCTTGTTCGTTTATACCCATTGTGAAAATGGATGCATGATGGGAATGGGGCTCGCTACTTGAGCATTTTGGCGTTTTTGTCAGGCGGGTTTTACTTAACTAACCCACTTTTCTTTCTCGTACGCGATATTCCAAGTATATATTCTTTGTATCTACCGTTGAATGGAAACTTTGATACATTTTCTGAGCTTTTCGATTTTACTTTCCTTGTTCATTGCTGAGGATGGGGGATGGACATGCATGACCTTGCCCCAATGTTTCTTGTTTACAATCCTCTTGCTCGAAATGCCATGGTCTCTGGCTCGAGTACTGTGAGAGAATGCCTATGTTCCGCCAACATGCCGCTAGCGCACCTCTCAGTGTAACCTCGAAGATCCACACGGTTGAGCATGTCACTAGGGCTGACGATAGTCCGGCAAAAACGCGGATCGGTGGGCACATCCACGCCCTTATTTCGGGCCCTTGGCGTACCTTTCACTCACCCTGCAAGGTTGTCGGCGGTAAGCCAGGAAAAGGAGAAGTTGGAGATTTCGCGGGATGGGATTGACAGCATGTGCTTGATTGAGGTGTTGTGATCGGCGTTGTCGCGGGTTCACGTGCTCACGCGTTTGTTACTGCGAGGGTTGTGGTAGCTGTCTTTTCCGAGAATTTTATGGATGGGATCTTTTCCGATGTTGTCTTTGATGTTTCTGCATGCATGAATGCTATATGGCTTTCAGCTTGTTGCACTTTTACTCTGTTGCTAGTCTTGTGGGAGAGCGGGGTGGCTGATGATGCTTGTGAGTGAGGAGAGGCTCGGTCTAAAGGAATGGATGTGGTATGCAAGACCCGTTTAGGAGATAAGATATATGTCCTTGAATATGGATTTCAGTCGCTTAAGTCTGGCATTACTGTTCGGTATGGTAGGTGATGAAGTGATAGTGTACCATACATAGTCACGAACGACAACGCTCTGCTATGGGGATGTTTCTCATGTAGCTTTAGCATATACTAACATTACTAAATTGGCAAACACAGATTCCTCCATGTTGCTGTATTTGCCATGGATCCGGAAATGTGTGTCCAGTGCCGAGGTTGCTTATCTTATCGCGAACATACAATACGTACTACGACATGTTCAATGGTGGCATCGGTCCATCCATCAACAATCCCCTTTGGTGATTTATCCTTTAAGATATCGCACGTGTAGGTAATTTCTGGACGGAAAAGACTCCGAAACTACGCACCTTCCGTATCACACGGCTCGCACCAGCGGCGAAGCGGGGCTACTACGGAGCACACCATCCACCTGCCTCTTGCGGGGTACAGCAAATGACAACAACGATACCTACCATTAATTCAAATAATCCTTCCATTACATAGAAATCAGAAACCATCCAACCACAAATCTTCCCTCTCTAGACCCCGTCCTCTCAATCAAACCACCACAATGTCCGCCGCCCAAGCCCTCCGCGAAAAGCAAGCCCCCATCAAAGACGGGTACCGCAGCAACCCCGCCTCAGCAGTCGTAACACTAAAGTCAACGGGCTCCCTCGACGACCACTCAATAACATGCAAGCTCTCTGACAGCTCTGCCGTCAAGGAAGCGCATCGTGTCGCGGGTCTGCATCAAAAAGCCGGTGGTGACGACCCTGCGATATCCGGGGAACTCTGCTCTGGGGATATGCTGTTGGATGCTCTAGTCGCTTGCTCGGGCGTTACGCTAAAAGCTGTTGCTACTGCGCTTGGTATACCCATTGTATCTGGTACTGTAACTGCGGAGGGGGACTTGGACTTCAAGGGTACGCTGGGTGTGGATAAGACGGCGCCGGTGGGTATGACGGGTATCAGGTTGGAGTTTGCAGTACAGTTTGGGGAGAGGGAGGATGGGAAGGAGGTTAGTGAGGAGGAGGTGGAGAGGCTGGGTAAGCTGACGGAGAGGTATTGCGTTGTGTTGCAGACGTTGGTGCATAAGCCGAGTATTGCGGTCAAGTTGGCGGGGAGTGGTGGGGATAAGGGGGATGGAGTGAAAAGGGAGGTGTCGCATAAGAGTGAGTTGTAGGGGAGTATGTATTGGGTCACTTCTTCAGTCAGCATGTCAAATTGGTTGTTGTCAGTGACGAGGATCTGGGTAGGATGGGCTGGAGATGAGATAGGAGCTGCACTTGGAAGATACGGTTGAGCTATCATCATGATTTGTCTTCTAGAGTCGCATCGTTTTCGCTGCCACCAAAATTAACATAGTCATTTACAATCTGAGTAAAACGAGTGACTCAGCATCCTGCTTCTCGACCATCTGCCACTGTTCAGACGAAATCTGTCACAGTCTTGCTCATGTTATCTACTGATTTATATGAAGATAACACTACTACAAAGCGTAATAGGATGTTCTCATGTTTCTATCAGCAATCTAGAGGTCGTTTTCACTTCACTCTTGAAGCTCGACTGGATCACACCGTAGCATAGCAAAGTATCAACACCACAGAACACACATATCAAATACCTAAAAAGGTCATACGCGATGCTCTAGGAGAGAAAAACATTTACTCCAGCATGCCTACAATCAGCTCACATTTCCGTCGTCTACACAGCACTGATGTCTCGGGTTCTTGCAGCCAAATTTGACCAGCAGTATCTGTGATAGAGAGTTTCGCTTCCTAACATGATACTGGCTATTCGGGCCGACATCGCGTCTCTCATGCTCATTTGCTACACCAACCCGCATTCAGCCATCGCATCTAGCATTCGATACCTGAGATGGTTTTCTTGGCAAGATTCTTAGGGGCAGACCATGGAAAGAGCTTAATGCTGGTCTGAGCTAGTCCTTCTAACTGAGAATGCTTCGTGTGGAGCGGGAATTATTGGCCAATATGTGCCTGCAGTTTCCAAACATCCAACCCGCGAAGCTGGGTGGACGCGGTGATGTGTTCTGTGAGCTTAACGATGATAAACGTACTTTTAGCAGAGCACTGTAGGGCAAGATAGAGCCGAAATCTTCACATGTCAGAAGATTCGAATAGAAACATGGCGGATGTCTCGGGCATGCAGTTTAGTTGCATCGATTGAAGCCAAGAACTGCAAACTGTACACCGAGACACAATCCTGGAAGAATCATACACGTCCAGCACTACTACAGTCACCTTCCTAACCCCCTTAATTTACGCAAAAGGCTACCACTGAGGCCCTCTCCATCATCCCAAATCACCCTGTCGACATCAACGCCTTCCCCGAGCCAACGACACCCGACTTCAACAAGTCAGAGATTCGGGATCTATCTTTCCGTTCCGTCTAGGGAGACACTGGAAGGAACTTCGAAACCTCCTCGTTAGCCTCCAGAGGCTCGGCCTCGTATACATTGGGGCAGTGTTCTTCTACTTGGTCAACCACATCATCTGCCATCGTCGAATACAAGACACTGCGAAAGTTCCACCTCTTCTCCACGAAGGAGCATGACGTCGACATGGACAGGAACTCGGGCAGCTTCGGGAAAAACAGCATGGCCGTATTACTTCTGGGTGGCACTTTTGCATGCAATGTTCATGTAGGCGACTACACATCAAGTTTCACTTTGCAGCCTTGTCGTAGAGTATGGTGACCAAGAGAGTACATGGATAGCTCATAGAGAAGCAACGAGGGACGTTGGAAGAGCGGGGCAGAATGACATAGGAATGGTGATGTAATATCTGAAAAAGCAAACAAATACCATGAACCTCATCCACCTCCTTACAACCCTAACCCAGCCCCCCTCCCATCTAGAACCTCTTCGGTATACTGTGGCTACCACATGGTCGTTGCCCCTGGAGCTTACACTAACAACATAGTAAGCATAGTTAGTCGTGGGCGGACTTGACCGACCGGTGACAGTGGAGCACGAACGGACAAAGGCTGCAGGTGCGCTGTCAGGCTAAACTACGGGTTGCCGATCATTTGTAAGTACAGTAGCTCGTCGTGGCTGGCTGGGCTATTCTTCGCGCAAACGCTGTTCTTCCATGCATGAGGGGGGTCATGTGTCGTGGAGAGTTAAGTAAGGGGGGGGGGGGGCGGTCGTACATGCAGTGTTTGTGGAGTACCAGTACTCTGGTTGTTATCATGGTTAGCGAAATGCATACAGTAGCTACAGGTAGATCGGATGATGGGGGTCAGCAGACAAGATTTCGTGTCCACTTCATCTTACATGGTGATTGACTATACTACCTTCCTACATGACGATTAAAATCTGTCGATCTTGAGGCTGTGTAGATGCCAAGATCCCCACACATGGCAGCAACGTTGATGCAAACCCACAAGATGCAGGATGAGACAAAGTTTCCTGCATCCGAATTGACGGGAACAGTCGATCCCACCTAGCTCAGCTGACGGTATCCGCGCCAGCACACTTGGATCGGCGCTTTCTGGTCGTCTTGTTTCCGTTGGCCTAGTATGGTTGCCAAGCCATGTTAGCGTTTTCGGTTAACAGCATCTGCTACATTTCCGAGGAAAAGCGAAGACGGTAGGCGTTCGAATGCGAGGCCATGTTCGCTGTCCTCCGCGGTGGCTGTGATGCGGAAAGGTGGTGTTCCGTAGGGGAGTGTAAGACTGGCGAGGAGGTGGCTTGAGGGTTTGGAATGAAGGCTCTGACAGGGAGGGTACTAGAAGGGCCAGACAGCTACGTATGCACATGTCGTGAGTTGGCAATAACTTAATTGTTGCCATGGATGGCATGGAAGCAGGTTGTAGCGAGAGCCATGGAGATAACCGCCCCCTGGTAATCTCGAGTATTGGCTTGGACGCCTCGTGTACACACCCATCTTACAGCGGCGGCAGGAAGAGCCGGTCCACTAGGGCCTTTGCCGATGATCAGCGCAGGCAGCCTGGCCACATGCAGGAACGGGCAAGAAGGTGAGGGCGGCACTAGCAAGTGTCAGTTGCCGAAAGGGGCGCTAGTGAGCTGGCGAACTTAGGATATTCATGCGATTGGATACCAACAGCCACACAATAGCGTCTGGACGAGAGATTTTTCTGCTGCACACTTCATGTGGCTAGGATCCTAACGTGCGTGTGACCGCTCTACCACGACCGAGATTGACAACCTCTTTACTTGCCTTGCCTGCCTGGTAAACAATGCGGATACGAATGCGAACAAGTTTACAGATGACGCGGTTGTTTCACCCCGTAGGCAGCATAGGCAGCATGCTAGGACCTGCTGGTATACGGCCCTGGATTCAGTAATCAGCGTGAACGTCAAGGTGACGCATGTCAGAAGTACTGGTGTTGACGTAGACACAGGGTTTGGCAATGTAGATGATGCACGTCAAGTACGGGCATGACCGGGGTATAGACTTATAGGGGTCGACAGACAGGTTTTCAGAGTCCACTTGCTGCATCTAGATGACGCGCCCGAGGCACTACCATATCAAGTAGCATTGAACCTGCAATCAGCCAGTAGTTGCCCCAGGCGAGACCTCCTACCGCAACCGACTGATGCTACCGATCCGGTTCCCTAGCACTGCGATCGGGGCATTGCGACTTCAGGCGATGCTGCATGCCATGCATCGACAAGCCACAATATATACCAGACCAAAGGAACGACCCGGCCAATAGGAAAGCATCTTCTTTCGAACCCGCTGTCGCTCGTGTCAGTCGAGGGACAGAAATACTTGTCTGAAACGTCGAGACGACTACCGGTCCAGTCAAAGCGTCAAGCTCCCGCACGACTACCAGTCATCTACTATCGTTTCATGGTGTCGCAAGCTTTGAGTTCACGACAAGTTTGGAGGCCAAAGCATACATGGCAAAAGGTGTATCAACATTTGGAATCGCACTTTCAACCAAACATGGACAAAGTATCCATCGCCCGCGGACTCATCAATATACTTCCTGACGTCGGGGAACGAACGAATCCATCGAGTAAACATGGCAGCTTGGTGACATTCAGAAATCTCCATGTTGCTTCGTCATAGGTGTTATGCGCACGACGTTGATCGGTGCACTTGGATATCATCGTTGCAAGCTTGATATATGCAATTTGGGCCACATACAATCTTCTCATGCACTGCCTTTTCATTCCAGTCGACGTGCCCGTTCCAGAGACCGGGTAAAGGTGCCTGCCGTGTTCATGCAAGGCCAGAGGTCAGTCCACTGGAAATGTTGTTGGAATGCCCAAAGGAGAGTGAGGTGGGGTGTTGGAAATGCCTGTACGCCACTCAGCGTGGTGCAACCGTGTATGCAGACCCCTCATTCTCAATCAAGCTCTTTGCATGGACGACTCGATCCCCACAACAACAATTTGCTGTGCGTTATTCGTCGGCATGTTGATGAAAGTTCCGTGGGTCTGGTCACAGATCCGCTTCGATGGTAAGTGCGGGCCTCGTACAAGTGCCACGGATACCACCCGCCCGCTTATGAGTTATCGTCAATCCAGAGTCCTCCAATCTCTTTCTTCCGATGTAGGCCTTGGGCCCAGATTAGATCGATCCGTTGCATCCTGGGACTGATGCGGTGAAGTTGTTGCAGTTAGGCGGTGTGTAGGTGAGCAATGACTCTGGGTACAAAGTGTAGCATGTTAAATTTTCCACGCGCATTGTTACCACTCTGTTGGGATGCAAGACGAAAATCCAGATGGCATCAACGTAGAGTCATGAGGGAGTGAGTCGAACCAGCCCCCAGTGAGACGACCATATGGAGACGTCCTAACAAGGTAACTTTGTGGCCAGATCGTCTATGCTTCGGAAGTGCAAGCGTACGTGGGGTATTTGAAAACCAGGTTCGAGGTTTGCTTCAAGCAGTAGATGGCGCTCGTGGCTTCCGTCCGGTGTAACAGCACCAGTCACCATGGATGTCGTCGGTGAAGAGCAAGGGCACGACGGGAGGCTGCGGGCCTCGATGCAAGGGCGTCCTGACTGCAGATGGTCCCCAGTAAGGAGCTACGGGGTGCTCTCCACACACGACGGGCAAACGTGAACGGGGCCGAGGTTCGTTTGAAAAGGGATTTTCTAATCAGATATAAAGCTAGGTGCTAGCATTGAAGCTGTGGCTGCGCTACAGTGGGATGACAGCCCCTTGCGCCAGGAGAGGGAGGGGGATGGCAGCACAGCAACGAAGGGCATCAGCCTAGGAACAGGAGTAACAGACTGTCAGGCGGTCAAGTGCTGTTGTGCGACTAAGTGGCTGATGGCGGTGCTCCCCACAGCGGGCCCAAAACCTGTACGAGTCCTTGAGGGCCATGGTGGGCTCGTGGTTACCGTTCTAGGGGATAGATAACGATGCGTTACCGAACCGGAGGTTCACTCTCATGCCGGGATGGTGATGTTCGACAGCGGCCAAGATGGTGGGAGCGACGACACACGAACCGAATGGCGGTCAAGGTAGGCAACGTCAGTAGAGTGAGGGTGCAAGTCCAACAGACTGCCGAATCCAATGGTGAAGCAGAAGGTCGAGACGGCAAGCTTTCAAGGTCAAATCCAAAGCGCGAAACACGCCATGGGAAGGTTGAAGAGAGGCCAGACGGTCGGCAAAGGGTTCGCACGCCACGCGGAGAGTTCGCACGCTACGACGAGGGTTCGCACGCTACGCGGGAGATGAGGGCAAGGTTTGGGGTCAAGGGAGATGGGCGCAGGGTAGTTTGGGGGAGAGTTTGCCATGGCGTCGCGTGCAATTGCGCAGCTAGACTCGGATGGCATGGCGAATGTCTCGGCGAGCAAGAGTGTCATGTTGTGCTCGACGGCGGATGTTGGAGGTTGCCTGTCGCCCTGTTGAAGCTGTCGAGGTGCAGTTCTGGTGCAATGTTTGATCGGCCGGCTAGCGGGACGCGATCAGCGTGTCGGGGCAGGCGCGAGCCCCGGAGAGGGAAGGTGCCATGATCCCTGTGCCAATCATGGCGACGCAGATGTCGTCGCACCTCGCCCGAGCTGCCACCAGCTCGACGCTGCATGAGACTGACATCTGTCAGCCGCCCGCACCGAAAGCGAGCTCTTCCCACCCGTGCCGACCGAACGCGAGCAGGGCTAGAGGGGGGGGGAAGGGGGAGGCAGACGAGATTGAGACGTCTGTCTAGCTTCCTAGAGTTGATTGAGTAGTGACATGCCGTGCGTGCGTGCATGGCCGTCGGCGCCTCCCATTTGATAATGGGGCTGCAGCGTCATGGGGAAAGGGGGGGTTATCAACCAGCAACATCAACATTGGTTGAGTAAGAGCCATGGGAAAATCTCGCGTCGAGAAACGTCGTGTCGTGTCGTGTCGTGTCGTTCGTCTGTCCTAGATTGACGCCCATGGCCAAGGTAGCCTCTGTGCGGCCGCCAACTGATTCAGGGTCTATAGACTCCGGCTCCCCAACTAGTCGTGGCAGCAGACTAGGTTGCAAGTGGAGAATGGAGAAAGAAAAAAGGTGGTTGCAGCTGCTGCTGCTCGACAAGAAGCCGACTCGGTCGTCGCGCTGCCTGCTATTCCTGTCCCACCGGACGAACGCCTCCTTCTCCTGCCCAAAACTCACCGTTGCAGCACTAGCTGCTTCTGTGCAGCAACACCACAGCAAGGCTCCCGCTCCTGGGTGCTGGGAAGATAGAGTGCCACAGGTGCCCACACGGCCAGCCACCAGCCCGGTTTGGTCCTGCGGCAGCTGTCTGCCGGGTATCGTACCTTGTGCTGGGTGACATGGCCGCCGTCAGCGTGGCTCCGTACCGCACGACAGCTCTCACGTCGTCGGATTGCGCTCCGCTCGAGAGGAGAGTGCGACGGCCCCAATATGTTCCCCCTTATGCTGCCCACCTGGAGCGAGCTGCGCTGCTGCTGCTGCTGCTGCCGTGCTGCTCCAATCGATTCATGCTGCTCCGCAATGAGCAGTCGGCATGGCACCGTGCCACCTTTGCGACGTCTTGACATGAAGACGAGAGACAGGGCGAAGCGATGGAGAAATCACCTACGCCATGGACAAACTACCGTTTGTGGCTATTGCCAATTGTGCAAGTCGACAACGACGTGGACGGCGAGGCGCGAGGCGTCCGCTGGAGCGTCAGCCAAAATCTTGGCCGCGCCCCCGTTGCTGCCGTCATGGAACGTTGTGAGGTTGCTGCGGCATCCAGTGTGTGGGAGCGCAGATGAGGTAATGGACGGCCAGCGTGCGACCACAAGAGCGAGAAACACACGCCCACCCCTGCGCCTTTCTGCCCCGAGTCAGAAGCAGCGAGATCTGCGACGACGCTCCCAGCGGAGACGGCGGCGAAGCTCTATGGCGCCTGCACAGATGCGCGGCTTCACCACTGGCTCGTGCCTCGCATCTGCGGCGTAGGCTGAGCGTCTTTCGTTTCCTACCTTCGGCCTCGATCCGGCCAGAGCCTGCATTGTGCGCGCTCGGAGAATATAGACCAAACCTTAACCCTCACCTGTCAAGTCCACACATGTCGTGCTAAACACGCCTGTATGTCCTTCATTGGCCTTGGCTAGCATCCCCTGCCATTCCATCCGGTGCTGCAAGATCGCAGTGCATGGTTGATGGACGGCCCGTTGCAGTCCTCTCTAGCCTGGAAACGCCTCCTGCCCTCACTCTGCTGCCTCTTCTTAAACACCTCGCGCCCGTCATCACGACACCCACATTACCTTCTTGCCAACTGCTGCGTGCGTGCGCCGGCTGACCCCTCTCCACTCGATTACTGCACTCGCCCTGTACATTGCTCCAGTCACTATAATTTCTGTACCATATCTTCTTATCCTTGGCCTTCCACCACTCACATATCTGCGATATTCAATCCTTGGTTCGGTAGCCGTTTATCGGCCCCTAGGCCCTCCCCCAAGATACTCGTTACATCATTACCATTATAATACCTGGGTCAGTATTTTCCATGAACCTGTCCCCGTCCACGTCCCCACTTGTTTGCAAAGAGAAGCGAGCGTTGCTGCCAGTAAATGGTGTCACTGCTGTTATCATCAACTCTGGGACAGCACTTGCCTATGCATCCCTCCCAACCAAAATATTTGCATGACACCTTTACGGACATGTGCTAACGCCCATGTTCCTGCAGAGTATTAAACTTGCCAATCCCCGTCGCACTGATGGAATATCTCACTCTCCAAGATATTCCGCACCGCCATTGTGAACCGCTGCACTCACGCAAGATGACTTCTGCTGAGAGACCGCTGGCTAACATGGTCGCTGCGGTAAGTGAAGACAACATTTCTCTTTCTATTCTTCCCCCATCCCTTCCGCCGCCGCCCCACGCAGTCGAGCCCTCATTGGAACTGAAGCCAATGATGCCTGGAGAAGGCCCGCTCAAGCTGCCACCCACATCCTTCTCCAATCACTCGACTCAACGCTTGCAACTGCCCGACCTTAAAGATGAATCCTGGCAAGACGGACAATCTTTCCACTTACCCCCGCTCACAAACTCATCATCACCGCCACCGCTGCATCGCGATGCCCACAAGGGCCACGGCCAACGCTCATATGCGCCTTGCAACACATATCTGACAGGCTCCCAGAATCACCACATGCGCAGTTCGCCGCCACTTCAGCCAGGAGAACAAAACTTTCCTGGCAAGCTCCCTTCTTTCTCTGAGGTATATCCTGTGATACCACATTTGCTCCACGACAGCACAGCTAAGTCATGCAGTTTCTCCACACAACACGAACAAGCACTCCGCCACGGACGCCGCAGCGCCGCAATGAGTCGGTCGACAGCTCGCCTCACGTTCAACCGCACTTTGACGATGTAGCATGGAACGAAACCAAACGCAGACGTGTAGACACGCTCTGTGACATCTGGGCGGCTCGCCCTCTTGAGCAGCCCGTAGTCGAATCTCGTCGTATGAGCAGCGCCATCGATCCTGCTCTTGGTGGCTACTCTCCCCGCGTCGCTCAACAACATGCACTGCCGCCCGCGGCATCCAGTATGCATCACCGTCCCAGTCTCTCTTACCCACCGCCACATCAGCCACTCAATCCCCATATGCGCCATGGATCCTCGCCTGGCCCCCCAGCCATGAGCTTTTCCCAGCCCTATGTCCAACAATCCGTCTCTCAACCACCAATGCCTCCACATGGAGTCATGTATGAACACCGACACAGCTACTACCAAGAGCCCCAACCACCCATGTACGGCAGCTACGAGCGACCCCAAGAGGGCTACTATGCCCGCGCTAGCTATGGTGGTTACGACTCTTCCTACGGCGGAGATATCCGCTTCCAGCAGCATGTCGGCCCCGATCATGCATTCAATAGGAAGCGACGTGGCAACCTACCCAAGGAGGCGACCAACATGCTCAAGGAGTGGTTCCAGCAAAACCGGCAATCTCCTTACCCCACCGAGGACCAGAAGATGGAGCTCTGCAACCGTACGGGATTGAGTCTGAACCAGGTACGTGTTTATTCTTTCCAAGTCGTCTAGCTTGACAGACTTACTACATCTGCCAATCCCTGTTCCCCCAGTGTCATGTCTGTCCACCAGTGTCAGTCCTATCAGAATCCACGTTGGATTCGGGCCGATTGACAAACTGGATCGTTCATTCAACATTACCAAACCTTACCAAACGATATACTAACATAATGCAGGTGTCCAACTGGTTCATCAACGCACGCCGTCGTGCCCCACAAAAGGAACAGCGCGAGCGCGAGGCTAATGGGCCTGAGGCATGATTTGCCTGAAAGCAAGAGGTTGGGCAATTCTTTTGAGCCACAACCCGCATCAATTCTACAAAACAGTCAGTTTGGTGGTATACGATACCGATAACGCATCTTACTAGCTCCTCTACTTGTCTCCGCCATTCATGTGGGGTTGAGCTCCCAGATAATTTCATTTCTGAGCGACTTATATTATTATTTTCCTTTGCGGACAGCACTAGACACTACGACGTTACTACCGGGTGTCTAAACACCTGGTACCTTTTCTTACAGTCGAATACCCTGGGGCCCAGACGGAGCATACATTTGCATCATGGGAAACGGAGTCTTGGGAGGCCTTGCGCTAGATACGCAAACGGTAACTGCGCTCGTGTTTTGGAAATGGTTTCGGTTTTTAAGTTTCTCTATCAACATAGTCTAATCACAACACATCCATTTTTCCCACGCTATCCAAGACCCTCACACCCGTTGAGTGACATACAGGCGACAATCAGGCCAGCCTCGCCTTGGAGGGGACCCCGCGGTAAAGTTCGCAGCCAGAGAGATGGTGAGACACGATTGGCAAGTGGCACTATGCGTTGACACTGGAGCCGGGCTATCAAACTATTGAAAGCTTAGCGCTCCTTCCAAGTAGCACTCACGTCCAACAGGCCAAATACGGACTCGGAGACCCACGGCAGGCCCAAACAGGAAGTTCCTCTGCACAAGACCCCGGCGCACAACACGGACGGTACTGTAACCTTGAACGTCCCCCCTCAAAACGCGCCATCGACGGTTCCGGTGTTTCATCCGGCTCAAGTCAAAACATGACGTACAACGGTCATGCTGCGGACGCTGCAGAGCAACCGTGGTAACGAGTGTTTGTGCTGCCGGAGAGAGAGACCCCGGCCACATGTATCGACCAGTTGAGCCATGACATGTTTCAAGATATCGAATCTCCTTACAAGCACAACACCACAGCCAAACGTCGAAAGCCTTGTCTCTGTCGACACTTCAGACCAGCCTGGCAATTTTACCAAATGCGGCCATGGCGCACGGGAAATGCCTCTGCCAGCCTACGCCGATACTCGCAACTAAACTTTGAGGTTCCTTCGTTCCCCTCGGCAACACTCCACTTTTTTTTCGGTGCCAATTCCCCACGACCCGCGTCTTCTCATCGTTGCAGATCGACAGTCGCCCTGAACCTGAACCAAGTGAGGTGAAGGAGGCTTAGACCCTTGCAGATATGATGGCTCCCGGATCGCCCGACTCATAGGCTGCGCTCATCATTGGGGGATCGGAGCCAGGGGCAGCTTTTGGCTCATGTTCCCCGCTGCCTTGATCCTGCCGGAAAACAAGGACCAAGGACCGCTGTAATTATTTACTGCAGGGGTGCCATGGAGCGGCCCGGCGAGTAGGCACTGTAAGGGACCACGCTTATGATCCAACTGACCTTTTTGATTGATGTAGACAGCGGTAGGGAGTGACAAACATACCAGCATGCGACTTGTATTACCCCTGCAATTGACGTTGCTGAAGTTGTTTTGCCACAATTATCACATCCATCACATGTTAATTGCGACGTTGTGAAGATTGAACAATCCAGACCACATGCGCTCTTTCCCCTTTCCCATAACTACCCCGGCCCTTCTCGTCAAAACTGCCTAAAGTGGACACATGCGCCCTCTACCTCGGGACCGACCGATATCCTTTCATCTTGCATCAAGAGTCACATATCCCCCCGCTGTCCCTGGTTAGGGACAGCGCGACACTGAGTATCACGGAACTTTGCGGCCCAAGCGCAACCCACTCGCGTCTCGAGACTGGAGCGACGTTACCTCCCGCGATCGACTGTCTGTGTCTCCATTTATAGTACCATTGGTATTTGTGAAACAGAGCCTGGTACGGATGGAAATCACGATGAGCGTTTATCGAGTCTGAACTAGATTGGATTGGGAGAGAAGAGAGGTGGAGATCGTGCATACAATGATGTGATGAGATGAACGTGCCGTGCAGCTGGTCGCGTGTGTTAAACATTCCTTAGCACAGACCCCGTATGTAAAATGTTTGAGAATTCCCCCCCAAAAAAACCTTCATCATTATTACAGTAACTATCATATGCAAAACATGACGATTGCCGTTTTCCCGGTTTCCGCCCCCGAAAAATGTCACCATTGTGATGAGCCCACAATTTTCTGTTTCTATAGTCTTCATATTGAGATCTTCACTTCTTATCTCGTGTTCTCGGAGTATGTGCCGATCGATGGTTCAATTCTGCTGATATGCGGACAGAAGCTTGTTTTCTCATGCCAAGGCCATGTAGGGTTTGCGTATATCTTTAGGGAAATCTCCGCAACGGGATAGACTAGGGGATATGACGATCTGCAAGTGCGGGCAGGTACAGCACTAGTTAATCGCGCTCGCCATGCGCTGGAAAGTCCCGGCTGGTGGGGGGAGGTTGGTATGGTCCATGACCTAAGGTTGGAGGAGAGATGATGACAATCTGAGAGGGGAGGAGGGGTACTCGCAGTACTGGAGGTGAGCAAGTTACAAGCATTACCATCATTTCCACCCTGAGGATGCGACTTCTGTAGAGGATTTGATGGGTACCTGAGTGGACAAAGAAAGATATAGTAAGGGACCCTCTGCCACTCCCCTCTACACCCTTTTTGCATCCAAACCCCAGTCTTTCCTGCGAACCAGGCGCACACACCACTGTACAATAAACCACGCTTCTACATCGTCATCGGCCATCGTCATGTCTCACCACCACCGCCAAGGCACCGCTTACCTACTACCCTAATACCCAATACACCGCATCAGCACCAGCAAGCAAAATTCTGCACGGACGATTTCAATCACGATTACGCCTTCGTACTAAAATCCCAACGCCCCAATCTTCCTACATCTCATCATACCATGGATACCAGTACATTGCCCGACGAGATCAAAAACTTTCCCCCGCATCTCTTCTGATGCGTACGGTAGTTCCTTGGTATCGACTGATACTCACTGTAGTCTCTTGGTATCGACTCTAGACTTGATCTACACGCCTGCACATCGTACCATAGACGTCCGCGCATCGCTACCATACAAGGCTACAAATCGTACCATGCATGCTCCAACACCTACATGTGCAGCAAGGCACCAGTGCCACACGTCTACATAAGCGTTTCAGTACCGGCCCAGCGGCCAGACTCCCCTCTTTCCATCCCAACAAAACTTCTACCCGCTGCCTGGCGACCCGACCCGCTGCATCGGAGCCCGTTCGGTCCCGATCTCGCGATGTTCGATTTATGAGGCGCATATTCATGCCAAGGTTTCGCGGGTTCCGGTTGCGGAGCGATGTTGTAGGTTGGACCAAACTTTGCTGATGCATCGCGCCCGGCTTCGGAGGTTTCCAAGGTTGGCACGCGACCGAGTTACGCGATATGAGGTATGTTTTGGGCGACATCGGTCGAGGTAGCTTGGCTGGGTGAATAGGGATATCATGTGACAAGGTTTACGCTGAGCGGGAGAAATTGAGTAATTCTGGGGCAAGTTAGGTCATCAGTCTCTGCGTACATGTAGTCAGCTATCTCATATTTGTGCAATGTGAAGGTAAAGACCACGAGGTCTGAAAATCAGGCAACGCGCATCAATTTATAGCGAGTGCGCACTAACTATACGTATACTTTTCCCTTCTCCCAGTATTCAACTTGATCATCCTCCAGACGATTAATTACAGTACAATATGCACGGGTATCACATCCAAGATAAAGTCCCAAAAACGCCCTTCCCGACGACTACCTTCAAAATGGAAATGCAGGAATAATTATGTAATGAATATCATCTTTGACTCCCCTCAAGCAGTGCAAGCCTCACCCCAGTCTTCTTCTCATACATGCGCGCCATGTCGTAGACAACCTCCCCCCATTCGAACTCTCCCTGGTGGCTTCGCTGCTTACAGGGGCTTTGCCGGAAGGGGAGAAACCAGTCGATGATGTTGTTACCCATGGTGTCCTTCCAGCCTTTCATGAGTGTTGTATACCACGGGTGCTCCATGGTTCTGGTTTGCATGACGACATATGAGCGGCCAGATGGGCGAGTGACGGTGGTGAGGATAGGCCAGTCCTCTTCGGCTTGGGCGTCCGATTTGTGCCTGGTCGACGACGTAGGTGTGGAGTCTTGTGGTGAGTCAGAGATGAGGAAGGCGATGTTGTGGATGCCGCCGCGTTGAATGCCTTCGACCGAGGTGTAGTTGATCATTAGATTCCAGCCCGTCATACAGGTCATGGTGAATGTGAAGATACAAAACAGGACGGCGGTTACGAGGGCGCCAATCCAGGTGCCAGGTTTTGAGCCCATCTGAGAAATGTCAGTACAATGTATACCATGTTCAAAGAAGGTTCAGATATATGTACCTTGTTGCTGCGCTCTGCAAAGAAGATGGCTATCACGATCCAAGTAAAGGTTGTATACAAGGCCGCATAGAAGACGAACTGCATAAAATACTTATGAGTTGACTCGGCTATGATGCCTCCCGCCCACGGGCAGTAGTGATCCATCTTTCTAACACAGCGCCCCAGCTCTTTGCAGTGGTGTGTCCGGTCTGGCTTCCAGTTGTGGCACCTCCCACACCAGTTGGGCACCCCCTGGTAGTCGCACAGGTATGCATCGTACTGGTCAAATGCGAAGCCCTTTGTACTAGCTCCCTCCTTCTCTTGCCTCTTATCTCCCAGCGGAACTAAATCCGGCTTGGACCATATCATCTGTAGGAGGCGCAGCCATGCGACGAGCAGGAAGAAGAGGAGGATGGCGTAAACGACGATGAGGGCGATACCGGTGGAACGTCGCGGCTGGAGGGCGTAGTCTCTTTGAAGACTATCTGGGGGGCTGATGAGGTACTGGACGCATATCAGGTACGTCAACACATAGGTCTCGTAACCCAGTGCGCCTAGTTCGAGAAGAGGGATTATGACCGAGGTTGCCTGCGCCATCTTCTGCTCCCCAGCCGAGTTGATTGCGCCGGGCTTCGACGTGCTAACAACGGCCGGTGGCGCCATAGCAGAGAGTTGTTAGAAAGGGTACGGTTGGCGCACTCGCTAGAAGGCGAGCCTTGAGAAGGCTGGCGACGTGAGGTCGCACTCAGGGCCTGCCGAGGCGGAGCCAAGCGCGCGTGCGCGTGATCCCGACGACTGCCAACACCACAACGTCATTACCTATACAAATTTCATGTTAATTCATCCACGACTACACAACTGTATTTCTTGGTCCATCAAGAGTTTCCCCACATTTACCTGATGTTTGCTGCTAGCAGTGAGCCATGTAGACGCGTGCTACGCGTAGTCCCACCCTGCTGACGTTGTCATGATCGGCACTACACCAAACGGCTGTCGTCGTCTCCACCGCATTGGCCACCCGCTCTATCTCCTATGCATGTCTTTTGTTATCCATTGAACTCGTCTATGCGGCTTCCAGTATTTGCTCTTTGCAATGCTTCTGAGCCGAGCAAAAGCACATCGTTGACTAATCATGAGCGGACAGCACGGTGCATCAACCCCGCACCATGCGTCCAAAAACTCCACTCACAGCCTTCTCGAATTTTCACATTTTCATTTCCTCTTTCCCTAAGATCAATTCAATGGGAATAAGCGCTGGCCCCGGCTTTGCGGCTCTTGCAATGCTTACTCTGCACTGATGACCAAGGAGAAGCATCACGAGCACACCGCTGCTGCGAAGCTAAACCGATTACACCTCACCGGACACACGAGGCTGAAGGAGGACCACGCAGAGCCTCAAATTTCCCACCTATGCTTCTGCTTGAGCATCGCGTGACTGCCATCTTTGGCCCCGGACAGGACTTTCTCGCTGTTTGCAGCTTAGTAGCGCCCAACCATGGGGCTGAAAACGCCGGATTTGGGTAACACTCTGTCTCAAACATGTTTTTCAGGCTGTCGAGGCTCCGTATTCTCTTGAGTATATATGCTTCGCCGTGCATGAAGCAAAAACAGTACCGATTCATCGCCGACGCGTACATTCCCCTCCGCGACCCGATCGGGCCATGTTTTGATCAATTTTAGCCTCACAAAACAAGGCAGCATGGTTTCAAGTATGCCTCGCAGGCGCCTGATCAGCTGAGTGCCGAGGATTGGTACGGACACGCCGAGCAAGGGAAGTTATCGCCTCCTGTCACGGATCAAATGACTGATCAAACGTCATTCGATCTAGATGGCCCAATTCCAAGGGCATGTCAGTGAGGACGACCGGCTATCTCTGGAGTCGACCCCCTATAGTGCTCCAAATAGGGAGAAGCACTGTCGCAATTCCTAGTTGCCAACCTCTCTGGCTGCCGACACGGCCCAACCCAACGATGAAACTTGGGTCGAACATAATCTTATGGTCTAAAAACATCTAATTTCAGTATAGCCAAAACTCCAGTAGACTGGAATGGACCTGGTCAACCGGTGCCAACCGCCTCCAGCTGAATTACGGGATATGTAGACGGTTGGGCGCGGCAATAGATGTGGCAGTGCCGACGCCATTTTATTGGCCTAGATACAAGAAACTCCTGTCCACACAGCCCAATAACCCTTACGTCAGCGTGCCGTCGGTTTCTGTTCAGCGTGTGCTCAATTCCAGGCTCGTCAAGGCTTTCATTCGGCACGTCCGATACAGGGGTTGTAGTTTCTCCAAGAACTTTAATTTGGAGGATTGACGCTGCCTTGGAAGGGGTTGTGTTTTGCCAACTTGCGTAGTTGCATAGTTGCGCAATCATGTGTTTAGGTAAGATATTGTTCGGACCCACCCATGTCCCCCTATCGCTGAACGGATAGCAGTCGTTCTAAGGCCCCGAGCAATCCTCGTTGCACAGTTCCACTCTGTCCTTCCTACGCGGGCAAATCAGGCGAAAAGATATGTCTTGTGACATGCCTCGATATAGACCGGCCCCGGGCGGCAACTCAGTACGCCTTATCAACCTGAGTGCTGGATACGTATGCAAAGGTACTAGCATTTGTCGCCTTATGGAGGAATTCTTTTGGTGATGGGCCAAGGCTTACAAACCTCAGGAGGATACTCGCCCTACGGCAACGAAACGTCGTGAGAATGCAACCATGTCCTACAATGAGGAATATCCGGTGCTCCGTACGTCCTCGAGACCCGCATATTCTATACGGTTCATCGCTATCCATGCTTTGATCCAACCCTCGGAGCCTGATTGCCTTGAATTGGCCGCCACCGTTCATGTGCCCGAGCATTATACCTAAGGGCCCAAGGAAGGACCTACTGTCTGTGTGATGCACAGCACCAGGAAAAGAACCAGCCGAGGCGGATGCACAGCTTGTTGTACAGAAATTGGTTCTCATAAAGCTCCCTACATCTCCTACTATTTCCAGAATACACACTGAACAAGTCTTCACTGCAATACATCTGCTACTCATTGAACCACTTTCACAATACTTCTTTGAACCCAACAACGACAATCATTATGGCAGTTCTGTCCACTCTACATAACCAGCTGTACTCTACACTGGTACCCGATACACTGTCGGCATACTCGCAAAACCTTCAATTGACAGCTTCAATCCCGTCCATGTTCCTCCCGCAGGACGTTACACTACCCCATCTCCTTCCCACTGGGAAAATTCACCACGAGCATATTCCACCACCTCTCTCTGCTACCTATGTACCTGCGCTAGGATACGACCATGGTCCAGCACCGACAGACGGGGGTGAGACGACCTGGTACTGCAAATCTTGCGGAGATGGCCCTTACCCGCATTGGCAAGTCAGCTGCCAGAATTGCCATGCACACAACCACTAGACTTTCGCAGCCGTCGAACACCGAGGTCACATCGAACAAGCACTACCTTCCGCACATGCGTATCCAATTCCGAAAACCTACATACCCATTGTCTCTCGGTTATCCAGCAATATCGATAGGTCTATTTGATTTCTAGCTGAGGATTCTTTTGGTTATAGACTGGACGCTTTTCTGTATCTTTGGCTTTCTCCATAGCATAATGACCTTGTCGGCGCAGTCTGGTGGATTTCTCCCGCATTTCAGCGAGGCGTACACGTTTTGAATCTCTTGGTGTCTGTTTCTCGAAGGCCTCACGCTACCCGGAGGATGTTTGATTTCCTAAGCCTGATTATTTTGTGCTTGTTCCGTTTGCAACTGTTTCTGTATTATCCATACTCCGCGAATATCACTCTTTCCCTTATACCACGCTTGAATTTGGCCATATCATATCCACGCTTCTGAACGGTTCCCATCGCAGGATTGCTCAACCTCTCAAACGGGGGATCAGACTGTACGCAATATTGCGAACTGCAGGTTGCAGATGTGACTTGAGGCCGCACGCGAGACCCTCGATCATAACGCAGGTACGCGTACATGCGGCAGGTTTGACAGTGAGACCAGAGCGCCTCTAGCCAGCCATTCCTGCGGCCAGGTCAGAAACAGGAAACGCTTTCTGGTTACCAACAGCACGCGGCGAAGCATGGTTGGAATGCCCAATTGCCAATTTGAGTTAGACGGTATGCCTCGGGCGGTGACTACCTAGAGAATTGGTCCTCCGCCAAGGAAACCCGCCGACCCAACATCACATCAGGCAAACAGACTAGACCGCATCTAGTATTTATTTGCCTGCTACTTACAATTAACATACCAAGGCATCATATTCGGGGCTATGTAAAACCTTGCGTTGCGATCTTCCTCACCGTTTCAACCTTGGGGACAAGCAAGAGAAAAAAGAAGGCATGTTCTCATGACTCCTGTCTCCACAGCAATGCGCCATTTTATTCTGTTCCTTTGCTACGCTACGAAACTCAGCCATGGTCCTCTTTGCCCTTTTGGCGTCGTACAGCAGGCAGCAGAGGAACGTCATGGACCGTGGCCGTGCCCTTTCAGAGTGGAAATGAAGCTTTGGCAAGCTATGACTGCCTGAGGACAACCTTAGCGGTGGCACAAGCAGGATTTGAGACGTGAAGCCAAGATTTTATAGGCCAACGAGGGCAGCGGTCGTGGCGGTGCTTTTGTTGAGGCATATCGATGTCCTTCTTGCGGGACCGGATGGGATGGGCATAAAGAGAGTGGTATTCTCGTGGGTTTCTCAACAGCGACCACGGCTACTCAATACCAGCACAGAACCAACAAAAAAGACTCCCACTCCTCTTCAAACTCACATATTTACCTCTTTTCCATAATTCCCTCATCAACCCCACCATCCCTCCACCCAACCATCCACACCTCCTCCCAGAACTAATCATGTCTGGATATTACTACTGCTCCCAGTGCGGAGACGGACCACACAACACATTCTACAACCCCACCTGTCCCAACTGTTTCCGGTCCCAGAACAACAGCCATCAAACCATCAACATGAACCACTACGCCTACGGGTCCGATGCCCACGAGACTGCGAGCTACGCCACCACCGACATCAACTACATGGGTGTGGGATATCCGTCCACTGCTGCAGGCCTCTCAGGCACCAACTTCCCCTTCAACCAATGCCCGACACAGCCACGAAACGACCATTGGGTCTGCTGCCAGTGTGGACAAGGTGGTGGAAGCGTTGCCAGGGATGAGGGGTGTGCGACTTGTTCCAATCACTGGCGATGCCCTGAGTGCCGAGTTTATGATGCTTCTAAGAAGAAGTAGAGGACTCGAGCGCGGATTGTGAGTACATGAATCCTGATTCTAGCGCTATTGCTGACCAATAACAGATCCTTGGATTGGAGCGGCGTTGCGGGCTGATCGGTCGGGAACTAGGGGGGATTGTTCGGTAGCTTTCCTTTGGCAGGGGTCTTGTACTTTGCTCTTTTTGTTTGTTGTATACTCTATGGTTTGGTTGTCTTCTCGTATACCCATGTTCTTCTTTGTGTTTCTTAATGCATAGCGGTGGAGTCCCGACGCATTCGAACGTAGCATAACACTTATTGTTATTTCATGATCTCAATAAACTTCTTCTTCCTCCTTCGTTGTTTTGCGCCGATGCGAACTCTTGTTGACCCACTCAGGCAGTCTACGGTCCAATATGCTGCGCCTGTGCCGGCGTCCGAAGTAGTGGCAAAAAAGCTCTGATAGTGTTATGGGAACCCAAAGCTGTCCTTCGTGATGTTGAGATGATGCCCAAGGCGAGACTTGCGATCGGTGAAGCTGAAATGCCCGTCGAAAGAAACGGGAGGATTAATGCTCCTACCGCCACAGTTGCCTTACACCTTGTGGCCCGCAAGTGGCCAAAGCCCCCCTGGATCGGGGCCAGGAACTGTATCCAAGACATGCATGCAGGGTTGAGAGGCGCAAGCCTACGCTTCTACTTGCTGTGCCTGTCGACTTCAACCCTTCAACCTCTTTTTTTTCTCAGATGGATTCGGCGGTGAAGGTGTAGCTTTTCGTGTTGGGGCGCCGAGTCTGAAGGACAGAGGGCAAAAAGGGCACGCGTGCTTACGGTAGCGGTGAGGCCTCATTTTGTAGGCGACGAAATCTGCAAAGTTCGAGCTATTAGCACAGCCATGTCGGTACCCACCCTACACCATGTTACATTCATCAAAAAACACGCTACTGCGGGACGAGACATGACTCCTGGTTGAGCTGAAAGACAATGGTGGAGGGTGTGAAGTCGAAACAAAGCCCTGTACGCCCCACGGCGCCCTTCGGCCCTGCCGTTTGAGGTACCATGGCCTTGGGGCACTCTTTAGTTCTTTACTGGTTATTGACTGGGTAGGATCGACCCAGCATCGACTTCACGTGTGGACTGATGGTTGCTGTTCAGCGTTCATGCATGTGACCCATCTGGCCCTTTTCGGTCGGTGCCTAGCTGCGGGGTCAAACAAGGAGGGCTAAGCCCTCCACCATCATGTGCTGGCGCAGAGGCGCAGCTGAGTATACGATGCTAGTATCAGGCGTCGAGAAATAATGTTAGAAGCCATCGTGGGTTTCCAAGAGGAAGTTCTGGGAGTAACTGGGTCTCCGGAAGTCGGCGGCCGACGCACTAACTTAGCGCGTCTTCTACCTGTATCGTAGACCCATCCTTGACCTCAATCGATGCAACCGCCTTCTACGATAACTAGGCCACGATTGTATTTCCAAGCATGTTCTTTGCGCATGTTCCCAAAGGCTAAGCGCTAAGTCCGGAAGATCGGAAGAGAAGAGGAACCGGGCCCTATCGAGATTAGTCCAAGATGCGGAGAGGCACTGCCGCACCTGGGCGCCAGCCTCCCTCTCATCCGCTTACGGCATATTCCTAAATCAAACCTGCTACGTCGCCATTTGCAAATCGATAGAATGATCATCTTCAAAATCTCGAACTGTCTCTAAAGATAACTTCATAACGTTTCCATCACCTACCTAATACACCCAAGTGTGCTAGTCTCGACTAAGAGCTAAATCGCGTCAGGCCCTCGATTGCTGCGATATCTAGTGACTGTCGTTCGGTTCCGAGGAGTACTGAATTGTAAGCAGATTGGATTTTGTCAGCAAAAGAGACCGAGTGATACAGAAGCGGGGTATCTATTACGCTGCTTCGTAATCTTTGCCATATCGAGAAGGCGGCTACGCGACACCTGCCTGCTCGAAGCATCTATCATATTTTCGTCATTACCTAATCTCGTATTGCGAACTCGTCTTCTTCATCCACCATCATCATCGAATTGATCATACAGTCTGTATGGCAACCTCACTGGCGAGTCAAGAATCACGACCTCGTCAACTTTACAGCTATGTCGCGCAACCGCAGTTGTACAGCAACCATCACCACCCAGACCGCGAAAACAAACCAGAGGGACCTATTTCGATTGCATTTACCCGGACAAGCCGTCGAAGCATACACACCAACAACGACTTCGTCAAAGGCGTAGTCCACGTCAACGCAAGGTTGCAGGTCAAGAACGTCACCATTAAGTTTATCGGCAAGACAACATGCCGAATCTCCAACGACCGCAATCCTACAAACCAACACGTTGTTGAGATGGAACTGTTCTGCCGCGAACAAGAATTGTTCAAGAGACCAATGCCTAGTGCCTCTTGCCCTCCTTCACGCGTAGAGTACCTCTTCGAGTTTTGGTTCCCGGAAGCGGTGGAAGAAGCTCCTCAAACGGGGAACCACCCGAACTTCAAGGCAGACAGTATTTTCGAACACGAGAGTGGTCATATGCTTCCACCATCCTTCTGGTGGAATGAAAGCACCATCTGCAACGAGTACTTTCTGAGAGCAGAGTGTGTCGCGGAATCGATTTCATTCACCCTAAACCCTGTCGTGATACATCAACTGCGCTTCAGCCCATCAGTCCCGGAACAGAGCCTCCCAGCTTCGACTCCCCTCTTACCAGCGCCACCATTAAGGCTAGAGCGCAAGTCTCAGCCGCAGTCGCAGTCTCCAGCTCCGTCGAAAGAGCGGCGTCTCTCGCTAAGACGGCTAACCACGGGCCTACGTGGCGGGGATAAGAGCGAAGATGCATCATGCACATCTTTACTAGTACTCAGCGCGCCATCCCGGTACCGCGTGGGTGCCAGTAGCAGGATCAAGCTATCACTTCAAGCAACATTGAGCGAGGGTCTCGATCAACCAGCACCCATATACCTCCGGGGTATCCGCGCACAAGCCATCGCACACATCCGCTACCGCATTCCCGTTGCCTCCCTACCCGAGGAAGAAATACGTAAGGAGAGCATTGAAAAGTTTGACCTCTTCAACCAGCGCTACGTCAAACCTGGCATAGAGATAACACCAGAAACTATTCTGGACGGCTTCGAAATCAACAAAATTGTACCGCCAACTTTCAAGACATATGGTGTCGCATTGACGTACGACGTCAAGTACAATCTGTTGCTAGATTGTGCGGGCAAAGAGTCGGAGCATGAAGTAGAGATGAAGGGCATTGTCATTGAGCCCATGACGCGACCGGGCGGTCATCTTGGTCCGCCGGAAGGTCCGCCACCTGCCAATGGCTCAGAGGAGAGTTTTGCCATGGAGGACATGATGCGAAATGCGGGACATAGTAACGGAACGGCCGGCGATGAGCCACCACCGTATGCCAGACAGATGAGCTGAAACTACATGAAAAAGGCGGCTGCAATGGGAAATCCTCAGATCAAAAAAGTATATCAAGTCAAACGTGGAAACAATCTACTTGCAGTACCCAGGATATATCCACCCCACTCGTAGTATAAATAAGCACTCTCAATGTATGTTGGTATTCTTCACGGCCCATCAAGCATATTCTGAACAGACACGGGGCGATAACGTATTCGCCAACTAGTATTACGTATGTTAAGAAACGTGGTATCATGAAAACAAGTACTCTCCAACCCAGCCCTCAAGGTCGCACGCAAGCAACCAAGAGCCTCTCGTAGTCACCACGCGTCTCTCCCTCTATCCGCTTGACCAAGTCCTTCTTGTAGACCTGCTTGTACGCCTGGCTGACGGCGCCCATAAAGTTCCTATCCCAATGACAGCGGACGACGCGCTGAACGAGGAGCTCATCCTTTGTTCCGAGGCCGGCCATGGACTCCTCTAGGCGAACAGCCTCGGCCTCAGCTCGGTTAGTAGCACGGTGCACCATCAGGCGAAGCGCGTCTTGCATGTGGCCAGAAAACGACGACTTGAGGATACCGTCAAGCGACTTGTGGAAGCGTTGCTGGTACGATTGCGCAATGGCGCGGAGCTGGGCGTCGTTCTTGCTAGTAAGAATCTGGCAGACTTGGGGGACGTTCTTGCCAACGAAACCACCCATTCCGGCCTGGAGATCGGTAACAGCTTGCTCGATTTCCTGGGGGGTAACCGGGTGAGAGTCTTCATTGCGGCGGGCAGCGATGATCATATCGTACATTTGCTCGGTACCGGCGCTAAGATCGCCTTTGAGATCTGACTGGAGAGACCGTTTGAAGAGCTCCTGGTACTTCTGCTTGATTGCGTTGAGATCCGCATTGCTGCGTCCGATGAGGATGTCATCCAATATGGACTCTTTTGTACCCAAACCCTTCATGGCGTTCATGAGGTTGTAGCAGTCGGAAACCAAGGGACCCCGAGAAATCTCTGCTAGGCCCCTCGCAAACCAACCACTCGTTTCCTTCTCGAGATCTACGACCATGCTGCGCATGAATCGCTGGTCATACTGCGTGCGGATCGTATTGATTTGAATAGGGTCTTTCTTGGATAATATCGCAATGAGCGCTTTCTCGTCCGTACCAAAGCCCTTCATCGCCTTACGAATGGCTTCCACATCGTTGAGGACATTAATATTGGCCGTTTGCTGGGGGCCATATCCGAGAGATGGCTGAGTTGGGGGACCCCCGAATCCAGCCTGTGGGGGTTGAACACTATATTGGCCTGGGGGTGCGCCGAACTGGCCCTGTTGCGGGGGTGGAGCGCCCCATTGACCCTGGGGTGGCGGCGGCCCTCCGTACTGACCTGGAGGAGCGCCATATTGACCGGGAGGAGGTCCATGTCCTTGAGGAGGAGGAGCACCGTAACCTTGCGGAGGGGGAGGAGCACCATATTGACCTTGTGGCGGCGGCGCGCCATATTGACCTTGCGGAGGGTACTGGTTTGGCGGCGGCGCACCATAGCCCTGAGGCGGATAGCCGCCTTGTGGTGGATACTGTTGATTATACATAGGTGGTTGTTGTTGATATTGAGGCTGTTGTCCGTATCCTTGGGGAGGAGGGGCTTCTACAACATATTAGTACTTAGGCGTTCATCAGCGCCAAGTGTGCCACGGAATGAAGGATGGTTGATCATCGGGCTGTACAGTGAGGGGGTGACGACTTACGGCCCGGGTACGGTTGCTGATACCCTCCTGGCTGGTTGTAATACGACATCTTGGCTGTGTCTTGGGCAGGTGTACCGCGACTTGACTAGAGATATGCGCAGCGCTTCGTTGAAGCAGGCGATATGGAACGAGAAAATAAGAGTTGACTGAAAGACGTGGTTCTACCCGATAACAGAGTGGCTGAGTCTATCACTCAGCCTGGTAATGGTGGGGCAGCTCAAGGAATTAGTTTGGATTTCATGACGACTGCCCTTGGCAACGCCCAGGCGTAAGCGAACGCACCTGCAACCACCGTGTGACCCCAAGGTAGCAGCCCAAGTTGCCCAACTAACAGAAGACCGGCTGTGCAGTGGCTGGAATGTGGCGATGAAGCACAGCCTCACGGATATCACGTGGTAATTGTAAGCCCTGGATCTCGCGTTCTAGATATGTAGCCACGCGATACGTACGCGACTGTCGCGTCCGTTGGCGCATACATAGTCACCCAAGCCATTTATAGTGTCCTTGCTCTACCCCGAAGAATACTATTACAAGCTGATAGAGCTCAGTTATTGCATGGACGAGGTGGAAATATGCAAGCGATTACGAAGAGATACATAGCTTCGATATGTACCTCGAGATACTCTACACTCATCGTATCGGGCAACCTGGCATGTCGTAGAGATGCCCATCCGCTAAGGTTCTTTGGCAACGTAAGTGCGCTTACGAGTCCCCTTGATCCTCATCCTCGTCATTCTTCGTACATGAAGCTATACTCTTGCAAAAAGAAAAAAAAAGAAAAAAGAGTTCTGCTGTCCGTGGAACAACCCCCATACAGAGTTTCCTCTGTCGTCAGACGCAATCGCAGCTTCCTCATCCGCTGGCGCAAGGCTGAGCCAAGCTTATGCTAAACTTTGAACTCTCGAGGTCTCCACCAACAACACCTGTTCTCTGCACACCATCTACGATGTACTAACTTCAGGCACCCCCGACGCTTACCGTTCTGTCGGGGAACCTTCGGCCAAAACCGTGACATCATAAGGCAGAACCTATGTTGCCCCTCACGTTTTGCCCCTCACTCACTTCGATTGCACATCACGAGCAAGACTTGGCGCGCGGGCTTGAATCATGGAAACATCAGTAATTGGTGAGCCGCAGGACTCGCCTGCTCAGGTGCGCATAGGCTCGGACAGATATGTGGGCCGATGTAGACTCATCGTTGCGTACAACTCACGTCTACAGTCATCAGAATTGCGAAACAACTAACATTTCGTGATCCATTGCAACTGCATATCGACACTGCAGCCAAGTAATTTTAAGAAATCAACTAACCAACTATCGACTTCAACTGCACAAGAGAAGCATCAGATCAGCCGCATACGCCATCACTAAGTTACGGTTCGCCGATCACCAGCCCTTGGAAAACGGACAACGGGACCCGGCACAGCGCTACAGATAGCAACCTTGTTAGCAGTTTACAGATATAAGAAATACCTGTGTCCAAGTAGACATCGTCAACTCCACCATCTTTGCAATGGCGACCTACGATTCCAACAGACAGGGCTATCAACATTCGCAATACTACCCACCGGCATCACAACAACAACCACCCTACCCAATATCACCAGCTCCGCAGTCTCAGCCTCACAACTACTTCCCCCCGATCCAGGAACAACAACCAGTATACTCCTCGTCGCCCTCTCAGCCATTGTACTCTTCATCCCCGCAATCCACACACATCATGATGCCGCAACCACAAATCAGCCACCACCGCCGCTCCTCGTCCTCTTCCTCATACAACAGCCAGCGACAAACACACATGCAGCCTCAGCCCACATCGATGCCCGTCCGGCAACCAGACACCCAACAATATCAATACCCCACGTCCTACCCCCCACCCGTCACCTACGCGCAACAAGCCCCAGTATACGCTCGTCCATCTTCCCAACATAGCCACTACAGTCACCACAGTGAGCACGCATACGACCCCCATGCGTACGCCGACGGCGAGGACAAGTACGAAGGACATCACTACCATCATTACGGACATCGTCACGATGACCATTACGGCAGTGGGCTAGGTGAGGATACAGTGGGAGAGTATAAGCGACGGTATGCCAAGAACCAGAAACTGGAAAAGCGGCCTACGCTGGGAGATAGTTTGTACAAAACTATTGGTAAGGTGGGGAAGATTTTGGGGTCGGAGAGGCATTAGTGTGGTGTTATTACGAGTGAAGATGATCATTACGATGGAAGTGGATGGGAGTGAGGTTCTTGGATAAGACACTTCTTCTAGGCTTTGGGCGTATAAGCTTCTTGGGATCTATACATTGGCGTTTGAGTGGAGCGTATGGATTAGAGTTTTGATACCTCATGTGCTTGTGTTTCTTCACATCGGGCCACTTTCAAACTTGACGAGGCAGGAGTATTGGAATGACAATTCAATGACATATGCAGTCGCACTACAAAGTTTCCGCTAAGCCAATGACATGAGATATCGTGATTCGAAAGAAAAGAGACATCGGAGAACCCACCACGACAATGCAATCAGGAATAGAAAGAGTATCTAGATTGTTCCCATGTGAAATAACATAACCGAGGAGGATGGGGTAGAAGAAAAAGCCAAAGTAATGCTTAACTGCATCGCTTGCAGAGATGTGAAACTTGCCCCCGGCATTGCTAAAACAAAAAACCCCATGTTATGCCAAGTAAAAGCCCGATGCTAATTAAGGCCAGCGTGTTCGAACTTCAGCGCTTGAAGCCGATTCCCCCAACGTGTTTTGTGGCGCGGCCGAGGCGATGCATGCATGCTACTTGTGAGCCCAAAACTTTTGTTTTCTGTGCCTCTCCTCTTGTTGTTCCCCGTGTCCTGTTCGTAATCCCTGCTCGCAACGTTCGAGGCCGTTATCATGTCGTGGTGTGGGTCTGCCGACGTAACGCCAATGCGGAGCCCGCTTCCAACTCAGGATTGCTCCTTATCGCGTGGCTTGGGGTAATTTGCCCAGTGCCGTCGCGTGTGCTGCAGGGTATATCATTGCTTTCTGCTCAACTGCAATAGGATAGTATGCATCCAGTGCATGTAAGCCTGTAGGTACAACGAATCGATGATGGTCGTGATGCGGGAAATTCGCTCCCTATGAGATTTCGCCAATGTGACGCAGGCTTTCGGGCTTCCATGTACCTGTTGCTAGTCAGTATTGGTAGATTTAATATGAGGTAATAGTGATATACCCTCAAAGTTGTGCTTCACGAAAGCCATCGGGTCGTCGTCTTCGCCAGCTCCCATAGTCTTAACACCAGGGCTGAAGCTTGTGATGGGCAGGACGATAACGTCGCCGACCTTTTTGGGTGCCTTCATTCCAGTAAAGTGTTCCCACGTAATGTTGCCCTTGCTTGTGCTCATATCAAAATATTCGGGGTTGTTGAAGTACGAGAAGATGGAGTCGGTCCATACGGCAGGGCCAGTAAACTCGATTATTCCTTTGTGGTCCTTGGAAAGCTTTCCATCGCGCTTGCGGTTGAGTGTCTCTTGCGTGATGTTGGCAACAACGTCGATAAGAACAGGGTGGCCGGGCTTGGATTGGATAGTCCATTGGCAGAACTGGATACGACGAGAGTACCAGTCGGCCCAGTCTGGGCGGTCTGGGTCGGCCTCGATACCAATGACCATGCCGTAGGAGCTTACAGGCACATCCGAGGGTATCCAGTCTGACGCGGGCTTCAAGGCCGCCGTGTCAATGTCCGAGTAGATGCCGCCGCGGGCGAGGAGGATCAGATAACGGAAAAAGTCAGCCTTGAGAACGGGGACTGGGAGGGCGTTGTAGGCTTCAATGACTTCTGGAATGGAGGCGTATAGGTGTCTGATGAGGTGTACGGCGACGTTATCGGTGATGACCTCGTGTACAAACGAGGGGTGGTGGATACTCCAACTAGCCTCGGGCTCGCGGAAAATCTCATCGAACTCGCCCTGTGCGGGGGTGGTCTTCCACGTCTGCCAAATGTAGGCGGGAGTCTTGGTGTCGACATCGTAGGGGAACTGGTACTCGAGCTGCTCTTTAAGCGGCTTCTTCCTCAGCACATCCATGGCAATCTGTGTCTTGGGCGGCTTGGCTGGGGAATCTGGCGTGTTGAAAGACTTGTCGCTCTTTTCTGATGCCTTGATCGCCTGTGCTGCTTTCGCCTTCTTCAGCTCCTCCTGAACTTTTGCGGCCTTTTTTCTTGCGCTCTCCCTATCGGCCGGATTTACCCAAGCAGTCGGGCGGGGCATGTCTTTGGCATTGCGGAAGTTGGGCGCGGTGTTGCCGTGGTGCTGTGCCTTGAAAATGAAAAAAAGCGTCAAACAGGCGAGTGAAAGCACGAGGGCTTTCTTGAAAGAGAGCATCGTGGGTAGGGTGGGCAAACAATTGCCAGAAGGCGGCGCAAGAGGGGTGGAGGGCGTATACAGGAATCCAGGTCAGATCGGGCCAGGTCAGGTACAGGTGCGAGGTGGGTAAATAAAGGGCACAGGTACAGGATTCGAGGCGTAGAAGGGACGGTTGTAAGCGTGGTACAGTGTGGTATGTGATTCTCTGCTTCGGGAAGTGGGCAAAACAGACTAGTGCCGCATGCGGGCTGGCGTGTTGATTGTTGAGTGAAAGAAAGACAGAAAGACAGACAGACAGACAGACAGACAGACAGGCAGGCAAGTCTCGAAGAGGTTTTCTTGCAGGAACGAAGGACAGGCGGGATTATTGTACATGGGCGTAGGCGACGTGTAGGCCTTTTTGAGAGGCGCCAAAGAGCCCCAGAAGGCGGCGCAGGGGAGAGAGAGTTTCAGACGGCCTCGGCTGCGCTAGGGCTTCTAGCGTGCCTGTTGTCGACGAATTGCCCCACGGTCGCTCTTGACCGGGGGCAAAGCTTGTGCCAAAGCAGTTCGCGCCCCGAGTCGCCTCTTCCGCATACACCCAACGCCTGCGACCCTGCGCGCACTGCCATTACGACGCCTAGTCGATCCCACTCAATCCACGACATTGCCGGCTTGTCATGTCACGTCCAACGCTCATCTCAGCTGAGATGCAACAGCCGCGCATGCGCCTCCTACGATGCAACACCGACTTTGTTTCTCGTGCACGCCATGTAAGGAGGAGTGTCCCTCTAACCCTCTCCAAACCTCCCAAAACTTCGCCAAACCTACCTACCTGTCAGTAGTTCTAGTTCTAGAGCTGCTCTTGTTGCACGACTCGCTCCCTCGCCTACTTGCTCTGCATGGGGCCAGATTCAACATTTCCATTTCCAACCGTGACGCGCGTCGGCTCCAAGCACGGAAGGTGCAGCTGAAACGCCGCGTCCTACCTCTTGTAGCATAGTCCTCCCGTGCCCTCAACTACGCAATTGCAATACTCTTGGTGGTTGGCTATCCGCCAAACCGGACATGCATACTAGAACGCCCGCAGTACCAGCTGAAGCGACTGTGAAGAACATAAGACTTGTATCTCATCTGATGTGATGAGGAAGTTATTTGCCTAACCTTGTCGACTGCTGCACACGCTTCTCCTGTCCAACTTGCTATTGGTCAACCCCTCTCCCGCCTCTTATCGCGACATGAGACGGCACATGTACATATACACTCGTCCATCTCGGCGTCATAGAGCCACGATACTGGTTGTGCCGCCTGCACCAACGCGCTATATACAATAAGCACCGCGTCGTCAGCCTGGAGTGCAGCGGCTTCTTTATTGACTTGTCGTCATGAGCCACTGTCAAAGGCAGTTGTAGCTAATCGGCTGTGAGAGGCCAAACACCCCTGCGATAACGACACCCTCCCGCTCCTAGCATCTTCCCATCGTTCTATCCATCGTTCTATCTCGTACGTTTCAACGCTTCCCTATTAGGCTACCGGGCCGTTGCATGCTCTTTGGCGCATATAGCCAAGACATGTTCTACACAATACCTATCTACGTATGTACTGCTTCTTTTCCATCAATCACTGTCGTTGAGGTGCATGTTGACTTCATGACGTCACTCGGCTCTACAACGGCAAGTACCACGTGCCTCAGCACTTGGACCGTTTTCCTCCTGACCATCTCCCCCATTCATTACTGCCTTCTTCCAAACCCCTATAAGTCCACTGCATTATTGATCAAATGTTACTATGTATTACGAGACGTTACAGACACCACACATGTCCCCGTTTCAGCTTCCCGCCGCGCATCTCGACATTCAGTCTTCACTTAACTTTTACCCATCGGGGATATTGTTCTGCCGAAAAGATCCCGTCTCGGTACCTACCATCCGTCCTTGGCGAAAAGCAAAATCCCGGGTAACACCCGCGAGTCAATTGTCGCGGGGAGCAAAAACTGCCTATTCGCTATTAATAGTGCTGCTGCGCATGGCGAAGAAGACGTATCCCAACAACACAGATGCCTGTTCAACTGCGTTATGCGATGCAAAAGCAAGTCGATGTTTTCTCGTGGCGCCTGCCTTACCCCAGGGGTGGCTTTCATTTCGTCTAACCAAATCTACTCCTATCCACAAATTTCCGCTGATCGCCATCTTGACTCAACTAGCAGCAAGGGTGGATTTGACGACATTAGCCTCTCATCTTCCTATACGATGAGTAGCGTCTCAACAGCATCGACTACGCAGTGAATCGTTTTAAAGGGGTGACATGTAAAGATCATCGTTCAATTCCCACGCAGAGAACCGCGGTAGTTGTCAATATGCAACGCTAGGCATTTGAAGGCAAGGCTTATCGAACTTGGACGCAGTCAGCAGCACCAACACCAACACCGAGCAAGATAGGATCGGCCAAGGTGTAAAACTTAGCTCGGCTCGGTCGTATCCGGTACCAACACGAGGTCACCGCAATGTACCAAGGGCTGACTCGGGCTACCTTGCTAACATAGAATTGCTAGCCTTGTAACAAGATTCAAGTACAGCATGCGAGAAATCAGGAGCAACCAAGGCTGGTTACTCATGCTGAACTTGAGAACACGATCATGTTTGCTTAGATCAGGACACAATTACGAAGCAACATACTTATGGCGGGACCCGGGCCGTGCCCTGTCACTCAGGGATCTATGTCTTTTGTCCAATATGGAAGCACGGTTGTTGCCATGTGGGAGGACAGAGGTGACTAGTTTCTTCTCTATGTGGAAGCTGAGGCGCGCCACCCAAAATCAATGCGACACCAGGTGCCCTCTCCCCGTTTGCGCATGGCTTGGATGTCCATAGCGACGAGTCGCGCGACTTTCTCTCTGTTTACCCATTCGGCGACGGCATGACCACGTTCCTGTGGCTGCAGACGCCACTTGACATCCTCCTTATCTTTGTTATCTCTCAACCACCCCAGCAACTGCGCGGGCACGATACCTGCTGGCATGTTCTGCAAGCTCTGACTGTCACTCGGTATCCAGCCCTGGAAGAAGTTGATGTAAACGATCCGTCGCCAAGCGTCGTTCCAGTCCGGTCCGGGGATCGAGGTTTGAGTGTTCCAGTCTTCGGTAGTCATGGCCGTATCTGCTGATGTCTGCCCGTCATGTGATGTCAGCGCTTTCAACCAGTAGCAGCCTTCCAGATCCAGCCACTGTAAAGAGTAGGTATCTTTGGAGAAGCGGCGTAGTATATTTGTGGCTTCGTGCCAGTCGTCATCCAGATCAGAGTAAAAATGTGTACCGCCCAACGAAACACTTGTATGTTTTCCGACCATGGACGTGGTATTCGCGTTCGGAGTCATTGAAGGGCGGGGCCAGTGTGCAAGTGAGAGGTGTGTGATCTTGTTAAGATTCGGCGAAATACGAAGCAAATCTGGCCATGAGGCCCATGGCCCGGGTTTCGCAAGAGACAGCCGACTGAGATTGGTAAAATGTGGAGTTTGAAGCTTCGCTGCCAGTGTTGGTGCATTGACAGCGCTTCCTTCCGCTTCCTCCTCCCAAGACTCGGCTATGTCATCATCTAGATGAAGTGTTCCAAGATCGACTGCCACAGAAGCACTACTAGGGCGTTTGATACACTTTCCAACGTCATGGATTGTAAAAGCCTCGTTCAGCAGTCCAGAAAAGTCGAGGAATTGCACCTCTTCCCATGCTGCTGCGCTCCCATTTTCGATCTGGAACAATATCTTCAACGACTTGAGGTCCAGGCTTCCCTTTTCTCCGTATATCGTCAGGTAGCTCAGTAAGGCTTCTTTAAGCGATACTGGCAGCTCTTTGATATAATGTTGCTCGTATTCCGACAGTTCTTGCCAATGTAGGGCAAAGGTTCGTAGGCAGTAGTGGACAAGACTTCGAGGCGGTGGTATACGCTGTTATGAGTGAGAAACCTGAACTACAGCATTAAGCCTGGCGACTTTGCAACACAAGAGGGGCGCCTGTACCTTCCTGTCCTCATTGGAGACGCGCGCCAAGGTGCCAAACCTCGCAGTACCTCTACTGTTTGCCTCTGTCTTCTTTTTCCTCATGTATGCGGGCGCATGGCGACTTGTCTGCAGCCAGCTGCTGGGTGCTGCCGGTCCCGGTGGTGGTCTTGCGCCCCCAACGATCCGTCTTGGCCTCGCATTAGCCTTTGGTTTTGGAGCATTAACTTCGGGTATGTGTAAGATGCGCCGCAACTCGGGCGGAACGGTACGACTGCTTACTGCAGATGTGAGCTCATCCCGGACCTCTGGTGTCGGTCTGTGAGCCTGTTCGCGCCGGAGCTGTTGTATGCGCTGGTTGACGGTTTGCGGTTCCGACGACGATGACGAAGTAGCCGGGGCTCGCGAGCTTTGTAACGAGGGATGGACGTAGCTTGGTTTTGCCGTTGTGTATGAGGGCGTGTGCTTCTTAGGCATGGCGCCGGCTTGATGGCCGATTAGCTATGCGCGGGGGGGTGTAGATTGTCTGTTGCGCTATATGAGTGATGTCAAAGTAAGCGAGGCGTATACGACGGGTGAGTCAAGCAGCTATGACTCCATCACGGGGCTGGATGGAGAAGGCCTGATCAGGATAGACTCGCTGTATGGGTGATTCACAGAAGAAAAGATGCTGATGCGTGACTCAATGATGCTGCGAGGAGAGCAATTGCAGATGGTGAGGCCGAGCCCTAGAGGTTCGCCATGACGCCATCTGAGGTTTGACGGCCTACGCGTCTACTGTACACGCTCGCACGCAGTGTGGCGACTACCCGCCGGTGTAAGTGTGGCAATGGCTGTGCATTGTGTATCTGAGCGCTATTCTCAGCTATGCAGTGTGACATCTTACGATGCATACATGGCAGATGCCTCGTGTAGACGTATAGGTAGAGACGGCAGCAGCAAGACTAGCTCTCTCTAGTCTTCCCTCGAACCGAAGGCATTACAGGATTCGCAGCTTCGCTTATAACGCTAGACGGACATAAGTATATAGCGTCTCCGCGTTCCAAAGACGACGCGTCGTTCCCCTTCTCGCTACTTGCCTTTGTTCAGAGTAAACTCGACTTCGGTCCGTCTCTACGTACTCCCACAGTAGCGCAACCAGCGAATTACGCATACGGGAACACATGCGAGAGCCTTAATCTTTTGCTAATTGCTAAAGATCGAGCATGAAGAGCATCGGTTTCAGAAGTAAGGGGTAGTGAAAGTAGCCTTGGTGCTGTTTTTCTCACCACCATACACGCACGTTTGCGACGTTCACGCCTCCCCCTTTCCCGTCACGTCGCTCCCAAGTATCCTCCTACAATAGGTACCTATTCCACCACGTTGCCACTACTGTTGCCAACCTGCACCTAGTAGTTTCTTGCGCATCTGGCCAGCTGTCTTGGCTTCATCAGAGTACGAAGGCGTGGCCGGGGGCACATGCTGGTAGCTAATTTTATCTTCGTAAGCCACGGCAGATGACGATCCTCGCCGGGCAAGATCCGCCGTTGGTGGAGCCTCAGATTGGGCCTCGTGCGTACCCGCCTCGAGCTGAGCGCCGCTCCTATCTTTTTTTTCTTTACGCATCTCAACCCACGACTACCTTTACGATGACATGACCTCCTCAGCCCCCGTTCTCTACTTTACCCCGACCTTTGGATTAGCCATGCGCCGATACCCCTGAAAGCATCTAGTCATTCGTTCACACAAACATGCATTTCTCGCCCTCTCGCCTTGTCATAGGCTTCACCGTCTTCATTGCATGCAGCTTCTTTTACACAATAAACTCAATATCCGCTCGCGATCCCACGTCCGTTTTCTTCAGCCCACGCAAGGGATACGCTCCCCGCTATTCTGCCATCCGCCGGCAACAGGCGGAAGCCTTTATAGAAGCCTATAACCCCGCCAGCGTCGTCAAAACCTCGCCCGACGAGAAGAAGAGGAAGCTATGTGTCGGCATACCTTCGTTCAATCGCCCCGGCGCACAATACCTGCCCGATACCGTCGGCTCACTGCTCGAAGGCCTTACGCCTGAAGAGCGACAGGAGATATACTTCATGGTCTTCATACCCCACTCGAAACCCGAGACACACCCAGCGTACCACGAAGAATGGCTCTCTGGTCTTACAGACCAAGTGCTGACCTACGGCTACGGCTTCGACCGCATGCAATACATACGTGATTTGGAGAGAACCAACAACTACAAGGAGAAGGGCTTGTTCGACTACACATACCTCTTGAATGCATGCAAGGAGCAGTACACGCCCTACATTGCATTGTTCGAAGATGACACCGTCGCCATCGACGGCTGGTACCACCGCACAATGGCCGCCATCCACGAGGCTGAGCAACAAGCAGCCTTGCAGCGCGCCAAACCCTACTTCCTCTACCTGCGTCTATTCTACACGGAAGAGTTCCTCGGCTGGAACGCAGAGGACTGGAAGACATACCTAAAAAACTCCATATACGTGGGCATCATTCCTGCCGTCGTCCTGGTCTTGGTGCGCTTCGCCCAACCCACAACCAAACTTTCGCTCGTCCTCCTAACCCGCCGCACCTTCATTGCAACCTACGCCTCGCTCGCCATCCTCATCCTCATTTTCTTCGGCCTCGGCCGCGTCACCGTCCTCCCCATGCCCGTCGGCGTTCACGAAATGTCGCAATTCGGGTGCTGCAGCCAAGCTTTCGTCTTCCCCAACGTCAAGGCCGGCGAGCTCGTCGAATACTTCAAAGACCGTCACATTGGCTACATGGACGTCTTGACTGAGGACTTTGCAAACGAGCGCGGGGAGCTGCGATATGCGGTCACGCCCAGCGTTGTTCAGCATGTGGGCAGAGCGACTGGTAACGGGCCGTGGAATAAATGGGGTATGCGCGCGGACAAGATTTGGAGTTTTGCGTTTGAGAAGTTTGATTGGAGGGCGTTGAAGAAGGAGCATGAGGCTGTGAATAAGTTGAGGAGTCAGAATGAGAGGGCGGTTGGTGATGGTGGTGGTAGTGGTGGTACGTGGAATTTGCGCCATGGCCGCGCGTAATGTTATGATCAACTCATGTGTATGATTGCGTAGTATACCCATCAACAATTCAGGCGTTTCGTTTTTTTCTTTCTTCGAATTAGAGTTTATTGGTTATCTTGAATCTGTTTTCTTTCCTTTCATTGCTTGCGGCATAGGATACGGGAGCATAGATGGATTAGATCATTGATGCTCAACAGGCGCGTTGATGGACTCATTCAGACCACATGGTATAATATATATCTTGCATTTGAACTACTTATCTCTTCTCCTCAGTTTCCAGTCGTACTTGTAGTTATGCTGTCAATAACCATTTATCACGCTCTCCTCGCGCAACATCACTTTACCTATTTCCTTCCTCTTAACTTGAAGCGCGCAACATGCCGCAGCTAACGCAACCCTATTCATACAAATGACTCTTCTCATGACCAAGAGTACTGGACATCTACTACCGGAAGAGTAAGTAGTTCTTAGCAGTGATGCCAGGCATCGACTACAACTTGTAGGAGGGCAAAAACAAGACGCTTAAGAGCGGTATTAGTGGCGGAGAGATATATTGAAACTTAGATTGCAAGCTTTGATGATCGGTTTAGGTCTTTGTTGTCATTTTTGGGGTTGTGGTAATAATAATCTTCTAGATTTTCACTGAAACTTTCCTCGATATTTCGCTTATGCTGCGTGGTTATCACTGTTTCTTAAGTCCAATACATATAATACACGTGCTCTCAGACTGGATCATAGTTCACGAGTTTGGGTTTTAAATCCAGGTTTCTGTCAACTGAACGGCTGTTCACTTGAAACTAAATGTCGTTGTTCTGAGCTCTTTGATCTTAATGGATATGGGAAGGTAGTATTCCGGGATCTTATCATAAAGGGTTTTGAAATTTGAAGCCTTGATATCGATAACGGTTACCTGCCTCCTTCTACCAGTTGCGATTTATCCAGTGTTCCCATTGTCGGCTTTGAAATGGATGATTTAAAACGTAACTTGAATTGTTAGAGGGAAATTAGGTGTGTCTCATTTGTCCCGGCTGTTTCTGATATGTTAGCGAAGTAAATCTGCAGCCCTTACATCGATTTCTTGTTAGAATTCAGCACTCTGAGCTATGGACATGTCGCAAACTACAACCCTTTCACTATCGAGCACTATGACAAGAATTACTATGATCTCGTCGTCTGGAAACAGCAGAGAACTTTGACTCAGCAATCTCACAGAAGTCCACAGATGATTGAGACGCCACTGAACTTCCAGTAACTAGTTTGCAAGTGTCATACGATTCATTCTACGAGTGTCGGATACTGAATACAGTCATCTCCAGCTTGATTGTCTCGCATAGTGCATTTCCATAGATCAAAGTCACGCTGCTTCAATAAAAATGACCCCACAAGTTAAGTCCTAGATATTTGCACGTTGAACAAAATAGGATAAAGTGAAGAATGACGTTGGCGAAAGGCCAATGAGAGTTTGCAAAAGGGGTATCGACGAGGAAGATAAGATGCCTAGGCTTGTGTTTGGTCTAAACGAATCGAGTGGTGTTATCAGCATGCTGAGGATACACTGATTATATATCATGAAGAATTATGTTGCAAATACAGAGAACACAATAAATCAGGTACATGATATGGGTAATACATAAGTGTAGAGAGACCCGGAAAGGGCAGCAGACTATGTATGAGGAAAAAGCCTCTACTACAGTATTACTTTGCCTACTTTGCCTACTTTGCCTCCACGGCGCACGAATCACCGCAAGCTTGTTGCGTCTTATCTTCACCTCCTTCCACATCACACTCAACACCAATCAACCTCGCAAGTTCCGAAACATTGGTGTGATCCACCGTGTTCTGCATGCGGTACATGTACTCGCATTGACCATCTACCCAAACCAGTCAGCATACACATTTCAGCACATAGCAATCATTTCGTATACTCACCAGCAGAAAGAATCATCTCTCCACCATTCAAGGCCTTTGGTCCCACATAAGTCACATGTTGCAGAGTTCCCAACGCACCCTTGATACCACCCCACACCCTGCTCATGGCACTACCCTCGTTCCGCATGTAGTCTCTCTGCTCGTCGCCAGCCTTTCCTTCTTTGAGGGCAGACTTGAACTTGAACAGTGAGTGCAGGCGGAGCGTGGGATCTGTATAGATGGGATATGCAGATGAGGAGTTGGTGGCGTAGGTGTCGATGGGTTGGTAGGAGCCATTGCCTATGATGAGTACTAGGAAATTGTTAAGATTGACATCTCACATAGACGGCCGAAGAGTGCGTACTTTGAGTATTTGGAGGAAGGTTCGAAGGAGGTATAGACTTGGAAATGCACCGAACGTAAGCTTGGCAGTTTAAGCACCCTGGTGAGAATGTTAGTGTGTCCCGTTCAGCTTGCAATAGAGTTTCGTGAATGATGCACAACAGGGTAACGTCATGGGGCTTGCCATGCCTTCCACGGAATGTGCAGTGACTCGGAAGGTTGTTTCACGATTTCTTCTCCACTGTGACTTACAGAAGTGCCGAGTAAACACCAGAACGGTCCGTTTCCCCTGAGCAAGCTCCCCCAATGTCTTTGTCTTGCCCTCGTGATCATAGACCTCCACCTTCAGCGCTTGCGTTAGCTCGTCGGGAGTTGGTGCGGTATGCGCGTTGGCAGCATCCGTATCGGTGGATGTATACGATGGAACGGTCATCATGCACAGACGTATTCGAAAGAGTAATGTCTGTTCCGTCAACCTGGTGTGGGTGAGCCTTAGATCACTGATGACGACGGATCGAGACATCCAGACCTGGCGCAACCGTGGCACTAAGGACTAACGCTATCCTAATATGGTATAATGCCACTATGTTCGGCGGGTCTTCCCGATTTGACAATACCACCGTCACTTCCTCTTTACAAGCTGCACTGGTTCTTGATGCCGCTCGCAGCGCATAGTCCACAGTTCTGTTGCACATGTAAAAGTGCCATAGGATCTCAACTAACAAATCATACTTGCTCAGCGAAATTCAAATGCCTTTTGTACAAGTCCAACAGTCCAAGCTCCAAAAATTGAAAGTGACTTAGGCAAGGACAGGGTGGCTAGTTTGCATCTCCAAAGCGGCATCATGAGTCTGTGTTTTGAAAAAAGGCTGGCGGTTTATGAAAAACTCCTTGTACTCACTGTGGAGCATGCTGGGTTCGCCGATGTCCAATACGTCCATACGGCGACATAAAAATTTCAAAATAGCAACGTCGACAGTAAACATCGTAAGGGTTCAAGTCAGAACTTGGGAATCTGTCTCAGAGCAGATTTGAGGGTGAGCACTATAACAGGTCGAAGCGGAACATGGCAAATTTCAGTATTGCCAACTACGCTACATACGGTCATTCAGTGAGACGATCCACTCACGCCGTCGTATATGCGGTTACGTTGGTGGAGTTGTACGAGCATCAGCATGTTCACACCACCGCTACCACGGCAAAGTCCTAAGACGATCTTTTCCAATGTACCATCAAGTTCGCGAGACGATCGCCGATTTACATTCTGAGCCATCGCCAAAGTCTCCGGCCTCGTGTTAAACTTGATGTCGCTCGTTTTCCCCATCGTATTGACAATCCTCGTGTTGGATGATTCAAATGGGCATAGTAATTTGATTACTCGCCAAGAGGGAGCCTTCCTGAAGCGATGACACTATTACCGTTTGGGTTTCCATGTCACTCAGTCCAAGTCACATCAAGACGTCGAAGACTGGGTAAGTTCGCCGGTGTCATGCCAACCACACCAGACATCCGAGGGCATCCGATATACTGGCAGATCATCAAGACTGGCATGGCTCTGACCTTCTCTAGAGAGGATAAATTGGCCATAGGTTCAGCCCAGTACGTTGTCACCTCCCATCACTAGCTGTCTACACCACCCTCGACACATCTACTCCTCTACTTGACTCAGTTCTTACACTGATAATTCCTAAAATGTTGCCCAGAGCTTTCTTGTTTGCTTTTCTCCTCTCATCAGGTGTTTCTGCTTTGCCACGCGCCTCCCCTATGGATAAACGCATCGAGCTAGGCGAGGAACAAACTCCCAACCCGCAGCCCGATCCTCCTGGTGTTACTCCCATTCCTCATGGAAGTCCTAAACCCCACCATCATCATGGCACCCCTGAAGCAGGCGGAGACCTTGAGCGACGCCAACCTCAGAAGACACCTGCTCCTCATCACACTCCCGTGCAAAGAGATCTTGTGCAAAGCCAGGCACAAAGTCCGCAGCCCTAACCTGCTCGTGGTACTCCCAAATTTCAAGGAAGTCCTAAACCTCATCACAATCATGGCATTCCTGAAGCAGGCGAAGCCCTTGAGCGACGCCAACCCCAGAAGACACCTACTCCCACCCCCACTCCTGCACAACGAGACCTTGAGCAACGCGATGCACCTACTCAAATACCTAAACAACGACATGTTAAGCAACGCGAGTCACCTAGTCAAGTCCCTGCGGTTTCAACCCCCAAATTCGGTGCAGGCGAAACTTGGTCCATTGCAAACGCGACTCGTCATTGTTCAGCGGACAACTCTGGCTGCGATTACGAATTTGATGTCACTATTGGTGGTGGTACGGAACATTGTAGCATCAAGCGCAAGCCTGGCTCCGATGCCACTACGGAAAGCTGGTCCAACGAGCCGTGCAGTACTGGCTCGGATGTGATCATCTCGTGGAGCTATGCCATAGAGCCTGCGCCACCGCATGCTCTTATTACAGTAAACAAATGTGTGCAGCTTGCTTGGTTCGGAATCCCGACTAAAGCGCCGCCCATGGGAGGGTTGGTTGGGCTGATCTGGCCTGTCTACCTGCCATTAACCAGTAACAGTTGCCATGCACTCAAGTAAATCCATAGAGCTGTCTTCTGAGCGGAAGTAATCTACATAGTAATCGAAATTTTGACAGTTGTTTGATCAGTATCATGAATGAATGAAGTGCCAGGGGTGATGTATCCAGATACTCCCCGATAGGAAATTTTATCGTAAACACATGGGGTGGGCACGTCCCACCTACCCCCACATCGGCTAGCACTTTTCGAACCAGTCAAAACCACCGCACTCGATCGACTTCAAACGATTACAGCTACGCACCAACTTCGCAATCGCAACACCACTCCCGGCGTTTGCAGTAAACGTTCTTTTCAACATGTTTCCAGCTCTTGAAATACTGAGATTTCTTATAGGCACCATTGCCGGCCTTGCTGGCGCGTACATTGCCTTCGTCCTTCTTCTCACAATCCCAGCAGTGCAAGATCACGTGATCTTCCTGCATCGTGTAACCCGTACATGGGGCCTAGATGTCAATGTCCCGGAGCAATGGGGGTTCCTCCGTAACCAGGTTACACCATTCCAGCTCAAGACGCTGGACGGGGAGACCTTGCATGCCTGGCACGTACTACCGCTAGAGACGTACCGCAAGCACCAAGTGCAGCTTCGTGAAGAGCCAACGGGCCTTTGTTCAGGCATGCAGAAGCGAACTTCGTTCCGGCTACTGAAGGAAGATCCGACTGCACAGCTAGTCCTCTACTTGCATGGAGCAGCTGGTACACTAGCAAGTGGGCTTCGACCAGAAAGCTACCGTGCTTTGAGTGCGGCGGCAAACAACATCCATGTGATTGCTGTTGATTATCGAGGGTTTGGCCAAAGTACAGGATGGCCGTCTGAATTCGGGGTGCTTACAGATGCACTGGCACTGTTTAACTTTGCTACAGAGACGGCGGGCATATCGCCAGATCGGATTGTCGTATTTGCTCAGTCGATGGGTACCGCGGTAGCAATATCACTCATTCACCATTTGGCTATGCAGTCTTCCCCAACCTTCTTCGCAGGCGTCGTGTTGGTGGCGCCCTTTGCAGACGTAGAGTCGCTTACAAGGACTTACAAGGTTGCTCGTACCGTCCCGCTTCTCTCACCTCTTGGCGTATTCCCGCCAATGATGACTCTACTCAATAAGTTCATCGTAACGAAGTTTCCTTCGAAGGAGCGGCTGGCGGCGCTTATCCGGCACTTTGAATCTTGCAAGATTGACTTCCGGAAGCAGAAATACGATATCACGCTAATCCACGCCATGGATGACGCTGATATCCCATACAGCCATTCCAATGTTCTGTTCTGGCACGCAGTCAACGCCATACTTTCGCCAACTACAACTAAGACGTTTGAGGAATTAGAAGAGATAAAAGAGAAAGAGAAGACGCCTCTTGGAGCTGGAGGCTGGACCATGGAATGGAAAGGCAAGGCAGGCATTATCCGCGAGCAAATCCTTCAGCATGGTTTACACGATCGCATCATGAGCTATCCAGTCGTGAGCCTAGCCGTCTCGGAGGCTCTGCATGGACGGCCCACCTTTCGGGAATAGCCCGTGATTTGTCTTGGATACGGATTACCAGTGTCGTAAATCGGTCACCCGCAACCGGACGTGGAGATGGAACCCTGATGCTCACGGTCCATGCCAAATTTCCCCTCACTCCTTTCCTGAAATGTTCAATGTTAGCTCTAGCTGGCGCATTCTAGATCAAGTTTATTCGTAGGGCTGTGCGAGATTGTACGCGCACAGGGTACGAAACGTTCTCGGTGTGACTGGGATACGTACTGGGTATTTTAAGGACTCGGATGCGGACCTAAGAAACCCAAGGGCACGAGATACGCGTTGTGATCGCTCGAGGAGCCGGTAGCTGCATGTGCTAGAGATGCTAGCTGCATTGTTGATGGAGGAACTAAAAAAACACGGCTGCTAGTTTGTCTCTTTTCTGGATCTTTTGCTGGTTCAACGGTATGCATGCGTTGTATCTGTGTTGTCGTCATGCGGTTGCCATGGAGATGGCTGGCGATGACGCCGGAGATGCATTGTAGTTTGGTTGTGGGGGATGTTTGTGTTTTGTTGTTGATGGAGCGATTTAGACGTACATTTGATGCTAGGTATAGGATTCGGTGATGCATGGTGTTCAGGGTGGGGTACTGAGGTTGTATCATAGGTGCGTACAGGGGCTTTTGGCACGGACCAGGGATGATGTATGTATGTATGTAATCCATTAGCGTCCTTTATCAGTCAGAGACTACGTAGGACGGTGGCAGATGCCATTCTAGCTATTTTTATCTCTCCTTTGATGTTCGTTGGTTATGTTTGACTAATGTAGTTTAGGCATGTCCTAGCTATTACAGGGGAGGAGAGAAAGTAAAACCCTATTATAGCTGCCTGTTTTTCCTTCTCTTCAACCTATCTCTTTTTGCAACGCTTTCCTCGTGTTCCTAAGTCTGAAAAAACCTCAAAGGGGAAAAAGCCATGGGATCTTGAACGAGGCGTAGGGTTGTAACAAGCTTAGCGTAGTGTTTGTAGTCGTAGCAGTGCGTGGCTCGGGTGTACTGCGGCTATAACCTGTCGCTTAGGTTTGCAGGGGTAGGTGAAAATTTGCGAGTTGGAGTAAGCCGTTCGATATTTTTTGGTAAAGCCACAAGTGGCGGTGAGAGGAGAAGGATTCGAACCTTCGACCTCTACTAAGGACCAGGGATGATGTCAGGTAGCGAGAAGTATCTTCAAACGAAAATCCATCTCAAATCTATAAGAGATCTCGGGTAAATTAAAACCAAGTAAGGTAGGAGTAAATAAGGTGGAACTGAACAAGATAGAACTGCACAAGAGCAACTAAGGTAAAAAAGCTCCTCTCATCAAATCATGTCATAAATGGTTCTCCTGTTCAACGAAGGTAGCAAATGATAAGACTTCAAAGGAAACAACAGTCAAAATTTGTGGTATCAAAAACTCCTGCTCTCGCAAAACATCGCTCTAGCATAACTACCACCGGGGTATCTTCAGTTCAGTTCGGTCATACAGTCATTAAAACACCCCCCTAATTATCCATCAAACTATCCGCCCTCAACCTACTTCCCTCACTCTTCCCCACCATCTTTTCCCCACCCACCCTCTTCTCCTCCGCAGCCTCCCACTTACACCTCTCCTTGCAATCCCAGCACACACTCCTCTTGCAAACCCGCATATCATACTTCCACTCCTGTCTATGCAGCATCTCCCGACAATGTGCACAATCTAGCTTAATAACGATCGTTTCGCCATCGCCACGGCGTCTCGCAACGCTAAGCCCTTTGCTCGTTCGGGTGTGCAACGTTATCTCCCCGTTGTCATGCGTATGAAGGCCGTCGAAGACGACGAGTTTGTCGACTTTGCACCACCATGCTGGGCGGCCGGTGGACTGTGTGCAGCCGCGAACAGAGGAGCTGGTGAAGGCGTTTACTGAGGCACTGGGGTTAGGGAGCCAGCAGCCGTTTGGTGGGGGACATGGGGGTGTAAAGCTGCGAGGTTTTTCTTCAGGGAGTTCCTTGACGAAACGGACGTTTACGCGGTCTTCGAGGAGTTGGGTCGGCGAGCGGAGGGCGGCTCGGGATTGGGGTTTTGAATTGCGGATCATGTCGAAGCGTTGCTCTAGCTCGGAGCGTGGCTTTGAGGTGGAGGCTATTGGATTTGTTCGTAGGTTTGGTTCGGCTGGTCGGCGTAGACGTCGTGTGGTCGCGTCGATGTGGGGTTGTAGAGATAGGCTCTTCGTCGAGGAGGTATGGCTCAAAGAGGAGGTGTGGCTCAGAGAGGAGGTATGGCTTAGAGAGGAGGTATGTCTCAGATGGGTGGACGGCTTCCATACTGGCGTGGTGTTTTCGTTCATAGCTGGTGACGTAGGCCTAGACTTAACTGGGGAGTCTTCGGCATCGGAGACGCATACAGCAGAGTCTCTGTCGCTTGTTGTGGCGATAGTCTTCGTCTTCGTGTCTGATCCTAGGCATCTTGCCGTACTTGCACTGTTAGATTTGCGTCTCAATGGTGGGGTAACCGGCCTGGATTGTTGTGCTCTGTATTCTTCTTCCGTGGATCCTCTTCTTGGATCGAAAGTATGTGTGCGCCGTTCGGTTGCTGTCGCTATACATAGGCTGGGCGACATCGATCGTAGTGGTGACGAAGGCATCTGTCTTTCAACAATACACGAACCCTCGTTCTCGTCGAAGCGAAATAACCCAGAGCCGGTATTCTTGGGGTTCAGATCAAGACTCTTCTTCTCTCCAAGTACATTATTTGATGCATAGGCTATCGTGTCCGGCACAGATGTGAGCTGCAGTGCTTTGGCCGTCTGCGTATCCGTCTTGGTGTTCTTCCAGAAGGTAAAGGAAGGCATAGTGATATTGATTGAGGGTCCAGCCACAGTGGTAAAAAGATATGATAAAATGTAATGAGGAAAACTGTTTGGTGGTGAAAAGTTTCCCTATATACCACAAAAGAGGGGGTCGAAGTGTTTATTTACCTATTCTGCTTTTTCCACGCCAATGTCGTCGTCCCCTCTACACGAACAAATCAAAAATACCTTAGTGCACAATACAGGGAGCCGCGTCACGCTTGTTTCTTGTTTATTGTACCCAAATAGGTCAGGTCAGCTCAATTGACAACAATGAGTTCTTTTTCCACCTTTCTTCTGGAACTTGACTTCCGCTTACGGTTGTTTCTCCCTACTCACCTATCAACGACCACCATCCTCTTAGCGCACGGAATGTTCGTTTCGTATTCCCGAAACACAGACACAGCATCTGGTTGGTCGTATGTTTGGGTTCAAGGGCCCGTGTTACAGACTTATCGATTAGGATTGCTGCTGTTTATGCACGGTGCTCGCAACTTCATCTTCGCGTGGAGAAGACGGAAATTGGGGTTTAATGCGTGGTATGGGTAAGTGAGGTGTTGATGAAGTGACATGTATAGGTGGAACGATGTGGACGCTTGGGACGTGGCTGTGTTGGAGAGGGGATTGAATTTACGAGAACTCAGGGGTCAAGGGTTGTGCGAGCGTGATCGCTGCTATAGCTTCGAAATGGAAAATGTAGTGCAGGAGGTGTTGTTGCTAGCATGCCGTCCAAGGCCAAGCAAGGTAGCCAGGATCGGGGTCGACTACTACGGAAAGTACGCACGCCCCTTAACCCAGCGGAAGGGTCTTCGGGCATGCTATGATATTGGCAAATGCCGAAGCTAGCTATCGAGCGTACCCAGGTAGTCGCCGTGTCTCCAGGTTTCATCGCTGCATTTTGTCAAAGCCATCGGAGCACGATGGCCGTACGGGACAAAGTTCGATACCAAGCATCTCAATTCAACTCTGATCGTATTGCCTGTTAAGCTGTACAACCCATATACATCATCAAACTCATGAGCCTATGCGTGTCCAATCACATGACCCCGAAACGCCAGTTCTACTTGGGCGGCCTAAAAGGTACCGACAACCCTCTTAACCATTCTCCGCATACCCTCACCAGTAATCTGTACAGCGCCTTCCAATTCCGCACTTCTGAGTACCTCAAGGAACTCCTGGTTCTCGACTTGTTCACTTGCGCCCTCGCGGACCTTCTTGATCAAGTCGTTCGTGCGTACGCTCTGTCCGGCAGAACCAAGTTCATCTAGCGAAGCAAGGACGGCACGCTTGAGATCTTCTTTCCTTCGTCGGTCGCTGGTTGATGTTCCCTCTGTTAGGAGCGACATATCAATCAGGCCAGTGCGTGCGTCGGTAGCTGCTTGCTTGAGCGCCGACTTGATCAAACGGACAGCCTCGTTAACATCGTCGGCTGTGACTTCTTCTGAGAGACGCATTTTAGCGTGGGCCTCCGCAAGACGAATCATCGACTCCAATTGACGAGTGGTAGCTGTGATCCTTCGTTCTTGTGAACGGATATCAGCACCCAGACTACGCATAGCAACATAGGCATCTACTAGTGCTTTTGATGCGGGCTCGGTGATTTTGGGGTGGATATTGGTGCGTGCATAAGAGATATAGGCAGTCAAGAATTCGATTGGCATAACTTCGCTCTTGGAGGCATTCTCTGGTGTATCCTCGAGGTACATTCCTACGAGATGGCGAGCCATGCGACGGTCGTTCTGTTCATCGATACGATCCAGGACAAGGTAGACTAGATCGAAACGCGAGAGTAGTGTAGGTGGCAGGTCGATATTTTGTGGAACCGGGAGGTTGACGTTGTACTTTGATCCAATGGGATTGGCAGACGCAAGAATCGAGGTACGCGCGTTGAGGGTGGTGATAATGCCAGCTTTGGCGATGGAGACAGTCTGCTGCTCCATCACTTCGTGAAGGACGGATCGCGTAGCTTCTGACATTTTGTCGAACTCATCAATACAGCACACACCACCGTCAGACAATACAAGAGCTCCAGACTCGAGCACTAGCTGTCGGGTTTCGGGGTCGCGTGTGACGTATGCAGTCAGACCAACAGCGGAGGAACCCTTTCCAGAGGTGTACACACCACGTGGTGCAATTCTGTGTACGTATTGTAGAATCTGGGACTTGGCGGTCGAGGGATCACCACAGAGGAGAACGTTGATGTCTCCTCGGTATTTCGGACTACCGCCCTTCTCAAACTGCTTGTTTGTGCCGCCAAACAGCTGGAGTAGAATACCCTTCTTGACATCTTCCATCTCGTAGATACTGGGTGCAAGCGAACGCGAAAGAAGCTCGTAGACATCCGGACGGGCGCCGGTAGCCTTGATCTTCGCCTCTTCTTCCTCGGAGACCTTGCGAGTTTCTTCTAGGTCGCCCGCTGCATGCTCCGCAAGCTCTTCTTCAATGGTCGACACATCGATACCTAGTCGCTTCTTGTCGACTTTCTGGATGTGTAGGGCATCTACGTATGTCTTGAAGATATTCTTGACTGATCGCTGACGCGGGTTGATGCGGACCTGATTGCACTTGAAGATACCAGTAATCTCTACTCGGTCACCAGCTTTGCAAACATCCACAAGCTCGTCATATGCGCAGAGCGATACGGAATGTGGTGTTTGCCCGTCGGGCATGTCGTCAGGTGTCTCCTGCAGCTTGATAACCTGCTTGTTGGCGAACCCAGAGCGATTGTGCACAATCTGCATTGAGTTGGGCGAGTCGCAAACAGCACGCGGGCATTTGGTAGGCTCGGTGATCTTGCCACGGTCAATGTCCACTCTGACGCTATGGTTGCATACAGAGCAGCGGAAAAAGGCTAGTCAAGTCAGCAGAGCCCATAAAAGAGCTGTTTGAGCAACTTACCGTCCTTCATATCCGGAATGATGGGCGTAGTCCTAATGACTAGACCCTTCACACTGACGAGCTTGTCCATATCACCAGGGTTCAGCTCGCGCAGGTTGATCGTATGATCGAGACCGAACGGCCTAACGTTGTAGGTCTTCTGATCTACCTCACTGACCAAGTTCGGGATTTCTGCGAACGGAGCAGGCGATGGGCCACCCGGGGTAGGAGCATCAGAGCTCAGCATAGGTGGCAGAGAGCTTGAGTCGCGAGCTCTTGGTTGCGCAGTGCGTTGCGCTTGCGTGAGTTGAGTTCGCATCTCTGCCATGCGCTTCTCAGCCAGCTCGAGCATATTATCCTTTATTGCAACATCCATGATGGGAATGATTTCGTTGGGGTACGCTTGAAGCTGGTGCCAAAGCTTCCTGGTTGGCGGGTATGATTTCAAGTTACGAGCATCGAGGTTCAATGGCGTAACACCAAGCTCGAGCATCATCTTCATAATGTCAACATACTCGCGGTTCAGGGCCGGGTGGTTCGGAGGAAAGCTTGTGCCTTCTTCTATCTCTCCATCCTGGATCATGCGGTATTTCCTTTGGAAGTTCATCAGGAAGTCTCGCATCGCATGCCTTGCATCTACGAGAGATACGTTGGTACCCCAAATGACTCGCGAGGAATTCCCGCCTAGAACATCGGCGTCTGAAGTGTCCGGATTGGCGTTCGAAAAGGTTGCGGCATCCGATGCCTCCTGAACAGCCATGCCGTTCTCGTCGACAAACAACCTGCGGCGGCGGTTCGTAGAGCTGGTACCAAAGACATCGGAATGAATATCGTTACGGCGACTTCGTGCTGCAGACTCTGAACCTCGCACAAAGAGAGCGCTGCTGCTGCTTCCAGGGATGTTGTTTTGGGCATTGCGGGCTCGGCCAGGACTGGAACTGGAAGCGTAATGGATAGGCGAGGAGTCTATACTCGTTATTATGGTTCTCAATGTCTAGAATAAACTTGTGCATACCCCCAATCGTCATGGCAGAAGCCTTTGGTGTCGCTCCGCCATCGCTCTCATCTGCGCCATTCTCGGCCCCTTGTCCCGATGGGTTGGCAGGCGAGGAACGGAAGAACAGAGGGGATTGTGTAGATGCAGACTGAAATCTGGTATTTCTAGGAGTTGCTTGAGACCCGCGCTGTGAGGCTTGCGTGGCTTCAGACTGTAATTGCTCGTCTGGGCCAACTGGCGGTGGGCTACTGGGCGGTAACTGAGAATTTTGGCCACGGCCACTCCGTCGCGGGGTTGCCGAGGCCGAAGTGCGCTGAGAGCGGCGCTTCTCAGGTGACGACATTGTTGCGGTGCGTTATACGGTAGCAATCATGCATGTGTTGATGTTGTGAGGGGGTTGCCAGGGAAGGTGGGTTTATCGCGCCTGCTCCTTTCGACGCGTGGGACGCGTTCTGGCCTAGTCTACAAGTGGACGATTAAGTGGTCTTGGCATTACAATTGGGTGTGCAGCTGAGGGCACAGTGAAGCGTCTCCTCTAGCATGGGGATTAGATTAGAGACTAAGGCGAGGTTTCATTCCTACTGTAATATTGCAATGGTCTGACAGTGCATATGATGACAATGCTGCCAACGAGTTTCTAGTGGTGGGGCAGTAGCTAGCCCCGCTATCTAACAAATGTTTACCTTCAAGGCAGTGACCTACCTACAGGCAGCACCGTAGCTTGACGTTCCAAAGTGCACAGTCTTTGTTCCTGCCACCAGTCTCAGAAGCAACTACATCAAGATTCCAGATATCAACAGTTAACTCACCATGGCACCTCCCTCCAAACTCAAGATAGCAACCGGCGTCGTGACCCGCTTGGTCAAGGAGGAAAAGAGCTATCACAAGGAGATTGAGCAACAGGAAGCGCGCATCAAGAAGGCAGAGACCAGCGAGGGTGATGAAAACGCCGAGTACACGTTGAAACAGGAGGTATGTGTTGACAAATTGTCATGTCACTATTGTGGAGCATACATTGACCCCCGGTAGCGTCAAGCACTCCAGGAGACCAAGAACGTGCTGCCTGGCATGAAGACCAAGATTGAGCAGGCGATCGAGAGGCTGGAAGAGGAGCTTGTAAGTCAAGAGATGTGGAGATTGGTTGTAGCTGTGCTAACCATAACATAGGAAGGCAACGGTGGTGAGGCGCCAGAGGAAGAGGTTACAAAGGCAAAGGAAGCCATTGCCCAGGGTAAGGCGGCCATGAACGAGGCATCTTAGTTTTTGAAGGTTATGGGGATGGTTTCAGACACTACAGAAGACAAGAAGAATTGATACCCTGAACACCGCGCTATGCAAATAAAATCGTCAACATGACCGATTCGCCCCGAATGATCACGACTCGTCCATATCAATCGAAGGCTCTTCGCCATCCTCCTCACCGTCCTCCAAATCCTCGCCCTCTTCTAGGCCGGAAGAGTAGTCCGCATGAGCATCCCCAGAGTTCGCTCCTGAATCGGCCATTTCCGTGTCATCAACAACATTAGATCTGGCAGGCGACCGCACGACGCTTACTTCGCGCGACAGAGGCCTTAGGCGATCATGTGGCGGGACTCGCAGCGACGATGCCTCTCCACTCTGACTGGCATGCCCGGGCGTCATGCCACCATCAGGTCGCGGCGTACCAGCGTGGCTAATGTCTCCTCTCGAAGTGCTGCCCTCACCCTCGCCGTCATCATCCTTCATCATGCCCTCTTTGCGCTCGGCCTCCTCCTTCTCGTCTTTGATCATGCGCAGCATCCCCCGTGCCTCCTCTTCAATACGTCCAAACTGGGTGCGTCGGTCACTCCACGTATCCTTTGCTGACTGTACTTCATGCTCGAGTTCCGAAATCTCCTGGTCCAGCTTAACGTGAGCTAGTGCTTGCTCATCCCGAGGCTTCAGCATCTTGCTGCTAGTGATCTTCTCCGTCAGCTCATCGTACTTCTTGCGCACGGCAAGCGTCTCCTTGGCCTCGACTAGGCGCACGCGCAGATCTTCTATGGTCTTTCGGACGTGCTCCTGCTTGGCTTCAATAGCTGTTTTGTCTACAGCGTATCGCTCGCGCTCCGTGTGGTTGCTTTTCGTAGTGAATTCGGCGCGGAGAATGGCAAAGTCGAGAAGCGACAGCTCGTTCATAATGTCTTTGCGCCATATCTCGATGTTGTGTACCTGCTGTTCACGCTCAACTACTATCGCTGCGGCCTCCTCCTCGGCGGCTGAAGCATCTGGCGGTGGAGAGGGCAGTTGTTTCGGGCGCGCATCCTCGAAGAATTCGGGCTTCAGTAGGCGACCAGCGGCGTTCGTGTACGGACGGGCCTCGACGGCAAGGAGTCGCGAAACATTGTGAAGCGCATCTGTTGGTGTGAGGATGAGCTTCGAGACGGGCTACGGCTAGCTTTACCTTCATCTGTTTGCGACAGTAAACCCCAATCTTTAATCGCCATTGTGTCTTGGTGTGGCGACAGGGTTGGGAATGGTGTTTAGTTGTGACGTTTGTCGACGTTTGTCGACGTTTTCCGCTGTCTTCCAAGGCGCGGTGGTGAAGTTCAATAGTGATCGCCGCGTTTGGCAGGGGTCTTCACTAGCCTCGTGGCCCATACTCAGACGTCAATCACATTCGCTTCCACATTCGCATCCCCTCCTCTCACCTTTGTTGTCTTTCGCTTAACGAGCGCTGTTGCGTAAAGAACTTTTCCAAACAAAGAATAGGCTTACATCATCATGTTGTAAATTCTGTGGGCTTCAGCCCCATCCACGGTTCCCGGCGTTGCGGTCCTAAACTTCCTATCACATACGACCACATCCCCATCCACGACCTTTAACAACCAGTAGACACTCGCGCAACCTCCTCGCAAACATACCACCCTTCTCCTATACTCTTACCATCTAAAATCCACCGTCCGCAACACTACCGTCATACCAACCATGCCGGTTCAAAGCCTCTACGAGCTGGCTCGTCAGCGGCTCATTAAGAACATCGACCTTGTCCGCGATATTGGCGACTTGCCCTACTCTTTCCTCGGTCCACCTGTCCTCAGATTCATACAAAACCCAGATCAGCTCGCGGAGCTTGAGACGAAATGCCCACAAATACTTGGCGAGACGGGCGAGATCTGGCTTCGCTTCATCAAGCGAGACATACCAGATTGGAGCAAGAAGCCTCATGAGCCCAAAGATCCGAATAACTGGGGAAAGGTCTATCGCAAACTTAAGAGGGATGCGGAGATTGAAAAACATGCCGACGAGGTGGCTCTGAAACAGAAGATGAAGGCGTTGCAGAACGATCGCGCTCAGAACAAGACGATGATCGTGGATAGTCGGATGGCATATGGTGCAGGCGCTAGCCGTGTCTTCACTGGGCGCACATCCACTCCTTGGGGCGTGCCTTCTGGTGCGCCTGTAAAGACGGGCAAGGTCGCTTTCGACAAACTGAAGCGAGGCATGTTTGACCGTGGACGTGAACGCCCCAAGGCCTCCCATATACCCGCACACATTCTCGCCCAGAGAAAGACTACCGTCAGGCAAGCTCCGGCACGCATGGTTCGGATGGAAGAGACCAAGGCTCCGCGCGAACAAGCAGCACCAGTGGCTAAGAAGCCTGAGCAACAACCATCGGCATCGGCATCGGCGGCCCAGGCCCGCATCAAACAGAGGCCAGCACCCCCGACAAGAACGTCGCTTCCAGCAGGTCAGCAGTTCAACGCGCCTAAGCCGGTAGCATCAACTGGTCCGTCCGGAGTCGCCCCACCACCCAAGAGGAAGAGAGAACCATACAGCATGTTCCAACCGAAGAAAAGAAAGATGCTATGAGACACATCACAAGTCTATTTTCCGGCGCAAAGGTTCAACTTATCGGCACTATTGCCTAGGAGTTTCTGCTACTTGCATTCACGCAAAGTGAATCACTTGCATATCAAATGGGGTTTGGAAGTTTATGAGGCGTCTTTAGGATATTGGGTTGATAGATATAGTATAAGGAGTTATATGGATGAGGTTGTTGTATTTGGATACTTGTTTGGGTTATCTAGCAGATACGATTTGCACTTGGGGGCCACTGCTTTACACATTATATAGACCAGGACAGACTTATGTCTAATCAATCATGGATCGCACTCTGTATTCCTGTTGATGCTCCACTTAGGTATACTCTAGGACGTTCGTTTTCGCCGGTGCTGATGTTCAACAATTCAGTCAGCGATTGTTCAAGGAAACAGGCGTGTTTGTAATATCTTTACCTTCGTTAATGTTATAAGCAGTCCAGTACACCAATTTCCAGGTGAGGGGATGAATTCTTTCGTGTGCGCGCGAAGTTTTTATATCACAGTACCACAGTACCCATCTTTAGCGCACCAAACTGGAGAACCATCGATAACATGATTTGGACGAGAGCTCTACCCAGCTTTTTCACTTTTACTATACCTCACCACTTTCCAAACTATAAATGTTTTTTTTGTTATACACAGCAGCAGCTCGCAAATCAGTATCTCCTCTTTCTACAAACCTTCCCAACTACCTCAATACCGCAACAGTTAGTATTTTCAGGAAACCCCTACTGTCCATGAAAGGCTCTGTGTATTGTCAAAACTTTCGCTTACTTAATCTGACGATGGAGTCAATCGTGGCCATCTGTAGACGTCTAGATGGGAGTGATTATATTGACCCCTGGCAACCAATCGTGAGTTTGAAGGAAGACGGACGTCGGATTTTCAGGGATGAGGATTTGGGTGTCCTAGAGTCTTTTCGGCAGCTATGGTTTGTGGAAATTTTGCACTTGAAAGTTTTTACTCTACGATCAAAGTGGGCATGTAGTCGTTGTAATCCTTACGTCCTGGTGAACGCTAAAGTACGTGCTTCATCGACCATGGTTCACCCCACGTGTGTACACACATAATCGGGCACTCTTGGCACAAATCTGTGGTTAGGACCACATACATTTAATCACGGCCTTCTATCCTCCAATTATTATCCCACTCCACCTGACTGTATAACACAGCCACAACCTTGAATAAGATCAAACAGTCTCGATTTCCACCATGGACAACACTCTTATCTCCCAAGAATTGGAGGCACCATTTCCCCTCCTTTCCTTTCCGCCTGAACTTCTGGAATATATCTCTGTCCACCTCGAGGATCCCGATCTCATCAACATCCGCCGAGTATGCCGCGCACTGAACGGCCACACGGTCAATATCTTTGGAAAGCGTTTTTTCCGGCACCTCGCAGTCTTCTTACACCCGACTAGTCTCACAACACTCCTGAAAATTTGTCATCATCCTGCTTTCGCCAAGTACGTCCATCGGGTGACGGTGTGCGGAGAACAGTTCAAACAGCACAAGGATCTGCAACTGAGCGTTGAGCAATCAAGAATGGATCGTACAATTCTTACCGAAGTTTTTCAGGTACTCAAGAATCTACAGACAGTGGCAGCGTTCGCCGTACCCCAGGAAGACTTGTCCCCAAATCGTGCAATCACCTGCGCACTAAAGCAGCTGTTCGGCGACGATGATATTCCCTTCCACTCCCACACTCGAGGCTACGATCGCGTCTACGAGCTCGTCATGCAGACCCTTGAAGAAGCCAATATCCATGACAAGATGGATCTCCTCTTCGACTTCTGGGGCACAGATACCCCAGCAGGAATGAAGAAACCATTCTTCGATATCGCCTCGCCCGCTTGGAACCAGCATTTTGCCAACCAAGTCCGCGCCATCAGCCTAACGGACAACGCGAATCCAGACTGGATAAAGCGCCTCCTGACGTCCACGCCAAATGTGCTAGAGCTGGCTTTTTACGGAAACGGCTTCTCTCTTGACCTCCCTTCCCCATCAGTCGGACTGCGCAACAAGGCTAAGCTACGACACCTTGATATCTACAACGTTTTTTTCCCGCACGACGATTGGGTAGCTTTCCTACGTCTTCACGCAGACACATTGGAGACGCTATACCTCAAGCGGGTGGGCTTCATCACCGGCAATTGGCGCGAGTCACTGGAAGTCATCGGCACAATGCCGCAGATCCAGGATGCGTCCTTTAGCTCCTTGTATGATGACAAGGCTTCCATCGTTCATCCATGGACGCACATACACTGTGGTTCGTTGCATGGACGTCAACTGAATTTGTCGAGCAACAAGGACATTAAACTTGCGCTTAGTGCCACGCGGGGCGAGTGGTGTAAGACATGTCTGGGTTCGTATGCTGCGGAGAGCCACGCGGGCGGGGTGTATCCGTTTCGCGTATGCTTTCTGCTGGCGAAGCTGGCTTTGGTTGGGCTTGTTGTATATAAGGATGGGGATTGGGTTGTGTCATAGCACTATCGGAAGCGGTATCCGAATCAGCTGGCCTGATGGTATTGTTGGAAGAGTCCTTTGTTTTTGCATTTACTTTGTTTCTTTGGTTTCTCCTTCAACTTGGACATTAGCATGTATAGACTCCATATACTGTGTATCTCGACTTCACATGAATACAAAGCGCACAAAAATGTTATTAGCCTGTAAAGCAAGCCTATTCAGTGCTAGTGTAGTCTCTGCGCGTGATCTCGCCCCGTCTCGTTAGCTGCGAGTTCGATAGGTGGCTGCTCAACTTCGAAAGCGTGATGTTTGTAAGCCACCGTTCCCGGCCCTAGTTCCTGCATATGTCCTCCATGCACCTCAACTGGTTCGTTGTTCATCCGTTCCGTAGTCCCGGGAGTCTCTTGTATCCGTCTCGACCTCCGCCTCTTTATGACGAAAAGCAGTATTAGCCCCAGTATGATACCCAGCCCTATGACCCCGCCAACTGCGGCACCCGCTATCGCGCCTGTTGATATTTTCGAGGAGTTCGGGGTCGGTGTTGGAGTTTGCGACAGCGCTGGTTTAGGAGATGGTGACTGAGCGCCACTGGGATCGCAGAAGTCAATACTGTAGTATACAAAAGTCGAGTTGAAACACTCGACAGGCTGAATCTCTTGGGCGTATCCAGAACACGGGTCGGTCGTAGTATCTTTCGCATAAATAGTGACTTTGTCGCATGCACGTCAGCCCTAGTTCTCCATGTCTCACAAAGACGGGTCTGTCGCGTACCTGTGCAACCCGGGTCTAATCCTACCACCTGAAAGCTCCCATACGGCCCACTGCGCCTCAAGTCCGTACAGGTACCATTAGGATATCCATTCGGGCCTTCGAGTCCGCGTAGCGAATCTTGACAATTACCATCTGTAAACAGCGCAATCTGGCTCGCCGCCAGCGCCCGTGTCGCGAACGTCGTGAAAAGAAGAAGTAGCCGGTTCTTCATTGTGAGTGTGAGGAGTATGTGAGTCGGCGCAAAAAGCGTGTAGTGAGCACTCAAACAATAACAGCCAAACCATTCGCAATGATCGGGCCGATCCGTGGTGGTTATGACTGCGGCTGGACGCCTACTTAGATGTTTAGCTACCAAGACGCTGACAGCTCCACTAGCCGCATCATACGACTGGGAGATTGTCACCCAGCGCCCTTGGGAACAGCGAATTCAACATAGCTTGACCAGCCGCTCCTGGCCCTGCATGCAGGATTGCGGTACGGGACACGGGGCCTAGCCAATCGACCTCCAGGCTGAGATTGGGCGCAGAAGCCACGGACCAGCTGCGCGGATCCACCGTGCAGCTGAAAAGAGCTGAGAAATCTGTCTACTCGTGATGTTGTGTACCGGTGAATGGGAAGAGCTCCCGCGTGCTGAGTATGAGTAAACACAGCGTCTTCGTGATGAACAAGGTTTGTTTCGATGACGGACAAGGCAGCCACGGGTTGTCATCGTGTGTGGCTTAGGTTTGCGACAAGACATTTCCAAGATAAAAGTCTTAACTTAGTTGCTAGGGAGTCGAATATCCTTCCGCTTTGAGCATGCGACAGGCATCGATCGTCACAAATAAATGGCTTACTCAGGCCGTCTTAACGGATTTGGTAGTACCGGCGGGCAGGAAGCATGGCGGCTATCTCGCTAGCACTAGCGGACGGAGAAGGCGTGGCGGAGATATCCCCGGAGATAAAACTTTGATATCGTCGGCATCAACCAACCGTTGAACGTGATGAGGCTTGCTACACGAATTGATACAACTGGCTGGATTGTAAAATGTCGTCTGAAGCACAGCCAAGGGTTCTCCTCTTTGGCGCTGGCAGTGTCGGCGCGATTTATCTCTATTTGCTAAGCAAAGTAGCTTCTACCACCACAGTCTGCCGCTCCAATTACGATGTTGTTAAGAAAGATGGGTTTATAATCAACTCGTCAATCTTCGGGCAAGGTATACGCTTCAAGCCAGACGTCACCCACGACTGCATCGAGGCAGCAGAAAAAGCCACACAACCATACGACTACATGATTGTCTGCAGCAAAGCCATACCAGACACGATACCAAAGTTGATAGCACCTGCCGTAACTCCTGGACACACAGCCATTGTGTTGATACAAAATGGTGTTGGCATCGAAGACGAATACGCCCAAGCCTTCCCCAACAACCCCATTATCAGCACCGTAGTATACCTCCCCACCACCCAACGACCAGCCGGCGTCATCAAGCACGGCGAAGTCGAAAAGCTGCAAGTAGGACCCTACCCCTCTTCCGCCTCAGCTACGCACGCAAAAGCCTTTACAGCCCTTGTCACATCCGCCGGCGGCACCGCAGAATTCCACTCCGACGTCCAAACAAAGCGCTGGTTCAAGCTCTTCGTCAACGCCTCCTGGAACCCAATCTGCGCCCTCACACTCAGCAAAGACGCAGAAGTCCTAACTGCCTCGGAGGAAGCCGCTGCTGTTCTTCTGGACGTCATGCTGGAGATTCGCGATGTTGCTGCTGCCCATGGTCACGAGTTTACGCGCGAAGAGGTGGTAATGCAGCTTGGAAGGGCGCAGGACAGGGTTCCGAAGAATGCGGGTATTGAGCCGAGTATGTTGCAGGATGTGCAGCAGGGAAGGAGGATAGAGGTGGAGGCCATTGTGGGGAATCCGATGAGGATGGGGAAGGCTAAGGGGGTTAAATGCGTGAGGTTAGAGATGCTGTATGTTTTGGCGAAGGCACTAGATTTGCACATTGGAAGGACTTGATGTGGATGGTTCGTTTCTATTGTGGGTGTGTGTGAGTCAATTCCTATATCTCTCATCTGCGGTCAGTCATTGTATTATCACCGAACGCTAGACTGCCACGTAAATTCCGAGCTGCTAATCGATTACCTCCTTACAGCTACCCAAAGTTTTCTGCCTGTTCCAATTGTTGTGTTCTTGCTCATTGTGCGTTTGGTGGGGTTCCCGCTCACTGACATTCACTCTCGAAGCCGCCGCGCCAAGCTTTCCAGTTGCTTCCAGTTGCCCGTAGTGACCGCCAATACAACGCGCTTCTGCCTAAGACATTTTAACAAAACGTCACCACAAATTACACACTTTAGGCACAGATCATTCCCCACACTTGCCTGCGTTGCTCTACACTACAAAACACCACTCCACCACGCAGTCTCTCTCTCTCCCTCTCTCTACTCAACTGCCCGAACTAATACTCAAATTGCAACCGCCTTGCAAACTCGGTCTTCATATATACCACACACTCTACCTTTACACATTCTTTCCGATATTTCGCGATGTCGACAATGTCGCACATTCAAGAGCGCAGCACCCGGGCTACGTTCACTAGTCCTGACAGCTCGCGTGGCAGCTGCTACAGCACCAAAGCAAAGATCGTTTGCATCAGCGTCATCACTCTCAACGTTTTCATGCTCTGGAGCGTCCTGTTCTCATTCGACATCTAAGCTTTCGTCATGAACTGCTACTCTCAACTCACTGTATACTTGGAGCTCGCGGTCTCGCTCTTCATTTGCTCAGCAACCGTTCTCCTACTTTTCAACTTGGTCTTCGGTTCAGACCAGGAAGAAGGCTCCGATCAGTCCACGGACTACGTAGAGCCTATAGACAACGCGCCTGCCACTCATGACCTACCTACCATCCCGGAGCCGCTCCCCGCATACCCGCCACCACCTGATTTCCCTTTCAAGAACTTCCGCGCCACCGGAGAATCCTTTGGGTGCCACGACTTCAGCCAACCATTGTACCCAATGGACATTCCACGTACCACCTACCCGCGTCGTGACAGCTTTCATACCGAGGCCAAAGAGCCTACTGATGCTGTCGCCTGTCTGCCTACACAAGACGACAAGACCTCCAACAAGGAGACGTCGTCTAGCTCAAAAGACAGTCAGACCACTATCAAGGCCAGTAAAGTGTCTTTTGTGGACGTTGTAGTCGCCAAGCCTGCCCATAAGGCTGTCGAGCAACCTCCTCAACTCGCCCACACTCCTACACACGCACTTGTCACCCCCGCCATCACCACCCCTTTGAACGCGGAGATCATCCAGGCTCCTCTTGCTCCAGCTCCCCGCCCTGAGATCATCCAGGTCGGACTCTCGGCTGTAGAGTCATCTGCCCAAGATATGCAGATTGGCATGCTGGAGCTTGTCGCCGCCCAAGAGTTCAAGATGATGGCAGCCCTGGATTTTCTTTTCGTCGCCTTCAACACAAACGGCGCATACCGAGAACCCGCCCTTCACTTCCTAAGCATGATGGAAGAGGCAAAGACGAACCTGCTCCCTTTCTTTCCCAACGGTCTGACCGGTCTGAACACAGACCGGCTGATCTGGACGAAATCGCTCCTCGCCTTTTGGGAGGCGCTTCGACCTTATGGATACGAGTTCCAAGTCTCCCCCGAAGAGGATGTCCGGATGTTTCTCATCCGATACCACGATCTCGCGTCCTGGATGGGGCTTGGCCACCTCCTCCACCCCTTCATCGTCAACGTACCTCCAACCCCGGAGTCCATTCAAGCTCCTCCTCCACCTCCTCCTGCTATCACCATACAGCATCTCACTCCACCTGGATCCTTCCAGGCCCCATCATTCTCAGCACCAGCGGTACCCCACCCCGCCCCGGAGCCCATCCAAGCTCCTCTTCCACTCCCTTTCTCTTTCCAGGGTCTCCCTCCACCGACACAAGCGGTGCTCAAGCCCGCGTCGACACCCTTTGTTCCCAGCGCCCCAGTGTCTTTCGAGGGCCTCTCATACTCCACAAAACCAGTACCCAAGCCCGCCCCAGTAGCCTTCGCTCCCTCTGCCCCCGTATCCTTCAAGGACCTTTCATTCTCATCAAAGCCGGTACCCAAGCCTGCACCGACAGCCTTCGCTCCCATGGCCCCCGTATCCTTCGCGGGTCTCTCATTCTCATCAAAGCCGGTACCCAAACCCACATCGAAACCCTCCGCGCCCCCTCAAGCGCCCCCCATCCCACAGCCACAAGCCGCGCAACACCTCCCGGCCTCCTCAACTTCGACGCCTTCGACTGGCTCAACCAGTCGGATGATGCCCTCAATGCACTCACAGCGGAGTCGTTCCAGTGGTCCGACACTCAGCAAGCCGCATACAAGATATGGTCGTACAGCACAGTAGGCCAACTCCGTCTCCCTCCCATCGACTCCTCCTTCATCAACCACAACCTGGTGAAAGCCGCGCTCAACAACATAGCCCCCATGTTCAAGCGCGCGAGTGTTGTCCTCCACATACAGAGGACCATCGTTTCCCCTCATGAAGACATTCTGTCCATGGTGCCGCTGCTGGGCGAAGTGCAAGCTTTGCTGGAGGCGGCGGAGAAGATGACCAACGATTGTGAGGAATTGGTTGTTTATGACCAGAATGACCCGTGGTACCATGCCTGCATGTACTTTCGCAGCTCGATCATCACGAGCAAAGTCATCAATAGGTTGAGGGATTACAGGTCAGACATGCGTACGGATGTCAAAGAGCTCTGGGGCAGGATGAAGGCGGAATGGGTGGGTGATACCAGCGGTAATTAGGGTGGAAGTTGGACATATTTTTGACGGAAACTTTACCGAACTGTTTCGATACTTTACTGGGGGGTTTATTTCTGTTTTCCATGATACCCTGAGCGTGTAGGATATTGAGCAAGGATGGTTAGGGTTTGTTTCGAGTTAGACTTTTTAGTTCCTTCATCACGGTAGCTTTCGAAGTCTTTGGAATCATAGTACATCACAGCATAATGAAAAGTTGGTCCATGTGAAATCTTGTATTAAGTATCACCCTAGTCCCTAATATCGAATATAAAACAAGTGTTGTACAAATCTCAAACAACCCTGGCCGCGAGTGATAGCTCAATATTGTACACTACGCGCCAGGAGAGAAAACAGGGTATTGGAAGGCGCTTAAGCAGCGGTGGGGTTGACGTCGGAGCAGATGAGAGCCTGGCCGAGGATGGGGAGGAGGCAGCACTTGGCCTGCTGGCCCCCAGCAGCGCATCCGTCGATGAAAGCGTTGATGCTGGTGGGGGTGGTGGCAGCTGGGCGGTTGTTAGTAACCGCGTTTCTTGATAGTTTGAGAAGAAGAATGACTTACGAGGAGCGCAGTCCAAGTTGGCGAGGTTCAGGACATCGGTAGCGCAGCAGACGGGGTTGCCGGAAGAGCAGAGACCAACCTGGCGCTCATCGAGGGGAGCAGCAAAGGCAGCGGTGGCCGCGAAGGCGAGGACGGCGGTGATGGTGAACTGCATGTTGATGGTTGTTTGGGGGGTTGGTTCTTTGGGAAGAAGAAAGTGTTGGTTGAAGTGGTGTTGTAATGTTGTTGATGTGAGTTGATGTTGTGATGCTCTTCAACAGTCGACGTCGCTGCCCTCTTTATACCATTTCAACTCCAGCTGTTCAAGGTTCATTTCAAGGATCCGTCTGCGCCATTACATCGCATTGCCATCGTCATCAGGTATTCCCACTACCAGACCATGATCGTCATTACTGCCAGGGCAGCACGTCCATGATGAGTGGGTATTATGATGAGGGGCCCATCTAGTGTCCCAACTCATTGATGGCGCATCTAGACCTGGTAGGCAGTGACGTCGATCGAGGCTGTCCCGGCTTCCCTGTGCCTGGACGATCATGTTGACTGGCTGGTAGCGAGGATGGAGTGTCCGTTAGGGCTGTTGATCTTGAAACGTGCCGGTTCGAGCTGCCATGGCTTGGATATGTGGAGCGTAGATCCGTGCCGGTGTTATACCTGTTCGTGGTAGTGATCAGATGGACAGGGCGACAAAATGGGCATCTTTTGACTACCCCTGGCGCGTATTCTTACTGCAGGGTACACGCACGACATACTACATACTGCCTATATGCACAGTTACTTTCGAGCCGTCCGTTAGGAGCCTGGTGGCGAGGCGGATGCTGCCATGGGATAGCCAGTAGCACGCGAACTTCTGAGGCTCGAGCACAGTGACGTCGGTGAGCTGGGGTACCGGCTAACGAGGCACTCGTTCAAACGTCGCATAATGCTCATCTCCGCGCGAGAGGTTTACCAAGTCAAACATATGCAAAAGCATTATGCGTATGTACATGTAGACCACGGTCACGGAATTGCACGGCAATGGCCTGAGAGCCATGAATGCGATTGCGATCCTCACGTCAATCTCAACCCAGCCGGATGTGAGGTAAGAGATCCACCTACGCTATGGCGGCTCAGCACCAGGGTACTTCACATCATACGATCTTCTCAACTCTTCCTTCTGTCTTTCTTCTTTTCTTTCTTTAGCAACCGGTAGATCTCTTCAAGGTGGGCAACACCGGTAAGAAGTGGCAAATAATTCTCAAAGCCTTCAATCTTGAGCCCCGTATGTGACTGTGATAGGGATGCAGGGGACTTGTAAAAAAAACAATTGAAAATGCGGCTAAAACGCTTCTGACAGGGCTCTGTAACGAATAGGAATTTAGAAGCCCACTCCAAGTTAAGATGCGGACCGTCGACCAAAACCTGGCGATGGCCCGACCAGCGGCGTTATATAGCACAAGGGTGTGTATTGTATAGGACAAATGAAGAGTTCACTGCTCATGTCTGGTTGTGCGGGAGATTTTGTGACTCTCCAATTTACGTGGCGTGTTTAGTGAAAGTTTGCCGAACACGAAATTGAACGGCCGTGTCTTCCAGTATGGGGTTACATGCAAGGACTCCCCCGTCTTTCAGGAGTCGTTGTGCAAGATGAGAGGAACGGAACGTTGCATGCCCAGACCGTTGCCCCACTCGTTGTGCGCGTTACCTAATTTGGGCGTGACAGCCCGACCTCGCCTACATCGATCTACGTCACACCGCGACCTTGTTCCTGAACAGCACAGCAAGATCTCAACGGCTGTCCAAGAACTTTACATCATTATTTCGCAACATCCAATCGCAGGATATGCTCGGTCTATTTGAGGTGCATTACGCTGTCGACGCCGTTAGTAAGTTTCTACATGCACGTGCAGACCAATTGCAATCTTCCACGCGAGGCGATCATCCTGGCAGGTGGTGGCGCAAGGGGCGAGTAGGTAAACTAGGAGCGCATGCATGGCAGGCAAAGAAAGCAACTACCATGCATTCTATGCGGCATCGCCGGTGAATACGTTCCTGCATTGTGATGAAAGGCGGCTATGCGAGCTACCTGAAGGGAGAGTTACACTCAGATACTTTGGGGCCGCGCAATTCAATGCAGAGATGAACGGTATGCACTTGCATTACGATAGCCATTGGTTTGAGAAACGACATGTACTACTGCTAAAACAAGTACTGCGACGCGTGCTTAGCATAGGACAAACACCGGAAATGACAACTTGGTTATATGAAAGATGCTATAGCAATCTAGGGGCTAAGAGTAGGCGTCTAGACTGCAATAGCGGCGGTAGGCGATATGTTGAACGTCTCGGATAACCTCCTGAGTGTCAACAGAGCAGGCCTTTGAATGACCTCATCCACTGCAGGCGAGTACAGGGGGTCCAACCCTTCGCTGCCATGTAAGTTAGCTGGAGTGCTCTAAAATCATGATTCTTCAACTTACAGATGCATCAAGTTATCGTTAGATGCTTCCTCTTCGTTATTCTTTCCCTTATTACTGCTCATGTCAAAGGTAAAGTAATCTGCGTCGTGCTTAAATGGGCTGAGCAGTCCGTCGCTATTACTGCTGCCAATCTCGACTACTGCAGGTGTGGGTGGGATGGTAGTCAATATCGTATGAGGGTGGTCATCAAAGTTTGACATCCTTGTAGGACAGGCTGCACTCATACTTGCGCGGAAGCCTCTCGCGTTCGCTTCTGGTTGTGGAGACGAAAGGGAGACCGAGCCAGTCCGGGTCGACTTTACCGTTGGTGACGGATAATGCTGCCCGTGGCTTAGAGCTTTCTTGATGAAGCTGGAAGCAGAAGCCGTAGACGAGTTTCGGCTTCGGTTGCTCGCAGCGCCAGGATGATCTGAGCTGATCGAGGAGACACTGAGCTGTCTATCGGGTGTGGGTTGGGGCACATTATTGTTATTGTTCGGTGTAGCCATTGGGCTGAAAATCCCCCGGAGAGCGGAGATGGCCGAATCGATAGAAGACTGGATACAGTTCCAAGAATACTCCAGCCGAATGAAATCATCAAATCCTTCTTCAAGCTGCTTCATTTCGGCCAGGCAGACACTGACGGCGTCGGCGATGATTTTTGTCCCAGTAATCCAAGCGTTTGCCACAGCATCTTGAAATTCGGCTGGCTGGGCCTGGATTAGGTTGACAGCCGAGTTTGTCGTCTTTTCAATGGCGTGGTCCGCCATGTCACGTTGTTGGCAGATGTCCACGAGAAGCAATGACCGCCGATCGTGGGTCGATTGGTTGGTGTTGTTAATGGCAGCTTTGGCAGCATCATACACAGCTTTGAACGCATCTTGATGGACGTAGGCGATGCCGGCATTGAGGTTATCGAGTGTCGATATAACCGAGTCGGCGTTATCGCAGAGCGAGGAGTAGAGAAGGGCGACATGACCACTACCTTCAATGAGCGCATGAGCCTGCAGTGACTTGAAGAAGCTGAAGTCGTTCGTCCTCCTGGCGGCGTGGAGGTTATGTCTAACAAGCGCAATTCGTTGACTCCAGTGAAGTCTCCGAGTACTTTCCGACGTCGTGATGCTAGACAAGTAGATTGAAAGTGGTCATACTCTCCATTCAGTGTGGTTATTGTGAGAAGGTCAATGCTGTACAAGATATCGTTTGAGCTGCCTTGTGGTCTACGTTCGCGTGCTGATATATAGCCCACAAGCAAAGCACAGGCTCCATTATCGATCCCGATAATATGAATCACTCATTGAGAATCAAATAATTTCGTCTCATGACGTAGGTTGCTTTTGACAAACGATAACTTTGTTAGAGAGACATGGTGGTAACGGGTGGGCGTACTAGACTAGACGCCGAGTAAGGCCAATGGTTCGCGAACGTAGCGGATCCCCCCAGAACACTTCAGGGTGCTAAGACATCCCCGGATCTAGCCTTGGAAAGTCCGGGGAGCGTTCGGCTGGGTCCCATGCTTCGGTACGATGGTAGTACCACACGTTCTGGAGTGCATAGGGCTGAGACATCTGGGGCCTAGTCCCTGTACTGTCTTGATTATGTTACTGAACCTGAGTACGTCCCTCCACCTCAAGATAGTAAAGGGCCCTACATATGCTGCATATGGATACCTAGGTACACTGACGCCCATGTCTGTCTTGTTACGTAGGATTCTAGTATGGTACGACCATTTCATGATCACCCTTGTTCTACTCCCGAAAGAGACGTGGATCAACTATCTATGTACAACTTGACACGCGATGTCGTGATAATACCGTTTGGAACCGTCATTTCGTCAAATCCGGCCCCTGGGCGAACATGTGATATCATGTGATGATTGGTAGCTTTGTGCAAACTTCCGGAAAGTTTCTTTCGCGAACTGATAAGACAAATCTCTGAAGTAACGGTCTCAACTAAGCACTCAGCCGCCCACGGGAAGTTCTTGATGAGGCAGGTGAGCTTTTCCGATGGAGGAGATGTTACTCGTTCAATGCCAAGACCGTGACCCGATGATGGCCCGGCTCTTGTACTAACCCGAACATCATCCTTCGCCACCCGTTCCCCGAAATTGGCACTGCTAAGCTGCAGAGATTTTCTGATGGGAATCCTCGGCAGCTGCGTTAGACTGGTCAATTCCGCAACAAGCAATGTACTTGTACTGTTGTGGTCAAGCTCGCACTTGCCGGCGGCCGCGACCCGCTCGTAGCCGATGGGATCCTTGCTAGAAATTTTCGACCCTGCTACTGTCACGGTCCAAATTCTGCATCTTGCGCGGCAAAACCGACAATGTAACCCGCCATGTGGACCGACAATGAAAAATTGGATGGTCGACTGGCTTTCCAGAGCGTGGAGTACGCCGACGGCTAACACCACGGGTCATGGAGTCGTGCGAGATGACTCCACTGTGGTTCCCACGACTTTGATTGAAATATTGACTCTGTCCCTGGTACTTGCGCCATTGACATCCATCATACACATTGTGTCTTCGCCTTTCAAACGTCCAGTCCCATCCCCGGGTCCACCGTCGAGACTTCACCAATATGGCATCCGCTCAGGAAATAACGCCAAAAATGGACCACCGCTCGGACAAGTCGGTTTCTCATTCAGGGAGCGATGTTGAGAAGCAGACTGCTGCCCCCGCAGAGGGCGAGCTTCAGCGCAAGCTGAGTTCCCGCCATTTGCAATTCGTTGCAATTGGTGGAACAGTAGGAACTGGTGTCTTCATTGCCAGTGGTGGCTCTATTGCTACTGCTGGTCCTGCTGGTGCACTCCTGGCTTATGTCTTCGTCGGTACTCTAGTCTACTCTGTCATGCTCAGTCTGGCTGAGATGGCAACCTACCTCCCCATCTCCGGTGCTTTCACACAATATGCTGCTCGATTCGTTGACCCCTCCCTGGGCTTCGCCATGGGATGGATCTACTGGTTTTCATGGTCCATCACCTATGCTCTTGAGCTCACAGCCGCCGGCCTTATCATTCAATGGTGGGACCAGGATCTGAGCATTGGTATCTTCATTACCATCTTCTGGGTACCCATCACCGCCGTCAACTTCTTGCCTGTCGACATCTTCGGAGAATTTGAGTTCTGGTTTGCCCTCATCAAGGTCGTCGCCCTTGTCGGTTTCTGGATCTACGCAATCTGCATGAACGCTGGAGTCGGTGCGCAGGGCTACATCGGCTTCAAGTACTGGGACTCCCCTGGTGCTTTCGCGCCCTACCTCGCTGAGGGAGCCGTTGCCAAGTTTGTTGGGTTCTGGGCTGTGCTCATCCAAGCTGGTTTCGCCTACCAAGGTACTGAGCTTTGTGCCATTGGTGCTGGAGAGTCGGCCAACCCTCGTGTAACCATGCCTCAGGCCATTCGAAAGACCTTCTGGAGCATCTTTATCCTTTTCGTCTTCAGCATCTTCTTCGTCGGTATCCTGGTTCCGTACGACAACGAAGGTCTGCAGATTGGTGCCACAAACGCTGGTTCGTCGCCAATGGTCATTGCCTTTCAACTCGCCGGTGTTTCTGCCCTTCCCGACATTTTCAACGCTATTCTTCTTACCGTTGTCCTCTCAGCCGCCAGCTCGAACGTCTATTCCGGAAGCCGTATCCTTGTCGGTCTCGCTGAAGAACAGTGCGCCCCTGCGTTCCTCAAGGCCTCGAGCAAGCGAGGTGTTCCCTACTGGGCTACCGCGGTTACAGCCGCTATGGGTCTTTTGGCCTACATGAACCTCAGCTCCAACGGTGGCAAGGCCTTCAACTGGCTCCTCAACATTGTTTCCGTCGCCGGTTTCATTGCCTGGACATGCATCTTGATCTGCCATCTTGCCTTTATGCGCGCTCTCAAGGCCCAGAACATCGACCGCGACACACTCCCATTTAAGTCATGGGGTGGCCGCGGTCTCGCCATTTACGGAGTAACCTTCTGCGCCATCATTACCATCACCCAGGGTTTCACCGCTTTCGTCCCCTGGAACGTCGAGAACTTCTTCATCGCCTACATCAGTCTGATTCTGTTCGCTGTGCTTTACACCGGCCACAAGATCGCGACTAAGAGCAAGTTCATTAACCCCGCTGAGGCCGACCTTGTCAACGGAAAGTTCGAGGACGAGCTAGCTGAGACATGGGAAGAGTCATCCGCAAGCGGATGGAAGAAGATTATGAACAAGTTCCTTTGAGCAATCGCATGGAACCCATTGCGTTTGTACAAAAGTGTTTTTGGCTTGCATAGCGTAGCGTTGGGGTTGCATTGCACGGCGTTGTTTTACTAGCTTTTAATGTAGTTACGGAGATACCAATATTTATGAATTATCCGCTCCAAATCTTGCTTCCGATACCTATTGACTGATTGTCTGCTTGTCGATCAATACCGCCATACTGTGGTTGATGTACAAGACTTGGCATGTCGAGTATGGTAGGATGAAGCAGAGGGGGTCCTTGCCGAATGGCGAAAACTCGGTTCCAGAGGTGTTGGTCTGTCACGTGCGATGGCGTAGCGGAAGGCTTCGCGAATTCAGGCAAATGCGTCATACAGACGAAGGCGTTTCCTGTCACTCTCTGAAAAAGATTCGTCTGATATGGGTATCGTATAATTCAACGCTACAAACAAACAAAACAAAAGCCTAATAATAACGCGCTTGCTGTATAAAACTTCCACCCCACCCAACCAGCTCATGGCGCCTAGCACCACCCTACACCCTACATCCACAGTCTCATAGCCTCCACAACACCCAGCCCCAGAAAAGCGCCTTGCAACAGACGACTTGGCGCATATAAGTCGGCCGCTGCATTGACCATGTTATACACATTTACACCAGCCTTGCCGCCTGTCGAGATGCTGGCTCGTTGCTCGAGTGTGAGTTTCGGTACTGCGCCGTCGGCGGCGGGTGCGGCAAGGGCGGTATGAAGCAGGGTTGCGAGTAGTAATGTTGTTGGGGTTGCGAGCTTCATGGTAGTGGAAGTTTAGTAGCGGTGTTGTGCCGAGAAGAAGGTGGTAGATATGTTGGTGATGATCAGAGGTTGAACAAGGACTTGTTTATATGACTTGATATTGGAGGTTATAGCGATGATGACCTGATAGGTAGCGTTGCATCGTAGACATATGTATTCCGCATGTGAGCAGCCTGATCGCCCAGATTAACGAAGATCAAGCTACTCAGCCCCGTGCGCAGCATAGCTGAAAACATAGCCTGCTTCTTTTTTGCTGCAACGACGATGCGGTGGTACGTGACGCCTTCCTGTAGAAGAATAGTTGCGCAATCAACCATAGCCAGTCAAGGAGATGAGCTGGTATCTTGGCTTCCTTGGCAGGCAGGCAGAATAGGAGTCTCACCGTGCTTCTCGTGCGTGCCAAGGTCGGGAAGTGAGCTTATGAGATAGACTTGTATGGTTATAATGTGAAAGCATTGCCGGGTTGGTATGGGTATAGGTGGGTTTCTTTTACGACGACTCAGTATACGCATGTCCAACCTACTTCTCCCAGTACAGTTGATTGCCAGTTCTCCGGGACATCAACATGTAGCAACATATCGTTCCCACTCAGTTTCCAATGACTCCCTATCCTCGAAACCTGTAGTCCGTTCTTCCACGCTCGCTTGACTTCCAGCGGGAGCAGTGAAGTAGTCGTGGGACGCACCCTTGTCGGTGAGTTGTGTGAACGAAGATCTGTGCGAAAGCTCCGTTCCCTTTCCGCTTAGGAGCTTGGGCAATGTATTGGTACTGCTGGTATAGTTGCTACGTTTTTGTAGCGGGACTGACGGCTGAGGCGTGGAGTTCGGTGTCGATAGGAATCGCTTTACTAGTGGACGAAAGGATGCGAAGCTGACGGAGATGATTCCTAGACTGCATTCTCCGACTGACATGATCAGGCCTGGTACGCTGTCGTCTACACAATTGTTAGATGCTTGGATGTGTAAGGAGGGTAAGGAGCTGGAAGTCACTTACGCGTAGTGTCCAAGACACGTAGTCGGCCGAGGAAGGCAATACGGACGCTTCCCACAACACATGCACTATGAATTGTCAGTATAGCCCGAACTTGGTGACGGGATCACATACCTTACACCTCCTGCCAGCAACACACAAAGCACAACTCGTTCCCTAAGTGGTAGCTGCAGTTTCCAGAGGTGTGGCAAAGGCAAGAGGCAAAGTATAATGTCGGTAGCTACATTCACAGCTGAACTCGCGTACAGATATGTGACGTAGTTGATGCATCTGCGGCCCGGTATAGTGAAATCCCAGGCGCCGCGGACTGGGGTGCACTGAAAGACTGTGACAAAGACGCCTGAGGATGTGTGAGCTAGTTTCAAGTGTGAAATTGGCTAATGTGCCTTACCTGTGAACCATAACCCCACGATAGAGAAGGACAGTATGTACATCCATATGCGAAACATTTTGTCTGGGAACAAGCGAAGATAGGACGCTATGATGGAGAGCTTGGTAAAAGCGATGGCGAAGGCGTACAAGATTTGGCAGATGAAGAGATACTATAAATGGTCAGCAATTGCACTCGCTTTCGAGGTGGTTGAGGGCTGAGGGCTAATGATACATACCAATATGCAGCCCTTCATCGTCTCAAAGACACTCCCTATGGGGATCAGCCAAATATGCTCTCCCAGGCCATAATTAGTTGCTGTCGTTGTCGTTAGATTAGATCAAAATGGCGAATACGTGGTGCATACCTGCGATGCACATCACAGCTAGACCCACTGTAAATGCTGCTGCACACAGGATAAGGACTGGTTTGCGTTAGCGAAGTCATATGATGAAATGTGACTTCCTACTGTCATCCGCGAAGATACGATGGCCGCATTTCATTCTAGAATAAATCCGTAATGCAACGACCGGAATAATAAAGGCGATGAAGACGATACTTGAAGACTTGATAGCGCCCACATTGGAAGTGTGGTCACTGAAGTCGAGCTGACTGATGTCGACCCGAATACCGCCAAAGAGTATATATTTGCTGCTCGATTGTTGACCAGACATATTAGGAGAGCTCAAGTTTTTTCAGTGAGATGATGATTGCAAAAGCAACTCCCTATCCTTAAGTGTGGAGAAATACAGTTCAGTCAACCCTAGATCGAAATCTGGGTGGCGTAGTAGCATGAACGCCTCCTGTAATATGTGATCGATACATTCATAACACAGCTTACTGCTCGGAACTTTCCCTGTCATTTTCAGCCGCATTCCGCCTGATCATCTCTCTAGCGTCGTACCGATACATGCATATACGAGATTGTGTGCCTGGATATTATGTTTTCCATGAGCGTTAACATCTAGCAGATTCGCTTGAAACGTAGCGTGAAGTCTTGCTCTCCTATCATTGCTTTTGTCGCCCCCGCCAGCAAGATGAAAGCCCTGGCCCTGCATGAACGGAGGTATATGACTCGATGACCCAGCGACGAGATATGATGACTTAAGCAGTTCCATGAGTTTTCGACCAAACTTTCGATGTCGTACGTGATGGCGACAAAGACACTACACTTAGGTAGATCAGTCTCACGTGGGTACTTATGACAACTCGAATGCAGAATGCAGGCAAATTTCATATACAACTCCGCTTCCTTGGGGTACCGGACGGGTCACGTGTCAGTGAAAAGCCTTCAATGGTGGCTTCGTTTCGGTCCCAGTCCTTATTTTCAACACAAATCCAACAGTCGAAGGGGTTCAGCAACGCGCCAAAGACGACCGGATACATCAGCCACCGATGGTAGCGCGAACGGCGACCGGCTGACGTTAGGCAGAACCCAGGAACCTTCCCCGTTGCGGAACTTATACCGACGGTGAAAGTTCCTAGGGCAAGAACATGGTTTGATGAGATTGTGTGGTTTGCACACTAAGCCGCGTTGATCAATCTAAGTTGATCAGAAACGGGTTCTCGATAGCAGCAGACTTCGATATGTATGTATGTATGTAATCCATTAGCGTCCTTTATCAGTCAGAGACTATGTAGGACGGTGGCAGATGCCATTCTAGCTATTTTTATCTCTCCTTTGATGTTCGTTGGTTATGTTTGACTAATGTAGTTTAGGCATGTCCTAGCTATTACAGGGGAGGAGAGAAAGTAAAACCCTATTATAGCTGCCTGTTTTTCCTTCTCTTCAACCTATCTCTTTTTGCAACGCTTTCCTCGTGTTCCTAAGTCTGAAAAAACCTCAAAGGGGAAAAAGCCATGGGATCTTGAACGAGGCGTAGGGTTGTAACAAGCTTAGCGTAGTGTTTGTAGTCGTAGCAGTGCGTGGCTCGGGTGTACTGCGGCTATAACCTGTCGCTTAGGTTTGCAGGGGTAGGTGAAAATTTGCGAGTTGGAGTAAGCCGTTCGATATTTTTTGGTAAAGCCACAAGTGGCGGTGAGAGGAGAAGGATTCGAACCTTCGACCTCTACTACACTGCAAATTTGGAGTGCGGTAAAGGAATACCAGGCGCTTTACCACTGCGCCATCCCCCCTGCAGACTTCGATAGATCTGAAGCCAAGTGGGTTGTGACTAGTTAGTAGGCGGCGGGTGCCCTGGATTCAGTCTCGGCACCCGCCAAGACACGTCAGTGCAAACTCAAAGAATGGCCTTTGCACATGTTCGCTCGCTGCTAACTCGCGACGCGTGTCGTGACATCCAGTGGCATTAATTTGTCTTGTGATGCAGCTCCGCCGGCTCGCTCACGACACTGTCCATGCGCCTCATGTAAGTACAGTAGCGCGGCGCGACGCGGGTAATGAAGTATGCCGCCCGCCTCCCCCACATGCAACGCTCGCTCGCCCACCGCAACACCTTCATCTCCCACAGTACCTAGATCGACAGCTTGGACTACATCAGCTCACCCTGAAGGTGCAAGTCGTCTCAACGCCTACTTAGGCTATCGTTGTTCGGAGATGCGCGGGAACAGCTCACCTGATCGCCGACCACGGCTGGTTCCAACTTCACGCAAAGTGCCGTCGCAAGCGAATTGAACCGGCCGTTCTACCATCCTAAAGTGCCGTTCAATCCTTCCACGTACTCCAAGCCTGACGAGCCCCCGAGGAACGGCCTGAAAGGAAGTGGAAGCTGGGAAGAATACGGTACCAGCCACGCCTGAGGACTTGGATGATGTATATGCCCAGCCCTAGAAACGTTAACCCCTCCCATAAGCCAGAGGATCTGGGCTGCTACCATAGACCTCCAATCGACAGGCATGGAATTGCAAATCGCACTGCTAAATGGTGATAGCTTCCCGTCTTGGCACGACTCAGCAAGACCGACAACACCGCGACGCCTCGTGGCGCCGCGTAATCCTTTCGTAACTTGAAAACGTACTGGGCTCAGTCGCTTTCTTGCTGCTTCTTACTGCTGCAGCACCACGTACTCATGTAAATCTTGCTACTGGTTGAGTTAATCAAGCTAGCTGTCACGAAAGACAACTGGGAGGCTGAGCCCACCGACGAGCTTCGTTATTCACGCCGAGTTCCAATGGGCTTTTGGCGCCACGGCCCTGTCCATGTTTGAGCTTCAGGGCCGATACGAATGCTACCCAAGGCAATGCTGGTTGATGCACGGCTGGGGAAAAAGTGTTCGTGTTTATAGCTGTGGGGTTTCTCTTGAATGTTCCCGTTTACTTTTTGCTCGTTTGCTTTTGTAGCCTTCCTCATCGTTGGTCACAACATCGCTGTCTACAAGAAGTGGTCCGAATACCCATACCAAGACTAATCATACACCAACCCCGCCATGACGACTATCCAGACACCCCGGCCTCTACCAGTTCCAGAGAAGCAACCCGCAGCACAAGTGTACATCAAAGACTCGCTGGATATCGAGGAACAAAGACTGCTCGTAGAGGCTGCCAGACCGCATCAGCCAAAGTACAGACCAGACGCATCCCCAATAAACTGGGCATACCCGACACCAGCTACCGGAGACGTCGGGTCAGACCACATTTCACCTGTGCGGCCGGTGGTAAAAAGAGACAGAGACAAAGACAAAGACAATGACGATGACCCGACGTCGTCCCTTTCTATACCACTTGCATCGCCTTCTGCCACTTCAGATGCTCCCAAGCCGCCAAGACCGGGAGATGCCCAGGCCACACCCACTCCGAGTCTACCACCAAATTTACCACCAAATTTACCACCAAATCTACCAACAGATTCTTCAACAAACTTCACAAATTCGGCGCCTACAAATATTCCCGCGACCACATCAGGAGGCGGCGGTCTCAACACGGGAGCCAGCATCGGGATAGGCGTGGCAGCAACCTCTATCATAGTTCTATTTGTAGTGCTTGGATTTTGGTTCCTGAGGCGGCGGAAATCTTCGAAGCTGTTTAGTGCGGCCAAAGGCGCCTACGACGAGGAGGGCGCTAGCAAGACTGAAAGGCCGGAAGTCTGGGCGCACATGGCACCACCCCCCGGTGTTGTGGAGATGGTAGCAGAAAAGCATGTGCCTGAGCTTGCTAGTCCTGTCGTTCCCGTCGAGATTATTGGTGACCATAGGCAACCCGCGGAACTACCCGGGTGTGCGGTCCCTTCGAGCAGTGAGAAGAAGAAGGATGGCGATGAACGTCTCTTTGATGATTCACCGATCGAGCCCGATAACCGGGCGGAGATTGAAGCCAGTTTAATAAATCGGAAGGAGGTTGGTCCTTGAAGGTCGAAATCGAGTTATGATCCATGATACCACTAGCTTATGATTGTAGCAGTTTCATATGCCAATGTATTTTTTAATATTCTCGTTCATCGCGACTTGATTCCAGGTGGGATAAACATCTGATTTCCAGCCCGCGTTTCCAACCCTTCAAGGAGATCGACTGCTTGGAAATAGCACATTCTGCGGTGGCGATATTGGCGATGCGTATTGCGGTGATAAGTCCCAGGATGAACGTAGCATCGGGGAGACATCACCGAGTGTAGTTTCGGGTGATGAAACTGTGAGGAGCGGGAGACGCCTGTGCGCAGCGTCCGTGGTGGTACTCGAGTCATTCGACTCAAGTGCTATGCTCCATGTCCTCCATTGCTTGAGCTTCTGCTCATATATCTCATCCGCTTCGTTCGCTTCACCAGGACCAATGTTCTTTCCTTCTACTTCTTGCGCACTGGAGTTACCGGGGAGTTCGGGTATTGGATTCGCATCTAATTCGTAGATTGTGTGGGCATCTGCTTCGACAGGTGGAGGTGGAGGTGGGGGTGATGGAGTCGTGGCCGACCACCGCGCCTTTTCGTGATACGCGGGTTCTATATCAAGGTTTCCTGGTTCTTCGCTATTGCTTTGAGCTCTTCGAGCTAGTACGCGGTTCCTTCGTCTGATGGCAAGAAAGGCGAGGATTGCGATGAGGACGATGGAGACAGAACATGCTACGCCAATGGCAATGCCACGCTTGATGCCTGGGAGGGCCAGTTCCGTCTGTATAGCATTGTCCTCCTCTGTTGTCGATGGAATCGATGGTGGTAGGGTAGACGTCGAGTTGCGAAGTATCGCCATTGTGTCAATGGATACCGTCAAGACACGGCATGTAGACGACGAAGACAAGAGGTTAGATATTGCTTCGCCGCCAAAGTGCGGCTCTCGGGCATATACACTACATGATCAGGCACACGCTGCGGCGCAGTCACAGAGCGTGCAGGTGCGCCGCACCAGCCTGGCTATGGAAAGGCTTGAAAAAGTGGTGGCTTTGGCTATACTCCAGACGAGTCGGGCGCGTACAAGTCAGAGATCTGCGCACTCGCGACCAATCAATATCCCGCACACTGAGGCAGTGCCGCCTGCAAAGTAAGCTTGTGCGACGGCAGCACGACAATTCTGGGGTTAGGGAGTAGAGTTCGGGGCTTTTGCCATCCAAGGAACTTTTGATGCACGCGAGGCTGATTGCTCGCGGGACGGGAGGCGGTGCGGCAGGGCGAAAGATGACAGCGGTCGTGCGGCACAGCCAAGTTAACGTCATGGGCTGGCCAGCAGATGATGAACACGCGTTTCAGTATTTACGCATCTCTATGCGACGCGGGAGAAGCTATATTGTAACAAATTCATGGCCGTGTCTGTTACATTGCGAGCTGGCAGTCTCTATCCTTCAGCAGACGATACTGAGTTGCGTGCCGTGTCAGCCTGGCCATAAGCCTGGACCCCAAATTGCTCGGAGGCCAACATCAGACCCCCGGATATATCAGTGGAGCCCGGCCTTTACGGATAGTTGGTGGGGAGAGAATCCTGTTATATGCACTCCAGAGGGCTAGTGACAACATATTGCTATGGTCGCCTAAAGAAAATCCTCGCCGCATCCGCTATGAAACCACATGGCAACGACTCAGTAGCCCTTTCCAAGATGCACCGCGTCTCCACCGCCATACCAGAGGGCACCTGTGCCGCAATGCAGGCCCTTCTCTTGCCCCACGTTGAACTCTCCACCTTCTGGTATTTTGCCGTCGTTGTGTTCTGGCCAAAACTCCTTCTGGAGCCAACCGTTGATTTCTTCAATCTTTCCAATCAGAGCCGCCATCTTTTGAGCATCAGGCGTGCCATCCTTATCCGCTAGGTCCTTGGAATAAATAAAACGGCCGATAGTGAGGTGACTAGAGGGCACTACATAGCGAGACTCCACCTTGAGACCTGCATCGCGACATAGGGAGAAGAGATCCCGGCGGAGGTGGTGGTAAGTGAACTTATCGTCTTCCGACGTGCGGCCAGGATGCAGACCTTCGCCGGCCGCAGGGACGAAGCTCAAAGCTAGTGCAGAGGCATCGTAGCCAATGAGTGGTTTTATGAGACGTGTGCGGTGGCCGTAAGTGTAGTCGGTGATGGCTGGGATTTTGTCTTTGACCGCGTCGACCAGTTCTTGAATCTCTGGTGCAGTTTTCGAGTGCGTCACCTCCAATGCGGTGATGTGGAGCCTGTCCTGAGGCATAAGCCAAAGGTCTACTCGCGTCAGTGGCCAGTCCTATCGGAATCAGAGGCTACTTACTAGGCGCAACGGTCAGCAACTCCTGCTGCACTCGATGTATCATCTCCTTGACCTTCTGGGTTGGTCGTCCCCAGAAGACAAAGCAATGGCGAGGATCCTTGAACCCAGGCTCGACAGCAGGATCACACAGTCTCAACAGTATAGGATCTATGTTTACACCTGAGAAGCCTGGGTCAAGCATCTTGGCTTTTTGCTGGGCATTCCTCGTGGTCCGGTGCAAATGGTACTTTTCCTGGATTCGTGCCTACGGTAGCTGTCAGCATGTACAATGATTAAACCAAAAGACGAACTGACCGGATCATCCTCACATGCTGCAATCAATGCATCGTAGGGGTTGCTGAAGGACGAGGTGGAGATACCGGTAAGATCCTCAAAGGCGTTGGCTGCGTTCCCTGGGGCTGATGTCTGGCTAGACATGTTTGCGTACTCTCTGTCGTGCTTGAAGACGGATAGGCTAGATGGTTTATATGATCTACTCTAGCGGTGACACGTACGGTAGAGTAACATCTTAGGGCGCGCAGGTACAGGCGAGCCTAGAGGCTGCGCTTTCCTCACTGCGGACAGTGACTTCCCTTCACGGCATCTTATCCGCCTCGGCCATGCATTCTCGCGCCCTTTTAGTTCCTATCTTGGACCTAAAGCATTGATTTCTTTCCAATATCTCCTCAATAACATCTACCAACTCTTGACACGAAGGGAAGGCATGAAGGAAAGGCGTAAATCAGATGCGGGGTACGTAGCATGGCAGTTCACGTGCTTTCGCTTCACTACTAGCGCGATCGACGCGGGTCGCGACCCGCGTGCCGAGCGTGTCTGCCCCATACAAAAGTTTGTCTTGTTATGCCTTAGTAACATACACACCACTGTCCCCTTACTGTGCCGTATTGACAGCCCTATCGGTGACAACCTCTCTTCACCATGGCATCGGCCAATACCCGCAAGCGCAAGCGCCTGACTGAGTCGGCACCCACAAGTTTGCAGGGCTATACGACTACAATTGCTTCACGGCAGACAAGGCTTAGTGCAGCCCGAAGTGCACAAATTGCTCCGGCTTTGTCACTCTCGTCTTCAGCACGCTTGCATACCGATACGACTTTAATTGCTTCACGGCAGGCAAGCTCGAGTGCAGCACGAGCTTCAGTGGCTTTGTCATCTACACGGAGCCTACATGGCGGCACAGCTACAATCGCTTCACGGCATACAAGGTCGAGTGAAGCGCGAAGTGCACAAATTTCGCAGGATTTGTCACGCACAAATGCTCCGCCGACTATAATCACAGCCGGTGCGGCTTCCATTACAAGTATCACGACCCAAGCACCTCACCAAATGACAGAAGACACTGGAATGGTGATACCTGAAGACTGCTGCTACCATTGCCTCAACCGTGGAGGCAACGCGGCATACGAATGTCACAAGGAAGAAGGAAAGGAGCAATGTGAGCGCTGTATCCGAGACAAAAAGAAAAACTGTCGCATGCCCACAGCCGAAGAGTCAGTAGCCATAGCAGCGCGTTGTCCACAATGTACAAGGAGAGGCTTCAAGAAGTGCAACGGTGGGCATCCCTGCGACACATGCATCCGGAACAAGACTGGAAGCCTATGCCACAAGCCGTCTGAGAAGAAGGTAAGGTTAGATGGGCCAGCTGCTTCAAAGAAGTCTATGGCGCCTCCAAAAAGCGTGGATACCTCCAGTCAACGAAAGAATGAGAATTCTCGGCCCTCAAGAAGCACGCATGCCGACACAAACAAGCGATCCATCGTGTCCAGCTCAATCACATCCCCAGACGCGACCTCTAGCAGCATGCTTGATGAGACTACATGCAACGACAAAATCGCAGTTGCACAAACTAAGATAATTGCTAGAGAGCTGATTGGGTATGTGCAAGGTGAACAGTCGGCTCCCGCAGAACGAAATGTTGGACGGAAACTCTATTCTGTTTTCAACAAAAGAGTGTATTCTCCTCTGTCTTCTTCTCTTTCTTCTCCTCTATCTGCTCCTCTCGCGTCAGGCGATGAGACGATCGATATCACGAATTTCAACGACATACAGCTCTCGGACGAAGATACTGCTACAGAAAAAGACACTAAGCCTCAAGCTACAAACCGTATCGGTACCCGCACCCGCCGGAGTCGCCGTATTGTTTCTTATGTTGAGCAAACGTTCGATGATGATGAATCTGATATCTCCATGTTCTCCCCAACTGACGATGAAAGCGACATGAACATCGAACCAATATCGTCTGAAGACGACATGGACATCGACCCAACGTCTTGTGAAGACGACACCTCAGGTATCAGCGATAGCGAGTCGTCAGTAATCATGCCCCTCAAAAATGACCTGACTGCTAAGAGAAATCGCAAACAAACTGGCAAGGGAATTGATCTCAGCCTCCCGCCTCTCTCCAACATCGAAGACTGCATGTCTGACATGACAAAAAAATCCCTACAGCTTGGGCTTCTCGGAGCGCTAGACCACTTGAAAGGACGAACAATCAAGGTAGCCACTATGTGTTCGGGCACAGAATCGCCTTTGCTAGCTCTCGATGAGATATGCAAAGCTCTAAAGGTTGCGGGGCACTCCCCACCTCTCATACAGCAAGAGTTCTCAGCTGAGATTGAGGTTTTTAAACAAGCCTTTATCGAACGCAATTTTCACCCAAAGATTCTTTTTAGAGACGTCAGAGACTTCATTGACGAATCTTCCACCAAAGCGACTACAGCATATGGCGCAGAAGTGGAGATCCCCATCGGCATCGATATCCTTGTCGCTGGCTTTGTTTGTAAAGACCTTTCGAGGCTGAACAACCAAGGGAAGTCACTTGAGGATGGAGGCGAGACAGGCGACACATGGCTTGCAGTGCACACGTATGCAAGACGCTTCCGTCCAAGTATTGTACTGCTTGAGAACGTCAAGTCTCAGAAGGGCGTATGGGACGACGTCGTGCGCAGATGGGACAACATCGGCTATGAGGCAGCATGGATAATTTGTGACACCAAACAGTACTACCTACCCCAGACCAGGGAGCGTATGTACATGGTGGCCATAGAGCGCAACCACTTTGGCAAAGGTGTGACCCAAGCCGTAAAGCAATGGCAAGGTTTGATGGAAAAGCTGAAGAGAGGGTGTAGCAGCCCCTATGAAGCCTTTCTACCAGATTCGTTGAGAGAGTCAAGTGACTACAGCAGTCCCTCATCTGAAACAGCCTGGGCCTTGGCCAAGCTGAGGTACGACCACTTCCGTTCCGAGAAGAGATTGGGGATCTTGAGCCCTATTAGCCGAAGAAGCGACAACGGCACAATTATGCCACCCGATTTCGCTGACAGGGGCTTTTACAATAGTCAATCATCGAGAGTCTGTGACGCAATCGATATTGCCCATCTGGAAGCAAGCCAAAAAGGTTGTGACTCACTTTACAAGATGGCCCTCTGGGATGTCAGTCAGAATGTCGATCGGTTCAAGAAACATTCAGGCATTGCGCCCTGTGTGACGCCCACAGGCCGCGACTTCTCAAGTAACCGCCAAACTGCCCTGAATGGCAGTCAGCTCTTGGTTCTACAAGGAATGCCTATGAGTCGATTGCTGTTCGCCAACGAAACCGAGAAAGAACTTCAGAATCTTGCCGGTAACGCCATGTCAACAACCGTGATCGGGGCCTCTCTTGTTGCCGCCATTATCAGTGGACACAAAGCATTCCAGTCGACTAAAAACTTGGCAGATGCTCAAAATTCAGCTCCGCAAACAATTGAGAGCTCGCTTGACGGCACGTCTGATTGGTCTTCTCTGTTATCACATAGCGTGCTAGAGCCAGCTACATACGAGCAGCTAGATCTTGTCAAACTGAATGAAGAAGCACTGTTGAGTTCACGCTTTTGTCATTGCGAAGGGAAGAAGTTCACGAGCAAAACCGCGATTCTCACTTGCTCTGCGTGTGGACACTCAGCATGCACGTTATGTGCTGGGAACCCTAAGCATGTCTATAGAAAGGCTGAACCATGCAACCACCGAACACAAACGCCGGACGAGTTTGTTCGACGATGGCGTCCCAGATTGCCTGCACGTCTGAAAGTCAACTCCGTGGACTGGCCTTCCGATGAGCAGGGACAGAATCCCACCGTGGATGCATATCTGGAGGTCATTTCGAAAGCGCAAATTAGCGCACAATCTTTCTGCCTCGATGAGTTCTCCAGAGAACACAATCGCTGGAAGATAGAATACAGCTCACCAAAGGCCACGCTGCAGCTGAGACTTGGCCGCGATGCACAATGGCTCATGTACGTCAAATGCCAGCCGCATCTTCCTGCCAGTGACCCTATTCGAGCCTTACTCAAGAATCCTGTCGCACATGGTTCTGCCTCGGAGACACTGTTCAATGTCGAGTGGAAGTTACGCTTACCTTGCACCGAACCCTACCAATTACGCATGACAGGGTCCATTGAAAGGATCAGCTCGTGGCGTAGTCGTCTCGGCCTTCCGGATCACAAGGCGGAGACTGTACCTGCGAAGATGGAGATTCATAGCGAAGATCAAGGGCTGACGACAATCACCGGGGCATATGAACATTTGCTACATTGTGGAACAGCATGTAACAGCTTGTACAAGAGACTTGGTGGAGAAGGTAACATGTATTTGTTCCTTGATCCAGATCTCATAGGAGAGGCCGATCGTGATAGCTTTGTATTCAGTCAAGACAACAGCCGAAAAACTTATAGCGACGCCCGACTGACTGTTGCTCAGTTGGATAGTTCGTGGCGGCCCTGGCACATGGATGCCGGACGCGAGCGCCTCGTTGCCGCAAACGTTTCTGACCGCTGGATCCCTACTAAGATCGGGATGAAAACATCCCCTACCACTTTGGACGTGAGATATCTACAAGGATCAAGTCTGAATGAGCATCACCTCCAAGGTTGCTCGCAATTGCTCCCGGTACTAGACGTCTCCGTGAAGGAATCACTACCAAACAGAGCTGTTTCCGGACATTCCTGGGCTCTTGAGAAAGCTAGACTACTGCCGTCATGCTCCTCCTGGTACGAAGTCCAACCGAGCACATCTCAAGAGTGCCCTTGCGCCCCAAACTACCCCAAACTGATTTGGAGCGTCGACGAGAATGGTGTCGCGTCTGCACACGAGGACCGACAGGCCGCAGCCACATTTGAGCGTATGCTGAAAATGCGACCTAAGATCTTCCAAATCAATGACTTTAGCGACTCGAATCAGACACGTATCCAGATTGGCGTTCATGTCATGTCATTAATCCATCGCGCACAAGGGAGACTGTCCGGCCATTCGTCAGTAAAAACTGCATGGAGGTTGCTGACCGACCATTTCCAACTTCCGTCTCAGCCCTTTCCTAGATTCCGTCTTGGAAGTAACGCAAATGATGTGCCGCAAGCTGATCAAGTTGCAGCGGTACCCAGATACTTGTTTGATGAGCAGATCAGGGCTGTGGTGTGGATGAAAACCCAAGAATTGGGTGTAAAGATGACGATCTCTGAAACAGAAGAGTCAATCCACTCCGGTGTAGGCTGGAGGGTAGAGGCTCGAGCGGAAACAGAGTTGTGCGTTCGCGGAGGCGTGCTTGCGGACCAACCCTCGTTCGGCAAGACCGTCACGAGTATAGCGCTCATACAGAGTGAGTTTGATCAGTACACACCAGAAGATTTGATTGAGATCAACAAACCACTGGCTGCAAATCTTCCTGTACGTTTGGAATCAGCCGCAACACTGGTCGTCTGCCCGCCACACATCGCTTTACAATGGAAAACCGAACTCAAGAAATTCTTGGGCGAAGACCAATTCCAGCTGTACAATGTTTTGGTAGTCCAGAATTTCGCCCAATTGACGAAGCTCACCACGAACAATCTACGGCAGAGTAGGGTCATTGTAGTGTCCTGGAGTTTGTTCTTCGAGAAGGAATACGTTTCAGAGTTGGCGGACTTTGCAGCGATGCCTGAGCCCACGCTGGTCAGCCGTCGAGCATTCGACGCCTGGATGACCAGGGCCGGTAATGAGATTCCAGCCCAGTTGGATACATACCTAACTCATAACAGATATAAAGACTTCCAGACGCTCACCCAGAATCGTATCGAATCGCTACTGCAGCTTCCTGAATTCAAAGCCTCGATACCCATAAGGATCCAGCATGGCAGCGCGTACGAGTCATATGGTACTACAGAGCCGGTCAAAGAAGCAAAAAAGGCGGCAAAACCGAAACGCGAGGCGGCCACCAAATCGGAATCCAGTACTCGGACTGATGTAGTACCTCTTCTCCATCTCTTCAGATTCAACCGAGTGGTCATCGACGAATATCATTATCTCAATGATGATGAAAAGGTTGAAACCAGTATCAAGATGACTGCTATAAAGGCGATTCAATCCCATAAGCGCTGGATTCTGTCCGGAACTCCCGCCCTGGGGGGCTTCTCGGATGTGAATCACATTGCATCGTTCCTGGGTATCAGGCTCGGTCGATATGTTCGTGGTGACGGCAAATTTACCGTAGAGAAGACGGCCGCGAAACTTGATCAAACAGATGTCGAAGGTTTCCTATCTCAGACAGAAAGCATGTCACGTCAATGGCATGAAGAACGACACGTGCGAGCGCAGGAGTTTCTCGACAAGTTTGCCAGGCAAAATGAAGCCGCGCTACAGAATATTGCGTGCAAGGAGAGGCTAGTTCCCGTTGAACTGGACGCTGCACATATTGCCGTGTATATGGAGCTTTCGCAACACTTGGTTCCACAGAGACTGCAAATCAGGAAACTAGACAAGTCCAGCTCGGATAGGAACGACAGGTTGAGAGATAGCTTGGAGAACTCTTCGACGCCGAAGGAGGCGCTCCTGAAGGCTGCATTGCTATACGAGACGGCAGAAGACGGCAGATCTGGACTCGATCTTCTCACTCATAAACGATCGGAAGAACTCAAGAGTACGAGAGCTGACTTGCTAAGTCGCCTGGTGAGCTTTGAGCAGTTGGTGGCTAAGAAGAATTTCCGACGTGGAACACAAGCGACAGGCAAAGCTGAGATTGTTAAACTCTACGCTCTTTTCGAGGACCAGATCGCACAAGACGACTACATTGGAGACGAAGAAGCTAAAAAGAGTATCCGCGACCTACTTGTCGAAGCAAAGAAAGCGAGGAAAGAGCCGAATCGCAGCTTCTCAGAGCTGAAGGGTAAGACCGACAAAGCATGGCTACAGACGGTCAAGCATCATATGTCGCAACTTAACGGACTGTGTGATGAATTGATCCATCGAACGAGATCAAAACGCTTTGTTGCAACCATCCAGGATCACCTACAACCTGTAATACCGACCAGTTCGCACAGCTGCAGTTCGCAGAGCTGCAACGGCGTCACTGATGTAGCCAAGCTCTTCTTAGTCTCTCACTGCGGCCACACTGCATGTCAGAGCTGTCTTGAAGCACGAAGTGACGATGAGACTTGCGTTCACCCTGGTTGCAAGGCACGTCTAGGCGACGGCGAGCTGATTCCAATGGCCAACTTGGGATCGAAAGAGAGCCATGATCCTGACCAGATTTTCGGTAAAAAGCTACACGCCATCGTACAACTCATTTCCGAGATGCCACCAGCAGATCAAGGAATCATCTTCGCGCCAAACGATGATCTAATGAGCGTCATTGAGCGTGTATTGGACCACTACAAAATCCGCTACGCCACAATCCGTCAAACACGTATCGCGCAGGTGATTGAAGAATTCAAGACGAACAAGAAGCCAGCGACTATGAAGAAGCTGCTCATCCTCAACCTGGGGAATCCATCGGCTGCTGGCATCAACCTCATCAACGCAAACCATGTCTTCTTCGTGTCTCCTCTCCACGCAGACGACCAGTACAAGTACGACTCCGCAATGGCACAGGCTATTGCCCGCAGTCGTCGCCACGGCCAAGGGAAGACGGTACACATTTACCACGTGGTCGCGCTGCGCACGATTGATGTCGACATACTTGAGCACCGCCACAAGCGCACCGAAGCAATGGTCTCAACGCAATCGGAGCCCAATGGCATGTGGCCCCTGCCATGCAAGAAGAAAGAAAAGACGGTGCTTGTCAGGAATAGGACGGGTGAGATGATGTTGTTGCCGAGCTCTTGGCTTGAAGATGGACAGAATCGGGATCTCATTGACGTTGATGTTTCGCCCGAGCGCTTTACGTCTCCGATCAAGCTGTCCGGAACATTCGACGAGGAGGAGTTGGAGGAGAATGAATGATTGTGCGTCCATTTTGGAGCATTGTATGATTGACTGAGCTTGACGACGAGGAGGAAGAGGTTGAATGATTGTGCGTTTTGTATGAATGGCTGAGCTTGACGAGGAGGAGGAAGAGGTTGAATGATTGTGCGTTTTGTATGAATGGCTGAGCTTGACGACGATGAATAGGAGGATGAACGATCACGCGCTCATCTTGGAGCTTTGGACGAACGTCTAAGGAATTTCTGGATGGCTACGTGTTTCTATGTAGGATAACGTCGGTGTAGGTACAAAGCGGTGATTTTCGAAGATGGTCAGTATTATACCCCGGACTCAGGTAGTTAAGGTGTAGGACCATGTTAATTCCACAAAGAAAACAACCCCTTGTCACGCATACACCCGTGATGTTCAGCCGCAAGCTCAAGCTGGAAAGCTACACGCATGCATCCCAGCTTTAGTCCCACTAAATTAGCACAAAAACCTCAACCCGCATCCCATCACCCCATCACCCCATCGCCCCATCACAACCCACCCATCGCACAAACCTATCATCCCGGGTACACAAGGCAACAGTGACCAAACTCTTTCAAATACCAAACCTCCCACGCCCACCCAGCCGAGCCCAGCCCAGTCCCGCCGTGTCTTCCGTCGTCCTAGTCTCATTCTCACACCTAAACGGTGAACCCTCTTACCCAATGCAGCTAGCGTATCACCCAAAACGGTAAAAGGTGGCGTTTCTTGCATCGGTGTAGCTTCACCGATGGGGGCAATGCTGGGATGCAGTTTTCAATGGATTTTGGAACAAGTTACTGTGCTGGGAAGGTTGGGGTGGGGTGGTTCGGCGGCTAGGGAAGGGAAGGGGGCGTGGTAGCTGGGTTGGCAGGGAAGTGGATGTAAGGATAGGTAAGGAAGGGGGGATAAGGTTAGCCGGGGTTGTTTGTAACGTGGAAAATGGATATGACTTGTATATTGCTGCTGCTAGCTGACACGTTGGACTTTTTGCTTGCAGAGTTGGATACGTGAGAATATTGACTAAAACAAAAGCAAACCCTTGATTCTTCTTGCTTCGCCTAAACGCCTCGCCGGATGCTCTTTCGTCGTCTCTTGCTCTCCTTGCGCCTCGCGCTCCCCAGTCTATTTTGCTATATGACCCATCGGTAACTGGCGTATCGACCTGCCGTCTCTGACTTTCGGATAATCTTGACAACCGAGCCTCTCCTCAGACCTAGGTACTTGGCTACCGGGTCCGTGGACTGGATTCGTGGGAGCTGTGTCTGCTTGAGGCGGTATCGCTGGAGTAATTGCTGCTTCTCCTCGTCACTAAGAAGGACGTGCTTGGGAACTAGCTCGTGCTTTGTGATGTTGACTAGAAGGTCTTGCTCGATGAAAACCTCGACACCGCCCTTGGGTCCGTCGCTGAGGCTCGTAGCGCCGCGGAGGAGACGAATGGCCATTCCTGTCATGGGCTTCACCGTGATCATGATGCCCGAGTGGAAGGAGCCGTTGACCAAATGCGCCATGTACTCGCGCAATTGCTTCATGCCTACGTTCTCGTCGGCGTTGAACTCGACCCATATAGTGCCGATGTTGGGCAGGGGGTTGGGGACCTTCTTGGTCGGGGCATCGGTGTACTTTGCAAGCATTTCTTCGGATGGCTGGCAGGAGAAGTTGAGGCGCGACCGGCTGGGCAACAAGTCAGTATGGCGGCCTAGACGTCAAAGCTGCCAACCACATACTCTGGCTCTCCGTCTTCGCGCGCATATTTCCGCGCGAATTGGTCAAGTGACATGTTCATGTCTTCTTCAAGCACCATATAGCCCTTTGGTAAAGTCAGCGCGCAGTCCAGCATTGCTCAAAGCGCATGCGCAACCCACCCGATCATTCATCATCTCTTTGGTCGTCTTCCATACCCTCCACAGACGCATCAAACTCGGGTTGTACTTTCTGTCGCCTTCCATGGTCGCGGTCGGATGCGTCGGTGATGGATGTTTACGGGGGTTTCGGCGCGAAGGTTGAACGGTCTACTTGTCGCGTCAAAGAAATCTCCAGAAGTTCCAAAGGGCTTGGTCTTGGCATGCATGTGCACTAGCAGGCCTAGCGTGCCGCTGGAGCTAACCCCACCAAATGCGACCCTCTCGAGCACGAAAGCATGGCTTCTTCAAACGAAATCCCCAATTTGAGATCTCTTCTCGGTCAACGTCGTGGTGGGTCGTCACGAGGGAATGGACGTGGAAGAGGTGGATTTGGAGGTTCTAGCGAAGAACGGGCGCAAATACTGGATAATGCAGTCAAGGGTACAGATCAAGATGCGGCGGGGAGCAGGGTGAGCTGTGTAGAGCTCGGATATCTTCACGACCCATATGCGAAGCTGTTTGCGACACAGCAGACGACGAGGAAGTTGCCGTTGCTCAACAGAGGAACCTACGTTCGCACATCTGCTATCGATCTGCTGGTCACCAAGTTCCTGGTCACCAACCCCGACTCTCCCAAACAGATCATCTCACTTGGTGCCGGCACCGATACTCGCTTCTTCCGCCTCGTTGATTTATACCCTCAAATGCGCCTGATATACCATGAGATCGACTTTTCCACAAACACCCTAGCCAAGATAGCTGCCATACAGAGGCAGCCGCAACTGTACCAGAAGCTACAGAGTGCACCGTCGAGTTCGACGTCGTATCACTCCGAGACCTACAACATCCATGCGCTTGATCTGCGCTCTCTGGCCGATCCGTCGAACGAGACACCGCTGCCTCAGTTACCAAATGTAGACCCAAGCATACCCACATTGATCTTGTCGGAGATGTGTCTGGTGTACCTACAACCACCGACAGTGCAGTCAATAATGTCGTCACTCCTGACCCATTACCTACAACCTACAACGCCCGCTTCTCTCATACTCTACGAGCCCATCCTCCCCCAAGACGCCTTCGGTAGGACCATGATATCGAACCTCAAGTCCCGAAATATACACCTCCATACATTGATCGCATATCCTGAACTCGGCGACCAGCGGGCACGTCTACGGCAATACGGTTTGACGGCTGGGGCCAAGGTAGCCGACACGAACACGATTTGGCGGGGATGGATTAACGAGGAGGAAAAGGAGCGCATTGCTGGTTTGGAGTTCTTGGATGAGTTGGAGGAGCTGGAAATGCTTCTTCGACATTACTGTGTTGCTTGGGGTTGGAGAGACGGCGAAAGCGATGTCTTCACCAAGGCCTGGGCGGATGTAAAGGAGTAGTGACGAATCTGTAATAGTAATCATCATGAACAATGAAGACATGAAGCATGTTATCTGTATTGTGCTGAGGGACAAGTTTAGATCGAGAATGAGGAGAGACCAACACGTGCCTGCGCGACAGACACATCTTGCGCTAATCCCAATTTAATCGGTGCTCTTTGAACCCTCGACAGCGGCTTTGCGACAACGACGCATTGTGAAGCCTTCACCTACGACCACGCCGCCTTCGAAGAAGAGGAGCCCCCTAATTTAGATTCACGCAATGGTGTGATCGCATCCGAAGCCCTACACATATTATTCGCTGTATTGCCACCTAACCCATCGGAGTCGCAACCATGCCGGTACGCAACACGACCAAGCCGTCCTTCAACTTCCTCACCGGTGAGGAAGAGCCCGAATCGCCGCCTCCCACTGTAGCTGCGAAACGAGAGCCTCTGCGCGAAACCTTCCGAACCACATTTCGTGCCTCACAGAATGCGCCGCACACGGTTGTGCCTTCGGACCCCATCAACGAGGACCTACGCGCGCAGCTTAATACCGTGCGATATGAGCTCGAGACGGCGAAACAGGAGAAGGAAATGATGAAGCTGGAGCATGCGCAGGAGCTCCGAGATGCACAGAACCGCGCCGATGCCGATTTTCGAAAGGCGCAGCAAGTCGAGGCTTCCAGCACTCTTACTGCGAAGAAGCACGAGGCGCTGACAAAGGAGCTGGCAGAGTCGCAAACACGGGCTGCAAACGAGCGACAGGCACTTGAGAGGCGGTTACGAGAAAGCCAAGAGCGGGCGCAATCGCTGCAGGAGGAGTATGATGAAGTCAAGGAAGAACTCGCGACGTCACAGAGGCAGAATGAGCATAGGTTCAACACGCTGCAGACGGAGCATCAGAAACTCAAGGACAGCATGGAGGAAATACAGACAGACTTGCAGGCCAAGGTCAACGCGCTGCAGACGGCACAAAAGAAGCTCGCGCAGAAAGAGGACGAGGTTGGTCAGATGGAGGCAGAGATATTGCGACTCAAGGCGATTACCGGAGATGCAGAGACACTGGAGGTCATCAAGAGGGAACTCTCGGACCAGGTAGCGCACATCAAGAAGCTGGAGACGTTGACGAGGGAGCAGAATGCAGAACTCAAGCAATACCGCAAGCAGCATAAGTCTATCGAGGTAGTCGAGGAGGAGAAACGGTCGCTACAGAACAAGTTGCGCATGATGGACGATGTAGAGCGCCAACTCGGAGAGGCACAGTTGAGGAACCAGGTTCTAGAAGAGGAGCGACACTCGTGGACATCATATCTGGAAGCCGAAGCCGAGACACATGGAGAGATCATGTTTGAGACACCCCAGGACCTCGCGCGTGCTTTCATTCAAGAACGTATAGAAAGGACCGACCTACTTAACAGACTGGGCGAGATCAAGCCAGAGCTCTCAGTCAAGGAGGCCACTATCGAAGCTCTGGAGGAAGACAAAGCCAAACTACAAGCCGAGATTCAGCAACTCAAGACGGGCGGAGGTTCTGGTGTAGCTAGCGGTGCCGACGCAAAGGTGCGAGCGCGTCTGGAACGACAGAAGACCTTGTTGACCAAAGAGGTCGAGTTTCTGCGTGCCCAAGTCAAAGCCTTTGACGATGAGGAGCGCGAGATGCAACCAGACACATTCGACGCAGCCAAATCCGAGCGGATACGGGAGCTAGAGGATCTCGCGGACCAATACCGCAAAGAGATTGATTCTCTACAACAGGAGTTTAACAGTCTCGAGAAGCCCTCCGGCACAGTAGCAGGTCAAAAGCGGCCCCTCGAAACCGACCAGAACGAAGAGCGCATCGGCGAACTACGACGCAAGAACCGCCAACTCCAAGACGACCTCTCATCCCTCCAAAAGAAGATGAAGCTCGTAGAATCCGAATACAAAGCCCAACACTCGCAGCTCAAAAAGCTCAAAGAATCCTCCCGCACACGCGTCCTAGAGCTGAAATCCAACCCCACGGCCGACGCCGAAGCCCTCAAACTAAGCACCGTCCGCACCCTCCGAGAAGCAAACGCCCAACTCCTCGCACAACTCCAATCCACCCCCTCCTCCACTACCCCGACCGTCCCCCTCGCCACCCTAACAGCCGCCCAAACCGAACTCGCCGAACTGAACCAAAAATTCGCCTCTACCCTCAAGAAGATCGATCGCCTAAAACAAATCTGGACGGCAAAATCTCTCGAGTTCCGCGAAGCCGTCGCCTCTATCCTCGGCTGGAAGCTTGACTTCATGCCAAACGGCCGCGTCAAAGTCACCAGCATGTTTAAACCTGCTGATGAGGAAGGCGAGAATAGTATCATCTTTGATGGCGAGAACGGCACCATGAAGGTCAGTGGAGGTGAACAGAGTGTTTTTGCGGGTGAGATTCGCGATCAGATTGTTTATTGGGTCGAGGGGAGGAAGGAGATTCCTTGTTTTTTGAGTGCGTTGACGTTGGAGTTTTGGGAGAGGGGGGTTGGGGGACAGACGGTTATGATAGGGTAGTGTAGACTGGTTTATGGGAGTCTGTATATGTGTATGGAGATGGAGATGGGAGATGATTTTGTAATGTGTTCGCCTGCCCTAATTTTATGAGGCTAGACGGATGTGTATGACATTGTTTTCTCTCCTTTCCTTCTCACTTTTCATTTCATACGTTAATATTCTTTTTCCTCATATTTCCCTGTCATGTTCAACCCTCATCAGCCCCGTGTCATAACCAGCATTCGTTGCATAACCTCCCAACTTATATCAAACTACAACATCCCAGCTCTCCTCATCTCCCTCTCAATTCTCCTCTCCCTTTCCCCTTCCCAACCTTCCCACTCATCATCTCTTGTCCAATCTTCCCTTCCCTCCCTTCCCCTCCTCCCAGCCCTACCAGCTCTACCATCCCTCCTCCACCACGAAAACATGCCCATAACCCAGCACCACACAAACAGCGCCATGGTGACAAGGTCGTAGAGGAGTAGTGTGGCTGTTGCGGGGAAGATCCAGGTTGCTGGTGGTGTGGGTTCTGCGGGTTTGGTCGGCGAGGTGTTTGTATGGGTGGAGACGATGAGGGTCGTAGTGGTTTGCTGGATGGGTTCGGTTGTTAGAGTGGTAGTTGTTGTGCTGGTGGGTTGGGAAGTAAGTTGGCTGCTGGTTTGGTCGCTGGTTCGCGTTATGGCCAGGTCTGTTATGGTTTGCTGTATGACTTGCTGCGTGGCCTTGTGGGTAGAATCTCCAACTACAATGATGTATTCGCTAACGGGTTGCTGTATGGCCTCGCTTGTAGAAGCTGCAACTTTGATGGTGTATCCATCAATGGTTTGCCGTGCGGCCTCTTCTGTTGGAGCTGGAGCTAGGAAAAGCGGAGTAGATAGTGTAAACGATGTCGTGGAGATTGAGGTCGCGACGGTATTTGCAGTGGCGTCGTAGTATGCGTTAATAACTAGGGTGGTTGTGTGCGTAGTTATCTTTGCTTGCGTGGCGGTGGTGAGGACCAAGGCAGCGAAAAAAGTAGGTAGCAACATGACGCCTGTGGACTCGAGCGTTTGTGGTAATGAGCGTGTGGTAGCGACTGTGGGTGCGGAGCGAGCGACTACGTAGAGCGAGCGATTGTATGTAGAGCGGGCGACTGCAGAGCGAGGGATGGAGAGGATAAAGAGATGTAGAAGTGGGATGATAAGTGAAACCGCAGGGCTTTCAAGAATAATAAGAAACAGGACAATAGTGTTGAATTAAGCAGTTGAGACAGACTGCTATTGTCGCAATGGTAAGGGAAAGTGAAAGAAGCTATCATATATACATTGACCCTTACCCTCACCTCAAACGCCAGAACCCCGCTGCCAGCGCATACACGTTCATTCAGTCATTGCTCATCATTGCGCCTTGTCCCAGGGCAGCGCAAATGTAGATACCCAATCCGCAACTTCTTTCTTGAGTTCGATGATTTCAGTAATGTCCTCACCCTCACCGACGTATTCCTTGAAAGCCGCTACACTGCCAGGGTTCTTGCGGCCCATGTCCTCTGCCTTCTTTCTTGCGTCTGTGTCTAGCTTCTGTGTGATACCGACTGCTCGGTGTACGACATCAGCTACCCGCTTGAAGTCGTCGGCCTGGAAGCCGCGGGTTGTCATGGCGGGGGTACCGAGGCGCAGACCGCCGGGCTTCATGGCAGACTTGTCGCCAGGGACAGTGTTCTTGTTCGAAGCGACGCCAACAAGCTCCAGAATACGCTCTACTCGAGCGCCATCTACACCACGGTCTTTGAGGTCAACGAGAACAAGGTGGTTGTCGGTGCCGCCGGAGACGATATTGTAGCCAAGGCCGCCGCTGTCCTTTGAAGCGCCCAGACGATGCGCAAGGGCCTTTGCATTTTCAAGAACCTGCTGCTGGTAGTCCTTGAATTCTTTGCTCGAAGCTTGTTGCAGGGCTACGGCCAAAGCAGTAATTGTATGGTTATGGGGCCCTCCCTGGTGACCTGGAAACACCGAGGCATTGATCGGACCTTCTAGATCGTACATCTCCTGCTTACCCTTCTTGTCCACCTTTCTAACACCCTTGCGATAGAAGATCATAGCGCCTCGCGGGCCGCGCAGCGACTTGTGGGTGGTTGTGGTCACGATGTCGGAGTGGGGAAACGGAGATGGGATGACGCCAGCAGCGACCAGTCCAGAGATATGAGCCATATCTGAGAGAAGGTATGCGCCAACCTCATCTGCCAGCTTTCGCATCCTCTCGTACTCAATCAAGCGACTGTATGCTGACGTGCCCGCAACAATGACCTTGGGCCTGTACAGGTGCGCCAATTCCGCCATCTTCTCGTAGTCAATGATGCCCGTTTTCTCATTAAGTCTGTATGGGAGAGTCTCAAAGTACTTGGAGACGGCCGAGATCTTCTTAGTGGGCGTTTGGTAGCCATGCGACAAGTGGCCGCCGTGGGGCAGATCGAGACTGAGAATTCGGTCATGGGTGTTGAGAATGGCGGAGTAAGCGTAGAGGTTTGCAGGCGAGCCTGAGAGAGCTGAATCGTGTTAGTGGACATCATCAGTTGTCGTGTTTGACTCACCCTGGACGTTGACACCCCACTCATCAGGACTCAGGCCGAACGCTTTGAGCGCTCTTTGCTGACACAGTCGCTCTGCCTCGTCAATGTGTTCATTTCCTCCGTAGTATCGTGCGCCCGGATATCCTTCCGAATACTTGTCTATCGCGAACGTAAGCATACGTACGCTATGAGCAGGATTGCGCCGCACGTACTTTGCATAACACTGCCGAGAGCATCGAGGACGGCCTGTGAGGTGAAGTTCTCAGAGGGAATTAGGTTTATGAAGTGTTTCTGGCGGTTCTTCTCCTGTTATGCAAACATGATGAGCTTCATCTTTCGTGTCGCGCTTCAGGTGGCAACGAACCCTGTTGATAATCTCGTAAACTGTGGGATCGGCGTGCTCGAGATCTTGGGAGAGGATCTGGAATCTTCAATATACGATACGTCAAATTTCCGCTCGATCAGATCTACCTTTTGCTGTGCATCCAAGCTTGTTGCGTAGCCCCGCCATTGTCGCTGCAGTAATCTTGAATGATTCGTCGGAATTGCGGCTGTTGGGCGCGACGTGAGCTGGCGCAAAGGCGTTCTGCATGCTGCTCTGAGGTTTGCCATGATTCAATACGTTATCTAGTAAGACGGCGGCACGACTTTATAAATCTTTCTTGACGTGCCGGACTCGTAGTCTCAATGAGGCAACCAAACGATGAGCTCCGCTTAATGACGGAGCTAGAACAGCGCCGGATGGCTGGGGCACCTCGGCGCCGATAAACGTTTCTCCGGCGGAAAATATCAACGCTCCCGCTTCGCCGTCCTTTCTCTTCTTTTCTTCACGTAACTAAACCCGAGATGATATGAACGCTACATTCAGTCATCCTCACTTGGCTGGCGCAAGCTGGTCGACGTGGGGGATGCTGACACGCTCCGGCACCCACCACCTAGGGAGACGAAAAAGAATATGATCGGCGTACGTTGCGTAGATGCATCTGTTGATGTTGTTGTGGACGGCCAAGGCTGAAGCGGAACACTCTGTTATGGTGTTTCCGCCTCAGTCTACAGTCGATGCTTGTACAAGTATGTAGCATTTCAATACAATATATTTGTCTGCTCCTATCATCTTTCTGTGTGAATGTGGTGCAAATCAAGAGCTGTTGTCCTGCACATGGTACTCATCTGGTCGAAGCTGTATCATCGGCCAGCTCGTCCCGACTCACTATGGATATCACGACCGGTGATCGGATAGACCTGCATTGTCCTGTCCCTGATGTCACTGGGTCTTGTCCCTGCCGAGTGAGTGAGTGCAACGTTGCAAGAAGGTGGCAGTATCATGACGACCTTCACCTGAAGGTATCTCTGCTTGGTCCGCAAAACTTCTCCTTTTATCCTTATTTCTCTCTCTTTCTTTCTAAAACAAAGTAAACATCTGTCGCCATGAATTCTCAATACCTTCACCTTCCTTATGCGCTTCCCGATGCAGCTCATGCCTTTGGTTCGCCCCCATCGTACCTTCCTCGCGCTGTCCGCCAAGCTGCAAATCGGGAAAGCACGCCTTCACACGGACTGCTACTTCCTCAAAGGCGCCCTCGCAGTACCTTGTCTCCACTTATACCTCACTCCATCTGCTACCCCGCCTCGTCCGCAACCTCGACCTCCACGTTCAACCAGCGGTCACGAAAACAGCGCACGCGCCCCGAGTCCACACCGCTGCAAACGCCCATCAAATCTTCATCATGCCTTCCAAGGGTAAGATGCCCATTGCACCTCCACCAGCTACTCCCGATCGACAAAGCAGTCCAGAACTAGGAAGCCCGTCCAGAATTACCAGCTACAACAAGAAGACAGGCCGCCCAGTCCGCAAGAGCGCGGGCAAGATCCAGAAGGTGGCAGGCTACGTGGACTTTGAAGACGACGAGTTTGGGCCATTGACGACTGACGAGAGCGAGGAAGAGGAAGAAGACGATATGGAGCCACGCGGCCGGGCAGACAAGGGAAAGAACAAAAACAAGCGTATGACCAAGCGCAAGCGCAGCCCCTCCCCTCCGTCGCCTCATCTAGAGCCTCTCCTCTACGACCAAGAGCTCGACGAATTGACAGACAACGAAGAAGGTGGCGCCTTCCACCGACATACCCCTAAGAAGCCGCCTATGACGCTGCAGTTCAACGTCCCGCTAGGCTTCCATGGCCCACTCTTCGTAAAGATCGACAGTAGTATGCTACAGACCAACGAGGCAGGCAAGCTTCACGAGATGCAGCCGGGTAAGTCGAAGAAGGTATGCACCAAGAGCCGACAGTCTCAACCAGACAAGGTTTTGGCAGCTCGTCCCAAGGGCTTCACCGATCTACCCGCAGAGTTGCGGAATACCATCTACCGATACCTGTTCGCGCGCAACGATGACACCCAAGAGCTTAGAATCCCGGTAAACAAACAGAACCCCAAGGACAACCTCTGCAAGTCCGCCCAGTTCCTGAGAACCTGCAAGCTAGTACATAACGAAGGCTGCTCGGTCCTGTATGGGGAGAACACTTTCTCATTCAAGCGTCATTACGGCACTCGTGGACCATTCTGGGAGGCAGTACCAAAAGAGGTTGGCTATCAGGATGTGCTCCACTTTCTGAAGATGATCGGCCCCGAGAATCTGCAGTATCTTCGGGATATCAAGTTTGTATTCGATGACGCGTCTCCTCGTCACACTTCCTACGTTGAATCAAACGAGAAGCGTCGCTACCTCAATGATGAGTACCTGATGAATTGTCTGCGAATCCTCCGTGAGGCCAAACTCCGCAAGGTCTCCATGTTTTTTGGTGGTCGACGACAGCTACAGCGCTCGGATGTGAAGTTTCTGGGCTATCTCGAACAGGTCAAGGCAGACGAAGTCGATCGGATTCCCGACAGGTACTTTAGTCTCCTGGGTAAGATTAGCAACGCGGTCTGGGCCGACCTAGAGGAGGCCATGACTCGCAAGAAGAAGCTCTACGAGGACGAATAGTCTCATCGAAGCCTCACAGGTATACAGGTATGACTGTCACTGCCACAACTCTTCATTACATTGTTGTTTCTTCATGTCATCGGCCGTTCGGCGTCTGTCCCTTGGCTAACTGGCTCAGCCAAACACATGGGACTCAGGCGTTACGGGGCTACGGGTTGGGAGGAGGTCTAATCATATCTTTACGTGTGGATGACATCATGTTCAATGGGTGAAGTTGGCGTTCACGGTTTAGAGTACTTCACGGAAGCATGCCAAAGTTAACCCCAAATCCCAACAAAATTAAAATAAGCATAGATAAACGAGGAGTCGGTACCGACGTGATGGATTTTGTGAAGTCTGCTGGCTAATCTCCCCTTTTGCTCTTCGCCAATGCTCCTCGCCAAATAAGAACGCCCGTTCGGCGCAAAAAAACCCATCAACGGGCCAACTAGCCAACCCTCAGCCCCACTTTCTCCGTGCGGCCGCAGTGCAGTCCATTATCACAAAACGCCACGTTTACGGTACGAGTACGGTTACGCACAGGTGTCGTGGCCTGCATAACCGAGTTTCTATGCAGTGTGGCAGCACTTTTTCAGTTGTTACACAATGCAAGGACGAGCGCACAGCAATAAATCGGAAATAAGATATCACATGTTAAATGCAGCTCATTCAAATGCAACTCGCAGTTTACGTGAAACGACGACGCAAACGAAAAGGGATGACGGACCTACCGTACGTAAGTATGTACGTACCTACAGACGCAGCAACATATACCGTGTAGGTATGCAAAATGGCAACTGTCATGTACGCACCCGCGGCGCTGCAGCAGTCGTTAGCAACATGCAGCATGCACATTTTTTTTTGCCTTCACATTACCGCACGTGTGCACGCATGCGTACTTGCGTTGCCCCGTGTGCCTGCGCCGGTGGTAGGTAACCTCGTACCGGGCTTGGGGTAGACGGGGACAGGGGCGTTGGTGCCGCGCCCGTTTGAGGCGTTGGCTGCGGTGCTGGGGGTGGTGGGCGCCATGGAATGGGGGGTTAGGGAGGGCAAAAGTGGTCAGATAATAGACGAGAATGTGCATTTGGGGTAGTGTGTCCGCGTTGGTGCGGGTGGGGGGGGAGGACATATAGCCGGTGTTAAGGGTTAGGTTGCGAGAGGAGACGCGGGATGTGTTTTGGCTTGTGAAGATAATGATAACTATGTACCTATGAATGGTGGGGGATTTTTTTTCGTTGGGCTGACCATTAACTACACAGCGAATTGACGTGTGATGTGATGTGATGCGATGTGACGTTCCAACCGGGAAGGGCGGAGGAGTGGCATTGTGAAACAACCCGATGAGCAACGATAGGCAGGGGAAATTTCCCGATGATTACGGCGTCCCATAAACGCTGCTAACTTGTAACGCGTCTTTTGGCCGCCTACGGTAACCGTACCCCATTTTAATTCATAGCAAGTTGCAGTGTTCGATCGGCCCGTTCGCTGGATCTGCGTGCGCGTGCGAGCGCTCGGGATACCCGTGGCGTCGCAGTTATTCTTTCTTCTTCTTCTTCTTCTTCTTCTTCTGGGTGCAGGATAGAAGGGCCGTTCTTGGTGGAGAATTGGGATGGAGAGATTAGGCCGATTTGCCTTTGCGCTTCTTGAATTCTTCTATCCAGGCTGCGGCTTGGGATTTGGGTATCACGCTAATAGTGACCAGACCGTCGACGACCTCGGGCTTCCCGCTTCCGAGCACCTTTGCCAGGGGCATCTTTTTGCCGACTTTGATGAGGCCCCCAGACGAGGTTTCCATGTATGCTTCCACGTTGTCGACTGTGTATTCGTGGGCAGAGTCCCAGGGTAAGGGGAAGATGTAATCGAGGTGCTCATGCAACTTCTCACGCTCTGAAAACGCTTTGATAAAGTCAGACTGCGAGTGCATGGGGTAGAGTAAGATGACGGGGAGAGTCAGTGTGGATGATGGGTCCATGCTGTTCTCCAGCTTGACCACTGCGTCTTCCAGATCTGGCGGCTTCTCCGTGCTACGCGTCAAGATGTTGCGGCTCTTGAGGGCGAGTTTTAGTGTCGCGCGCTCCGAGGCTGCTTTGGCTTCCCGCTCCCGACGCGCTCTGGCAACGGATTCTACGTATTGCTTGCGCGCATCAATCTTGGTCTTGAGTGTCTTGAGAGGCCCGTTGCTTGCATCCAAGGCCAGTCCTCGATCGCAGGCCCACGTCGCTTCTTCCAACTTGTCCAGCGCTAAGCCGGCAGTGGCTGATCTGTAAAAGGCCTTTAGATTTGCGGGGTTGATCTTGAGTGTTGCGACGCAGTCTTGTATGCATGACCTATAATTCTCTGATCCATGTTAGTATCAGGGACTGCTACCCGCAGCTTTCAACTTACTCTTCTCCAGATTGCATAACGCCCGATTCACGTATACCGCCTCCGCAATTACTGTCTCCTTCTTTGTCTCCTCCTCCGCATCTATCTCGACAGGGATACCATTAGGCCCCAGTGCATCTGGATCGGGGTTGTAGAGCTGTGGCCCCTTGAGCGCTGCTATGGCCTTGTCGTAGAATTCTTTGGCATCGGTCCATTGCTTTGCTCTTGCACACTCGTTGCCCTGCTGTCGGAAGTTTTCTGCAACTTCGGCACGGGTCCCTTCATATGCCATGGCTTTTAGAGCCTCCAGGGCCATGTTCTCGCCTCCCTCGCCGTCGGTTTCATCCAGACTGGTCATGAAAAGTGGCATGCGGTTCATCTCCTGGAGCAGCTCCTCTGTGCTCTGCGACTTGACTTCGGCCATGGCGGGTGGCATTTCCACCGACGGTACCTGTGGTTCATTTTGCGCCATGTTTCCTGTGTTGCTTTTCTTCCCAGTGCAGCCGCGTATTATTTCGTTGTGTTTTGCATGACTGCCTGCTGGAAATTTTGGTGCATGGTCGCTTAGTCAGCGTGGTGGGGCCGTGGTTTTACCTGGGTATGCTTGGCCCGGCTGTCGCTCATTCTGCCAGGGAATTCCATGAAGTTGCAAATCCTTCGGCCAGGATATATGGATCAGGACAACCAGAGGGGTATACCAGAAGGGTATACTAGAGGAGGGATAGGTCCGGCTTCGTACATCCGCCTCATGCCACACCATCCGATTTTTCGACCCCGGCGAGCAAGTTCGGTATCTTTAGCCGACAACAGTAGTCCTACGGTAGTTGTTGCGATTGACTGTCATGTGTCTCCGACAAAGCCGAGCGATACCGAGAACTAATCAGATGATAACATTCTAGCACTCGTACTCGTATATGTCATGTTGGGAAGTCGGCAAGACGTTGTTCCTCGGACGTCGCACGTATGAAGGCCTGCAGCTCATCTGCAAATCGGTCACCCTCCGTTGCAGGGATCAAGAGATGCAACTGACTCTAACCAGACTACACCGATACATTATCGGATGGACCACATGATTAATGATGCTAGAAGTCTGCGGCCCCCCACTCTATGAGGCTTGGTATGAGAGCGCTCATGCAACGTCTATCGAGCGCTCCTTCCGGACGGCGGACGCGTGCTTGCGGTTGGGGGTGTGATGGCTCTTGCCGTCGAAGGCGTCTGTGGGGTAGTTATGGACATGGCCGACCTACCGTACCTACCTACCGTACTCAGTCCGGGCTAGCTTCAAGATCAGTACCTTGTTCAACGTGACTTCAACACGACATTGGCACAATCAAAGACGTCTCTCGGCATGGTTTCGAATTCCCAGTTTATATTGTCTATGGTAATTGCTTTTTTGGAGTTACTTTGACTTGGGGCTTACGCATTGCTTCCCTTTCGGCCATGTGGCAGTCAGAATCGGGACATGAGCGACAACAAGCTGCTAGGGGCCTGTGACAAGGGAACTCGCGGAAGCTCCTGCAAGACTGCATTTGGAGAGTGCATCGTCGATCTGGACTCGAGGTTGACTGCCCTGCTCTGCCAAGAGTGCACGGGTCTAGACATGGGTCTCAAAATGGAAACCCTCCTAGCAAGTTGACTCTATGTGGGCCAAAGGTATAGCATTGAGTGTAGGACGAGGCTGGCGGCTTCATCATGCACATGCCTGACGGGCGGGTCCTAGTTAGGGAGTCGAATAAGTACGCGTCCTTTAGCAGCAGCAGCAGCAGAGTCAAGCAGCTCAGGCAGGGGCGTAAGATCACGACATGTAGATCGATGTGATCTAATTGCAGGCTAAAAGCTAACGGCATCGTGCCGCAGTGTTGGGCGTCATGACCGAGTTTGGATGCTCGGAGCGCGAAATGAAGGCGCCTTTCAAAGTGACAATGTAGCCGTAGTCGGCTTGGTGTGCGGCGCGGTCAAGCGGCTGAAACTCTCAGGAAGGCAGTTTGCTAGGTGGGAAGTTAGTCGTTGGTTAGTAGTCGGGTAAATTACACAGTACCCAGCCTGGACAGAGTAGGCGTGTTTCTGGTGCGAGGCCAGCAAAGCCAGCAAAGCCAGCAAAAGCGGCCAGTGTCATGCAGAGTGGCTCGTCACACCTCCCTCGTGCGAACAGAGGGTTTTGGCTACTGTTGGAGCCCTGGCCTGGTCATTTCCCGTCTACCACCACTAACAAGACGACGGCCATGGTGGCGGGAGGCCTGGGAAGGAGCGTTGGACCTAAAAGCACAGCCAATGGCAGGCTGGTGGGAGAGCGGAAAGCAAGCGGCATCGAGCCAATAGCGTGGCAGGGATTACAAGGGACCCCTGCGCTAGCCCTCAGCTGCTGCAGGGACGCTTGTGCTCCCTAGCCGGCCGGCCTGCATAAAGCACATGGGACATGGACGTGGACTCGGAAGGTCAAACAAATTTGACAGGCGCAGGCACAGATGGGGACTGATTGACCAGGACGTCCCTATTCCTTCTGCCGCACACGGTCCCGTCTCCACAAGCGCTTCTGTGTGTCGTCTGCCTGGACTGTGCGCACTTGTGCCTGCCTGCCGGGAACGATTGCTGCTGCGTGGGCGATCAGCCTATTCATGCTCAACTTGTGTCCACCTCCTCGCTCTTCTCATCCCCCTCCTGACGCTCCGTGCAATTGACGACACACGGGTCCCTCTGTCCTTCCCGCCCGTTGCTTGACACTTCCTTTCTTGCCCGACAAACCCTCTTAGCTGCTCCTTAGTCGCCTTCTTCCTTTTTGTGCGGTTCGGCGCCCATATACCATTGGGTCGAGTGATATTCGCTATCGCTTGTCGCAACACTCCACGTCATTCCTTTTGTGCGTACACCCGCCTAGTCTAGCATGTCCGTTTGCTACCCGTGAAAAGCCACCACTGACTGTCGCACAGAATAGACATTATCCAGACGCCGCCTCTCTTCGCTCCCGACATAATATATCAAGTCGCAGTACTAATTGTGCATCTGCCATTGACTCAGCTTGCAATACTCGCCTGTCATCCTGAGAGCTTTACCGGTGCGTACGCCACTCTCACATCTATTGAATGCCCATGGTTGCTTGCGGTAGTTGCCAGAGGTCAAGACCAACTTTTGTCGGCCCTGACAAATGCATTCCCGTCACAACACCAGTACCAATTCAACTCGTCTCTCACAGATTCTAACGTTAATACAGGCATGTTTGAGATTGTCTAAACTTGCAGCACCACTTGATTGTGGTTCTGAACGTTTCATTGCTTAATACACATTTCACCTCCGAACACTCCTTTCAAAATGGCTACAGAATACTTTTCGGATCAGGAGTATACTAGCAATCAACCGCTTCCCACTCCTGCTGGCACTCCATACAGTTCTCTATCACGGCGGAATTCAAGATATGACGGGCCAGGCAGTGATGTCGCTAGTTCACCCCCTCCCCTTCCACCAGATCCTGGCTTCACCAGCTCGGACGATTTCGCCAATGATGAGAACATTTCTATTCTCGACCCGCGGCGATTCACCCCTACCTTGCATGCCAACTTAGTCTCTGAAATCCTGAACCTTCGTCGGGAGCTTGACTCGAAACATCGATTCATTGACGACCTGGAGTCGAACTTACATGCTACGCGGACCGATAACGATGCCCTCACAAAACAGCTATCGGCGGTTGCCAAAGAGAACAAACAAGTGAAACGCCAACTGCAGCACTTTGAGAATGAAACACTTGCGGCACTGGAAGAGATTGCGGAAGAGAGGGATAAGAGCAAGGCAGCCAATGCTGATCTGCGGGAAAAGCTTGCTGCAGCAGAAAAGAGGACACGCATCCAAGATGATGATTCCACCAAAGTGCACGACATGTGGGCTCGTGAAAAGGATCAGTGGGCTGGAGAGAAGCGGGTGTTGGAGCGACGCGTCCATGTATCTGAGACACGCCTGAAGATGCTCCTAGAGGAGATTGCCGCGCATGAAGCTGCCAACGACGAGGCTGGCCTCATTAGCGACGCAGACGACCAGGCCATTGACAATGTTCCTGAAAGCGATGCAGGTAGTATCCGTTCTTCCCCCCAACGATCACCCCAACGGTCACCCCAACGAAGATCCTCCACTCGTCTCACCCGTCACTCAAGGAACCAAAGCAACAGCAGCTACAAGAGTATTGGACGCAACTACCGCATGTCTTTGTTGAGCTTCGACGGACACAACCGTGGTAACGGTATCAGCCTTGCCGACGAGCTGATTTTCGACGAAGTTGACGAGGAAGAGGAGGAACTGTTGGATCTGGAGCTTGATTCTGACGACTTCCCCGAGCACGAAATGCGTGCACGCAGACAACTCGAATCTCGACAATCGACAATGCTGCCAGACGAAAAGGCCAAACGCATCCTGGGACTGAGCAGTGAGCCACAGCAGATTAGCCCTATAATGGAAGAGAGCGAACCTCGCAAGCAGTCTCACGAGACTGGCAAGTCATCGGTTACTCTGACGCAGCGGGAAATCAACCTCATCTGGCCACCAACACGACCAATCTACGTCGACACTGGTGTGCAACCTTCGCCTCCAGCTTCGCCTACAAAGCCAACTTTTGTCGAGACTGGATGCCAAACGATCGAGCCTCCGGCGCAGGTCAAGTCCAACGATGTGCCATCTACTGCTGCGGAGATTGAAGCAAACCAGAGCCGAAAGCGTGTCTCAGTTCCCTTGAACTCCAGTCCACTATCCCAGGCCAATGCTGTAACCAGCATGATGACTTCAAGCTCTGTGCAGACAGTCGACCAGCCCCTAAGTCCACCACCGACACCCAAGATCCCTGTTCCATCAGAAACCACCGAGCTCCCTCAAACCGAGTTGGTGTCAATAGCCACGCAGACAGACGCCCCGCCTGAGCCAAAGCCTGAGCTACCCAAACGAGCTTCACCGCCAGCCCCGATTACTATTCCGTCAATTGCCATTCATGCACCCTCGTCTGCCCCTTCGTCCCCTCGAGCACCCATCCTTCCACCATGTACCAAGACGGTGTCTACACAGACGAGCGGGGATTTGATCATCTCGATGCGTTCAGCTTCCATGCAGACCGAGCCTATTCGAATTGACCAAAGACCTGTCAAGCTTCCTGCACATCTCCTCCCTTCTGCCATTTCTTCGAACCCTGGAACGCCTGAAATCAAGGCGAAGAACGACTTGGACTACTCTCCTGTGAGCGACACCGAAAAGTCTACATTGAACACATCGGCTCGTCAGGATCTAATGAGTCGTCTTGTTGAGAAGGCTGGTGACAAGAAGATTGAGAACCGCTACCCTGGAAACAATGACAACGGTCCTCTGTCACGCAAACTCCATGCCGACATACTCAGCCGACCGTTCCGAACAAGCAGTCTCTTCGCAGGCTTTGATGGCCCATCTTCTGATGAGGAAGAAGACGATGGCGAACTGAGCGATGGTGACTACAGGGGCTCGCAATTTTCGACTCCCATGCTTTCCTCGCGCAACGCAAAGAGCGGACGGCCTGTGAACCCTCCAACGCCTGTACCAGAAGACAAGGAGCCCATGCCCAGGCCCTCGGTAGACTCTGTCAACTCGATGGCGTCTAAGCGTAGCTCGATGGAAAAGCCAGCCAGAGTTGGCAAATCGCAACGCAACTCAATCGGCCGCCAGCCCAGCATCCGACGATCTGCCATGATTCAGAGCAGCACTGCAGCCCATGCCCGCTCGCGTAGTCCAAGTATCGGCAGTCTGGGCTCTGGTAACTACATTCCCAAGCCGCCCTTCCCGGTACCTACTCGATCAAGCTCGCGCAACAAGCCAATAAGCAAGAGTGAGGGGTCGCAGAGCCCTACGCCTCGCAACAGCGGCTCCTACCCTGGCCGCCGTCCATATGGCGTGAAGCACCAGCGCAAGGATAGCATACGCAAGGTGCGATCCGCTGCTCCGGTCACCAGGCCTTCTCGTCCTCGCAGCAGGTCCCCCACACTTCCTGCCACCCCCAGCAATGCCGATACTCACTCGATCCCGCCGCTACCCAGCGACATCATCAGCGCGAGCGGCTACCGCCATCGTCACCAGATGTCCACTGCTACAGCAGCTACGGCTCAGTCTGGTACCAGCACCTCGATCAGCCAGACCAGTGTCGTCGATGCAATTGCGGCAGCCATGATTGGCGAGTTCATGTGGAAGTACGTCCGCAAGAGGAAGGCCTTTGGTGGCCCTGAGACGTCGCCAGCAGATACTCGTGCAGCAGAGGAAGCTTCCCTTGCCACTCATGGTGTGAGGCACAAGCGTTGGGTTTGGATTTCGCCATACGAGCGAGCAATTCTGTGGAGCAGCAAGCAGCCAACCACCGGCTCTGCATTGATGGGCAAGAGTGGTCGCAAACGTGAGTCTTTTACCCTTCATCCCATTCATCACTAACATTTTTAGTCATCATTCAATCGGTTCTCGATGTTGCCGATACCTGTCCTCCGCCTAAGAATGAGACACTCTTCAACCGCTCCATTCTCATCCTCACCCCTGCACGCGCTCTCAAATTCACCACCACATCGCGCGAACGTCATTACCTGTGGCTGACTGCACTATCCTTCCTCGCCCATTCAAGCTCGCCTATGCCGGATCTTGCAGCCCTACCTCCTATACCACCCCCAGTCGACGAGTTCGAGCAACGCCAGCAGGGTGCAACTCTCCGCCGCAGCCGTGTTCAAGACTCTGTTCGTCTCGCCAAGGGCAAGGTCAACCCAGTCATGGCCCGCTACGCAGCACAAGAGGAGCCCATACCTAGTCTACCATCCCTTGCAGGCTTCGACGTGGCAGTCGCCGACTCTGCTAGTCCACCTACTATCCCGCGTGGTCCGAATCACGGCAGAAAGAGGAGTTCGACCGGCCCGAGCGCGCCGCCCCCGAGCATTCCGTTCCGCAGTTTCTCACATCAGCACGTGCCGTCCGTATACTCAAATGTCTCCTCGGACATGTACAGCGCTGGCATGCCACCATCCGCTCCGAGCTCTGTATACAACCCCAATAGCGGCCTAGTGAGCTCCAGGACGTCCGAGGCCAGCACATCCACCAACCGCCACTTCTTTGAAGCCATGGGCACCGTTCGTATGGAGGCATTCATCGACAACGCTCTCGGCGACCAAAAGGTGGGCTATGGCGTGCGCGCATCACACATGCACCACCGTCGTCGTCGCGGCAGCAGCCAATGGAGCGCCAGCACCCGCGACGCGGCCAACCGAAACGGCGGCGTCTTTGACTTTGAGACGTGCGATCCATTCCGCGGCTTCTGAGAGGACGCGCTGCACTTACGACTCGTTGACGTGTGACGGGCATGTTTGAATGTCGGACGTTCTCCCAGCATTTGCTTGATTTTTTGTCTCGACTTGTCTTCACAAAGTCGCTTGTTTACACAGTTTTTCCCTTTCTTTACTCTCACTCAACAACACAAACCCTAGGGACCTCACAGCAAGGCTAGAAAGCGGTTTACTAAGCGCCCACGCGCATATCCCATACTACATACCGCCCATTATTGTAATGTTTTCTTCTCCCTCGCCCTTGGCTAGCTAGCTTTTTTGCCAGTTCTGCCATGGACAGCCTCTTGATACCCGAATCTTTTACGCCACCTCTACCTTACACGGTAATGTGAACAAGCGATCATCAAATCATCAATCTCTCCCACAATCTTGTTTCCTTTTGTGTGTGTCACTGTTCTATATCCACTTTGTCGTTTTTCTCTCTTCTCTCAACCTTGAAAACGGCGTTGTTTAACTTCGGGCGGCCTTATTTGTTCATTTTAGTTTGCTTTCCGGTATATGGATGGAGGAAACGGAGAAAGGAGGGATGATAGAAGGGCAAAATCTCATCGGATTGGCTATGAGTACAGGGGGGAAAGGGGGTCGGTCTTTGCATGTACGTGTGTGTGCGGGTAGTTTAGATTTTTGATAAAGTAGTTTGCAGAAGAATATACTACTGTATATACTCTTGACCATTAAGACAAGTCCTGTTGCTGTTATTGACTGTAGTCTGAAACCAATGTGCTGGTAAGGTTTTGGTCTACTCTTCTAGTCTCGGGTGACATCGGCAAAAACAATTATAAGTCTTTTTCTACTATGCTGGGTAACTTGTCTCCCGAAGCCGCCGCCGGCCGCTTATGTAGCATGTGCATACGTATGTAACTAGCTAGTAGTTACATCACTACCCTCGCTAGCTCCGGGATTCCTCTTGCACCCTTTTTTTCCATTCCGTTTCGGTTCCAACAAACTCTATACCAACCCCCCATATCCCTCCCCCCCTTCCTTTTCTAAAACTCTATTCATATAATCAATATCTCAAAATCTTCCCATCAATCGCGCCAATCACAGCGCTTGAATCACGAAAATCGGTTTTGTAGTGTACGTTGTTCTTCCCCTAGAACCCACACTATCCTCTTGCCCCCGCTAATTCGCCTTAATAGGTAGCGGTTATCACTCCGGATTCTGATACACTAGATATTAGAAGTGTTCCGGCAACCCCGGTTCGATTCCGGGCAAGACCTTTGACATGACTTTTTTTTGTGTGTGGCTAGGGGATGGGACGGGGTTACGTAGGTGTTGCAAGGTAGGGGTGGGGGAGGAGATATGGGGGGGAAGTCACTTTTTTGTAAGATTACGAAACGCAGATAGTAAAACTGTAAAACAGCAAGTTACAGATTTAGAATTAACATCGCATTGTCTACTATATGTTCTCTTTTCTCAGTATCGAAGTCATGCTGTTGATGTTCCTCATGTTCCTGTGTGCCGAAGTGTCGCCTCTGCCCCTCACCTCCCCCACCTGCTGCGAAAAAAAAATCGCAACCCACCAGCAACTCAACCACGCACCACAGAAATCAAAAAAAAAGATGTGCTGCTCACTCGAGCAGCGGCTTTGACTCAGCCGAGGTTTGAACTCGGGACCTTCAGTGGCTCTAACTGTATGTTAGACTGACGTGATAACCAACTACACCACCGAGCCGTTCTTGTGATTGATGGAAGAATTTGGAGGTTGAAAATATATATCGACGGATATATGGTAGGTTTTTTGAGATGAGAAAGCTAGGGAAAGAGCAGTTGGTTAAGGTGACGTTGATAGCGCCTGCCTTTACTGTGTGGGTGTGTCCCGCGATGTTTGGGTCCGGTGGGGCACAATACACCACTTTCTGAATTTTCTCCGCTGTTGAACTGCATGCACGTTGTACATAAATACATTGTTTGACAGCGATAGTGTGGGTAAACCCTGCCATTTCGTTTGATGTGTCTGGCGCATACCACAGCTTTTTTATACTAGGATATTAGGTATCTTACGCCGCCCAGATGTATACATGCGTAGCTAGCACAAAAAAGACAGGAAGTTGTCTTTTCTTTTGTTTCAGAGAATGAAACGACGAGAATGGGCTCGTCTCATCAGAGACTTGAACTTCAGGAATTGTATTTTGACGATGGTGCATTATAAACAGACGTGCTGGCCAACTATATCAAGGAGCCGTGCACGATGATGTGTACCGTCATACCAGGGTGTCATAAGATACTTGACATGTTCGTGTAAAGAGACCACTGTAGTCGCCAGACGCGCCTATTAGAGGCTTACCCACACTGTCACATATCTTATGACACTCAGGTGATCAGGGAAGTTTTATATCAGACAGTCCAATCTAGATAGCGTAGAAATACCAAGTGGGGTAGTTCCGGGAAGAGATAGTTAGGGTGTAGCTGCGGCTCGTTGTGTGGCGGATCCGAAGGCGGTTTGGGCCGACCTACTTGGAGGAAAGGCTTAGTGCTGGTAGGGATATGCGTGTCGTGATTCGGCTACGAGGATGTATGGCCGAGAAGTATAGTATGTCTATACTAATCTGGTTGTCGTGTCGATTTGTGGTGTAATGATAATACCTAAATACTTGAAAAATGCATTGGAACGAGATGCGAAATGAACCTCAAAAGGGCATTGCGATATATTTCCAAGGTTGCCCTCAAGAGTAAATCGCGCAAAAGGAAGCGGAATTAGGAGGAGAGAGGCCATTTAGAAGAGCGGGCAGAGAACTAATAGCTTACAATTGAACGTTGGGGCATAGTTTAAGGAGGAAACGCGTGAAACTGGGCCCCGAACAGGTTCAGACAAGCAATAGCGGAAGAGGCACTGTAGCATTGTGATAGAGTAAATGCTCAATTTGAGATTATTTCGGGCTGGAATAGACGCGGTAGTAGTCGTCGTCGTTGTTGCTGTGTTGGCGCTTGCTAACTAGTTACCTGCCCTAGTTACCTCGGTAGTCATATTACTTGATTGCTCAGGTGCTCTCTTTCTTCTTGACTCAGCAATCGTAATCACAGCCTTATGTTGACATTTGCAAATAGTAGTTTGTCATCCTTTTCTCAAGTATATACCTGGGTAGAGAGTGCTAAAATCCCGCAGCTGGTCATGTGGGTCAGATGTAATCCTCCGCCTCAGCTGGGTGTTGATCAATAGTGATCTCGAAAGTGGAGGCGCTAATGATACAGCTGGTTTCGTCCGCAGATCTTCCGCTCAAGTACAGGCTGACCGACGATCCCATCAGAAATAGAGAACAGGCAGCGACATCCATGGCCTATTTATCCTTTCCGACATGAATGGCGGCGACTAGGATTACGTGTCGGTCGGTCGTTGGATAGCTGTCGTCCTGAATCAAATGCGCAATCAATATTGGGTATCTTTCATGCATTAATAAGCACCATAGACGCTCTTAAGCTGAGGCTATAAATACTTGGTATCGGTCTGCCGACAGCCATCTCGGGCCAATGAATTGGGTGTCCCGGTTCGGAGGCTGCCTGGGTAGTTGCGATACGAGCCGCATACCCGCGTCTACAACTTTGAAAGCGGAAATTGGTACGCTTATCACAGCAAACGATACACTTTCTGTGGTGTAGCTTGTCTTGATTCGATCGGAGATGTGGGGGGCATTGGCTGAGGGTGCAGCGACAAGTGCAGGCGCATGCGACACCACTCTACCTGGTATCATTCGGAGATCCATTAGCGAAAAAAGTAGGAGCTGGAACGCCACTTTGCCCATGTCAGTGAACGCTCAACGGAAAGTCCGAAGTCAGAGAATGACATGCGTTTAGAGTCAGTCTGGATGTTCGATTTCCAAGTCATATAAGCCAACTCCGGGACGAAATGCAATCGATCAAAAGACCATTATCGATGTTTCAATTTTGTCGCTCATGAACACGCCTTACCGTAACTCAAACTTGATGCTCTTCAGCCTTGTTGCCTTTCCGCCTTTTATTCTTCTTCTTGAAGGCAAGCGAAAGCTTAAATGGGGCGTGGAAATTATGGCGACAAGCCACCACGTTCTCAGTCGGAGAGAACCCCTAGCCTGAATGGGGGGTCCAACAACCAAGGTTTTGGACAGAACACTTAGGATGCAAGCAATGAAAACATTCAGGAAATGGTGTACTCTGATAAACGGGAGACCCGTAACTCCCTTCTTGGTAAGTCCGCTTGTCTACTGACACTCTAGTGGACCTCTCTAACATAGTGATGCTAGACAATATGAATCCAAACGACTATACCTCGATACCCCAACAAGTCAAGGAAAACTCTCACGAGACACCCCCATATGTATCATTTGGGGATAACGGTACAACCGCAAGTCTCAACGCATTCGGAGAGCTCATACACATCTCCCAGGCTCATGAATCTAGCCGTTCAGGCTTCTTCTGCGTGGATCTTGCTAAAACACCGGAGCCTTGGTTTGTTCAGGAACGGACAGAAGCACTCATGAACGCCAATAAGAGCTTTGGAGAAGGTATGTATACCTATACGACGAGTTCTGCGAATATTCCCGAAGAGTCAACGGCAACGAGGCTAGAATTCATTCACGATCGATGGCCACTTCTGACTACCGAATACGGTCACGCCACACTTAAAGTCTTACATGTCGCATTCAAAAACACTGTCTTCCAGCAGTTTCAATGGTCAACGGAAGAGTCTTCTGTCGAATTTCCGATGGATTCAACATCGAAGTGCCACCCTGAGCTGTACGAAGACCAAAAGTCCAGAGACAAGTATTGGCACCGCACATTCGAAGTTCCTTACGCTCTTTGGCAGTTCAGAGACTCTGCAACGTCTCAATCCGTTACGAACAAGCAATCTAACCAGAATCGGACAGATTTGCATTCGCATCCAAATCCACAGGGATTGGATTTATCTAGCATTCATATGGAAATGAAGAGGTGGACACCTTTCAACAACTTTATCGTACAACTGAGCATAGTTGAACTGTTGGATGAATGGCTGTACAAGTTTTCAAGTATGTTCACTGACAAATCGGCCCCCGAAGACCTTGAGATAATCAAGGATGCAATTTCCGGGCCACAGGTCGTTGTCATCGACATTCCAAAGGTCGACGGAAAAATTACAACCGAAGATCCTACGAGTGATATAAGGCTGCTAGAAATAGGAGATATGTACAAAAAACCGAGAGAAAAGCGTACCGTACAAAAGAGCAAGAAACGGCTCATCTGGATTGTGAACCCCAACCTAGATACGAGAAAGATCTACTGCACCACATCCGCCAAGGGGGAGACGGATTACTTGGACTTCTTCTTCCAGAGGCACGTCGATAAGTGCAAATACGTCTCCGATGAAGTGACAGCAACTGCAAACTTATGGACGACTGAGTTTCATCTGTCATCCTACCGACTGTCCAATCGCGCAAATGATAGGGAGGAGACCAGTGTAATGTTTTTGGGAGACAACAACTTGCTCATGGAAAGAGAAGGTGCAGGTTTCCGGTTTGTCGGGGACTTCTTCGATCGTTATTGGACTTGTCACGTTCTTGAGATCAGCTTACAACACCACTCAAATGACTCAACACGACTCTATTACTCATTCAAAGAACACAGAAATGACACCGAGCTGGAAGTCGAAGACGCATGTAAGAGTCTCAAAGATATCCTCGAGCTCAAGAACTTGAATCTAGATTTCTATCAACACAAGAAGCCGTGGAGGCAGCGGAAGGTGCTAGAACTTCTTCTAGCCGACCAAATGCTTAAGAAGATTGAGCAGCGCTACAGGGGAATCATACAGGAAATGTGCCATCATCTGGAGCAGTTGAATCCTCGTCCAAATAAAAAGGAAAAAATCTCTGAAGCGAACATGGTCTCGATCTCGATCGAATTGTTTTCGAAGCAGATGAGCAACGGCACTTACTCGACTTTCTGTAAGACATAGCCGGCCTTTCAATATTCTCTACAAATCATGGAAGAAGACCTCAAAGATATATTGGAAAAGATTGATATATGGGAGAATCGCAAAGCCGACCGAAACCTTGAAGAGCCGCGGTGGACGAGAAACGACGAGCGAAGATACCGAGCTGCAATAACTAAGCTCACAAAAAGAAATGCACTAGCAACTCGAGATTTAATATATCACCTAACCACTGTTCGGTCTCTGAGGGTCTCCTTCTCTAACAGGCTGCAGTCGACACGAGACGAGTTGAACTTTCTGAACGCAGAGAACATCCGTTACTTCACTTACCTAAACGCCGTGTTTCTCCCACTGGGATTTGCTACAGGGGTATGGAGTATGGCTGAGTCTCCCCCCCATGGCAAAAACATAAAGGGAATGGCAGCCACTGCTGTCGTAACATTACTCCTCACAGTAACTGTGATAGTCAATATGCAGATTTTGAAGGAGCAGTTGAGCAAATGTATCTTTCACAGAATCTGGGACAATATGGGCTCGTCAACACTAAATATTGGAGAAACTTCTCATAGCCAGAGTGTACCTGGACCATCTTCAGCAGCTGGCCAAAGAGGAAATGCACCTTGCACAAACTAAGCCCAGTCAACTGTTTCACCGAAGGGCGTGGATCGAGCAGACAGTTCCCGGGGAATCGGCGGGGTTCTGTTCGAATGTTTGCCAAGGAAGAGGAGAGATACAAGGGTAGCTGATGGTTCTCAGCCTGAGGGAGGTAATGCTGTCTAACTGGAATACCACGCCAAGGACATTCAAGACCACGGAGCTAAAACATACCGCCCTTGAATGCCCAGGTGGGTCTTGGTTCCAACACGCTTTATGCATTGCGAGGAACTGATGGCGAGGAACTATCGCAGACACGGGTATCTACACGTGCGCACGTCTTTGTAATACCAAATATAAACATGTTTGGCAAACAGAGAGTTCATTGTCTGAGGGTTGGTCTCATTACGCAACTGAAATCAGCAAGGGCGTTCAGGACCAATGGTACTATGAGTGTTTTGACTGGATTCTGGCATTAAGGTAGGACTGGATACGTGAATTTAGCCGAGCGCAGCAGGCTGGCGCTTGCATGTAACTATCTATTGACAATTGCGTGCACAAGTTCAGCTTGATGAAGCCAATGTTTCCTTGGTGTTGAGTGGGGGACGTAAGGTTAGATTTAGATGTAGCTTGTACGTCCCTCTGTGACTCTTCGGCTTTTTATTAGTGAAAAATGTGATGATTCAGTGCAACCTACAATACACTGTCGATTCTTCCATTGTGGTAAATCGAGTCAGACGGTGATGTGAAATTTGATTTTCATTGTAATTCCAAGTACCCGTTCCATTCCAAGGGCAGCCTTACTTGACGAAGGCTGTAGCTTGTCCCCCCTTCTTGTTTGCAGCCACGCCCTGAAGTTCCCTACAAAAATTAACCGCGGCTATTATTACAAGATTAGTTAAGATGGTACAAACATGCTGACAAGGGATCATACTGCTAAGGCACTACCGCAAAAGGGTCTTACGTCTTCCTGGAATATTAGATCTGCAGTGTATATCTACGCATGTTCTGAATTAACACAAATATAAAGCTGTAGTACAGCTAATACTCTAAATGTTGGCTTGCATTAGTTAGGTAGCTTCCTGCCTGGAAGGATGTGAATGATGACATCAATTAGGACCTCAACTGTTTCCTACACATAACAAACACGGCATAATAGATTAAACTGGGTATATTACCTTGGTACGGCTAGGTACGGAGGATTTTTCATTTCTTATCTACTGTACATGCTGACTACTAAGCAATTGCCAAGAGTACCGACTTTGGAGTCCTACGTCACATAGTGACAAATACCATATCATCTGTTCTAGCCTATATTGATCTCAAAATTGAGTCTGTAGGCTACGTAACAGTATATGAACTACTCTTGCTCTTCCTTGAAGGAGTCTCCTGCATCCTTATGCGCCTGGCTTGGACCTTCTGCTTGGTCGTGTCCAGATGGGACAGCAACGTCGCTCGCGTACAAGCTGGGTGGCAATACAAGCAATGACTGCATGTTCCCCATCAGTTGCTGAGTAGCCATCATATGTCTAACGAAGGCAGTGGCGACTGTTCTGTAGCGCAGGTGCGATATATCGAGCTGCCCTCTCAGCTCAGCTAGCTCTGCTGCTTGTGCCTGGCGCTGCTGCTCTAACTGCTCGACCCGTGTCCTCGAAGCTGCGAACACTCGAGCTGTCTTGGTATCTGTTTGCGGTTTTACATGCGGGGCTGATGCTGAGCGCTCCTGATCGACCACTGATTGCATTCCAAGGGTAGCATACTGGGCTGCAGATGGAGGTTTGCCTGGTGTTTCCTGAAGACTGAACCTGCCACGTTCAGATGACGAGTTAGGTTTGTTGTGAGCCCAAGGTGTCCGATCGCGATAATTACCGCTACTTGCTTGCATTGTGGGGCTACGTTCGCGGGAATCACGAGGGCGGAGTAGGCCAGTGTAGGGCGGGTTGTCGACTCTGGGATGTCCCGGATCTATGTATCCTCGAAAGTTGTTGGGCTGCGCGAATGCGGCATCGTAGACAGTATAGGAACCCGGAGCGGTAGAAGTACTGTAGCCGGCATCTGGTGGAGGTACACTATATCCATTGGTATAACCGGCACCGTAGTTGCTGTAATCAACCCCAGCATTGTAGCCTGGATATTGCATCCCACCAAAGGAGTTACCAAAAGATATTGGGTCTCTATTGAAGAGCTGATGAGGCGGCAGCGAAGCCTTCATATGATCAGAAGTCGACATGTCGGTTTGTTTCCTAGTGAGGCGGGCTGCCTTGAGGTCTTCGATCATGTATTCATCCGTACGCGAAAAGCACCATTCCTTGTTGGCTACTTCAAGGAGATGTGGACACAGCTTTCCTGGGTGCTCGTGCCTTCCATCAAATGCGCAATAGTTAGGGCACTGGCGCCAGGACATGCGATGGTCTTGAGACGCGATCTTGCCGCAATGTAGGCACAGCTTATGACGATCGTGGATCCCTGCTTTGCGCATGACCTTCAAGAAGTCTGTTGGCTGCGAAACGTGATGTGCGCTGTACGGCTCGTGTTGTTGACAATTATAAGGCGGATGGCTGTTGTTGTCGAAGCCTCCTTGGTCGGAGGTTTGTTTCTGTGGGTCACCAGACATTTCAACGTCCATTTTGAACGATGTGATATGTGTGTTGGAGGTGAGCTTGAAAATCCCTTTCAGGCGGCCCTTCGCTCACTATGCTGGCCAAGGCGCTAGTACAGTAAACGCGCAAGCACGTGATTTGTCTGCACTGCGCTACTCACCGCTCACCTTAGCCCCGCCTCACTTCAGCAGCTAAAGTAATCGTATGACGCGTACTGATAAACAGATGGAATTGTTTTTGCCTGCCTTTGGTGCGGCCTCGAGTGCACATGCGCAGTTTTAATGTTAGCCTATCTATGAACACATTCACCATTCACACATGCGCGTGTCCCGAGGTCAGCTTGGTATAATAGACGTAACCATAGGATTGAGATGCTTCTCCAACATCAACAGCTACCACCGCATTGGTTATGCCTATTAAAATTAGCTAAGACTAGAAAGATGATAGAGAAGTTGTACAGTGGTACAGGGGCAGTTATTGTGGTAGAGGGGCAAAGTAGAAGCAGGAACCTGGGTTCGACCTCCAATACCAAGACTACAGGATACCGTCTACCTAAACAAAGGCACTGCTAGTGAATAAACATCTAACTACATAAGTCACAGCTTTTACACAGTCCTTCCCAGGCTTCTCTATAGTTTAATCTTAATTAAATCCACCCTTAAGCAAACGACGTAATAGTTAGCGAGACTAGCCCTAAAATCAGGAACAAAGCCCTCCCTTAAGACCTCGACATTAAAGAAGGTACACCCCTTATCACGCAGGAGCACACATCTAACCACTAGGCTAAAATCTTAGGCAATGCAGTTACTACGGCAGCCACGATAATTAAGCACTTAGAAGATGCAAACGAGTTTACGAAGACACAACGCCAGTTCTATCAAAGACGCAAACGCGAGTTTACTCGAAGACAAGACAAGAATTGTACACAAGATAGCTAAGATGTAACGGGCGCACAAGGAAAAACTCACAAGGACGCAAAAAGACACTGAATTGCTTAGTCAACAGCTACACTCTTGTTACTTCGGGATCTGGAAACTATACAAGTAAGAGAGGACATCTTAATCACCCAGACTATCACGTTGGCAAAAAAGCAATAAATGATAACTACTCCGAGTCATATCATCTCAAAGCAGAAAGCATATATCGGCAACGTACTCAGACGTGTTGCACAATGTGAGGCTGCACTCGAAGACTTCGAACTGCTTGTTCAGAGACAGTACAAGGCTGCACAAAGCAGGCATTGGTAGAGATAATGAAGAGGCTAGAACGGCCCGCTGAGAGTACGAGAAGCGCACAGAGGCCCTCAAGCAGATCAAAGATCACTATCCGCAACTGTTCAAGGTCATCGAGGGTATTAACACAGCTGACGCGTTGACTAAGTTTGCAAAGGAAAACAGAGAAGCTACGACACACAAAGAGAAGTACAAGCTGCTGTCAATAAGAAAGGGAAACACCGCTGACATCAGCTTTAAAGGCCTGCAGATACCAGCTGCCAAATCGATCACCATGTCCAAACACGATTTCGATCTCGATTTACACGACACCGCCGAGGTGACTACGGAGACCGCTATGCGCACCATAGACGTCCATCAATCAAAGCTTGAACGCAAGCTCATAAAGGGAAAGGACAGTTCCTGGCATTAGCTGCATGACAGCGACAGTGGTCATGCGGACCACCTGGATATATTCGCAACACGAGCAGGATATCACATGTGGAAGCGCTTGCGGTAGCAAAAACATGGCGGAAACATATTGCGCAGTCATATCCAGCCCTAACCAGACAAGAACATGCTGCAGCAACCGACGGGCTCGCCTCCTCTCGCGATAGAGCACTGGCACAACGCCATCGAGGCTGGCGCAGAGCAAGCGGACAAAGATGTGACAGTTGAACCTAGGGCTGGCAGACTCCCTGACGGATAAAGCATCTATCTGGCGCTACAAGCCAAGACTCCATGGCGCGAATTATTGAGTAGGACGAAATCCAGTACAGATAGATCAATAAAGTGCACGGAAAATACTGCTCTTTTGTCTGACATTTGTTAGTATCCTTCATGCACAAAAACAGACAACATGAGGGACATACCGTTTGATCGACAAGGAAAAGTCAGAGGATAACTTGATAAGCATTTCTAGGAAATCAAGCTGATCACATGTCTTCTCTATGCCTCATTGAGAAACACGGAAAGTCTGTGGAACACAAGAGAGACAGTTATACGTAAAAGAGAGAGAGAGAGGTTTATACAGTCACTTCTGCACATATTTTCCGGTCCCCAAGGCTAAGCCAGCCTCCCCGGAACCAACGTTAACAATCATTCTGGGAGAAGAAAAGCAAGGGAACAAGTCATCATTCGTATCGGATCGCCATTTAGAACGAACGGTGTCCAGACATTGGTAGTATTACATGCATCTTTCAAAAGAAACACATGACGCGTAGCAGAAAACAAGGAGGTTTTCAACAAAGGTGGAGTTTTCATCTCCTATCTATGGAAATGAAGACAAAGATATGTCGTGTTTAATTCTATTAATTGTAGAGGCCGAGAAAACATTCTCCTAATGTTGTACATTTTCAAGAAAGTAGAAAACAAACATTCCATCTTTGTGCTGTGACTTTTAGAGATTTCCATGAAGACAAGTTTGATTTAGAAGTAGAAAGAGAGTAAGACAACGGTAGGTATTTTATATCCACAGCAGCAGATCAGCTGCATGGAAGCTTAGACTCTGTTTTTTAATTTGATAGCCAGACACACATACACGGAATAGCGATGGCCAGGTAGATCGGGCAATCATTGTGGTCTTGATTTTTCTGTGTTTTTCAAGGAAACAAAGGAAGCAGACATACCAATGATGAACTAGAGTTGAGTAAAAGAGGAAGAATATGTGATTAATAGGAGGCAAGATCCTCAGGCAATTTAAAGTTTTTATACGCCCTCTGCACACATGCCATATTCGGAAGATTCTCTTCTTCTCCATATTTCGATCGTGTGTATATTTTACTCTCTATTTTAGAAGTCGGGAGGTTAGAGATTGGTCATAAAGTTTTGCTTGTTCTTTTTGAACAACTCCTCTCACTCCAGGCACATATTGGCACAGACTCAAGTAAGTTATTTTGTACACGACCGGAAAAAGCACCCACACCATTGCTAAATTAAATATCCGTTTCGAACGACTTCTCCACCCCATAAAACGTCATTCACATCAGATGGGCCAGTTTTTATACCCCAGAGAATTTATATGGCGGCTCCAACAGTTCCATACCTCGCGTCCGACAGGTTATGCGCAGGTTTAAATTTAGAAAAACAGGAAGGGAAAACTCATGCTGGACGTATGGCGGGGTTTTAAGAGAAGAGTTATACAGTGGCCCGACCACCCTCCACACCATATATGTCGACGTCGGTACATTGTTCAAGACTTGGAAAAAGAGGAAGAGAGAGGCCATAAAGCAAGGTGAGATGGTTTTTAGAAAGCCAGGAACGGCAGGACATTGTGGGTATGAATCATCATTTTAATTAACCAGAAGAATTTGAGAGAAGAATGAAGAATGAAGAATGACGAGAGAGAGAAGAGAAACAGAAGGGGTTTTATACACAGCACAGCACTTCGCATCGACCCAGTCCCGCGACTAGCGATTTTAAGAAAGTAGAAATCCTCACTCTCCCACAGAAGCCATGGTTAATGATGTTTGCCGATTCAGGACCTTTCCACCACACATTCCATCTTGTCGAGTCTTTTTTAGAAAGCCTACACACTTTCATGATCCTGTTTTCTGTCAATTTTACCACAGCAACCGCCCCCTCTCATTCTTTTTGATATTCCTCATTTTTAAGAAAGCAACCCCAGGGGCCGGAAAGACAGAACATCGAGCGATATTTGAACTATTTCAGTCCTCACATGCCATGGTATGGCGAAGGATTTCTATCATGCAGCAAATAGATGGGAATCGACAGGAAAAGGCTCGTCATAAGGAGGATCTCAGTGTTTTTCAATTTCTTTTTTACCCGGACCACCGGCTGGGTGCAGACATCGGACCACAGTTCGGAATCTTTAAAAAGTGGGAAGGAACAGGAACATCACTCAGTATGTAGCTGTTTTTAATAAAGGTTGCGGAGAGATGGTAAGAGACATGAACACAAATGTATGGCCTTTATAGTAAGAGCGGAGAAGAGAGATGATGAAAGTTGCATTTTCGAGGCGAGAGAAAGGGCAGGTCACACCACGTCGACATATAGTTGCAATTTAGAGAAAGGCAGAGGAGAGCGGAAACATGAATCAATTCGCCAGAAGCTTTTTTTTCTCTAACAAGTAGAAGAAGGTTGTGGAAAGAAGGACATGTTCCGTACACCTGTAGTCTAAGATTTTGCAAAAAGAGCAAGTGTGTAAGAAAGAGCGGAAGAGAGGGAGCACACCATGTTCGTAGAGTTGTCTCTTTAAGAAGGGCGGAGAAGAACAGAAACATGTGGTGTTCTGTGTGTAATTTTTGTTAGATGTGGGAGGACCAAGCAGACATGAGGGAGAAGGTTGTTGTATTGAGAGAGCTACATGAAGCGATTATATACACAACTAAGATGAGTAAGCAGGTGACGAGGAGTCACGTGAGATACAGTTCACAGTGTACCAGGTGAACCGAGGTGCCAGGCTGACAATTTTTAGTTTTAGAGAACGTAGAAAGATAGTAGGAGAGAAGAACCAGAGTCCGCAACAATCAAGCGATAGGCAGATTGATTACCGGATTAGGCCTCGAAAGATCACCATCTGGTCCGTGACAGACCTAATCAGGTAATCAATCTGCCTATCGCTTGATTGTTGCGGACTCTGAGAAGAACGAGAAATGCCAGAAGCTTTTATATCGAATTTCCCTGAGAAAGAGAAAGAGAGGGAACGAGCACAGTATACAGTTTTCAGGTGTAGGTTTTAAGAGAAAGGCAGGCGAAAGCACATCATGTATTCCCTATGCATGTTTTTTTAGATTCACACAGGCGGGAGCACACATACTGACCTACTCCCAAGGGAAAAGAAGGCAAGAGCACACCATGTTGGTCTCCGCGTAATTTTTAGACAGAAAGACAGCCAGGAGCACACATACCCCGTTGTATTGCTATTTTTTGCGAAAGTTCGCAAGCCAGCACATCACCACTCGGAGTTGTTGATTTTTTAGAGAAAGACAGAGAAGGCAGGAACAAACCATACCGATGCGGTCCGTTGGTTTTTATAACATAGCAGGATCAAGGAGCATATTACGGCTCGTATATCTCAGAGAAAGAAGGAAGGAAACCACCCAACCATTACTTGTACATTTTGAAAAAGACGGAGAAAGGAGGGAAACCACCATGTACTCGTAGACGTTGTATCTTATCAATTTCGAAGAAACAAGGACAAAGCCAACGCACACATTTTTCGTCGGTAACTTCATTTAAGAAAGACAGGAGCGAGCATATGAATCTTGGGCTAACGCTATTTTCAGAAAAAGGCCGACAAACAGGCGATCTCACAACATTCTTTTGGTAGCAGCCAATTTTTGAAAAAGCCAGATAGACGCTCATTTTTTCAAATGTGGTTATCTTCGAGAAAAACAGACTGGCGCAGCCATGATTTGAGGCTAGTATAGTTTCAAGAAGAACAACAGGCCGAAGCACATATAGTATTGGTCTCTTGCATTTTAGAGAAAAAGACAGGCACGGCCACATGGAGTGAACGAGATGCTTATTTTTGAAAAGACGGACAGACGCACCCATCATCTGCATCACCACTTATTTATTAAGAAAAAGAGAGGGAAGAACACATGCATGCCCTTGCTTGCGATTTTTAGATATTTCCAGGAAAGAAAGGTAGTGTGGTAGAGAAGAAGAGGAAGAGGGGAAGACAGGTAGAGGGGGTTTATATATGCTAGGTCCGTCCCAACTCAGGCCACAGCATGTTGCGTATCGAAAACCAATGTCAGCATATGCGCATGTTCTATTTAGTTTTAACACTCGATGACATGAGCGCGAAAATCGGTGAAAAGGACAGTTGATGTAAAAATGATACGCTTCCTTTTCATGTATCTAACTATCTACATACACACACACTACACTGCGCTACCTAAGAATGCCATGCTCATGTCGCTGCTTCATGTATCGCTCTATCTACATACAAAGTGTTGTTGTTGCTCATTACCATGTGCGTCTTATCTCGTCTCGTCTCATCGCGTCCGTTTTTTGCATGACGTTATCGACCGTTATATCCAACCTCTCGAGAGTCATGTGCTGTACAATCCGAAGAAGGAAAAACCCCTCAAACACCGCAGACTATGTAAAATAACATGCAAGAAAAACAAGGACAACAGGAATCTGACAACCGGGTATTATCCATAAAACACCCCACCCCACTCACGGGTCTGATAAAAGACTCAAGCCCGTTCACAGGAAAAGAAAAACGGGTATAAGACGAGAAGAAATTCAGGACTACAAGAAACGCCTTTGTCCCGAAACATTCTTCTCGTATTCTTTATCGTCCCGAGGACTGAGCTCGGTCATATCCGTCTCCACTCGCCGGACGCCTGGCTGCGAAGTTTGGATCCTCTCGGGCTCGTATCCTGGGCTCTCTGTTCGCACCATATCCCAGTCGTCTGAGTACACTGGCGGACCGGCCAACTCTGGTACAGCTTCGTTACTACCGTGGCTGACGATGGGAAGCAAGTTTGCGGAATCGCCCTTAACGAGTCCCAAACGCTCTTCCTCGGTCGCGGTGGCAACTGCTGCGCGTTCTCTGCTGCTCTTCCGACTGTGCCTACTAGTTGGTCGCTTGCTGCTTGACGATTCGCCCATCGAGTCGGGACGACTGCGAGTGAAGACGTTTTGGAAAGAGAATTGGCGTTTCGCTGTTTGCGCGGATGCTCTGGGAGGGGCGAGGGAGGACGAACCGGAGCCGTTACGTTCGTGGTGGCGGGGCGGATCGGGGAGCGAGGCGAACTGGATGTGGTTGTCGAGCGGCTTGTAGGACGTATCATGCGATTTGTAGGAAGTGTCTCGTGACATGTCGTGCTTGTAGGAGTTCACGTCCGAGTCGCGGTCCGATGAGCCATCGGCTTGCGGGATGGGCGGAAGATTTTGCATTCCAACAACAGAGTGCACGGGAGTACGCGCACTATCGCGACTACTGGTAGACTTGCCACGGGACCGTAATCGCTGGAAGAAACCAGGGTGGAAACTATCGTTATCGTCATCCGAATCGTCAGTTGGGAACTGCGACATGCCAAGAGGCGGATGTATCGTCCTTGTCTGTACAATTGTGGTGTTGCGCGTAGGTGGCCGACTAGGGTCAAGGATAGTTTTGCGTCTCCGGAGCCCGTCAAATTCCACTTGCTCGCCTTCGCCAATCGGTTCCATATGCTCTTCCTGTATCTTCTTGGCCTCGGCAAGCTCCTTGTGTGACCTGGCTTTCGAAAGTGATCGGATGATGGCCGAACCGCCGCGGAGGGCATCAGCTCGGGGCTCATATTCTGGCTCCTCCATTTCGGCGACAGTTCGCACTTGATCGAGATCTCCTTTGAAGACAGCAGAGTCGGGAACATCCTTTGCCGACTTGGATAACTGGAGCAGGACGACTCCGGAACAGATCTGGAAGAAGCCCATGATGACGGTGACGATCTGGAGGGGTGTGCCTTTGAAACCCTGAAACAGCACCGCGGAGGTGACAATGGTCGCGGAAGTGAAGAAGACGTAGTATGTAGGTGTTACCAACGCAGCGTTGAAGAGGTTCAAGGCTTTCTAGATATTGTTAGCATCTCACAGAGCAGAGAGTAGAAGACTTACGTTTAGATAAATAATTTCTGTTAGTAAAGTTATTACCACAAAGACTAGCAGCACGTAAAGGAACCACTGCTTGAATTGGCCACCGTACGTGCCCGAAGCCTGTGCTACTACTGCAGCACCAAGACCTTGGGTTGCGACGACACTGAGTCCTCCGATCAGACTGCAGATGGTAATGTAGACCATCATGGTCTTCTTTCCGTACTTGGGAGCCACCCAAATAGCGATTATAACACAGGCGACAACGATGACACCGGCATAGCTGAGGAAGCCTGGGGTAAGTACCCATCTCTTCATGTCTTCGATGCGGGCAACCGAGGATTGTTGTGGAGCGTTCACAGCAATGACTACAGATCCTATGATGCAGTTGAAACAGCCTACTTTTCCTACAAAACTCAGGCGTTCCTTTAAGAATATAGTGGACAGTATAGCGCAGACGACAACGGATAAAGCGCCCATGGGTGTTACAAGGATAGCGTCGGTGAAAGCGTATGCGACCAGATTACTGCGAACATGTTAGTAGAGCGCGCAACACATCACCAACATGACGTACCATATTTCTCCAACAATCATGAGCGTCATGCCGAGCCACCACCAAGCGTTTTTGAGGTAGCCATAGCCTTCGCCTGCCTCCTCGTTGTACTTTGTGTTCGCCTGTAACAGACCATGCTTCTTGATGACAAACGACGACCCGATAAACAATCCCGATGCGATGGCCAAAACAAGACCAACGATTTTGTACGAAGCCGGGCGGGTTCCGGTGTCCCCGCCCATGCCCCCAGAGCGGGCGTCAAGCTCGTGGGCGGCATATAGAAAATGTGCGGTCGAGTCCATGGCTTGGGTGGGTCGCAACGGATGCTACCAAGTGCTAGCGCACTGCCGACTCGGCGTGTTGAATGTGTAGGTTGTAAAGGGCGATGTTATTGTGGAGGCATGAATCGCATTGGTCGTGACTTCCGGATGTGGGCGAAAGTCTGCACGAGGCTGCACTTGAAGGACGTTATCGCTCGTGGTGGCGGAGGAAGGACGCTTTGGGAAGTCTGTTTGGACAGGGTCCAGGTCGCCGCGGAAATGAGGTTGAGGAAGGCGCGGCGGGACGTCGCAAAGGAAGTCGCAAGTTGAGGGGTGGCAGGCGCGAGGGCCTTGTCTTGTTTCGTGTACTAGCAGAGGCGCAGTCGGTTGGTTGTGAGCGGGTACTGCGTAATCGTGGTGCGTACAGTACAGCTGAAAAGGCCTAGATGCGCGATTGGCGCTCCGTTGGTGTGTTTACAAGCCGCCGACAGGGAGCTAAACTGAGGAATACGGCAACAAAGTGAGAGCAAGAACGAAACGCTAGGGGCTGAGGGGGAGAGATGTATAAACGAGAAAAACAAAGCTGTGAACGGTGGTAGTTTCGTTTTCGTTTGGTTCCCGGGCCATCAACATGTCCAATCTTGCTGCAGGGGCAACGGACAGCGGACAACGGCGGCGTTGCATGGGTCGGATTCTGGAGGCGGCAGCGGGATGAGACAGAGGGAGACGTCACTGGCCAAGGGATCGGCCGACGCACGCCCAACCGACGCTGCATAGCTGCCGCGCCCACGCCAGAAATAGATATCCACAACTTGACAGCAAACAGCAAAAGTCGGCACCTTCTAACTGAGCATGGCAGTCGAGATAGATGACGCGCAAGACGTATTCGCCGCCGCCAGCGTGGCTCAAATCCATGAAGCCCTGGGCCAATTGCACGACCAGGAAGCAAGCGTCACGCAGCGACTAAACGCACTCATCGCCTCGCAAAAGGACCTCTCGCGCGAACTCGGTCGTCTCGATCTGCTGCGCGCCCGTCTCGGTACCCAGGCCGTGAATACACGCGCCATCAGCAATGGCATGCTCTCCGATGCCGCCTCGACTGCGAACCGGATATCAAGTGCCGTCAAGCGTTTAGACCAGGAGCAGTCGAATGTAAAGGCGACACTAGACGTGGTGGAGCAGGTGGCCGAACTCAAAGCATGCGTTCTGGGTGTGCATGGGTCCATGGGCGCTCCTCAAGACTGGGAAACTGCAGCCGCCTACCTCAGTCGCGCCGCAAAGGTTCCCGATACCGTCGTAGATGGAAGCTTTGCAGAGGAGATGGTGCCGACAGCTGAGGTGCCGGATCCGCCACGTCTAACCCTGGATGCTGCGGCCGAGTCTCTGTGCGGACTGTTCCTCCGCGAGTTTGAAAAAGCTGCTGAAGAGGGTGATGGCTCAAAGGTAACGCGCTTCTTCAAGCTGTTTCCCTTGATTGGCCGCACAGACGTAGGTTTGGATGCATATGGGCGATATGTATGCCAGGGTGTAGCTTCGCGTGCGCGGGCAAACTTCAACTCGGCTGCACCTGCACAGAGAAACGAGGGCTTCTTCTACGGCAACACCATTACCAAACTGTTCGAGCACATTGCGCAGATTGTCGATGGCCACGAGCCGTTGGTAGAGCGTCATTATGGTCCTGGAATGATGCAAAAGGTCATTGAACGTTTACAGATTGAGGCCGACGTGCAAGGTGGCATCGTGCTCGACACATGGCATGAAGAGCGCCATATTGACCGCAAGCTTACCGAAATCAAATCCTATGCCTTTTCCTTTCTAGTCCAGAGCTTTCTCCCTGCGAAACCTACCAACGGAACACCTCGTTCAAGCTCACCAGCTAATGGTGGAGTTCGGACAAGCGAAGACCAAGGAGTGGACATGAAGGAGATTGACAGCTTGCTCGGAGAGGGGGCGTTGATACTAGGACGCTACGCTCTGTACGCGCGTTTCCTCTCCGATAAGTGCGCAGTAAGTAGAGAATACAATCGTTGTGATCAGTCACTCACATGTACAGCCTGCTGAGCCTGAAGACCGCATCGATTATGGCTTAGTCATGCCCAACTTCTTAGCCACCAGCAACCTCCATAAGAAGGTGAGCAGCCACCTCATCGACCCTTTTAATGCCATGACAACATTCTTCTTCCGTCGATCTGTGGAGAAGGCTTTCCAGTTGGACGAGTCGCCCTCGGATCTCACACTCAACCCCAGCAAGCCCCTTGGGTCCAACCCACCCTTCATTACCTCTGCCGTTGACGATGTCATGTACATTGTTAACCAGGTTCTTCAAAGAACACTCGCGACATCACAACGCGCCGTCGTCTCAAGCGTTGTACCTGCAGTGAGCCATATCCTAGGCTCTGAGTTTATTGGTATGATACAGCGAAAGATGCGGGACGAGAGCTACCCGAAGCCTGTCATACAAGGTGGCCTGCCTCCAGAAGACAAAGTCATCGCTTTTCTGGTACTCATCAACAATCTCGACATCGCAAATGACTACGTCAAGCGCATTGTCCACCAGCAGCTCGGTAGCCAAGCGCAAAATGGTGGAGAGGATATCAAGTCACCACTGCACGACTTGTTTCCCTTTGGACACGATGCGACGTTTGTTGAGAATACACTGAAATCAATGGAGAAGGCTTTCGCGTCCAAGAGTGGGGACCTGCTCAACGACGGCATTACTGTCCTCTTCACAAACGTCCTCAAACCTCGCATTCGGCCAATCCTGGCCGAAGCTTTCCGGGACATCAAATACGACATTGAAGAGGACGATATCAATGGGGATGAAGAAGAAGAAGATGTGGATGTTGTCAAGTCGCGTTTCGATCGCGGTTGGGGTATCGTGATTCGTCCCATCAAGCGCATCTTGACTTCGGCGAACTTCGACCGTCTCCTTTCGTTAGGGCTGAACTATCTCGCGTCTGCGCTCGAAAAGCGAATCCGAAGTTATTATGGCCGGGTAAATGAACTAGGCGCAGTGAGACTGGAGCGCGACGTCGCAGGTATCATCGCAGCGGCTACCAGCGGCGGAGCATACTCTTTACGTGATGCTTTCCAAAAGTGCACGCAAATGACGTTGATTCTCAACATGGAGGACGATGAATTCGATGAGGTCGCAGACGACACGACAGGCGATTCGGGCATATCATGGGTCATGGATGCAGAGGAAAGGAAGAGAGTAAGAGCCATCGTCAAAGGGTAAAGTGGGTACATCCGGTAGGCGAATTGCCATGCTAGGTTTCTTGTCCATGCCTGATGCTCCGCTCGGGGCCTCCACACAGCGATGCTTGGCACGCAATATGGATAAATGAACCCCAGGACCCTGTCGGCAGACTTGTCAACAATCAAATCAATCAAATATTAAGCTCGTGATTGGTTTGATTGCCGCTTTTTTTGAGGCGTGATTGGTTTGATTGATTTGAAGTTTTTTGGGTGGTTTGGACATTTGATTGACAGCTTGCTTGATTGATTGTTGATAAGTCTTCCCGTCAGCAATTCTTACACTTTGCCGCGAGTGAATGATCGGTTTCTACCAATCAGATCAAGCCCCATCGGAGCTGCTTCTTATGGCGGTACTAGCCTTTGACGGCCAAAACTTGTGAAAGCTTATGTGGCTCGTGCCGGCTTGGCTTTGATCTGAACACTTGTGACCGTACATAAGCATCCAGCAGACAGACTAACAAACAACAGCTCTACACTCACAAACCTTCGTATCACATAGTTTAGCCAATAGCCAATATTTAATTTCGCGACGCTTATCTCGTATTGAACGACGCAATGTGGTTGGGACGCCACAGCGGCCTACTCCCCTGGGCCTCGCTTCTCCTGCCCTACCTGGTATCCGCCCAATGCCCGCTGTACCAAAACTACGCCGCGCAACGCCACGAACCTATTTCGGCTGGAAATTGGAGTTTGAGCTATGCGAGGCCCATCGTTCCGTGTCGGACTTTTCGTTCGCAAGAGGTGGAAGATGCGATAGATCGGTTACGTGGTGTCATCAAGGATCCTGATCTTTTTCGTGTAAGAATACTGTTGATTCTATCGAGTTGTGTACTGATATGAAGCAAGATTTTCGAAAATTCATGGCCAAGCACACTGGATACTACCATCGCATGGCGAGGATGGTCAAATACAAGCAGTACCCCATCGCTAGAAGGTCCAGACACGAGCAAGAAACCTGAAGAACTCACCTTTGTCATTACCGGCGATATTGAAGCCATGTGGCTCCGAGACTCAGCCAACCAACTCCAAGCCTACATAACCGTCTTGAAAAAGAACGACTCCGAAGACAGCCTAGCCAGTCTCTTCCGCGGCGCCATCAACCTTCAAGCCCGCTACATTCTCGAACACCCCTTCTGCAATGCCTTCCAAGCCCCCGAAGAAAGCGGCATCCCCCAGCACAACAGCATGAACAGCGACCGCATTACCCCACCCTTCGACTACTACAAAGTCTTCTCCTGTCAATGGGAGCTCGACTCCGTAGCCTCATTCCTCCAACTCTCCGTCGACTACGTAACCGCAACCCGTGATTACGACTTCTTTGCCCGCTCCAGCAACTGGACCGCCGCTGTCAAGACGATCCTGGAAACCGCAGAAAGCATGATGATAGACTCCTACTCCCCCTCTGGCGAATGGCAACACACACCCTATACCTACTGCGCCCCTTACGGTGGAACCCCCATCAACAACTGCAACGGAAGCCCACACAAAGGCCACATCGGTCTCGTCCGCTCCTTCCAACGCCCTAGTGACGACGCATGTACATACCAATACCTCATACCCAGTAACATGATGTTCTCCTCGGCCCTCAACACCTCATCGGCAATAATGCAATACCTCGACTCGCGCGCCCCCACCAGAGACACTGGCAACCTAACCACATGGATGCAAACCATGTCGACGAACATCAACCGCGGTATTGAAAGATACGGCATTGTAAACGATCCCAAATTTGGTAAAATATACGCTTACGAAGTCGATGGTTACGGTTCAGTGAATATAATGGATGATCCTAATGTCCCCTCGCTACTCTCTGCTCCCGCGATCGGATACACCACTGTCCACGACCCCATATACGCTAACACGCGTCGGAAACTTTTATCTAGGGAGAACCCGTACTACGCTGTTGGTAAGGTAATTACTGGTATTGGGTCACCGCATACACTGCCTGGAAAGCCGTGGCCCATGGCGCTTATCATGACCATTCTCACAAGTGAAGATGATGAGGAGATTATAAGGAATCTCATGTGGTTGGTCCAGAGCACAGATGGGTTGGGGTTGATGCATGAGAGTGTGGATGCGAGGGAAGCTGGGGTGTGGACTAGGCAGTGGTTTAGCTGGGCGAATGGTTTGTTTGGACAGATGATTTTAGACCTCGAGAGGAGGAAGCCTCGGATTTTGGGGTTGAGTTTTCAGTAGATGATTGGTATATTGGTATAATTGTGTAGAGGGAGTTTGCCGAGTCATGCTTGTCGTTCTTTCCTAGATGGGAATATGGTGTAACGCAGCGATGCCCACCCTCTTTTCAACCTACACTTTGATCAACCGCATAAACAAAAAAAAGACAGCCTACCTTATTTGATCTTATACATCTTCTTCTTTTCTCAAGTCATATTCCGGCCCAAAAATAAATGACTCAAGCGAGGCTCGAACTCGCGACCTTTCGCGTATTCACAGATGTGTGAGGCGAACGTGATAACCAACTACACCATCGAGCCGGATGGAACCAATCGTCTATAGGATTGATTCGATGATAGAATTTGAAACTAATATCAATATATACCATAAAATGAAGCAAGGGACTGAAGTTGAGTGGTATAGGGTTTGGCGATTGTTTGAGTGCGGGGCTCGGTGGTGGTGCGGGGCATACTTATCCTTCCTTCGCTGTTCCGCTGTTCCGCCTACCGTATTTGGGATATGACGATAGAGCGTGTGTCCACCACGGACGGAGTACCTTTGTGGTAATGGGTACCGCAGCGCTGTCATCTTCCAATGCCAAAGGATAATTGCAGTGTGACAAATCCCCGCGGCCATCGACTCCTCACAAAAAGATGCTGCATGGCTACCTGCACCCCTCTGCTGATTCAGCCTCTCCTTTGTAAGGCATCCACCTAGCTGACCTTTCCATTTAGCATTTCCCAGCTTCCTCACTCTTACTGTACATTACCTCTTCATCTCCTACGAACACAATGTCTTCCCTAAAACAACACCTCCCGTGGACGACCACCCCCCTCATCATCAATGCCCCCATGGCCGGTTTCGCAGGCGGCAAAATCGCCTCAGCCGTCACACTATCCGGCGGCCTCGGTATGATCGGCAGCGCCTTCAGCATGACCGAAGTACGCAAAGAACTCTCTATCGCAGCCTCGGTCTTCAATAACAATCCCGTGCCCACATTGTCGAACACACTACCCATTGGCCTGGGTTTCCTGCCCTTTGTGCTCAACATGTCCGACGCACTACCCGTCATCGAAGAGTTCAAGCCAGCGGTTGTCTGGCTGTTTGTTCCAAAGTCGCTGGACGACTACGCGAAATGGGTACCTGCAATACGCGAGGTTTCTCCTGAAAGCAAGATTTGGATCCAGCTGGGGAGTGTGGCTGCTGCGGTGTATGTGGCGAGGATTGCGCGGCCAGATGTGCTATGTTTGCAGGGCGCGGACGCGGGGGGCCATGGGTTTGAAAAGGGTGCTTCTATTATCTCGCTGTTGCCAGAGGCGTCGGATGCACTTGCTGCTGAAGGGTTTTCTCATATTCCACTGGTTGCTTCGGGGGGTGTGGTAGATGGTCGGGGTGTTGCTGCTGCGCTGACACTTGGGGCGCAGGGCGTGGTAATGGGGACGCGGTTTTTGGCCTCGAAGGAGATTAATTTGCATCCAAACTACCAGGCTGCGGTGGTCGAGGCGCAGGATGGTGGTCAGGTGACTGCAAGGTCAAAGTTGTTTGACCAGCTGCGCGGTCCGAACATCTGGCCTGAGTTGTACGATGGACGGGCGTTGGTGGCGCAGAGTCATAGGGATCATGAAGACGGCGTGGCGTTGGAAGAGATACAGAGACGGCATAATGAAGCTATAAAGGAGGAGGATAGAGGGTTCAAGACGGGCTTGCAAGGGCGTGCGGCGATCTGGGCGGGTACGGGTGTGGGACTGGTGAGGCAGGTGGAGAGCGCAAAGGATATTCTGGAGAGCGTACGAGAGCAAGCGAGGAGCATCTTGCTCAATGCAACGAAATGGTAACTAGAGGATTGTGACAGTGTGAAATAGAAAAGAGCAAACAAATATGACGATGACGTCATGCATTGTGTTGTAGGTTTAGAAAGAAAACATGTCCAGCTTTGTTGCATCTATTGATCTTAGAACCATGCATATATTATACAAGTTTGAACAACTGTGTATTCATCTGTCCCAGTTCTTCATTGAGCTTTTCGTCAGCCTCCCATCTTGCCTGTCTCAGGATACCCTCTTGCATATTATCCTTAACTGGACTGTTTGGAGAAAGTGGAGGCAACGCGCAAACCTCCCGTAAATGAACAAACCCTGTTCCTACTCTTCTATACTCTCCTGGCTGACTAGTCTCTTTCACCAATAAGTAGTTTGTGTTACACGCATGGCTTCGCACATTGCCCCCTTCTCTCAGCCCGATCAAAGGGATGGCAAAAGCATCTGCGTTCGGATAATCGTATTCCGGACTACCAGGCTCCTGGGAATCCCAAAACTTGTATCTTAGTATGACTGGTCCAAATGCGACCTCGAGAGGTACCCTTATGTCCATTTCGCTTGGACTATAGCGGGGAGGAAGGCTTATCGCATGAGGCCAAAATTCTTCCTTGAACTTTAAAACAGGAGCCTCCATCGTGATTGAGGCTTCTACAATATCTCCAAGAACTGACGGTCCTGTTGTAGCATATACAATTCGAACTATCTTGGTGCAAGGGAGGGGCTGATATGAATCCGGGTGGGCAGCCCATTCGATTGGATCTGTGATTGATATCCAAGACCAGGTTGGCTTGAATCCAGAAGGATGATAATATTGTCCATAGTGTGCCCATAAAAGATCAAAGCGCAGGGTATCTTCCCAGAGGCCAGCTATATATCGTTTTTCTGGATAGGCCGCTTGGATCCGGCTCACAAAGGCGGCGATGGCGGGTAGCTGGTCTTTTTGGAAGGTGAGTTTTCGGTAGGCATAACCCTCCACAATCCTGTGCCACATCTTCTGTGTAGTCAAAGCGCTTCTTGCCAGGTCCCGGTTCGTGAATCCAGTATAGCTTAGGGATTGGTCCAAACTTGGATCGCCCTCAAAGGCCATCTTCTCACGACAGCTCCAGATCACCTCTTCAGGGCCATAACGAATCACACGCGGCGACAGGTTGAGTTCTTGGTATGTCCACCCGCGTCTGTATAATGGCCAGATATATGGCACAGTAGCTTGTGAGTAGGAGTCATCGCTGTCGTTAGGCTTCTCAACCTGCTTTCGCACATGTATCCAGGGGAATCTTGGCACAGCAAAACCTATACGAGAATCAGGTGTCTTTCTGAAGAGCCCCTCGGAAGCGTCATGAGATGCAACCGCTGCGATTGTAACGAAAGACTTTTCATAGATATCTCCCATACGAGATGCTTGTTCGCGCCAGTCCCGATCATCGTCTTGAACGATACATAAACTGTCAATCCATATATAGTCCACCCCAATATTTCTACAGAAAAACACGGCGTCCTGGTATGTTTCCGGTAGATCTTCAATAGGAACACCTGATATGACGTGAGAGTGCTTGTTACCTAGGGTCGTTTTGATAAGATTCCTCGGATTACCCCAGCAATGACTCAAGCATGCATACTGCCCCGGGTATGCTCTTTCCTCAAGTAAGACCGTCTTACGCAGGATATGCAAGAATCTAACCACTTGTAGCGCGTCTCTTGGCCGCAAGAGTCCACTTCTAGGGCAATTTGCATGCCTAGTAGTACACTTGCGGAGCCAATGTTTGATTGTTCTGAACGTCTCAGACGACGAGGTGTTTCCTGGAAGTGCGACAAGCTCTCCTTCTTGTAGATTAACTAGCTGATCATCAGTAACATAATCTTGTTTAAGACGTCGGTGTGGCATTACGCGTATGATCCTTGATAAAAAAACTCACATTCTCCCGAATATTCTTCTGACCATATCGACAGCACCCCATCAGGGGCAGAGACTCATATCGAAAATTACCGATCTAAAGTTCGGAACAAGATACAGACAGATATCATTGTGAGCTGCATCCAAAAGCAAGTGGTTTCATCGAGCGGCCGGTTAGAACGGTGTGGGTCACGGTACAGCGAAAGCCAGTCAAACTCGAATCTGTAACGTCCAGAGCAATATTCGCAACAATGCGCAAGAATTCTTCGCGTATGACCATCTTTAGAGGAACGAAGTTCATGCATAGAGAACGATGAGGTGGTGGAGCGTGAAAGGATAGCGAGGCTGAATGATAGAAGAAGTAGCAGCCTAGAAGCCAGGCCACCAAAGCTCAATGTAGCTAGCGCGGGCTTTCTCCAGCTGCAGTCAACAAATCCCTAGGTCACCATGCATGTACAGTCAGCCCCTCTTTCCCTAACTGTCACACATACTCTACTAGACTGAGAACGTGCGTTTAGAACTATATATTAAACGTTAAGGAAACAAAATAAAACTTTGCAGTCAAGGCCACGTGAGCATTGTTGCATTCAAAACTGCATGTGCCCAGACAGAGAAAAGTTGCGGCCCCTTTAGTGGAAACAGAGAGCCTGCATACTCAGTTTAAGAGCCTATCGGACTGAAAGAGAGAGCGTATCAGGCACTAAAGAAAACAATCGGTATTCAACAATAAAACTATCCACTACAATCTACAACAACGGGGGTATCAAATCCACACATCAAAATTCACATCCAAGTCCACACCCACAAGCTCAACCCCACCCATTAAACAACCCATCACACTACAACCAACCCCAACACCAAAACACCAGCCCACAACCTCAACCCACCCATATCAACCCCGCGCGCCGCCTTACCCGTAAACTCCGTAATCCCCGTCGTCTGCTGCACAGGCAACGCACTCGCATTACTCGGTACCAGGAAACCCGGTTGCATGGTAATAACCGGTGCAAGCGGTGGCAGGACCTCTGCCGCCGCCGTCGCTGTGCTAGATACAGGTTGAGGCGCCGCGCTGGATGTGATGGAAATAGCAGGAGCTGCAGCGGCGGAAGGTGTGGAAGCGGCGGGTGTAGAAGAAGAAAGGAGGGATGCTGTAGCTGCGTCTGCGGATGGGGCGGCGGAGGAGCTGATTAATTCGGGATCTAAGGGAAACAGCGGTGCTGCTACTGCTGTGGAAGAGGTGGTAGGCTCTGGGGATAGGGAGAACAGGGGTGCTGGTGCTGTGGGGGAGACGGCTGCTGGAGGGGTTGAAGATGCTGCGGTGCTGGATTCTGCGGAGGCGCTGGACATCACGCCCATGGAGCTGAGCATTGAAGTGAGTGGGATCTCGGCGGCCTTTGATGTTTCTGTTACGGTCATCTGCTGTGTTATGGTGCTGGTCACGGTATCCGTGACTGTGATGACGCTTGGTGCTGCACATGATGTAGCGAGGTTGGCGGGCGCTGATGTTGCAGCCATGGTGTTGTTGGCTGTGGCGGTGGTGTTCCAGGATAGGCGGGTAGATGAATGGATACGAGTGGAAGCCTCCATGGTTACGTTGGCTGACATTGTTGCAGATGCGGCTTTGCTAGAAAGTGTCTCAGTCGTTTTTGGGGGTTGAGATGCCGCCTTGCTAGTCATCTCCGCAGTAGAGCTACGTGTCGTAGTTGCGGCTGGCGTTGAGCTTGCCAGTTTCGTCGTATTGCGAGCTACCGATGTCGCTTCCACGGTCTGGCTGTTGGGCAGTAAAAAGGTAATGTTGGGAGCCAGTGTGGGAGCCACATCACCGACTTTCCTGGTGGTATCGTATCCCGTTACCGCAGCTGCAGTGTAATTGAGCGCCTTCCCGGTTGCAGTAGAGTTCATCGCATCCATAGCAGTCATCATCTGACCGGCAGCGTCTGGAGGCGGTGGGGGAGCTTTGATACCCCTGATTTTGTCAAAAGCAGACGATGGCGCCGCACACCCATTGATCAATGGGAAGACTGCTGTAAATAGGTTTGCTGCAAGATTGATTGCATTCAGACCTGGTGGGAGAAATGGAAAGTTGACATTGAAAGCGAGATCCATGGAGAGGGAGACATTGGCTTCCACCAAGGCGATGGGGCCGAGAGCGAGGAGATCAGTCGACAGTGCCTCTGTTTTGTTTGCGAAGGGTGCGGTTGAGTTACTGTTGTTACCACAGCTGTGTGCAATGTTACTTGATAGCTTTGCGTCCAGACGGGGTAGGTTCATTGTAGCTGTGACTTCAGCTTTCAATTGGCCGAGGAACTCAAATCCGATGGGAATCGAGGGCTTGAATGCAAGACCAAGCAGGAGCTCAGCATTGGTAACGTTGACGCTGACGGGAAGCGGTGTTAGTGCTGTTTCTTGGAAGCCAGTGAGACGACTCTTGCCGAGGTCTGTAATCTCTACTCGAAGGCTGGATCCATCAGGTACCTGAGAAGGTTAGTGATGACACAAGCAGCCAGAAACGATATACATACCGTGAGATCAAGACCGTAATTGACCTCAAGTGTGCCGCTGATCTCAAAATCAGCTGCAATGCTAGGCGTAAAGACGGCTCCCGCTTTTCCGATACCAGGGATCGAAAAACCGACAATAGGTACGCTGAAGAGAGCAACCTCGAAGCTGCCAGATCGCACTGGCCTCGCAAATAGCTCGACACGTGCACCCACACCCGTAGCTACAAGTTCCATGAAACCACCTGTGATGACTTTGTCGATAGACTTGCCATCATCGCCGCCTTGAAGGAAGTCGGGAATGAGATCGATTTGCGAGGCATCAAACTTGAAAGCACCTTGTGTGAGTGCCAACTTTCCTCTCGTCGAACACTCTTTGCATCCAATCTCGATTGGCAGATCGGGGACATCGACATCAGCAACGCCCTTCAGGAACTCCTTGACGTTGAAGACATGGTCGCGCAACTCAGACGTTAGGTCAAAAAGAGCAGTGGTGACGTTGTCCGGAGTGTCGGCCGGAATTGCAAGGGTACTCTGGCGCTTGCGGATCTTGTCAAAATCGGAATGGCGTCGGTACAGATGCTCATCCTTGGTGTGACCGAACGCAATGTCGAGATTGTCAAATGCAGCGTCCCAGGTTGTTCTTGTAGCGGCAAGGTCCAGGACTGTTTCGTTTGGAGACAACGATACGTTGTTTACCCTACAACTGTCAGATGGCCATGGTATACATTCCCCAAGTTACTTACTGGTAGACCGCGCGCTCACTCTCCGAGTTACAGCCCGCATGAGCTGTGATGACAAGGCCACCATCAGTAGCCGCTCGGGCATCACGTGCCGAGGAAGTGTCAACAAAGTGCAGCTTGATACCATCTGGACTGCACTGTACATCTTGTAGATGGTGCTCATGATCTTCCAGGGTGAACACAGGCCTCTGTGATCCAACCTTGACCTGGGAAGCAAACGTCTCCTTGTTGGTCCATACGTTCTCCTCTACCACGTTATTAGTATAGATCGTCAAAGCTCAGACAACAAAGCTTACCTTCGACATAAGCCAACTCTGTTTCAAACTTCTTCGTAATCCGCATGCTTCTTCGATAGAGATCAGACCGTTTCGTCGCTGCCCTCAGAACCCGATGCGTTTCGAAGCCTTCTCCTACAACAACAGCGGTAACATCCGTGCTAAAGCACGCAATAGCTACAATCGCGCATACTTGCGAAGCTCTCAAGAACCGCATTTTCACAAACCAAAGAGCGTAAGAACTGTTGAACCCGGCGGGAGGGAGAAGGGGTGTAATATCTTCGAACAGAGCAGACGATCAACCGTCTAGCTCAAAAAGATTAACATCTAAGAACTAACACAAGAGGAATTGAAACGAGAGACGGGGTTGAAACTTAAAAAAGGAGTGTGAGGAAAAATCCAAGAGCGACAATCGACAGTCGAACTCCGTAAAGCACAAGCTCGCCAGCGAGAAAAGAAGAGAACGATTCGATTAAAGTAAAAAGAGGTCAGAACAGGAGGAATCCAGCAACCAAACCCCTACCAGGGCCAAATAACGGAACAATGCGAGACAACCAGATTAGATACCATACCCCTACATGGCCTTTTCCTCTTTTCCTCAAAGCCAAGCTCCCGCCCAGCATGACACCTCCTGCGAACATCAGCTCAGCTCACCTCGTACACACAGATGCCCCGTTATCCAAATCCTTTCCCTTCACGCGCAGGGATCCCAAGCTGTCAAACCCACCCGCTCGCGTCGCAGCTCGCCCAGCTAGGTCTAGTGGCAGGAACCCGTCCCTTCTAACGCGACATGCGCTACATCTGTCATTCGTCGCACCAGTCCATAACCAGCTCGCGATATAGGGCCTTCAGACGCAGCGTGTCTGGGAAGCGCGTTTCTGGAGCATCGTGTCCGGGGTTTGGGTGTGGTAGGCGGCCCGTGCTAGCGTTACGGGGCTAAGCTGCTTTTGGGGCGAGGTTGCCCTGCGAACACGGCTACTCCGATACTGGATATATGGAGTTGGGTGGAGGGATTGTCAACCCTGGTTTTATGCTGCAATTTTTCTTTGTGTATGATCGGGTGGTGGTATCCGGATGGGTGTTTTTGTGGGGAACAGGGCGCGGGCTTAGGGTTTATTGACAATTGTAAGAGTTATGCCGAACGGTGTGTTCGCATGTCAATTAGGAAAATAGCGTGTGCAAATGGCATGGTGCACGGCAATAGAGTGCCGAGCAGCATATGGAAGAGGGATGGGGGTGGTTCGAGGTGGGAAAACAGCGACTTGGCACAGATTGAAATGAATAGTGTTTCTAAAATGCCGAAGATGCACTTCTGGCAGAATCCCTCGAGCCCGTCTTCTGGTTGTTAATGAAGCTATTGGGACGCAGGGGGCACCCCATCATACAGATTCGGGAGCACATGCTACAACGACGGTGGATGACCCATATTGGGTCTTGGCGCAATTCATGCTACCACTGCCTCAGGTGGTGACTGGAGGTTTCTTCCTCAACACGTTCCTCCTGTGTTTCCTGTCATTCTCTATCAACCTCTCTCTATCATTCTTGCCCCCGCTTCCCTCGCCACGGCCCTCACCCGGCGAAACGGCACTAATAGCCTTTCCAGCGCCAAGCGTGATACCCGTAGCTCCAAACTTCCCCGTCATGCTCTTCGCACTTTCGTGGCTGTTGAAACTGGATCGTCTTCTGGCTGGACTTGGGTTAGCGGGTGTGGTTGGATAAGACGGGTCGGTGCCAGCAACCTCATCCGACGACCACCACCCTTCTGGTCGCGAGGTGGTGGTTTGAGCTGTGATTTGGGAGTCACCGCCCGTAGCGCTAGGAGAGCCGAAGGATATACTAGATATTCGGTTGACAGGGGGCGGGGACATGACTCTGCCGCGACTCGGTGAAGGTTTTTCTTCCGTGGGGGGCTGATAGGAAGGATATGACATTCTGTTGGAAGGGCTGGGTCGTGTTGCAAAGTTATCATCCCTTGGTGTGCCGCTATAAGACATTGGTCGTCGGTTCTGTGATATCTTTCTTGCTCGAAAAACTGGTGGTCCCGTTGCACTTTCGTCTCCTCCATCATCATCCTCGTTGTCTGGCCCAGGTGGCAGGAGACTCCGGGGTCGCCCTGGTGATCGCCACCGCCGCTCTTTCTGGCCTTCTGGTGTATCTGAACTCGCAAACTCGTCTAGCGCCTCGAAGACATGTGGGAAGACGAGGGTGTTGACCGACTCAGCCCACAGGAAGTCGAGATGCTCGTAATGCGGGATCTCCTTTGCGATGGTGTGAGGAGGAAGCTCCTTGAGCATCACGGCAATGTCGACAAGACTGTCGGATCCTCCATATACGAGTACGATTGGTGTCTTGATATTCTTGGTAGGGAACTTGGCGACCTTGTAGTACTTGGACCGGTTCGAGATGATTGGGTTCGGCGCCTCATCATCGTACATCTGGAACGTGCCGTTGCGGATGATTTGAAACCAATGAACTACGCTCTTGGTTGAACTGTACGAGTAGAGATGTGGGTAGGCTGCAAGCTTTTGCTCCGCCGTGATGTTGACAGCCGTCCAGTTGAAAAGGAACCGTAGGGAACTGTCAATCATGCGAACAAAGATGGGTGGGTATAGGATTGACTGCCACATAGTCGCGGAAGGGAGGATAGTCTTGCGACCAAAAGCCAGGTATAGAATGTCCGGGGAGGCCTTGACAAAGGAGTCGACAATGCCAGACGCAACACCCTTTGGCGACATGGCTGGCGCCAGAGCAATAAACACGTCCACCTTCTCGTTCAATGTTGGGTGTATCGATAGCGTCGCAAAAGCCTGCGCCGTGCCTTGCGAGAAGCCAATGTATGACAAAGAGGGCTGGTGAGTCGTTTCCAGAATGTACGAGATCGAGTCGGGGATGTCGTGAAAAGCAAATTGGTCCATACTAAAGTTCCAAAAGGCGCTTGAGGTCGGTGGATGATGTATGCTCTTCTTCGAGTACTTGTTTCCGCGGTTGTTTCCGAGCCAGACGTCGTAGCCGCGCTCGACGAGCTCAAAGGGCAAGCATCGCTCCTTATCCGTCAGACACACCCAGACCTCACTGTTCATCATGAGGCCGTGATGCAGGTAGACGACCTTCTTCTTCACACTCTTGCCCTTGTCTCCGCTGTTGACCCGAACATCTTCCTCCCCCTGTCGCCATCCCAATCGGTGCAGACCCAAGAGGTATCCATCCCCCGTCTGCACAATGTGCTCCTCGCAGTAGTATCCGTAGAGCTCACATAGCTCTGTAAAGTCGGAAGCATTGGCGATGGAGCTCCAGACGCCCTTTTTCTTATCACGCGAGCGCTTCGATGAGGGCGAGGAGAGGTGGTTGAACAGGCGGCGCGTGAGGCGATAACATAGCTTAATAATCGGGGTCGGGAGGGCGAGTGTGATGAGGGCGATGAAGGACTCGAGGCCAATGAGGCAGATGGACAAAAACAAAGCAATATACTCGCGGATATGTAATCGCGAGAGAAAAGGTATATGGGGCGCCATCTCTACGGTAGTAGCGTGGCTGGCAGCTCTACGCACCTCTGCGCAGGAGTCGCGACGGGACCTCGGAAGTGTTTAAGACAAAAATGAGCAAATGCAAAGCCAACGCATCGCCCCTCTTGGTGTGCGGGCCCGGTTACAGTCGAAGCTTGAGCCCCTCGGGAGATACGGTGAAGGAATCACCATGGCCCAACAAGATATGTCGATATGACGTTCCCGACCTCGATCGACCACCATATCCCAGACATGTGACAACGCATTATCGCATTCTGGGCCTCGGAGCTTGGCGCGACTTTCCGCCGATGCGACTTTTGCTCCACTCCCATCCCTCCAATGCCACTTGTTGAGTGTACCAGTAGCCACACGTAAACAGCCACGATGCCGCAGTCGTGTAAAGACATACGTACGGAATGAAGCGTCGACCAATGGATATATTATGCGATACTAAAAATATCCAGGCGCCGCCCTTGCTTTTTGCTTGCAAAACAGCGACTGCATAATGGTCGAGCGACACTCCCCCGGCGATTGTCTCCGCCCACCTCTCAAATACACTCTCCCGACACAATGCCAGCAACTGCAAAAAGGCTACGCAGAGTGCAAAAAGGGTATGATTGATATGCGGAAGCGGTTCCGCGGCAATCGGCCAATCGCCGTCCAAGGTCAACTAGAGACGGGCGCATTTGGGCAGGGACGAGCAGAGGCGGATGAAAAGGCAGGCACAATCGAAGAGAAAGGATACATGTTGTACGCGGGACGACCATACAAAGATGTCAAAGAGACCAATGGCAACGAGGATCCTGACAACAAGGGTCTGGAGAGGTAGTCGCGGCCAACACAAAAAGTGGAAGTCGCAATGAGGCGTGCGATAAGGACTGGGAAGGAGCGACGAGGGGCAGGAAACACCAATACCAGAACATGGCAACCAGGGGTCCATGTTCACCAGCATGCTTTGGCGTTTGGGTCTGTAGGAAATGCATTCATATCTCCTCTCTGTATAGTAGAGCTGTACATTGCGCATACCCTCGAGTTCTGTATGAACAGACGAATACTGCTCGCCTTTTAGGTGATATTCCATACGGCCAATAGAAACAGTCATCTCATACCGATGCACCTCTCGCACATCACCTCTTCAGTACCGCACACGCTTCGATCGGACAGTCAATACCCAGTACACATAGACTCGCCTCGACCCAATCCTTCGTTGTCTCTACACCATCTTTCTCTTGTATACCCGCCACCACCAGCGGTCATGATATAAACCTTGCATTCCATGGACCTCTGAGTGTGGCACGGACCTCGCGGAAGAGGGTATCTCAATGCACTATGTGGCTATTGTGCAGAGCAGCGGTGAGTGAGAGAATACCGAAGGATCCTAGGGATGAAGTGGCATAAAGCGAGATTGCGGATTGACTCACGATGCCAACAGTCAGCCACTCAGTGTGAGGGTTGTATCCAATTTCGATGGAGTAGTCCTTTGCGTCTTGATCTGTCTTGAGGTTACATATCCGTGTGAACCCAAGTTCTAGCGTGCGTGCGTGCGTGCAGGTCGTTGTCCCGCGCGTCACGTGTCGAATGGAGCCTGTTGGATCAACTTAACTTTGATCTCAACTGAACAAAAATACCACTATACCAGAGTCTGACTCAAAATGTGCTGCTACCATGGGTGATACTGTTGCACGGCCTGCTTTAGAGTGGGCCGCGACCGATATAGTACGCAGGAAAGTGTTGAACATCTCATCATTACAAGCCTTTCTACAGCTCCATCATCCTGAAGGGCTGAAGGGCTGATAGATGCAATGTATTGACGCTGGTAAGCATAGCTGAGTGGTCGTGTATCTTGGCCATGATTATTGCTGGATCGGGCTTAGCCGCAGCCGCAGCCTCACCTGGGGCTGACTTAGAGGACGACAGCCATTCATCTTTGCAGCATTGCCCTGTCGCGCTCTCTGCTTCCATTACATTGAAGGAGTGCAACTAGGCAGTACAGCACTGCATGTTCCAAAAAGTGACTCGCCGTAGTGCAAAGAGGGAAAAAGGGCGTTATGATGTCACTTTCGTCATGCCGCCTAATTACATGTAGCGGCAGCGGCTACCTAACGAACCGTCTTCTCGTCGAGCTGAGCCCTTCTTATACAGTACCCTTGCTGAATGCGCGCTATATATTAACACCGCCTTATCTGCTTCTCATAGAGTAGGCTTGCTGTCCGCTCTGCCATTTACTTTCACGACATGGCAGTAACTCTTGACACGCGTCGCATTCGGTCGTCGACAAAGGCTGAGCTTCGAGACTACTACAAACAGCTCTTGAGCGATGCATCAGCCGAACCTATTACAACGCAGCTTCTGGATGCCATTGAGAGAGGCTCGATTCCACCATCTACTTTTGCGCCATGGCTCAACCTGTCGAAATCACCTGCTGCCATCCGGGAAGCCATCACTCAAAACAAATCTGTTATAGTTCGCAACCTCGGGATTACGCAGTTACGTCAAGCGCTTTCTTCCCCGCAATGGCAAGAGAACTGGAATGGTGTTGGCGGAGTGACTGGCTTGCTGGAAACTTTTGCTGATCTCTCGGTCGTAGAGATTAGGGAAGCCTGTAGAGCGATTGGAAGTTGTGGCACAGGTGAGGACTTGGAGAATAAACGAAGACAAATTACAGAGCTTTTCAAAGGCTTGCATCCTGAGCTCTTCCCCGATGCGCTGCACAAGACTCGCGACCGTCGTCTGCTGGACAAGCATTACCAATACCTCATGCCTGCATGTTCGGAAGAGCTGGTCGCAGAAGTCATCGCCAAGGGCCCACAGGAAGATTTGAAAGAGGCTCATGGAAGATATCTTCTAAAGTATCATACGAGGACATTGCAAAGAGAGTTTCTTCGGTTGCTGCATTCGGAGAAAACCCCCACAATCGACAAGAAGATACTCGCAGGCCTATTGCACGACTACCCTAAGGCCAAGGCCTATGTTCGCGGCTTTTCGGAGTCTATGGTGTTCTCTCTAGAGGTTCTCAAAGTATTGTCAAATTCAGGGCGCGATGACGTAGGGGATGAATTTTTTGTTAATCAGCTTGCCGGTCCCCTCTTAGGACGCGCTATCAAGAAACATGCGGACTGGGCCAAGATACAAGAGATTGTTAACTTTACGGTACTCTACCTGGAAACTCATCCGAGTGCGGGAAGAAAGATCACTATCGCAGAGGGTGATATCTTTCACCAGGTGGCCATATGCTGGTCGCATATGCCGGAACTCTTCGAGAAACAACTGCGATGGCTTTTATCTCATCCAGAATTTGGCACATCCAAGAAGGATCGTCTGACAGACTGGGAAGGATTTCTGAGCGGAATCTCGAAAACACGAACTTATTCGCTGCTACAACTATGCTACCAAGAGTCGACCGGGATTGATCTTGATATCGATGCAGATCTCGCTAAAATCAAGGGGTCACTGCATACAAGTCTCCTTTCCAGCTTGTCTCATGGCGGAGCTTTGTCGCTTTTCACTCGCTTGCAGAGAGTGCGTAACGATACGAAGGCATCCTTGGTATCCGGTCATACCTTCTCATTACTTGGAAGTGATGTGGAACTTCATCACATGTGGTTACTTAGCCAGAACAACTTCAACGACCAAGTCAAGGAGATAGCGATACCATACATGGATGCCCGGAAGAAGAAAGCGGCCTCTGCATCTGAGCCAGAACAGAGAACCTCCTACGCCAAGTCAGTTCTATCTGCTGCCGTTGCCAGCGGGTCACTGGAACTATTGAAAGAGTCTCTGGAATGGGTAAAGAGATTTATCCGTGATCCTTTGGTGTTTCGCAAGATCTACAGCTCGTGGCATACCTATGATGCGGTACGGTTGCTCTCAGGCATTCCCGAGTTCATCGACGGTTCGTTCAACCTGCCTCAATTGCGAGAGAGAGTAAAGTTTTCAAACTCGATTCTCGCCAGTATTTTTGATACAGCATGTGCGGCCTTGTTAGAGCCTTCGTTCTCTACCAGAGTCTGGGGCGATATCTTTGCGATATTTTACGACGTTGTCAAGGAACGGATGGATTGCACCTCTATCCTCAAAAGAAAGCTCAATGCTCTGGATTCCGGAGTCTACACTTATCTCTGGGAGGACACGATAGAAATGCTCTTAGCAGTCGAAGAGAAGGCGAACAAAGTAGGCCATGAAAAGCTGCAGGCAAATCTCTTGCGGGGAATACTGGCCTTTCCTTACCCATCGAACATTGACATCGAGATAAGAGACGCCTCATCGTACCAGTTTGTTAACGATCTCGCTCAAGCGAGGAACGAACTCTGGTGCAAAATACGCGCATCTACCTATCCCGCTGTGATTACTCTCCCTGAGCCTCTCCCACGAGGCCTGCCGATTCAATATCTCACAGCACCATGGAACTTCGTTTCCCTCGACTCACTCGAGAAAATTCCCTACCTCGCATCTCGCGTGCACGACGTTTTATTTCCGGACCCCGCCAAAATCCTCCAGGTGGCTCCTACAGACGAGGAATTTCAAAAAGCCATTAGCATATGCGTGGATAGCTATACCTGTGCTGTCGAGCTGTACATACCCAAGAAATGCAGTAAGTTAGAAAGGGTAACACGTGTAAAGAGCGTCTGGGACTATGCAACAGGTCCATTGAGTCGTCATAGGATGTCCGAGCCAGAAGCAGTACGCTTTTGGGAACACGCTGCACCTGGCTATCTGAAAGAATGGCCAACACCGGATCGGGCTCATGAAATTTGGCCTTTGATACCTCAAGGTAATGATCGTCATGAGCCCTGTGAATGGAATCCACTTACGTCAAGAAGACCTGATGATCCGGAGCGCGATTTTGATGAGGTTGCATTCTTAGATCTCTCTCGTGCTGTGCCAACGGGTACCTACAATCCTACGGTTCACGAGAGAATGGAGATCGAGCCTTCCGGGGTACCTGGCCGCACAACAGATTTGAGCACCATCTGGAGCCCGTCGCGCAATATCGGCGAAGGTGGAGTGCTCTCGGCTTTGTTGTATCTTGATGCGGAGTACGTAAAGACAAATCGTCTTTTGGCTAAACCATTTATCTCAGACGTGGATGAGAGGTATCCTGCTATGTATCTCGACGATGCTTTCCTCGATGCAGACATTCCTGACCCAATCTCGGCGGCTAAGAATATTCGTGGCCATATTGACGCAATACCCCCTGCTCTACTGGAACAGCTCACCCATAGCCTCATTGACGCGCTTGACTCTACATATTCGGACAAAGCCGTTTATAGTACATTGCACGAGGTCGCATTGAATTTAGTGATACGACTGGGAGAGAGTGATAGACCCTCTCTAGCTACGCCATTGGCTATACGTATCGTCCTGCATAGACCGAAATCAAGCTCGTGGCATCGGCAGCTGTTGAAGGAAGGTTTCCTACACAGAATATCGGCTTCCGAGGCCCGATCTTGCATCAACACTTTCGTAACCAATACCATGCAGATGTCAGAGCCTATGGAGAAACCCAAAGAGCTGGCCAAAAGTCAAGAAGATGCGCCCTATATCAAAGTCACGACGATCAAGTTCCTCATCAAGATTTTGCAAGAGCTAGAATACGTCGGGGCAGACTATACTCTACCAAAGCTTCTGGCGCTTTCCAAAGGAAACCGCCATAGAGACATCTGCTTGACAATCATCAACAGCGTACTATGGTTACCCATACTCGAGTCCTCGCAATATTGGGATCAAACGCTACCTCTCTTGGAGTCAGTGCTACCTTTGGCCGGAGCACTAGATGAACGAGCGCCGATGGACGAGGCAAAATGGTTACAGAGTGAGCAAGATCTCGTGCTACCTGAGTTCCCAAAGGGCTTTACGTGTATGCTTGATCATTTGGTTCTGAATGTGCTTCTCAAGTATTTCAACCAGGGCAAGAATAGCGTTGGCAGGATGCAGCAATTCCTCGCACGCATCATATTACCAGCCTTCGGAAGCCTCAAAGACCAAGCAGTGAGATGGACGACACTGTTTCTCCGAAAGTACGGAATCTCAAAAGATGACCAGGAAGAGCTCAATCTTCCTAGTGTGCCCATAGCCCTCCGTATACTCACGAGATCTGGCAATCGATTTCATCTTATTCCGCGCGCCATCTTGGAAGAATACGTGGCGTGGGTACACTTCAACATCTCCCCACCAGAGCTTATCCGAGCACTCAATGAGAGGCTACGCTCTGACAAGGCTCTGAGTGGACTTGCAGAAGTTCAGACATGGCTATCACTTTACGGAGAAGAAATCAAGGGTGTGCCGTCCATTATCATGCCGCTTCTGGACCATGCGGAAAATGACACTCCCATTACACCTCGACTCATCCAAGAAGCGTTTCTCAAGCTCTTCACTGCAGTACTGTGGAATGACACACCATCTTACACAAAGCTGACAAGCAATCTATGCGGCGGGATACTAGATCCCAGATGTCTCACAAAACCATGGTGGGCAGCATCTGGCAAGCCTGTCGTTGAAGCAATGATCGCCTATGTAGATAGCCTGCGCACAAGAGAGTGGGAGCGTGACCCTGACCGTGCGCCATCTGTCTTGCCCGATACCTTCCCTTGGCGTCTCCTCACGCTCGACTACCCCCTGCCATTGCGCGGAGATACAGATACCGACTGCGAACTCAAAAGCGAAACCTTTGCAAAACAACTCTCCGCAATTGTTGACGAAATGAGCGGTTTGGGGGTCTACCACCATCGCCTGGATAATTTACGCACCTATCTCAACGCCGATATCGCACTGCCCAGCAAATCCGGGGGCTCTTCCGACTATGACCCACTTCGCGATACACTGGCGAATAATCGGATATTGACGGCGATACAACTTGGGGATCTGTCAAAGATGAGATTGAGTTGGGTGACGTCGCCAGAGGTGCTCAGGTGTGAGGTTGCGGCCATTTTGGTGGAGAAGGTTGGGCACGATGTGCAGGCAGAGAAGAAAGTGATAAGAGAAGACGTTAGGCAGAAATTGATTGCGATGTTCGCGGCATGGAAGGCTTGTGAAAATGAGCAGCTGAGGAGAAGGGGTTGGCAGCTCGCGAATTGCTATTTCGGCTAGAGTTTCGGGAGTAGGAGTGGGGTGAGTGACCCTTACGGCTAGGGTTCCGGAAGTTGGATTACAGTGAATGACCCTTATGTGTTTAGGGTCTTGTCCAATTCCGACCTCCGGGTTTCTGAGTCTAGACTACTATGCTTGCGCTATCCAAAATATTGTTTTCGGTTTATGTGTTCTCTGCATGGTGATCGTTTCCGAGCGGCAATGTCTGTTTTGTTAAAATGCAGTGGCTGTGATTAGCTGCCCTCGGCGTGCAGTGGGAAATCCGTTTGGAGAATCTGCCTCGTGGCTTTCGTTGTGGACTTCTGGTCTAGACCCTAATCTAACGTAATCTAACGATTTTACTATGTCGTCATCTTGAAGATTCCAGCTACCGTGGTGTGGGGATGATCGCCACCTGAGGAGTTCGGTGAGGTTCGAGGGGTGCGGAGAATGAGATGCATCGGAGACACCCCGAAACCCGCTCTATAACTATGGGTTTCCGGAAATTCTAGAGAGTCGTGCATTGCTTGATAGCTTGAGATCTAAATTCGTAACCCCGCCTCTGCTACGGCTCGTTCAAATTTGTGTGACATTGATCTTCTATATCATGGCTTATGTACAACTACCGTTGGAAACCATACAGGTCTCATAGGAAAATTATGCGCTTCCAATGCTAGGTTAAGCCGTGTTGTCGGGTTATACACGCGTGTCATCTGCATGCCGGACCTTCGCGCACTACTTTTTCTGAAGCTTTTCTTGTTGAGACGCAGAGATTCCGAACGGACCACAGATATGATTTTCGATACAGATCTTGCATATTTTCCCACTAAACCCATCTGGAATACTCTAAAAATGCGAGATCAAGAGGCAAATTTGCAATGGGCGATCGTGTGACGTCCCGGACTTCACCCATGAGCCCAACAGCGTCTATAGGAGTATCGGCGATGAGATGAGCTATGCGTTTGTTCTTGGAGCTGGTAAGACATGTGTTACTGTCGTGGCTTACAATATCCAACATTGAGGTGGATTGGTACATGCACCTCCGCACATGCAGGTAGTCATGCCATCATCTATGAACGGCTTAGTGGCGGTCTGTGCACTGGCAACAATTAGGACTCCATCGTGTGCTGCGCTTCCCTTAACCACCACATCGGCATTGCAAACATCGAATGTGAGCACCGCAATGGGGATGATATCCAGATTTTTCAGCAGCTGTATTGCCAATGTAGCAGTCGAATCCACCGAACCAGTGTTTTCGCCGCATGTACCACGCGAGGCGTCTTTGACGAACAGTGATTAGTGGGTTCCCTGAGTGCTTCACGGTTGTTCAATATCCAACCCCTCATCTATATGCTGATTCGAAAGCAATGTGGGTCGTATCATGATCTAATCATGTTCACGTCTACAATGGAACCCCGCTCACCGTCGTGCTATCCGTGATGGCGCAAGGTTGTCGGATGCTAGAGAAGACGACATATAAGAGAGTCGAATCCTGCTCACAACAACACACCATCCAACCTTTCATTCATTCATTACCTTCTCACAGTCGACAAACATGTCGAACTGCTCACTCGTAGCCCCGGGATTGCCCTCCCTTGTTGGAGGGGCCATACCAACGTTCGCCTATGATCATGCTGAACATGGCTTCTTGTCCGGCGACGACTTTGGCATTGAGATGGCGTATATGTCTGGTACCTCGACCTGCTTTCACTCAGAGATGGCTACACTCACCCCCATCCTGTCTAACCCCCGTCTGTACTACACTCGCACTTGCCAGTACGTAACTATTGGAACTACCTACACAGCTCTGGAGTGTCCCAAAGGCCGGCTTTGGGATTGGGTGAACAGGGGCGAGTACATCATCGACAACAAGCTTGCTTCCCCCTACAGTGGTCAAACTCCTCGCCCTTTCACGGCCACCTTTGGTAACAGTGCTGCGCCACCTGTTTCAATCACGACTTCCTTGACCCTCACTCGGCCTTTCACGACTACAAAATCCGGAAACTATTACCCGTTCAGCCCCGTTACCATTACTCGGACCACTGCTACCTCTACAAGCACAAGTCTCTCTACAGTCACTGTTCCTGTGACCGTTCCAGTCGTGATTACAGATTGTCCGTCGCTTTCCAATCTCCCTCTTCCGACGAGCACCCCTGAGACTTCTATTCCGCAGTCTAGCAGCTACCCAGTGATTCCTCCTCTAGTTTCGACAAGCACTTCGAAGAGCACAAGCCCGTTTTCTCTTCCGCCTACCTCGACAAGCTCGCCTTCGCTGCCTACTAGTCTTTCGACTATCCCGGTTTCTATTCCCACTATCTCGACTGTCACGATTTCGCTACCTACCACTACCTCTACCAGCATCTCCTCTGGCTATTCTACGAGCTTTCTCTCAATCCCGGTTCCGCTTCCTACTAGCACCCTCACAATCCCTGTCAGCATCCTCACGAGCATCCTTTCAACGCCGTCCACAATGTCTACTAGTATCCCTGTTAGCACCCCTTCGGTCACTCCTACAGTTTCGGTTCCTACGACTGTATCTATCCCCACAAGCATCACCACTAGCTCTCCCGCGACCACGCTTCCGATCCCATCATCGAGCTCATCCTCGACCCCGGTATCGTCGAGCTCAAGCTCAAGCTCTGCTACGTCTACCTCGGCTCAGCCATCATCAAGCTCATCATCGGGCTCATCAAGCACATCATCGAGCTCAATATCAAGCTCATCCTCAAGCTCATCCTCAAGCTCTGTTATGTCTACCTCAGCTCAGCCATCATCGAGCTCATCCTCGACCCCGACATCCTCAAGCTCAAGCCCTGCTGCGTCTACCTCGGCTCAGCCATCGTATTCTCCATCCTTGATCACGTGTCCTGCCGCCAACGGAACTAATTTCAATGACGGTACCTCGAGAAATTTCGTTATCGAGTGCTTCATCGATCGTGACGATAGTGACATCGGAATCGCACCCATTAGACCTAATACCTTCAGCCAATGTATCAGGGCTTGCATCATTACAAAGAATTGCCAGGCCGTGGCTTACCTACCTAATGGTCCATGCTATCTGAAGTCCGGAATCGGTGCACCGAATACCAACAATGGTGTTTGGGGTGCTAGGCTGGAGACACCCGCATCCATCTCCTCCTCCGTGTCCATCACCTCGCCTGTGACTACTACCTCTTCATCTGCGTCTACTACTCCGCCTGCGACTACTACTTCCTCTGTATCTACCACCTCACCCGCGTCTACTACCTCACTCGCTTCCACCTCATCTGCGTCTAGTACCTCACCCGCTTCCACCTCATCATCCGCGTCTAGTACCTCACCCGCTTCCACCTCATCATCCGCGTCTAGTACCTCTTCATCTGCGTCCACTACCTCGCCCGCGTCCACTAGCTCCTCCGCGTCCACCTCCTCTTCCAAATCATCAATGGCCACAACCACCACCAGTATGACATCTCAACCTACTGGACCCATCACCTGCCCCGCTTATAACGGAACAACGTATACTGCGGGATCGAAGGTGTTTTTGGTTCTGTGCGACGCGGACATTAATGGCGACACTTTCCCAGGTCCGATTAGCCCAACTTACCCAGGATCCTACGAAAAGTGCTTGCTTGACTGCCAATCAACCCCCGGCTGTGTCGCTGTCAGCTACGTCAAGGGTGGGCCTTGTTATTTAAAGGGTTCTGCAGCAGGCAGCAACCCCAACGCCAACATCATCGGCGGAAAGTTGATTCATGGTTCCCCAGCCGCCTCAACACCAGCCTCTGGTTTCTCGACCGTGACCGTGACCAGCTGCGCAACGACCGGTTCTTCCGCTAGTGGTTCTTCTGCTACCGGTTCTTCCACTACCTCTTCAGCCACCCCAACGACTACTTCACGCACATGCCCTGAAGGCGATGGCGCCATATACACTACTGAGTGCGGTGCAGAATACGCCCTTGAGTGTGGCGTCGATCGTTTTGGTAACGACCTTAAGAACGGCCTTGTCTTTGCAGATACCTGGGAGCGTTGTGTACAAGCTTGCGACATGACTTCTGGCTGCGTGAGTGTCTCTTGGGTTTCGGAGAGGCATGGGGCTTGCTACATGAAGAGTAGTGTCGGCAAGGTCCACAATAATTCAAACATTGAGGGCGGTCGTAAGATTAGTGATTGCAACAGGCTCAAACTGCACGGAAAGCGAGTAGTGCACGAAAAGCGAGCACTTGCGCTTACAACCCCTGGTCGCTTCTTCAATCCCGACTACACATTCACTAGGGAGACTTTGACCTTCACAACATACACCACTTTGCTTCCTGTTTTCACTACAACACCTTTGGCACAACCTGCTACTATCACGAAGTTCGTCGTGGCATCGACTGTCATTACCATCACAACCAGTGTTCCATCCCAAGTCTTCAGTGGTGTGACACATATCACCAAGTGCCCGTTATCGACTTCCACAGTCTAGAGTCCGCTCTTGACCATAGACCGCACTCAACATGTCGCCCTGTCAATTCACGCGATATTTCGATGACACTGCTCATCACTTGCTTTTCCGTTCCAAACATCGTCACTCCTTAGCACACACACACACCTCCATATGTTTAGTTTCCATTCTCAGCTGTGTGTCTTATACATAGAAAAAGTATACTGTTGTAATTAAATCTAAAAATGAGATGCTCTCATACCCACATTCATTTGCATATCCGAGCTGTGCTCTAACGTGATGAGTCGAGAGAGATGATGAATTATCTTTTGGTCAGTGATTTCGCACGCTGGATAAAGACGATGGCTTTCAAGTGTTGTTTAGTGCAACGATATCATGATGACTACGCCGTCCGTTTGCATGCCAGCGATGTGAGGTGCAACAAGGCAGCCGTGTTGCTGACAGATGCCAACACCGTCATACCTCAGCCTAGCCTAGTGATCCACAATTCTTACATTCACTACCATCTCATTAGATCATGCGTGATCAATTCTAACTAGCGCTCAGGCCCGGCCATGTCAAATTGCTACTCTCACGGCAAAGCTTGACTAGTCACGAACCTCTCCACCCCACCAGCACCAATGGACAGCAAGATCAATCTTACTACGCCCCACGTCAACGTGTTACTGAACCCAGAGGATATCCCCCTTCCACCGACGCCGACAAAAGCGAAGGCCAAAGATGAAAAGCTTGCCCTAGGCGATGACCACGCCGACTTCACAGTCCTGTGCGATGGACAACGGTACCTCACGCACAGGAGCATCCTAAAAAATGCATCACCGTACTTCGCGCGCATGTTCCACTTCAACGGACAGGAGACAGACGACGAACAGGTAGAGATACCAGACGTCAACGCAACATCCATGAAACACATTCTCGACTACATGTACACCTCTACCTACAAACTGCACGGCGGCGCCATCATCCCTTCGACCGATTACTGTGGGCACAGTACCTATGCTCTTCTCCACGGCCCCAAGAAAGGCGCTCAGATCTTCAAGCACAAGTGTCCGTGCGCGGGCAAGACGCTGGATCCGGGACATTTGCTGCAGCATGTGCGCATCTATACTTTGGCGGATTACTTTGGTATGGAATTATTGAAGGTGTTTGCGCGGCAGGGCGTGAAGGATGTGTTGCACGTGTATTGGCAGTGTGAGACATTGGAGTTGGTGGATGCGCTGGAGGAGGCGTTTACTGCTACGCCGGATGACGATAAGGGTCTGAAGGATGTGTTTGTGAGTGTGTTGAAGGAACATCCGGGGTTGGTGATTGATGAGGATGGTGAGGTTGCAGTGTGGCTGTCGAAGTATCCGGAAGTTGGGGATGAAGTGCATTGGGATGATAGGCCGGCGCATTGGGGGAAGTGAGGTTGGTAGAATTGGCGGTGTATGGGTTCCATGCGCTGTCACGTTCGTTCTGTATTTATGCAAACGCTGAGCACGATACGTGTATGGGTACAAACTCAGCTCAGTCGGTTCGTCGATAGGATACATCGGTTTGTTAAATTACAACCTTTCCGTCTCATATACGAATGTTTGAAACTGGGTCCACAATAAACGATCTCAAGCCCACCAGCAGAAGAGTCCCTTGACAGTTATCCGCTTAGAGTCGTACGGGCCGGCGGCGTGCCATCTTCAATGGAATACCTATCGTCACACTAAGTTAGCGTAACTCCCTTGATCAAACGTGAAAACCAGGAAACAACTTACCAGTCCCATTCATTCCACACCCATCAACAAAGCAAGCACTGGCAGTATGTACGTATCGAATCTTACCACCCTCGATGCGAAACATGTGACTATCCGGTGCACCTTCTGTATTCCTCGTACGATCAAGCCCCGTGAACCCCATAAAGATGTCCACCACGCCCATGACTTCATCAGCAACGTACTTGCGGTTCGTCAAGAGCACGTTGCTAGGGAGGCCGCCGATATCACATGTATTTGCCGAAAGGTTGCCGCGACCAGTGTACGCGCCCCCTTCGAGGCGTGTGCAGGGAGTTCCAAACGGAACGACTACGGAGGTGTCGTTGAAGCGATCCGCGTATGCGTTTCCTGCTGCTTTGACAACTTCGCGGGAATCGCGTTTGGTTTCAGGAATTGGGCCCCATGACTCTTGACTGTTCCAATACTTGTAACCTGTAGCGTTGAAGGCCCAGTCGCCTTTGTCGGTGACAATGCTGTCGATGAGGTTCACGTTTCCTTCACTATCTAGGGTCATTTGGGTGTGGATGACGTATGGGTGGATCAGGTCGGTAACGATGATCTCGGTCATTGTCTTGCATTGTGTAGTATCGAGAATCGAGCGGTGGGAGTCGATGGTCATACCAAGAGCTGGAGTACCGCTGAGAATGGAAGAGGTGACGTTGTTTTCGAAATATTGCATTGAGTAGGCTAGGTTCTCGAAGCGGTCGTGTTGGCCTGTTGCCATTAGATTGACGTAGCTATTCGTAGTCTCTTCGAGGTATTCGCGCGTGCAGTCGAACGCCTGCGTAGATGTCGTCGCGATGGCGAGAATCAAGATGAAAGAAGCCATGGTGAAGTAGAAGATGTTGCTCAGTTGCAACTTCAAGAACGTCCATCTCTTCCTTTTAATGTACACCTTTCAAGTGTTGAACAGTCCGCACTGCATCTATGATTTTCATACAAGGAGCACAAGTTGCTGGAAACATCCAGCCAATGGCGCTATTGCGCTGTCCTTGTAGCAATTTGAAGTTGCTGTATGCTGTCTTAACCATATTGATGAACGATGTGGGGCACCCCGGCATTGTGTGTTGATTCTCCTCGTTCCACCAACCCCACACGAATTTGATCTTAAATGGAGGTGATCTCCCCACGATGTTGGAGTTCTATATTAGGATTAGATTGCGGCCTTTTGTGTAAGACGTGTAGGCGAAGTAGGTGCGCGCAAATGCCACCCTGGAAAGTCCACATCGCTGTTATCGTCTCGAATATGTCGACCGATATTACAACTCCGGTTTTCGGACATCAGGTAGGTAATGGCAGTTTCTCAACTGGCAGGCAATCCATGACGCCTCGCAGACGTTTTTGCAATGATCCTCATCCCAATCATCCAAATAGTTCCAAAGTGTGTTCATCGATGCGGCCTGCCATCTATCAGTATTCAAGAGACCATTATGTATCTAAAGTTAGAGGTGTTGGGGAGAGCATACTATTTCCTCTGGTAATGGCTTACGCGGCACTTCGGGGTCGGAGAACGGGGTTTGCGGACGCTGATCCTCACGTAATAAGGCGAACGCGGAATAGACGCTGTAGACAAGTAAGGCCGAGAGTACGAATACGAGAATAGAGTGCGCGAATTGAAACAATAGTTTCATCTCGAAGGATATCTTGTTAGCTTTCGAAAGGCGATGTTTGCTGTCGTTGAAGTTTGTGGTCTCTGCTGCAGAAGGGGTGGGTGGAGCGCGCTAGCGGCTTAGCGCGTTTTGCTTCTCCTAAACTCCCTCATTGCTTCCTATCCGGCATGCAAACAACAATTTTGGGCGCGCTGCCATTTTTTTGATTGACTACCCACAATTGTATGCTGGAAGTGATGGAGAGCGGCGTGTTGCTGTAGTGTCTACAGGCATACTGAGACTACGCCGTAACATGTCCCCTATCCTCTGACTGCTTTTCGTGATACCATGAAACATATTGGAACAAGGTCCCTCTAGTAGTATGACTACCATGGATAACCGAGTGGGAGGAGGGACAAGGCGGGGTGGCTGCAACATATTGTATTGACTATCGTGTTTAGTGTCGCAGTCTCACTCTGTTGTGGTGGGTGCTATTGCCCACCGGGCAGTACCTGCCACACCAGCATATCATGTGACTCCCAAGCACCTTCTACCCTGGACTGAAATCAGATATTCTCAACAAAACATGACACTATTGTCAAAGACGGTTGTATTCTCAACTATTCCCCATCGTATACACGCAAAATGCTGTTCGTCTATAGGACGCATAGTCGATTCAGGCTCGAGCAATCTATCGATAGCAACGTGCGAATATGCCAAGCCTGGGTATTTTTCAAAGGCATCGGTACAAAATTACTCAGATCCAATCGTGCAATAGCTCCGGAGAATACAACATCATGAACCTGCTAGGGCTGGAAAGATAAGCTTATCTACGGCCATCACCGGCACTTATGATCTGCCACTGTGTGTCATCAATGTTGCTGGCATGAATGTTAATGCTGTAGAACAAGATTCAGTCTCAACGGAAACGCCATGTTATTCTTTTTGAGGATATCGATGCGGCAGGTATCACTCGAGAGCTCACTATGGTGGCACACACCCTCTCAAGGGCATATAAGCGACACCAGCGATGACAGCCAAGATTCTAGTGGACATGAGCGATCAAAACGTTGTATTCGGTGTTCACCAGAAACCCATCTGAACACGGTTCCACCTCTGATGACCGAAGTCGTCCTGAGCGGATTGTTGAACAATCTTGACTGACCAGGGTCAAAAGTAGATCATATTGTGATCCTGCGCACCACCTCTCCAGACTTTCTAGATAAGGCCTTATACCGCTCTAGTCGTGTTGCGAGAAACTAGAACTATCAGCTCCCACATGTTGCGATTCGGTTCTAACGCCTTGAGTGAAAGCATGTTGTTCTTAGTAGTTGTGGATATCGATCAACAGCAAGTGTGGGGATTGACTTTGGATCGGGCGTAGCGATGCATTCATTCAAGGAGTTTCAGGATTCTTTCAGTGTATATAGAAGCAGTTGGTGCTACATTTCATAGAGCTTTTGAGTAGCTTGTAAACGGTGTCCACCTCGACTCAATGGTATCGAAATCGTAACCTTCATGAAAGGTTGTGATATTTCTTTACTATATTAACGTAGTGACAAGTTTCAACAGTAGATGATGTAATTGGATCGGAGTGCTCGTCCGGAAGTAAAGGTACTACGGGTCTTCATCAGCACTCTTATGTACGTGATATCTGCTGGTACCTTGTCATTTTCTATATTAATTCCAGAAGTGTCAGTGAGCCGCGCAGCCACAAGATCTAGACTCTCGATGTAAAACCGTTTCAGGGATAGCGCATCTTCCGTCAACCTTTTGTGCATTCTGATTTGTCCCATGTATTTCTTACATGCGTTCATTCGAGCGATAACAAAATTAGACCCGATCTAAATGTCTTCCGGTTGACCCGCTCAGGCTGAGTTTGCAACATGTCATTCTAGCATATCCTTGCTACCCTTTTTGATTACACGCATCGATTCACGATAGCCCACTGAACACAACATTTGTAGAGATGCTGTGTGGGCCCGAAGTGGTCAGATTGTTATCTAACTGAAGACCCAATTTGTTTACATGCTCAATAGATTGTGGGAACATTCAGGGTAAGAAGATATCGTTAGTCAGCTGAGTGTCGGCTCATCCCTTGCACTTGCTCGGGGACCTCATAGGAGCAATTGCAGGGAAAGACCGGGGACTTTTGCGCGTAAGCGAGGATGATGCAATTCTTGACTCAATTGGCTATGGAGTTCTTGAGACCACTCCAAACTGATACTGGCTTAAACCTTCCGAATATGATTTGCCTTGATCTGCTCCGGGGGTCGTATTCCATGCGACGTATGAGGTTGGTGGGATATCAGGATGCTGGGCCTGGCCAAGGCCATTCAAGGTGCACGAGATCTCCCAAGTTGATAACGCAAGAGACTCGATTTGTCTCAAATCGATAACACAGCGATATCAAGACCTACAAGAGTAATATATGTAACCTCCATGTTGTGCTATGCGAAGTACAATTGGAGCCTGTTTTTCAGATTTTCAGTTTTCGCTAATGCGCATCGGGCTAGTCTCGCCCCCCACCAAAGAATTCCAGTCGTTACCGCAAGGAGGTTTCTTCCGAGCCGAATCGTTATCAGCCTAGACCGCTTCACCCGAGACATCGGATTTGCTCGCCGTTCCACGGGCTCCATCTCGGCCTGATTGACCTGGCTGTTTAATATTGTAGACACTCCAGATCGTAGCCGCGTTGGTTTCCAGATTCGCCACCCAATAATCGTACTACCCAGACGATAATCGCAGCACGCAGATGCCATTCAGCATTGTCGTCTGAAGATTGGGGTTTATCGTCTTCGAGTTCTTCTTGCAGATTCTTTGGCTACCCCTCCTATCGTCCCTCAGCTTCAGCATCTCGGTTGGCCCTGACAACACTACCATGGGTCTCCTCGATCTTCCACCGGAGATTCTTGATCTGATCATCGACCGTACAGCTCCGGGTGGTCTTCAAAACTTTGTCCTTTCGTGCAAGACGGTGTATCAGCGATCCGCATCTCAGATTAGGCAACACAACGCCTTGAAAAAGGCATGGAGTCATACAACCAATATGAGTCCATCACGTCGTGGAGATACACTGGCGGTCTTGCACGAGATCGCACGGGAACCCATCATTGCAGAGTACATTGAAACTCTTTTTCTGTGGGACCGCCGCGCAGATGACGAAGTCAGAGAGGATACCGGAGCGTACGACTTTCGAAATGATGACAAGGCCATGGAAGAAATCAAAGACCTGCTACGTAGTGCAGAGCACTATGCGAATGCTGAGGAGGAAGAGTGGTGGGCCCACATCCTAGAAGAAGACAAGGCTGGTGATCAATCCGACATGGACAAGCTGTATGCGACAGTGGCTTTGTTGAGTCTACTGCCGAACCTCAAAACACTGCAGTTGCCCGACAGATGGCACGAGGTCCGGGATGGCGAGAGCGCCGAGGCTCTAGTTCCTAACGTGCAATCTCTTGTTACCATGTCCAATGCTGAACGGCATCGACAAAAGCCCCTGGCTCAACTGGAGACGATATTGCCGTTTGTGGAGGAAGGGTACGACGTTAGGGTTGGTTTACAATGCCTCGCACCTTTTCTGGCGTTACAGAGCATCAAAAATCTATATGCCGTTAGCTGTGTGGCTGTTGATGAGGATTGGGGAGGCGTCCCCTTCAACTGGCTCAACCCAAACACCAAGTCGCCGTTGACCCGGGTCGAGTTTGCGTGTTGCTGCATGGATGCTACTGGTCTTTCGGCTTTCCTGTCAAATGTACCGGCTCTCAGGGTATTTAGATACTCACACCAAACGAAATGGGATGGCCTCGAGCATGATTGGAATGCTGGCGAGGTGCTAGAAACACTTGCCAATTACTGCGGCAACACTCTGGTCGACATCGCTCTCACCATCGACGAGTTACATGGTGAAGTCATAAACGGTCTATCTTCGTTCCTACGGTTTAGCAAACTAGAAAAGTTGGAAGTCGATGTTGAATGTTTCTGTGGCCCGCCACTAGAAAGCGGACAGCGGCAAGGACGTGAAGCACGGATTCCGCCCGGCGCAACTGCATGGGGCCATATCGATATTCCGTGTGTGGGCGATATGCTTCCAGAGAGTATGCGGGAGCTTCATGTCAACACCAACTACCCAGAGCCTTCGGAAGCTGCTCTCCATGCGCTCTTCAAGAACATAGTGGATAGGCGCAAAGATAAGTTGAGAAGGCTGCACAAGGCCGTCATCCGGCAATACCGATCATCGAGTGCAATTCATGTTGCCGAAAATCACGCGGTCACACTCGAGGTGTTCGATGAGGGTGTTGAAAACCCGAGGCCAAGGTCCATGATGCCGCAGTGGAAAAGAGAGTTTGACAGCCGCGTAGGTGGAATCGTCTTTGCAGATGCATGAGCAAAAGACTATATATTTAGCCCCAATCTTCTATCATAGAGCGATGAAGGGGAGCTATTACTGACAGCATGTCTGCCACAGAAGGGGACGACTCTCAACTCACAGATTCAGGGTACACGTCCTGCATATATACATTTACGTAGCTGCAGCAATATACAAGAAGCCTGCGTCATATAGTTCCAATAATTTCATAAGAATGCTGTCATTTGAGTCGCGAGAGTAAAGGGGGAAGCTGCGTTGCAATGACCGGACTCCTAGTCGCGATGTGGCACCTTACCGAGAGCGACATCATCATGATGTTAATCACGATTGCGTCATGTCACAAACCTTAGAAAATCGAGCATTCTCCATTTGATATATTACCAACAAGAGATTGTGTAATTAGAAAAATTATTGAGCCCTTCAAGATGAGCAGTCACGCAGCGAACTACGGTCTTGCGGCCCCATTTCATACGATCGCTCTCTTTGGGGCGAACGGACAGGTACTTCACACATGACCTCATTATCATCACAGGCTCATTAATACAAGATTAGCGAGCACATTTTGCACGCATTGGTGTCTTCCAAGCGACCTGGTCATGAGTTCACGGTCGTCGCATTTATTCAGCCTGGCACACGGCTCCAAGATCAGAATAACGTGGTAATCAAGACTTTCGATGTGGAAAAGGCAACCCGTGGGGAACTATCCAAGGATCTCAAAGGCGTAGATGTGATAGTCAGCGCGTTGAATGGTCCTGCATTGGAAGGCCAAGCCATGATCCAAGACGCTGCTGCGGATGCAGGCGTGAAGCGTTTCTATCCTAGCGAATATGGCTTCCACCAGATTTACCGCAAGCCCAACGACCCCATGGGCTATATCCACCCGGCATGGAACATGAAAGCAAAATAAGTACTTACGCAATGCCTCCAATGGCCGCATCACACACGCTAACACCGACATAGAGCCAATGAGTGCGCCATAGTGCACCCAGCCATCCGTTCCGGAAAGATGAGCTTCACCATGATTGGCTGCGGCGACTTTTACAACCAAGAACGCGAGAAGGTATGGTGTCCATGGACGCAGCATCCTAATTTAGTCGACAAGTACATTGTTCACGTCATCGGGGACCCGGACGCGGAGGCAGATTACACGCACCTGGATGACTTTGCAAATTTCCTTGTGGCCACACTTCTCAAACCCCAGAAAAGTGAGAACCAGTACTTGAACGTCGTCAGTGACACCATCTCGCATGCCAAGATTGTGGAACTGCTACGAATGTATACGGGCAAGGAGGTGCAGTTGGATGTGCAAAGTGTGGAGGCGATGCATAAAGTCTGCGACGATCCGAGTAAGGCACCCAAAAGAACATACGCAGAGCGCTTTCCCCGTCGACTTTTGGTATCTGGTCAAGGGACTGCAGGGATTGGGCGAGCCTGTGAGGCCGAAGAGTCAAATTCATAATGATTTGTTTGAGGGTGTAAGATACACGCCATTTGAGTGGTACTTTAAGCAGAGGTTTGGAAAGGGTGAGAAGTTGTAGAGGGGTCTATACCGCACAACCCGGAGCTAAGCGGCGGAGAGTCCGGGGGATACTAGGTACCCTGCGCGAAATAATTTGGTTAGATCTGTAATACCATTAGCCTACCACTCGTGAGGTTATCGCGAGTCGAAAGAAGCATGCATGCATATCCAAAGATTCGTGATGTAAATCTAGACGCGTCATACGCAGCTACTATACAAATCTACACCTTTGCTCTCTCAGAATCCAATTTATCCTTGATAGGCTGCAGCATGTTTGTCATGAAGTTCACGTCTAAATCTTGTCCTGTGCCCGCACCTGCTGGTGGCTGTACCCCCCATTCTGGGATAAGTCTTGTTCCAGCCAACGTGAGTTCCAACACACTTCCACATGGGTACTCTTTTCTTTTGCAGAGTTCTAGTAAATGCGTCGCGCAAATATCTGGTGTCAGGACTTTATCGGCATCCATGAGAACTGCTTCTTGTTTCGATGCGTCGAA